TCCCGTTCAGTTAGACCATTTGGGTCAACCTAAGTACCTTGATGTGCTCATCATTGTCTTTTACTTTTATAATAAAGAAAATATTTTTGTTGGCTCTTATCGCTAAGTGTGCCAGATAATGCGCGTTTACAGCCCGGCGAGAATTTAAACGAGCACAGATTCTTGTAATAAAAAATAAAGAAAGAGAATGAGCAAAAAGTAAAAAGAAACCGAACAATTCGACTGGAAACTTGCAAAAAAAGTTGTAAAAACTTTACAAGAAATCTACAAGGCACTTACATTTTATGATCCAAAAAGCTAACAAAAATTCCAGGAATGAAATTGAGTGAGAAAATGATGTGCGAAGATTGGGTTGGGTTCTCCGCCTCGTGTCCTGGGATGGATGGAAGATGAAGGGGAGAAAACTCAATTTCGACCCGTCATCCAAATGATAGACACATTCCTTTTCGACCCACTCTCCCCCAAGAGATCCACAAAAAATATTGCCTTATTATTATGGGTGAGTGTTTTTGGAACTCTTTTCGAGATGTGTGAAGAATAGGGAGAATAGGACTACTGTAGTTTTTGGCTTGACGAACGGTAGACTTCAGAAACCAAGTGCAGCAGGTATTGCAAGTTGGCTTGAAGGTCAAAGTTTTCGAAAAGAGAACAACGTACGACACGGCCTGCACGAAGTAAGAAGAGAAAAAGTCTCATTAATCCCTATGATATGATTCAGTAAACTGAAAGGATCCTGAAATGGAGCGGTTCAATGAGCGTATATTCTTGTAAAAGCACGATTAAGCTAAATATTGCAATTCAGGGCTTGTAAGCCAAACCCGGCTCGAAACAAAGTCAACGCCTGGTTTCTCGACCTGGCTTGACTGGACAAAATTCTTTCTTTTGTACAACTGGATGCAATCCATTTTTTTCAAAGTGGTTAAAAATGCTAAGCGAAATTAGACTCAAAAGCTGGTTTTTAATGGTTTTAATGGTGATGCTAGAGCATTTGAGATACGGAAGTGAATTGCCCCTAGAGGTAAAACGAGGATCCAACTTGAGATGAGAGGAAAGAAGTTAAAAATTAGCTTCATCAGACCGCACAAGGCGAGGATTTTCCTCATTTTAGGTGATGAGGAGAAAAGGAAGAAATCCAGAAGAAGAGTGCTTCTCTCATCAACAAATTAGAAATGACAGCGTCACGATTTTTTTTTCGATCGAAAGAATTCCGGGAAGACAAAGGATGAATTCTTTGAATGAAGATGCAAAAAAGTTGGAATATTTCCAATTTAATATAAAAATAACGCCCTGAGAGCTTTGGGTTAGAATATTTTTGAAAAAAAAGCGAATTCAATCAAACCTTGAGTAATCAAGTTGCCAAACCTTTCAATAAAACTAGATATCTAGATAAAATATCTTCTTAAATTCAAATAAAAAGCTTTCCCTTTTTTTGGAGAAAATATTATTTTCTGCGAGTTTTTAGGGGGTGAAATCTCGTGGGGAAACTACAAATTGGGAGACCATCATAATTTTGTCGTGAAAAAACATCAAATCACAATTATCGGCAATTATCGCTCAGCTCTCTTGGCAAAACTTCTAAAAACGATTGCAAGATATTTTCGGAGTAAACTTTTGGAAAGGTGGGTGATATTTCCTGAAATTTGAGAACCTTATGAGTCAGAGAAAAGTTTCTTCAGGGGGAGTTTCCTTAGGAAAGAAACGAGAGTATTAAGGAAATAGCAAAAAATGAAATACCACACAAGTTTTGATATGTTAAAGGTAAATAAAAACCCGACGGGAACACCCCGGGAGAAAATGGATTGAGTGAGAATGGGTTTGAATGGAAAAGAGAAAGAGATAGGGGAGCAGCTGACCTGTATGAGGAAGAGAGGCAACAATCACGGATCTCAACTCTCGAGGTCAGAGATGTCAATCCCCTTTTCCTTCTTTTCTCTCTTTTCACTTTTCATTATCTTTCCTACTTTTTGTGTTGCTATTGTTTTACTCCAGCTTGAGGATTAACTTGTAAGCTTTAAGTCCCGAGTAGATTCTCGCGTGTAACAAGCAAGCAAAACTAACAATAAGATACTTTGCTTTTGTGATTGATAGTACTCGGCAGAAGAGGTCACAAAATAAAATGAACAGCTGAATCAATTGAAAGGAGGTTGATGGACTCCAATTTGGTGACATTGGAGAAGGCATAGAGAGCTCTAAAGTTAGACTTTTTAAGTATCAGTAATTGGAATGTACTTCATCTCAAATGATGCCTTCTAAAACATGTCAACTTTCCGAAAGATACCGTAGCCTTGTGTCGAGCTTTTGCCCAATAAGGACCGGATTACGCTAGCCTTTAAATGAGATACGTTTTTGGGAATGGAAGAATAGGACAGTGGTCCGGCTTGGGTCCAGCCTATAAAGCCAGTTACAGGTCTAGCTGCACCCTGGCTTTTTATCTTGTCCGACATATTAAACAGTAGAGATGATTTGACCGAGCTCTGCCAGGTCAAAGCCCGATTAGTAGCCAGGCCCATAGTAGAGCCTGGCTTTTGCCCCCTTGTGAGCTGGAGGATTCATTTTCCAGAAAAAGACAAGTCTTTAAAAGCTCTTGCCGCCTTGGAACAAAATAACAAATTCCAAGAAATGAAAAATAAAAGTGGCAATGAAATGGTTGGAAGTGAGGGATGGACGTGGAATGGAGGAAATGGATGGAATAGAGAGGGCGAGTTCTCCTCCCCAATCCACTCGCAATCGACAAGAGAAAACGGGCCGAGATGTCTCCCATCTCTTCTATCTTTTCTTCTTCTTTTTTTTCTCGCAGACTTCACCCAATGAATATTGCACGACGAATTCACGCCATCCTCTCCCCTTTTTTTGTCACGCCCCAAACCCGGATGGGTGGATCTCCACGCGACTTTTTGCTTCCGCTATTTCGATCAAATTTTAAACGGATGGCGATCGATTTCAAGATTAGTGCCGTGTCAAGGAAATTCACCAGAAGAGTTCCATGGGGTGATCGCTATTAGGTACTTGCAAAAAGAAACTGGGGATTATAGCTAACATTCGAACGATCCAAAAATCAAAAAAGAAAACAACTTTATTCCAAAAGATATTAAACACATTATTATCAACAGTGCTCTTCCATTGTTTGCGTAGACTTCGGATGATGACTCAGAAAATTCGGGGTCCTGGTTCGGGACACAAAGGTAGTCTTGCACCCAAATTTCGACTTCTTCAGGATTTTTAAACTTTTGATTTGCAAGAGAGTGTTGCATGGAGCCGGAACAAGTGGTAATCTGAGGGGGCATTATCAGGCGAATATGGCATGAGGCACAAGGGTTCAGCCTAATTCTCTATGGTGTTTTGAGCCAAGTTTGATGTGTGTACCCGGAAATTGTGGCGAGTAAATGGATTGTCTTTGGATTAACACCTCTTTCTCGTAGAATTTCATCAACTTTCTTCAGCTGTTCAGCTTTGAGAAGTCATAGTTTTTGAAGATTTTCGTAATTCGAAATAAACGATTCCTTTCCATATTCAAAAGACCGACAGCATAACTTTCTTTCCGGAGATCTGGATGTGGTGTCGGAATCGGAATTTCTCCTTTGCTCAACCATTGCTTTTGTATTGATAAAAATATATCCACTTTTCGGCCATCGTCAACATGCTTTCAAAAAAAGCACTGCCCGCTAGCCTTTTTCAATAGAATCCGAGACAATAAAACTCGATTGGCTTTTTTCAGGGGATATTCAGTTGGGACCCATTGACCACATTGGACACAACGATTCCTTTTTCCAATGAGCAAAAAGGTGTCGAGAAATTGTGCTTGTATCACATTTAAAGTATTCAGCTAATTCGGGCAAATTTTGGAGTTGAATCCAACTCGACAATCTCCAGCAACTCCCGCATTATCGAGGACAACTGGACGATATCCATGTGGTTCATTTTTCAAGCTGTCATCCCCTTCACGAAAACGTCGAAACCATTCCTGGTAAGTCCTTTCACTCAAAATGTTTTCTCCGGAATGCTTCACAAAGATTCCGGTTGCGACTCAATGCTGATTTTTTCATTTTGAAGTCATAGAGAAGATACGCGCACAACATGAGTTTTTGATTCGTCATCTTATACCTAAAATTATGTAATATTCAATGATAGCAATAGTTGTGAAAATAATTGAAAATAAATTCAATAATAATACAATAGAATACAATTTAAATCGGACTAGCACACTTTCAAATCAAAAGACTTTCGTCCTCGGAGGTAAATCCGCAGTTTCTTTTGCAAGTACCTAATAGTACAACTCCAGCTTGACAAGTCAATGACCAACTTTCACAACAAGTATAACACAACTAAAGTTGGTCTCTCTGTTCCTCAAAAAGTCATTTTCTAAAACATGGCAACTTTCTAGACTACTGTAATCTTGCCTTTAGGTTTATCCTATCTATTCACGTTTGATCTGCTTCTGTAAGGGTGCATAAGAATAAAAAAGATATAAAAAGTTAATAGATTGAATGAAAAACTAGAAACAATACTGATTTACGTAAAAATCATAAACTAAAACTAAAACCAAAGGTAAGCCAAAGAACAGGGGCTTCAGCTTACTATTTGTTTGGTTTAGCTATGATTTGTGACTTGGAACCAGCCAATACAAATGCTATTGTATTCAAGTGTTCAAGTCCCTTTATCGGATCCTTCTCTTTTGCAAATGACCCCTATTTGGATGTGCCTTTCTGTGCGTGAATGCGATAAAATCTAACCTTTTCTTTCATTCATTCACATCTTTTTCCCCTCACTTTACCTCAAAAATTCTTAAAAATCCATCGAAAATGTTCCTAAATTTCCTTATTCAATGCATCCTTTTTTGTATTTTTCAGAATTCTTTCTTTTGTCACTTCAGCCACGTGTAAGTCTAGTGAGTTTCATGAATCATTTAGATCAGATCTTAAATTCGAATTCCAGATGAATATTGCCCACAAAATTGGGAAATTTTGAGAAGAAATGATCAATCAGCTTATACATGTGATCCGATGAACGGAGAGGTTAAAGTAAGAGGGAAATTTTGTTTCAAAGGAAAAGAATTCGATAGAATTTATGATTTGAAAATTTTCCTTTTCATTGATTCACCTGATTTAATTCAATCCGAGTTCTAATTGGTAGACTCAATAAAATGAATCGCTCCAATCAATTCCACGACCACAAAAACCCGAAAATTTTCGCGTTTGTTGGTCGCCACTATCACAAATCTCTGTAGTGAATTTGTTTTTAGTCTTTCTTTTATAAATTTTATATTCTGTTCAGCTATTGTTTTACTTAAAAGCGGCCAAAATGACGATTAAATTCTGACTTGAGCGTCTAGAGCCAAAATTGTTCTCAAATCATTTCTTTCAGTGTCCAAAGCCATACAAATGTGTTCATTCAAAGTGTGGAATCGCTTTTTGTTGTGCACATTTGGGTAAGCTGATATTTGAATAGAAAGATTGAAATGTAAGATTTGAATTGCATTTGCAAAAACAAAAACATTTCAGCAGCTTTGGAGAATTGGCGACGAGAAAAGGAGATTGAAGAAGAGATTTTGAAAGGGAGAAAATGATGGCGATGATGGGGAATTGTAGAATAAAGATAAACGATGAAATGGATGAATAAAATGATTTCACATTCAAATTTACGCAAACCATCATGTTTCATATAAGACTTTAAACGTGATTGCCGCTCGCTCGAAAAAAGATATTTCAAAAATGTGCTCATTTTTTGTTAGCCAAGATAACCTCAGATTTGCAATAATGAAGCTCAAAAAACACTACTTTTATAGTGATTAACTCTAAAAACGTATTAATGCAGAAAAAGACAGAAAAAGACGATTTTTAGAGATACCAAACTCGATTTTAACTGTTTTTCAGCCTCGTGCCGCATAGCTTTTTGTGTATTGCTTGGCTGGGGTTGTCAAAGTCATTAAAAAATTGTTACACTTCTTCTATTCTATGTAAAATTACGCGTAGGTTTTATGATTAATTGTTGTTTTTTAGTTTAGGTTAATGTATTTTCTTAGAAAGCCAAAAAGACGCATTAAGCGCAACACTTTCTATGCCATCCAGAAGCCATTCAGACCGTGCGGTTTAAGAATTTTAAAAAACAAGAGCATTAAAACCAAAACTCCTATCTCGACATCGAATCGAGTTTTTCGCCCTCTTTGAACCGCGGGTCATTCTTTTACCCATCCTTCTCCCGGCTTCTCAAAAAAAGCTTTGCATGAAATTGGGTTCCCTAGTCGTGAGTTGTGTTTGTTTTCTATGGATTTGCTATATCACCTATTATGCTTTAAAAATATGAATATTTATTGAATGTATTCGATGATCTGTCGATTGTCTCTTCAACTCTCTACAAAGAGCCCAGGTTTGTTGGGGAAATGTTTGGGCAAATTTTACCCGGACAAGGGCTCTTCGTTGTAACTTTGCAGCCAGCCAAATTAACCGTTGTAATTTTCTCCATAGTATAAATTTATTCACTCTATAACCTATTCCGGACATTACTGAAAAGAAAAATCCGGCTTTTCTTTTGAACCACAAAGCATCGGGTAAAATTGATCCTGGCGTGGAGCTTCATTTTTCCCCTTTAAGCGCGTTTTTGGTTTCTGAAAAACTCAAGAAAAACATTAAGACTAGAAAAGTGTGACTACTTTTTTCAAGAATAATTAAGAGTTTATAGAAAAGAGTTATAGCAGTTTTATGGAACGGTTGACAAATAACATTCAAACAAGTTTCTTGTCCGGGTAATTTTGCCCAACCGGGTATAACTTAGGGTTGGAGCTTGAGCTGACAAGGAACAATAAGATCAAGTCTTTCAGCTTATTATCAAAGGGTACTATACTTTTTAGTCCCCATATCTCGATTTTTATTCGTTTCACGAAGAGGTGAAGTGGACAACTCGCGAATTCTACTAGCCCTGCAAGAAGAACATGACTACGAGGGACAAATGGAAATTGTCTCGGGAAAGGTTGTTATAGAATACTTTTCATACCGAATACTGAATACTTCTCCGAAGGTACAAATTGCAATTGCAGGTTTTCCTAAACGATCCATCGAAACATTTGATTGTTGGCAATGTGGCACTAAGAGGTGAATCGTCACAAGTAGCCAAAACAAAAAATTTGCCGAAATCCAATGAAAATCTCTAGGTTTCATTGACTGTTGAGGAGAAACGACCACCATTGTTGACGAGTATCGTTGGAAGAGTGAAACTTCGGGTATCCATTAGCTCTATAATCAAACTCAGCCAACGCAATTCCCTAATTTTATCAGGCTATCGTTTACCTATCTATTTCTCAGGTGGCTCTCCGAGAATCGGAGCCTGTTTCATGAAATGTTGTTACGTGCATGGTTCCGTTGATCGATCGGCATTTACCCGAAATGATTACAGCAATCAGTACAGGCTCGTTTGCAGTTTATGTTCTGCCATTCGTCAAATTATTCTGTCAAATTCAAACTGTAAAAGCCTAAAACAGCCATTATGTACCAAAAAATTCTTGTTCCAACACGAGTTTATGTGTATTTAAACAAAAACTCTGTCTTTTGCACTTATTGTTGTGCAAATTTCGTTTAACCATCCAATCAACCAATTTGTTATCTGTATTTGACTTTTAACCCGGCGGCTTGCTTTGCAGATTTCAAATAACGAATGTGGAAGGGATTCACATCGAACGATAACTCGTTCATAAACAAAATTGAAAACAAATAACTTGAACACTGACTAAAAAAAGACACGGAATGAACCCATTTTAACAATATATTTAGGGAAGAGAAAGGATATTCAGGCAAGACAAGAATTAAGTAAAATTTGTACTTTTCCATAGTGGATTTGTACTTTTGTGCAAAATTCATTTTACAAATTCATTATAATTTTTACTTTTGTACACTCTTTGGCTCACTTGTTTCAAAGAAAGAAAACCATGACACTCAGAAAGTGTTGCACATTGAAACTCTAGGCAAAAGAGATTACAGACAAAAGCTCTTGATGACATTTCTAAGAGTAAAGAGTTCTACTCTGGACTGTTTCAGCAATCGCTTTCGGTTCATTTGTCCACATTCCACACTCAACTCTTCAGAGTCCATTTTATCGGTAAATTTTAAAACATCTTGTTCAACTTACACAATAGTTTTAACTTTTTCATAGCTTTCACACTTTCAGAGCGCTGGTCACCTTCGAAAAAGCCGGCTATGCCCGTTTGAGTCCCTGGGTGAGATTGGCTAAGCTACGCGAACTTTGACCCAAATGATGTAAGTGATTTGAATATTTTACAAGATATTTAAAAAAATAGTTTTATTCAGATATTATTTTCAACTTTGTCTTACCATTCCAGCTTCTCGACCGTGACTACCAAGCGGCTCCTTCCTTAGCTTGTTTCCTCTCTCTATCGCCAATCCGCGAACTTTCTTATTTTCTCCCCGAATGACCAATTTGTCATTCCGAGATTTGCAGCCAAACTATCTGAAAGAGTTTCTGCAAGTTTTCAAGTATTTCAAATTTCAATCATTCGTGCTAACAAGGGGTGCCACAAAATGGCCGTAGTAGATTTTGCTGCTGTTGAGATGCAAACGCCTATCGGACAGGGGGAATCCGATGCTTTATTCAATTTTTGCCCTTATTCAAACACGCGAGAAAAATGTGTTCAAAGTTTGGGTGTCTATTAGGAAAATTGTGCCGCGGACTTATAAAGGTTCTTTTCGGAAATTTCTTTTTCGAAATATGACCAGATGATGTAGTGGTGAGTGCGCGCGTACCCGACCTGCTTTTCGCTTTTTGGTCGCAGGTCCGTATCCACTCCGGGAAAAACTTTTGTTTTTCTTTTGCAGAATTAGCAAAAATAATTTTATAGTTTTTTGGTTCCTAAAGTGCTTACTATCACTAATTACTTACTCAACATTTTACTCGCGTGTTTTTTGAATACGGGCAGAAACTGAATACAGCATCGGATTCCCCGTGTCCGATAGGCGTTTGCATCTCAACGACGTCAACATCTGCCACGGCCATTTTGTGGCATTCCCTTGTAAGTCGAAAAGTTTTATAGTCAAACCGACGAGCGCTTGTTGATCTACAACTTGAAGCGAGTGCGCACGTTTGAATATGGTTTGTAAACTCTTGAACTTGTGCTTTTGAGGTTTTTCACTCAAACGCACATGAGATTTATGATGCAGCCTCTAGATTTCCCTTTCAGAGTCTCTATCAGGCCCATTTCTCCCATTAGATGTCCTTCGAAAAACCGGGTACCAGGATTCGCTCGAAAATCGCATCCGCATCGGGATGCCTTCGAGGATGAATGAAGCAAAGGTAATTTTGACCTAATAGTGAACTTTATTTGAACAAAAATTCCGTAATAGGCTAGAGTTCCTATTAAAGTTCATATTAAATATGAATCTGAACTGTATCTTGTGAACAGTAGGGGAGCAGCTATAATTACAATTGGATTTGCCTTGATCTTGGCGATCTGTGACATCCTGTCAGTCTCAGCCCAAGTCAATTTCCAGGATCTTTTCGACGATTTGGTCTTTCCATCCAAATTCTACGGTACAGAGAACGCTTTCTCATTCATGGAGAATGGCTTGTCGGGAGAAGTCTTGGAAAAGGTTAGTAAAAAAGAGGAAAAAGAGGCTCTGCTTTTTGCGATAAAACAATGAAATAAATCAGCTGCAGTCTTTTTTCAGGTGGATCGAGCTTGGAGTAAAATTCACGAGAATCCAATGTACAGTCACGCGTGGGAGGTGCTGGCCGAGGATTGCTCGGTGGACCCGATTTTGAGAGGTTTTTGGAAATGAAAAGTTTTGAGATTTTGATATTAATATACATAAATAAAGTTGGCAAAAACAACTTAAGAATTTACGAAGTTTTTCAGCCCGCAATTTGATTTCACAATAGTAAACCCAAAGTCAAAGTGTTAGCTCAGAGTCCTAGAGTAAGGAACAAGTTGCAGTAATCCACGATGGAGATATTAGAATTACATTTTTTAAAATTTTTCCTTTTAAAGTTTTGAATTCGAAACATTTTGGAGCACAATAGTGTTAAATAATTTGATAAAGCAGGATAATTTTTAATAGTTTATTTTTGAATTTTGGACGCAATACATATCCAAGAACAAGTTTTCTCTGATCTTAATTTGGATTTCTAAAACTTCTTAAGTTTTTAGATAAAATTCAACAAGTGCAATAGACTTCAAAACTCTCTTTGCTCAAAATTTCCAGAATGGATCTGTGACGGTCATGGCTGCATGATTGAACGAGTTCGTTACGAGAGCCTCTACGGCGCGTTCTACTACAATGTTCATCAGGCTTACAAGATCCAATTCAAAAAAAGAAATTGCTCCGAAGTTGATGATTGAGGCAAAAATTTAACTTAAACATTTATTTTACTATAAAAAAATATAAAAAATTCTTGTCATGTGTAGAATGGGAAAGGTGGAGTCTCTAGAAGCTCTTCTTTGGGGCACAGCACACGCATTGCGTCTCCGGGTTGGGCATCGTCTGCAAAATGAGAGTTTGAGATTGGTTTCTAAGATTAAAATCTATCTGGCTATGTATCAGATTTCAATTTACAAGTCTTATTCTTCAAATTAAGATTTTTTTTTTATAAAGTCAATCAACTCACATCTCCCTTGGTGTCCGGGTCGAAGTTGAATAGAGCGCCGGTGATCTCGCTCTGAAATTTGGCCAGTTTTTCTTCTTGTTTTCAATTCTATAAATTGATAAATCGAGCCTAAAAGTAACCTACATACTACAGTAACCTAGCTTTCTTTTGTATCAAAAATGAAGTACTGTAGCTTCGCTCTTGGGTTCTGACAATCGTACGCTCTCTGGCACATTTCCCCCCTTTTATATGAAAGTATCTTTCTTGTCTTAACCGTGTCAGTGAAGCCAGTGAGCTTAAAATATTGTAAATTTCAGCCTCTCAACTCATTACAGTATAATAAAAGTAATTGATAAGGCTACCGTATTCTCTCTAATAGTAGTGCACCCCACCGAGCCGAGTTGATGACTATTTTACGGTTTCTAAGTTTTTGTAGACGCTCAACCCTCTAATTCCCCACAAGATCTCATCGTCAGCCACATTTTCCGACCCCACATCGATAGGTTCTGATAAGCACTTTTCGAGATTTCGAGCAATTTAGGCAACGCTCTGGGTGCACTACTATTAGAGAGAATACGGTAATTGATTATTCTGGGGCAAGCTTCATAGCTTTTTAGTATCTTTAAACGATAAATCGACTTAAAGAACTTAAAAATCTTATCGTATGGAATCTAGATTATATATAGCTATATTCTTCGATACTCAAAGCACAAACCGCAGCAGTGTTGGCATTTCGAGAGGCGATTCGGCAGCACGTTTGACATGTCTCCTGAGAGAATGTGGCCGTGTAGCTGAAAATTCACTCTTTATAAAATGAAATCCTCTTTTAATTGTAACTTTTTCCATTCATAAAATTCTTTATCTAAGCTTATTCATTAACGAACCGGCACGAATGACGCTCATAGTAGCGATGACGAGCATGGGGGTAGTACGATGGATAGCCGGGCTGAAAATGGGCAGATTAAAAGTGAAAATCTTGGTGAAATTCGTGGAATGGATATGGATCGTGATCTTTATTCTGATTCGCAAACCTGTGCATACGAAGCTTGTCCGTATCCCGGTTGTCCGTAGGCTGGTTGAGCGGCGGCCGATGGAGAGTAGAGAGAGTTCGAAATAGCTGGCACGGGCGCAGCTCCTACAACTGCACCTCCATATCCTCCTTGCTGGTATCCACCGTAGGCTTGACGACGGTGACGGCCTGGAAAGGTCCCTTCTCTTGCTTCTTTCCTTCTTTCTCTTGGCAAGTTCAGGTAGCGAATAGCTCAGTGGTTAGAGCAATTGCTCTGAAAGCAAAAGCTCGAGAGTTCAATCTCCTCATCGGAAAGCTGATTTTGCTTGCCAATTCCTTCACTTCTTGATTATAAAGCTTTCAAGGTACACTTCTCAAAAGCTAAAGATGTTTCCGGGGTTCTTTTTCAAGAGTGTTTCAATTTCTTATTTTTAAAAGTTAAAGGTGTTTCCACTTTCTTTAGGTTATTTAACAAAATTAACACTTGTCGCAACACATTAACACTTTCTTTTCAAATTTTTATAAGTGAACTATCTGTCAGTTCTTGTTTTATCTATTATCTCTATAATTTTTATGTTAGTCATGTTTTAAAGCACCAACCGTGTTCCCGAGAGTGATCACGGTGATGATGTCTTCGGTGAAGACCGACCATTGGGAACGAGGCGTGCACCGAGCAGTAGTTCACTGTAAAAATAGAATTATTAAAAGCATCAAAGATTTCTCAAATATTACGGTAAGATTATGAGTATTCAATCTTCTTTCAAAACCCACAGTCATAGTTGGGTGGGACGAAGATCGGGCCGAAGAATGGTGGTGGACCGTATTGCTGAAAGGAATCAAATGTCAATCTGATTTGTCTTAAAATATATAAATATCAAATACAATGGTGCTAATAAAATCAAATAGCTAAAAACTGACCGGTTGAGCGTAGCTGGGTCCTCCGCCGTAGGAGAGCGGTTGGCCGTTGTCATCAGCCGGTGATGGGGTTGTTGTGGGCTGTAAATTGAATGCTATTTGATTCATGTCGAAAATTTTCCCTTTCAAAAGTCCCTTTCAGTTCTCGTTAGCTTTTCTAAAATTTTGTCTACGATAGCTCAGTGAATGCGAACTTTGATGACTGACGTGAACTTTCACTATCTGTATCTGGAGAACAGCTGGAAAAGAGCAAGAAATTTTGTGTGCCAGATTTTGAAAGTTTACGAGAAGCGTCAAAGCACACGTTAACAATATACCTCAAGCCTACGGTTACGGTAAAGTCTCAGACACTTGTCTCACTACAGTAGCTTGGAAAAGTATCCAGACATTAAGACCTAAGCAAATTTTCAATTGAAGCAAAATATCTTCACTCTTAGCATCTAAAAACTTTCATTCCGATACTATACAATGGAGACAAGGAAATGGATTTTACAGCACCCTACTTTCCGTCGTATCCCAACTGCCAATCATTCAGAAAGCTTTCTAACGTTGACTAGCTGACTTTTGCTGATTTGCTTTTGAAATTTGCATTTAAACCGTTAACAAAGCTATAACGGTGCATAAAACCACCTGAGCCTCCTGAGCGATGGCCAAACAGAGAATGGGAAGAAAGAGAAGGGGATTCATCTTTCGAGATGCTTGGAGACTCCCTCAAGAACGGATCACAAGGAGAATGATGGGGATGGAATGAAGGGCAATGGAGGAGGGATCAAAAAAGGGAGAGATTACAAAGAACATCACCTTTTATCTCCCCGGCTGTGATTCATAAAGAGGAGGAGGGGCCGAATGGATCAAGGAGAAGCGAGGCAGAGGAATGTTCAAGAAGTGCTGACAAGTAGGTTTGGGTACAGAAGTTATGAAACTCGGGTGTTTACGTTACTCGAGTAAGCCCAAGTGCAAAACGAATGCAAGACTAATCACTATTAAGATACCTTATAATGTACCTTAAAATCCAGAATTCTTCAAGGTTGCCAAAAAGATCACTTTAAATGCTAAGCAAAGTCATGGTTAGTTAGTCAGTGTAGTCAGAGTTAGCAGTGGATTTTTGTGGATGAGAAGAATTTAGTACGTTAGGAGGCGATGACTTTAATAATCTCAAACACCTTAATAACCTAATGATACTAATAATTTATTGCTGAACTGAACCTTTTTACATTTCATTTTGTTGATATAAATCTTGGCTTAAGCTAGCTTCGTTCTCTTTAGATTTCGAAACTTAAGAGTTTAAATATTGGGTTGAGGAGGATGACTTTCAAAGAAACTTCTTTAACATTGAGTAGCCTTTATCAAATGTTAGAAAGCTAGGATCGTTAGGAAGGTCACTTATTTCTCTACTCACTTAATCACATTTGAAAAATAACCCAAAAAACGCCCCTGAGTTGTCACAATAGAATATAGATAAACTCTATAAATCTTCATTTAGAGAAAATGAATGACGAGATCACTACAAAAATTTGGCTACTTATATAATTAAATGTGCTCTAAATTTTTTGTTTTGACATCAAGTTAAGTTTATGTGTAAGGAACGAGTCAAATTGGAATCGAATTAATCGAACAATTTGCCTCGTTGTGTTTAGGTGCCCATAAAATCCAAACAAAAGAACCTCTCAAAAGTCATTTTGTAGAGCAATGCTAGACCTTTTTGATTATACAAACAATGGCTTATATGGAGCTTTTATGCGTTTCAGAAAAATCTTTGAAAGTCGGCGCCATTTCATAATCCCTAGCTCAATACCTACAGCAAACTTCTGTAACTCCAGCGACATTTTCTAGCCGCATTTCCTTGTGAAGCCCAAATATCGTGTGATATTTCGGAATAAAGATATTAAGGTGTACATCTTCAGCTTCAGTAGAGGAATGAATGAATATCTTTAACACTGTAAGAATAAAAATGTCCAGTCGAAAATCAACCATATCTTTCAGATAAGATTTCAAAATTTTCAACCTTTTCTGTTTTATTTTAGTTGGCTAGACATTACTTTAAACTGTTCTAGTCAAATTTTCTAGCTAAACAAGTGACATAGTTTATTTCACAAGTTCACATATGTTTGAAACAGTCCTCTTTGTTCCCACAAAGATGTCGGAAAAGGAGATTTCTCTTCAGAATCTTTCATTTGCTTTTCATTTCCGTGCTTTTCCTTTTTGAGAAAAGATTGTGATTCAATGGAAATTGAATGAATCATCCAAGGAAGGGCCCACCATTCATTTCCACTCATCTCATTCACTTTTTACAGTCCCACATATCGTTCAGTTGAGTTTTCTTCGTCTCCGTTTTCGGCATATTTGTTGGGACATTCGTTTGGAAACTTTCTATTTTTATTAACTATTCATGCTTAAATTTGAGCCATGAGGTGATTTTAGACATCTAGACATTAGACAGTTGTACTGTCAAGAGTAGACACTAGAGCCCTTTCTGTTTGACTTGTTTTCTAAAATATGTCCACATTACCGTAATCTTGCCTCTATCGCCTGTCAAATCTATAATCTATTTTGTGAGTTTTAAGATGGACTAAAAGTAGATCGGTTAAATAAAACAGTAGGCTGATTGGATGATTTTAAAGGTAAAATTGCGATAGTTTTCAAAAGGTGACACATCTTTGAAAACTATTAGGCAAAAGAAAATACTTTACTCATTAGTGGCTTGTTTATTTGTTTGCCACTTATTACTTGAGCCTTCATTTTTCCTGTCATTATTGGAACTCGAGCTAATAAGATTACTTTGCAAGGTCCCAAATCTGTTTGCCTGTCTGTTACAATTAGACACTTCAAAATCCATCAAAAAGCAACTAGTGCGTTTTCTAAAACGTGAAATTTTCAAAAACTATCGTAACCTTGCCTCCAGCTCTTGCTAACTCTGTGTACTGACTTGATTCTGGGTTCACGAATGATATTAAAATTGCTCCAATCCCTGAATACTTCAGTGTTTCCTGTCTCAAAGTTCTCTCTTTCCCTTCGATTTCAACACGCACAAAATTCCATACAGTCTCTCAACGAGGCAAATCTTCCGAGAAAACCGGGGAAATTGCGACGGATGTTTTGATTCGGGGAAAAAATGGGATTGTGTGGAAAGGGGAGCAAATGGAAGTCCAATATTACAGTCAACCCCCCGGAAAAATCGAAGCACAGGAAAGTGGGGGTGGTGGAAAAGGAGAAAACATTGACCCTATCAGATCCATTTTTTGTCCCGCAAGAATGTGAATTCATTGTGAAATCGAAAGCTTTTAGAGGAGTTTTAGATCGTTTCTTCTTTTGAGTGTTTCCCCCAGATCCGATCACCGATATCACCATTTCTCCCATTCCCCTTCTAAAAGCTATTAGGGCAAAAAAAGAATCCGAAAAGACCCAACAAAAAGTCGATGAAGCAAATTTCTTTGCAAATGTCGAATCACGGGCACTTTTCGCTGATAGGGAACGATAAGAAATGGGAAAATAACAAGTGAAACTTTTGCGAAAGATTGTTGAAGAGATAAAATGGAGAACAGTGATTCAAATTCTTGATGGGATTTTTGTGAATTCAGTAAAATCGAGTAAAATCGAATATACAGTACGGTAATTTTAGCAGCTCATCGCGGAAAGTCATATAAGAGAAAATGCTTCGATCCAGCGAACAATCAGTTTTAGTTACCTTTGAGAATTCAGCAAACTACCAAGAAAGTACATGTTTTAAAAACAAAATACTATCTACTATATATAAAAGGGAAGTGTCTGTCTGTACGCGCGAGTTCTTGGCTCTACGTGGGCCGATTTACATGATTTTTGGTTTGTTAGGCTTAGAATTCTATATGGCTGTGCATCTCATCTTTTGTTTTTTAAAAAACAGAAGTCATGACACAGCCGAGAGCCGAAGCCAGACCGTGTGGGCCGTAGACAAGCCCGCTCCCATGCCCACAGTGCGTCGCTTGCTCACCGGCTGGTATGTAATGTAGCTCTTATTGTCAGAACTCTTATTGTCAGAACAATCCTTGACAAGCAAGTGATACAAGCAAAACGAAAATATTGAGCATTGACAAATTTTCTCTCTTCAATCTATTTCTATCATCAACTCAATTTTATCCCATATTAATTGTTATACAAGAAATAAAGTAAAACTAGCACAACTTCGCAAACAGTAATGCAAACAGTGATGCAAACAGTAACAAATGGTTCCAATTTGACTTTTGGTTCAAGACTGAGACTTTACGAACCATCATACCGAACATGATTAAAGATTAGTGAGTAGAACCTCTCAAGTAACGTATTGAGTTTTATCGACAAAAGCTAGTCTGTGTTAGAGCCAAGATCCAGGTAGTTTTCGAAAGCTGTTTTTACCCCTTAAAGTTTTCAAAATAAGTACCTGTTTCCTGACTTCTTATTTAAAAAGAATAACTCTTACAATTATAATAGCTTGGTGTCTTTCAATGTTCAATCAAAAAGTTAACTTTCGTTACAATTCCTCTTTTACAGCATTCAGTGCATGAATCTTCGTCAGATGACGAGAGCTTAAGACTGACCTATATTGCCACTGCTCTTCCTATATTCAAAACCATTATTCAATAACTTTTGCCAATTTCAAGTTATAAAGTCGGTGCGGTTGGTGCGGTTTTGGGTACTCGGCTTTGTGCTTTTGAAATCCACAAAAACAACAACTTCCAAGAATTTCCCAAAAGCCATTTTGCAGAGAAAAATCAATCTTTTTAATAATTCCAATATAAATTTTGTTGGTGGCGGCATTATTTTTAAAAGACGTTAAACCTAATACACTACGTCCAATACAGTACGTGATCGTTGAACGCTAACTGGAGTTGATATTCTTTTTCATTAACTTCGATCTTGACCTACTTACATTGTAAAATCATTTTTTGATACTTTTCAACCTCCATTGCAAGTATATTCCCCAATACAGTGTTCTTTCAGTGATTGGCTGTGCCCCTCTCGGCTCCTCCCCTTTTCAATTCTTCTCCAGTTCATAAGGTGTGATGGTGGCCGGGTAGGTCCTCTTTTCCCTTCATTCTTTTCAATTCATTCCCCATTCTCAGATCATTTCATTCGGATCTGTGTGGAAAGTGAGAAAGAATGACTCGTCTTGCATTTCTTCTGCTCGCCCTCGTCGGTGTCATCGCCGCTCAAGCTTCCAATCAGACGGTTGGTACGGAAATTCAGTAGATAGACTTCTTGTTTGAAAGAACTAATTCACTAACACTAAAGATTGGATTATTAAGTTTCCTGCTAACAGTAGACATAGTCCGCTCTTAATCTCGAAGTTAGCTTAAACTTTTAAATCTTAGGCTATGCAGTGTTAGGACTCAATATCTTTAGCTTGAGGTGATTGAAGACCTTCCAAAATATCTAGGACTGAATACTTTTATCTAGACATACTTTAACGGATGAAGAGCATGTACCATTTTAAGTCTTCATTTTTAAAGATTATTTCATACTTTTTCGTTCAAAACGGTTACAGCTAATAATCGTGGAGTTTAAAATCTATGTATAAGCTAAATCCAAAATCCTGGAGAAGGTACGGTAGTTTAAGATTATTTAGTTTCGATTCTATTACTACAATAAGCTGGTAGAAAAGCTAACGTTATTAGGTTGTAAAATAACAAAATTTTTTGGAAAAAGTGGCTTTTAAAATGATGGCTGAACCAAATGAGATTTAGTTTGTATCTTTTTTCTTTATCTTTACAGATCTATCTTTTTTTAACAAAATAACTTTTGAGAGGTTTTGGAAAGATTTTCTTTTTGCACATTTTCGGGACTGCAAAGAAAAGTTGCCAAAATTGACAAAAACAGAAAAGCGCCTTACAGCATTTTTTGACAAGTACTAATTTTAATTTTTCGCGTGAAATAAAGCGCTTAGCTTTTCATCTTTTTAGTAAAATTATCAGCCATCTAATGCCATCTAATATATCAGCCATCTAATGACTTGAACTACTTGCAAATCATGTAGTCTAAAACACCAAACGCAAAAACTTCCTCATTTAACATTATTTTCAACAAGAATTGGTTTTCCTTTTTGTAGGTAAAATAAAGACATAGATTTTCAACATTTTCAGTACAATTTTCAACCAAATCCGTCCAATCGTTTTTTCTGAATTTTGGTTTGAACAAAAGTCCTCAAATAAAGGATTTTGATCATATGCTTCAGAAATTTGATCTCATTTTAATGAATAACTTGAAATTTGTGGAAAACGGCTGGATGGATTTTACTGAAAATTTTACTAAAAATGTAACAGAGACTGATCTTTCTTTGGCATAAAAAGTTAGTGCCAGTTCCCACCGTCGATTCTCGCTAATTTTGCCTACTCTCTTTGCACTCCCGAGAAAACTCCTAAAAACGAAAGCTTTTCTAAATTGCCAACAATCATTTTGCAGTGAAATTAGATCTTTCCAATGGTGCAAACCGTACTTCATATGGTGCATTCGACACTTGTAAAACCAATTTTGAAAAAATTGGTTATTTAGTTGACAACCTGATAAAACTGAAAATTCTTAGCTTTAAGTTAGGAAGTATTTTAAAGTTATCTGGGTTCACTGGCTGAATAATTTTCATTTTCATCTAGACCTACTGTTGAGAAGTAAGAATCGTTCTCTACAGTGTTCTGGATTTCAAAATCCCCAAATCTCGTACTAATCATCTCTTTCAGATTTATATACATTTCCCTAAACGCTGTCTTTGTTTTCTGTGAGTTTCGTTTAACTTTTGTTTGTCTTTTTTTCGATTTCCCCCATCGTTCACCCGTGTCTAGGGTACCCCAATCTAATGTTTTGTTCAAGTAAAACTTTGGATTCGGTTCCCTAGATGCTGGATGAGCACTCGGCCAAACCCAAATTTTCATTTTTCGATTAAAAATTACTTATTGATTACAGTTTTCGCTCAGGAAAAAAGATGGAAAGGATGGAAAAGAGTACGGTAGTTATAATACTTCTTAGAATGCACTGAATTAGACAGTTAGACAGTCTAAAAATAAGTCAAACTTTTCATATCTAAAGCGAATTCTCTAATTAACAAGTACCAACATTTCAATATTTGAGCTTTTGTTTTAAATTTTAAACTTTAACAATGAAATTTTTTCTAGGAGGACCCACTGAAGACGGAAACCGCCGAGGGTCACCGAAATCGCCATCATCATGATCGATCACGTGAGTGATACGTCTTTTGATATAGAATGTACTTTTTAAGAACTAAAGCTTAAGCGCTTAACTTTAATGGGCTTAAAAATACTGTACTTAAAGTCCAAGGTCCAATCAATGTTTTCCAGACAGCAGTGAGCACCATCGACACCGCCATCACCACGAATACGGCTATGGACCTGGCTACTATCAGCCACAAATTCACGATCGTAATCTTTGCAAAATTTATTATTAATTAAGATAGATCTTAGCTAAGATGTTAAGATGTTTTAAGTTTGAAATCGATCCAATTTCAAGGCTATGTGTGCGACTTGGACGCCTCCGTGTTGCTTGTGTTGAGCCGATCGCGCGGTGGACTCCACAAGGCGCATCGAGTCAGGTAAGAAAAAATATTTACAAAAAATTATATAAGCAATTATACTGTAAAGTAGATAAACCTAAGCTACAGTAATCTAAATTTGACAGTAGTCAAGTTTTTAATGTTCAAAGCTTTGGATACACCTTCAAAACTCCGATAACAGTCCTGAATATCTATTGCTATTGATAAAACTGATCAAACTATATCTAGATTATCTAATTTAAAAGATTAGAATACTTAAAATTTTAGGATCATGCAACTTTTACTGTAATTTCCAAATTTCCAGATGCTCTGACGTGGCCGCGGCCGACGAGGATTCGTGCACGGTGTGCTGCCAGAATGCGGCTCGACGAGACACCACACTCAAGAATGTACGGTAGTTTAAATGAGATTGATTAAGATCACTGAAAAGCTAAGTATCCCTTTCTTATTCAGCGATCAATATTTTCAGGAGGACATCCAGGGAATCGTCACCGACACCGATGGCTATGAGCACAAACACCACCATGAAGAGGACAAACCAAATGGAGTGAGTGGAAAGGAAACTTGGAGATTTCATAGAACATTACAGTGCACTTTTACTTAAGATTTGTTTCAAGCTTTAAAATTTCAACCTTAAGAAAAAGTAAACTTGATCTAGTCCATAATTTTAAAGCAAAAGCCCTTGTCGTTGTCATATCTAGTCTTTTTACGTTTAAAGTGCATTAGAATTAGTACTTTTATGTAAGTATAGTATTATCTTTAACTCATAAACCCAGCACAAAGCAGATTTGACTTGAATGGAAGCTGACTCATAACTTATTTACATGTTGTAAAGCTTGAACAGATAGCAGTAAGTAAATGTACCAAAGTTACCTACTTTCAGAACATAAAAAATACATTTATCCACACTAATAATGTGGTACAAACAATACAAAAGCACAACCCCTAAGCCCTAAATGTTGGGAAGGAAAAACCCATATATATGGGAAAAAAGAACTAAGAATCTAGCCAGCGGAATTGAAGCCTTGACATCCTGACTAAGATACAGGGTTCTTAGCCAGTCGGCCATAACGGCAAAATAACCCAATAATGCTTAGCAAGCTGAATACGTTTTTAAACCTAAAACATTGCCATCTTCAGCGCTACAAGCGAAGCGGTGGATCGGGCAGTGGAGAGCATCATCACCGCCTCCGTGACTCGTTCCCCAATGGAGACACTTTCCCATGGAAGTACAGCGCGCCAAACGTGAGCACTTTCTATCTTTCTATCGTACTCATACTGAACTTAGCCAAAGATTGTGCGAAATAGAATAACTGAAAGCCATGAGGATTATAAAACTTGTCAATTAAAACCTTGACCTTTTCAGTGGTTCAAGAACGTGAAGTGCTTGTGCTGTGCCCCACGACGCCACTACACTCCACAGGTTGGCTCATTTGATTCAAAAAGTTATCGAATTCGAACAATGCTGATTCTAATTTTAAGTATTTTAAGTCCTCTTAAAATCAATCATTTTTCAGGCTCCGACCCAGATCGGCAACATCCAGATCCCAATTCCGCAATACTCTCAGCCACAGTACTCTCAGCCACAGTACTCTCCACCACAATACTCGCCACCACAGTACAGCCCACCCCAGTACGCACCACCACAATATCAGGTATCCACTTTTCTACCCTGATTCGCTAAATCTCTAAACTATCAAATATGAACTTCAAATGAATAGATTGAATGCAAATTAGCACCTTTAGTCTCTAGCTTACGATTATAGACAGTTTTGGCTTAAAAATATTGTATCTCAGTCTGCTATCAAGCTATAGTATGCCTGGAGGAGTACTGTCGTTTTAAATTGTGCAAAGATTTTACTCTCATTCTCTAAATTTCAGCCACCAGCTCAGGCTCCACCAGCTCCCGTCTACCAACAGCCCACCTATGTGCAGGTATAGAGCGATTGCTTACTTTCTAATAGTTAAGACTTTTCTTGAAAGCTGAAACTACCGAAACTGTCGAACTAGTTTTTTTAGCAGAAAGCAGTTATCAATCAATTTTCAAATTTCATTTTTTGTTCCAGCCGGTTGCCCAATCGCCACCCGTCTATCAGCCACAATATCAACAGCCCACCTACGACCAATCCACCTACAATCAACAGGTTTGTTTAACTGGAAAATTTTGAAAAATATCAATTATCAAATTCTTTTAAGACTTTCCAACAAAAAGGTTGACCCCAGTATTGCTGTATTTTATATATTAGCTTGGTAAATATGAAAGGTTATTTTTTTGATCATTTTTAACATAACAGAAAAATTTATTTAATTTATCAAAATTTATCAAAACCCAATTTATCAAAATCAAATGTATTCACCACAAGCATTAATAACTTCTTTCCAACGTTGCTCCAAATCACGAATACCGTCCTCGTAAAATTAAAGATTTTTAGAGGCAAAATAGTTGGCAACCCAATTTTCGATGTCCTGCTTTTGTTTGAACTGCTGTCCAGAAACTGCTTGTTTCATTGACCGAAAGAGATGGTAATCCGATGGGGCTAGATCAGGACTGTATGGTGGGTGTGGAAGAAGTTTCCAGCTCAACTTGTCGATTTGTTCGTGGACGATCTTTGAAATGTGAGGCCTAGCATTGTCGTGAAGAAATCTGACCTTCGATGGATCGATCCTCTTTTTCCTCAATGCTGGATCGACTCGACCCATTTGTTCTGCATAAAGTCTTCCGTCAACAGTGTCTCCTTTATCTAATATTTCCAAATGAGCCAATCCCTTAGCATTCCACCACACACAAAGCATAACTTTTTCGGAGGCTTCGGGATAGAATGAGAGGTCCGCTTCGAACTCAGCCACTCTCCATAGAGTTGAATATTTTCATACGAAAGCCAAGTCTCATCAGATGTCAAAAAATACTTCCAAAAGTCACGATGGCTAGCTTTACGTAGAAGAACAGAGCTCAAGGTGACTCGTGTGACTTTGTGGGCATCAGTGAGGTCGTGGGGGAGCCATTTCCCGCTTCGATATGATTTCCCAAGAACGTGTAAATGGTAACATGAGTGCATCCGAACTTTTCTGCTAATTTTCTACACTTTTGCGATGGATCCAAGTCGACCTCGTTCAGTAACAGCTGATCGTCCAAAGTAATCGGCGGCTTTCCATGTGGTGCGTCTTCCAATGACTCGTTTCCCGTTTTGAAGCGACCGTACCAAACACAACATTGTTTGTAAGTAAGAGTAGCTTCTCCAAAAACAGTACAAATGTTCTGATGGCATTCCGTAGCTTTCTTGTTTAACTTGAATTCAAAGAAAATGGCGGCCCTGATTTTAAATTTTTGGTTATCCATCTTTGCCGAGCTGAAACAATACAAATATTGTTCAAAACAAAAATGTTTTTGCAAAAAAAACATGAGCACATTTTGACATATTATTGAGAAAAATCCTAGACAGGGAATGTTCTTCGTAACGACAGGGCAATATTTTTTGTAAAAAATAACCTTTCATATTTACCAAGCTAATAAATAAATTTAAGCTTAGAATTGTGAATAGTTTTCTAAAAGTAAACTAAAGAACAGAACTAGACCGAAACGAAAAACTGACTTTTAAAAACTCCAATCAATTCCTACAGTAAAGTACTCAAAAGTGCGCAGTTCTTTTAAAACTTTTCAAGAAAAATGCTGACCCAGGGTTATTGTATTTAATATGAAAATCGAAAAAACGTATTCAAATGACTGTATTTGATAAATTTCCCTATGAACTTCAATTTCCAGGCTGCTGCCCCTCCATCGCCTCCTGTTGTCCCAGCGGCTGCCGCCCCCGTCTCTTCGTACTGATTTCGTACTGATTTTGTAAAAAAGATTTGTTTTCTTTTTCTTTTTGAACACTAGTCCCTCACTAGTCAAATAAATAATTGTGATAGTTTCATCAAAATCGAGCAAAACAAACAAATTCCGATTAGAAAACATTAACTCAAACGATAGAAGCGCTAAACTCAAATCAAATAATAATCTATATTGTCGAATCTTGGAATAAAATTCAAGGGTTACTTTACTGAAGAATAGTTTAGCTTCCAAAATATTTCTTAAAGTTTGTTTTCTGGGAGTAAAAAGTTCGTTAAAAACAGCTTTTTTTGTTTACAATGACCTAAAGATTTCTTTAGCTTGTAACTCGAGGCCAATCTGTGAGATAATCTGTTTAAATCTATTTAAACCTTCAAACAAACTTGTAGTCTTTGTTTCCAAGTTTAACTTTGGAAAAAACTCTTTGGCTTTTAAAATCTCTTACCAAAAAGCTTTAGAGGTAAGATTTTCTGGTTGCAAATGCCTATCTGAGTGTTATTTGAAAAGCAAACAGCCTTTTTTTTCAAAAACTCGTTTTCAATCACTTTATCGCTTTGGTGAGAAATATCAAAACAATCATCAGATTGGAAAAAAATGGAGAACAAAACCCGTTTCATCTCGATTTTGAGTGAATATCGTTGAGGGGAAGGGGAATAGACAGACAAAACATTGATCTCCAATTGAGAGATCGGTCATTGAAAAAAAAAAACATAAAGTGCTAATATTTACAGGTTATCACAAAGAATAGAATCTGTGTCAAGAGTAAGAAAGTTTCGAGTTTGATCTAATGGACAAATTGATCTAAGTTTGATCTAATGGATCAAACTTTCAAGTACCTAAAGCCAGGAGGCTGATATTTGAACCTATACCTTGTGCTCATTTTTGTAAAAATCTTGACAAGTACTTTCTGGCGCACCCGATTTCTCCGCTTTTCTAAGGTCTCAATATACATTAGGAAATGCGGAATTAAGTGTGCCAGAGAGCTTGCGTTTATTAGAGCACAAGGTACAAGCCGAATTTGTGAAGAGAATAGACTGAATGACTTCAAATTCTTCAGCTAACACTTAATGTTAAAAGTATTCTTTGGACTGGATCTTTACGGTATCTTATATCTTTAAAAGCTCAAATTCGGACTTGAAATGGATCTCGTGAGCTTTGGGAAAACCTCATTCGAGAAAATCAAAGTATTTCTTCTATTCGAAGTTTTTGTTTCAAGATTTGGTTTCAAATTTTCTTCGTTGTCCTCTTCCGATTGAGTCTCCTCTTGCTCAACCATTCCTTTTGTGTAAGCAAATCTGAAAGGATGAAAATTTAGCATGATTTTAGTTCAATCAAGTTCAAGTTCAATAATTTTTAGTTTTACTGTTCTCTGGCCGCCACTCGACTGATCACATTGTCCAGCTCATTCTCGAGACTCGAGATCACTCGAATCGGCCATGACGTTTCTCGGTCTTTTCTCTCAAAACCCTCAATGCCCAATGGGGAGACTTTTTCAACAACTGTAATCGGCAATGATTTTGATTCCAATAACGACGGGTATCAATGAAATCAATACCCACCAGCTTCAGCCTCCAAATCCTTAACTCCATTCTTCCGACACGAGGTGACGAGTCGCCGAATCGGGCTTTTCTGCCCGGGTTTTCGTGGTAAAACGAGAAACAGAACGAGCTGTGAAAAGGCTAGAATTGAGCCGATTCCATTTGGAGTCTAAAGTAAAGTCAATCAAGAATTCAAAAAAAAACCTACAATCAAATAGAAATCCATTTTCAGAAATCCATACAAGAACCACTCGGTGGAGACCAAAAAGTTCGCGATGCAAAGCGGAAGGGGAAGAGTCGACGTGGCGCCGCGACGGATCACCACATTCTGGTTTAAATTAGATAGTATTTTTAATTTGAAGTGTTTCTTAAAAAGTGCTTTTAGCTACTGTAAGTTGATTTTCTTTCAAATTAACTTTTATCCACAAGATTAAAAGCAGCCGGCTACAGTCGTAAATTGTAAGCTTTCTTTACAATCATAGGGCAAGCTTTAGAAAACGATTTTTTAGGAACTCAGTCCGGTTCTTATTTAAAGTATTTTCTAAAAAGTGTGCTTAGCTACCGTAAGCCTATTGGCTTCACTTTTATTAACTTGTTGATCGTTTGATATAAAGCAGCTTACTTACAGTCAGAACTGAGCGAAGCATCCGATCCAGACCCGGAAATCGGCTCATTGTTTTTTCACTGATTTTAAGATAAACATTTATAATTAAAAGTCAGATATAAATATAGATTAAATAGATGGCTAAATAGTTTGAAATAGATTTTCCCTTTGGTGTAAATTAGTGAGAAAAATACAGTGGTCAAAAAAGTCTTGATACCTTCCAAAAAATTAGCAAATTGAGTATTGGAGCTGAATCCAAACGAGCTGAATCCAAAAATATTGGATTCAGCTCGTTTTTGTTTCATTAAATAAGACAAAGTTAGAAACTTATAATTAACGTAAAATATACTCTTTACAAAAACTATTTATTTACGAAAAATAAAAAAAGGCCAAAACAAAGTAAAAAAAAGTCTTGATACCTTTTCTCTTTTTTCTCCTGTTTTTGTTACGTTAGAGATTTGTTGATTTTTATAATACTGTTTCTTTTTAGAGATGCCGAGAGAATACATCGACAGTCCCACAAAGAAGCGAATCGTTGAAGCTCGAAAAGCCGGACTCAAAGTCAGTGTGATTCAAAACCTCTTCTCCGTTTCGAAGATGACAATACGGAGAGACAATATACCACTGTATGTTTCTCACTAATTTACACCAAAGGGGAAATCTATTTCAATCTATTTAGCCAATTCGTTTTGTTCTCCAATGCAGTTTTAGTTTAAAAATGTAAAAAAGCCGAACCAGCCACTAGCCGAAGCCGATGTCGTTCAACTTGGCAGATCGGAATAGATCGACCCTTACGCTTATTGCTTAAGATGACGGGATTTCTTGAATAGAAAGTGGGTATTTGAAGGGGCAAAGGGGAGATGTTCTAGTTAGAAGACACACTTTAGAAACGGTTTACATTAGAAATTTGATATCTTTTTGTATATAATATTTTTTACAAATTAGTTTTAAAGTTCTTAAATATTTTGGAAACTTACCAGCCCGGCTAGGGGTGCCGCAAAGTCGGCCGCGTTTAGCGTCATACAGAGGAAACCGAGCGGGTGAAAAACCTGAAAATTTTCGAAAAATAGCTAATAATGCTTATTTTCAAAAAGATATAAACCTATATTTTACTATAATCTTATACAAACCTTGTTATTTAATAGTAAATTTACTGACCTTTTCCTTGAAATGATACGTGAAGCCGCCGATCGTTCCACAAAGACAAAGAATTAGGAGAAATTTTATGGTAATCCAAAACTGAATTTTGAATTTGTATCTATTAAAGATTTAGATAGATATTTAGATATTCTATTTAGATATTTAGATTTAGAAAAGCCAAACTTGTTTTCACACCTTATTTCTTGTCATGAACCAATAAAATATCGAGTAGGAGAAGTAGAGAAAAACTTGAGTCGACGTGACGACCAATACCGTATTGTCGCCTTTCAACCAACCATACCAAAGCCAACAGGTGCCACTGAATAAAAAAAGGTATTCAGCTTGAAAACTATTGTATTAAGCTCTATAGAATCAGGATTACTGTATTTTTTTGTCAGTTTTTCTTAAAGATTTTCTTTGTTTACCCCAAAATCCCCATGAGAAACGGTGCGGCGGCGATCTCCTTGGTGTCTCCCCGTTTCCAGATTTGTCGACAAATTGGACTAAAATTTAAATTATCTTTAAAGCTGAAAATAATATTTAAAGCTTTATTTTTCAGGTTTAAGATAATCGATTGAACTCACATTCCACAAAAGAACAGTGCAACTGTTGTGAAGAAAGCGAGGATCGAGAGGAGGTTGAGAAATGAGAAACCATGCGTGAAGATCTCAAAAGCCATCCTTAAATGGTAACTGAAATGGTTAAAATCAGGCTTGCAGGCAGAAAAAAAAGATTGAATATCTTTTAATTTTCAAAGAAAAAGTCAACAAATGGGGTAGCTACGTTTTTCCGCTTTTTCCGTCGCTGGGGCAGCTACGCACTGCGACTCATTTCGTTCGTTTGGTTTTACTTTGGAAATCAAAAGATCTTTAAATTTTCCACTTTTTTCTGCTTACAAGCCTAGTTAAAATAAAAAAAAGAAGAAGAAATATTTATTTAGACTGTAACATGTGTGGAGTTTAGAAATTGGACGCTCAAGATTTTGAAAACAGTAAGTTTGCACTGATAATGAGACTATTTTCATTTACTCACTACTGTTAAGTACTGTTAGCGTAAAGTATTGTAAAGAGTTAATTTCTTGTCTCACTATGACAGTTAAAGTAAAAGTATTTAGGTAGCAAGCTTCAAGATTCAATTCAAAAGAATTTTAAGTATTCAGTCTTTTGCCGAACACTTTTTGCCATACTGTAGCTAAATATAGCACTTGAGCTCTACAGTGTCTAGAATAAAATGCTTTCCACTAGATAATGGTAAGCAAATTTAAGCGATGCTGTGGTTAAAATAGCACTGGAACCTTACAGTTTTACAGTATTTCTTTTAGAACAAAATGTAGCCTAGCTCTCCACTCTAAATGATAAGTGAAAAGGGCGGTGCTATTCTCTCTAGTGTCGAGACGAATGAAACAATTCGAGTCCTTCTCAAAAAAAAAGTGATCCATTCAGCCAATTCTTTCACAAAATCTAGACCTTCAACGTCTTTTTTTGCGCACGTGAATTGCAAGTTTGTTATGATTAGCAAAAGAACTGAATGGTTGACGTGGAAATATCGAAAATCCAAGGTTTTCTAAGGGTTTGATTATGAGAGAGTGGGAAATGGCTTCATATTTTCATATTTTTGGTTTCATATTTTTGGGGACTTTTGAGGTCGCAGGTCGTTTGACACTCTCAAAGTTGGTTTATGAAAAAAAACGTCAAAAAGGAACGCATAGGAGGTCAAACAAACTCGACTTTCTAGATTATAGACTTTCTAGATAATTCGAAAATCGATTCATCGGAACTCGATCACCAAATTTCACCCAGTTGTTCTTGTTTAACGATGAGAAAGTCTGTACTATTTAACAGTTTTCGAATTTACGGGACATTAAAAATATTAGAATCAAATTTCAGTTTTGATTCTTCCAGGAATGCTTAACAAGAGCTTGTGATAAACTCAATTTATCCGACCTCCACAGGTGTTGCCAGGCAAACAACAGCGCAAAAGGCAATAATTTTGAAAAAAGTAACTTAAAGTTGTTAAATGTTTGATAAGTGTGTTTCCTTTCTAGCATTAAACTTGTACAAAATGAGCTCTAAACCTAATCTACTGGTCCCCATAAGTATTGGACACCTATAAAATAGTTAGAACTTCAAACCAGACAAGGATTGTTAGTCTAAAATTAGCAAACACAGCGACAGAGTGAACAGTTTGTAAAAGCGTGTACAAAAATGCGATAAAATAGATTAATCTGTAAGTTCTGCTAAAGAAATTTAAACCTCAACGTACACTTTAGCACAGTTTTGCAACAAATTATTTGCTTGATGGAAGATACGCAAAAAGAACGCAAAAAGTTATTGTAGTTTCTCTAGGTTATTGAAGTAAAATACATTGTAAACCTAAAAACTTGATTCAGAAAACGTTACAAGAATACAATAAATTGAATTAAATTATTAACAAATGCCAAAGTGCACTTCGTCTATAGTTTTATAACCCCTTCTTGTCGAATTCTTTTTCCTCAAAGACGTTTTGTCTTTCGCCAAGCGCCTCAAACAGTCATTTTTTGTTAGGTCTAAACACTTTTGTCTCAATGGTCACTTGGGGGTTTTCCACATATGCTTTTCACATGATGTCTCCCCATAATCATCAACATCACCAAAAAAGTCAAAGAAAAGAGAGTCATTGTCTCGTTTTTGATAAATCGCTGCTGGAAAGATGTTCTATTTTCGCTCGTTTTCAGGTTCCACAACGGATTGCTAGCTGAAGAAACTAAAAGGAAAAGAAAAAACATGTTTTTGAGCGACTTTCGACTTTGAAAGTTCAAAGTTATACAGTCATCTTGAACTTTTAAATCAAAAACGACCTGTAAACTTCCAATGAAATTTGAAATGTTTGTCTGTACAGTGCTTTAAAGCTTGAAAATTTTATTTGTCAAGTCAAATTTTCAATTCGGAGAAATTTTCAATTTCACTTGACTTCTGAAATGAAAAATTTCAACGTATTAATCTTTTCGTGTTAGTGTGTCGAGAAAGTCTTTTCGTTCCTTTTCGCATTTCCGTCTAAAACCAACAAACCAATTGAATTACGGTCTGTTTCATTAGAAAGATCAATTATTTTTCAGCAAAATAATTATTAAATTATTAAAATTATTAAAATTAAAAATTAATTCACTTTTAATTTCAGCTTCGAGAAGATAAAGCTCGATGACAAGGGTGCTTTGGCTGAAGCGATTCGAGAAGTGCTTGACACAAAGAAGTTAGTCAAATAGATCCTGAACTGAGCTGAGATGGCATTTAGATCCAAAAACGAGCCGATGAAGCCTCTAAAATGATCCAGAGTCGACTATTCACAAGTGAGGAGCTTTTCGTGAAAAATGTTGAATTTTTGGTCGCTCATGGGCCGCTGAAGAAATATCGGCGAGGCAAGGTAGATAGATCCGCAAGAAATACTGTACTTAAGTGCCGTTTAGATACGATACTTACAAATAGTTAGACTCGCGAATAATCAAATTCAAATCATCTACGTACTGCTAATGTTACTCTAGTCCTTAGTGGGCTGCGGTAACATCTAAATAATGCGACTACGGTAATCGGGACAATTTCACTCGTTGCCAGTGCTCGGTAAAGTTCACTAGTCAGTAAATTTGGTTGATTGGTTATTAGGTTGGTGCATAAGTCTTTTCGTTTCTTTTCGTATCTCCGTTTAAAACCAACAAACCAATTGAACTACGGTTTGTTCCAATAGAAAAGTCAACTATTTTTCTGCAAGTTAACATTAAACTGTTTAAAATGTTTTATGTCTAGATTTTTTCGGAACCTTGAAGTCGGGTAGTCAAAAGCTTGCTCGATGATGCGATTTAGACAAACTTTAGCTAAAGAAACCTATCTTCTTGTCAATAGGTAAAAGATAGAACACAAAAAGTTTGGTGTATAGCCAAATTTTCAGAGAAATTCATTCAGCCAATTTCTTCGTAGAGGTTTTTATAGATTTTTACGAAAATACGTTTTCATTCTCGAATTTATCTGTAAAAGTGAACTCAAATTGACTTAAAAAGATGAGAAATTGAACAATAAACACTTTTTATTTAAAGAATGCCATAAGTTAATTGGTGAATTTGTTATTTTTCAACGAAAGTACGAAACGAAACGAAAAGACTTTCTAGACAGCTTAATAATTCAAAAAATTTGTGTTTGCTATTTAAAATTATCAATTCCTATTTTGAAACCAAATATTTATTCATCAAACATTTAAAAGTAAAACTCAAAATTGGCACAAGGAAAAAACCAATTTGTGTCAGATTACACGTGTCAGATTAGGTCATGATTTGACAGAATTGTGAACAGAAATTTCAAAAGAAAAACAAATCTCAATGAAAAAACTTCAAAAAAGAAGTGATTTATGTGAGAGAAATGAGCGTTGAAAAGGAAAAACAAACAAAAATTACAAGAAACCCTTGAATGATTGAATTTGGACATGGAAGCTGAATAACTAAATATCCTTCACTTTCACAATCTAATGAAATTGAGTTATTCTAGTTATTGCATTACTAATGAACCTATTACTTTAGCTGAGTACATCCACATATTTCTTACTATAAGGGTTCATATTTTGTATTCAATGAGCACTTTTCAAGTGACAGAAGTTCGTTCGTTTTTCACCTCAAAAGATATTCAGCTGACCATTAATAGTAAAGAAGATGCTACACCTGGTTTGGTCGATCACTATAAATGCAAATCTGCTGTCGATCCTAAAGATTTTTGTGATAAGAAAACTACGAGATCAAGAAGTTGTGTTTGCAGAAAAAATGGAGCCAATGATAGACGAGAGAAAATTTGGGTGGAGAGTTTAAGCATCGTGAAGAGTTTGACGAGCCAGGTGGTGAGGCTCCGGTTCGTCCTTCTGAAAATTGATTCGTTTGATGCTTTGAAAAAGCTTTTTCAGCTTCCTATTCAGTTTTCCTTACTGAATACCAGACATGGACACTATAAACTACAAAAAATGACGAACTATCACACTCCAAATGCTTCTAACTTGCTTCAAACTCTGCCGGATTGGCTTGATCTATAACTCAAAAGATAGAGAATCTCAAGAGCTTTCGAATGAGCTAAAGCACATTCAAAAATATCAATGCTAAAGAAGGTTACAGTGGTTTGTAGTCCGCTAGGACTACAAACAGACCCTAGTCGGAACTAGCGTTTCGAGTCAGGACTACAAACCACTGTAACTTCCTTTAGAATTGATATTTTTAGATGTGCTTTACTTCATTCAAAAGCTCTTGGGATTCTCTATATTTTGAGCTATAGAACAAGTTAATGCGGCAGAGTTTGAAGCAAGTTTGAAGCGTTTGTAGTTTGTAGTGCCAATGTCTACCTTTTAGACAGCTTAGCATATAGTCTCAATAAGATTTAGCAGACAATCCTTATGTTATTTTCTGTTATTAATTATTTAACTTTAAAAAATCCTCAATGTTTAGGTATTAGAAAATGAAATTTCGGTTGATTAAAGTATTTTATTTAAGAGTGAGATTTTGGGCAAAACAATGTCAGAAAAAAAACTTCAAAACCAGCTTGGCTAACCGGTAAATGAATTTCTTATTCATTTCATACCTGAGTCAATCTAGCAGTTGATCCATTCCTCGACAACGATCCATCGGAGTCTTGATCTTTTTCCTCCATCTTTTCTTCATCATTCGATTCATCGGTCGATGTGTTCGACAATTGTGGCGATCTACAATGACCCTTCTCATTTTTCTCATTTCCAGCTCTGTCTCCATCTCTTTCCATCCCATTTTTCTCTTCATCTCCATCTTTGAAAGCTGGTTGAGAAGCGTCGAGAAGTGGTACCACACACTCTCTACAAATGAAACCGACACCGTTATTTTGTGTGAAAAGCTTTCAGTTATTTTTAGATTAGTTTCAAGGAAAGACTCAAAAATTATGGTTAAAACATTTATTTTTCATTTTCCTTGCGATCACGCAATCCTTTTCTTATTTTGCATTTCTTTGCGATGATCTAAATAATAAAAAGTTAGTCAGAAACTTGGCTGCTGCTAGCTTTATAATAGTTTAAAGCTATAATAGCTTATACAATTAGTTTAAAATGTTAATTCTATTAAATTAGATTTAAAATTATTGATTTTCTCAATCACAAAGCTTCTTAAACGTACCCATCGAGATTTTTCTCCAAATCGAAGAGATTTCCATGTTGCGGCAGTTGATTGAAACCGTCTTTCTCGCAATGAGCGGCTAAAAGAGAGAAAATTTAAGTTGATTTTTGTTTTCTAAAACATGATTCAAGAAAAACTACCGTACTCTGGTTACCTTTAGCTTAAAAAAAAGACATAAAACAGACAACGAATTACGGTAGCTTTTCAAAAGCACATCATTTAGACACTTTCCACTTGAAGATACGTTAACTTGTTTCATTACAGTATTCCGGAACAAGTAATCTACCAGTTAAATTATATCTCCAATAAGTAAATTCAATTGAAAGACATCTTGTATCCTTTACGTTACTTATACTCCGGTATACTGTAAGAATAAGAAACTGACTTTGACCGTAACTTAAGCTTCAGATTGAGTAGCATTTCTAATCCACTCACCTTTTTCCAAATCTTCTTGCTCGTCGCCAAGCGGTTTCTCTGGTGATTGAATGCACGGGAAACAGCACGATAGTGGCGCCTTTTTCCCGGGTTTCATCGGGAAAATCAAGAACAAAGACAATTGGATAAACGACAAGCACACGCCGCACGCGTTCGGGCTCTAAAATTAAAGAATTCGAGTTTCAAATCAGCTACAGTAACCCAATAGCTACTGTAATCTTACGGTAAACTTGAAAACTATGTATTCATTCCCATTTCCCCTTTCAATTCCATTCAAATCCCATTTTTCAACTATATTATCTCTTTAAAAAACCCACAATGACATAGATATCATTAATCAAGGTTCCATAAAGCATCCATTGAGAAGAGACCGCCAAATTCGCCATACACATCGGAAGGGGTAAAGTGTCCGTGCAACGAGTTCTCAACACGACTCTCTGAAAAAATCAATTCGACTATCGTCTGTTATTCGGCGTTTTTGAGTGAAGATTTATAACTGTGTTTCGAAATAGTATTATTGCTAACCTTTCGCATAGTCCAATTAAACCCCGAGTTTCAATTGGTAGACTCAATAAAATGGATATTTCCAATGAATTCCTCGACCCCGAAAAACACCGGGTACAAATTTACAGCTAAATATCTTGGTCCAGAATAAATTTTTGCGTTAGATTTGCTTATCATTTTTGAGAAAATAGACAACAAAACTGTTTTAATGACACGTTCAAAAATGCTTTTCAAAAGTCAACTTTATCAATTGAACAGTCTACGTTACGCCTGTGTGTTTTGCAATTTCCCGGTCAAGTCTTATCAGCTGAATGTTCGGGGGAAAATAACTGTCTTTTTTAAAAGACACCAACCATTCCGGCGAGTGGAGAAGCGAAACAGGCGATATTGAACGTCATACAGGCAAAACCGAGAACGTCGGCCATTTTCAGTCCATAGTTCATCACCAACATGACCATCAACGAGACCAACGAGATCGAGAAAAGCAATTGAAGGCCAAAAGATATCTGAAAAGGAATTGTAGATTAAAGATTTGAAAGATTTTTTAGCTATGAAGCCCAGTCTCTACAGTACACCGAAAACTCTGAAAACCACCAACCCTCGGCTTGCTCATCACCAAATAGAAAATGGAATAGCCGAAGAAAAGACTCGATCCAACCTAGAGAATTGCCTTAAATGGATCAAGAATGAGATCTTCATACCACATTCACCGTAATCATCGTCGAATCGCTTCTCAGAAAACCATATCTCAGCCAGAATGAGGCTCTAAAGTGATGTGTAAAGAACTCAAAGATAAACTCGAAAGTTTTAAAGTACTCAATTTTTGTAAGACTATTTTCTGATACAGTTTTTAAGAAACTCTCTTCAAATTCTCTCACCCGATGAGTCCCATAATGAATGGCATTCCACTGATATCTTTCGTTCCACCGCGCTTCCAGATTTCCCAACAAATCGGACTAAAAGAGATCGGATGTTCAAGAAGAATTTTCATTTGTTCGATCAAGGTTGGCAAGAAAGTTCGTAGAATAAGTTTGCACGGTGATTTCTCAAAAACCAAGCCATGAATTCTTCCCAGATTTTTTGATAAACTTGACTATATTTTAAAAAGTTTTTGACAAAAAACCCAGAGTGGCCTTCAGGTAAAAAAACAAGAGATTTCTTCAGCTGAAGTGACTTTGTCACTTTTTGAGTGACCAGCCTTTAGACAAGTTTTTAATGTGTTAATGAATAGGCAATGGGTCCCATTCAAAATATAAAATCAAGTACTTAAAATAGGGAAAACTTGTGATTAAGACTTAAAATTAAAACAAATTTTATCTAATGCTTTAACTTTTCAGAATCACCTATTTTAGTAAGCACCCAGTGCCAAGAAGATGACACCAAAGTGTTATTTTTTGAAATACAGCTCCTCTGTAAAAAATTTTTGGCCAAAAATAGAGATTATAAAGCGTATTGCTCATTTATGCTAGCTTTATCTCATAAGAAATGGTTTTTCTGGTGCAAAAAGTGAGCTGAATTTAAGCTGGAAAATAATACCTTTTCAAAAATCTCTAAAATTTGAGGGAAAGCGGCACTCATTTTTTTTACGAGTAATTTCTTGGAGTCGACTTGTAAATAATAGAACAAAATATTCTTGAATTGGTCGATTCGTTTTTAAGAAATTCCAGTCAAACTTTTTCCGAGAACTTTCATTCCAACCTAATATTAAGTCATATCAGTTCTCAGCTTTGTTCTTAGCTAGTGCCAGGCCCGTAGGATTTCGGTGTTTTTGGGAAAATCGCTAGAGCTTCGTCCAGAAGCACCCAATCAATTTACACGCAAAGAAGAAAATTTAGCAAAATCTTCAGGCTACATCATAGCTACAATGGAATTTTGTAAAATGAAATTCCCTTGCAAAATTTTGCATTTTTTTTGAGAAAATTTACGGGGGCAGAGGTTTTAGACCTTTAGCCGTTATCCAGGAAACTTCTAAACTTCTAAACTTCTAAAATTATCCAGAAAACTTTTGGAAACGTTATCTGCCACCAATCAATTCTCTGTATCGGTTTACATAATACAAGGAAGCGAAAAATCTGATTTAAAGCTTGTGGAGGTACTCAAAGTTGTAGAACTCAAAGTTGAGCAGAGGCGCCAAAAAAGGTTGTGACAACCCTAGGATATACAGAAACTATGTAAATACAATTTTCCATCAACAGATATAAGCTTACAGATACGTTGTTACATAATTGATGCACTGCTAAAGTCTCATTCAAGCAACTCACAATCCACAAAAGAACAGCGATATCGTGGAGATCATGGCGGTGATCGAGAGAACGGGGAGAATTTGCTCGGCTGTTGGCACCCACATATTGCACCTGAAAGAAGAAAAATCTTCATTGAACAAACTGAATCTTGTAAAGGAAAAATGTAGAAAATGAAAGATAAAAGGAGAAAAGATCGAATGAAGTGGAAATTCCTTTTTATTGCTTTTGAAATGACCAAGAGTGATGTCTCTTTTGATTTATAAAGAAAATTTTCTCGGCGATGATGAACAAGATCAAGATCAATCAAGTCATTTGCGGGATCATTGGGAATATTCGAGTAAAGAAAAGGACAATCAGGAATCAAAAAGCTCATTCAATTCCTTTCGCTGACCTTTTCTTTTATCGCGAATTTCTTGTTTTGATTTGGGAAATCTCATTCCATTGCATTACAGCACCTCCTCTCATCTCCACAAATCCCACCCAACAAAAGATTGATCAGCTGTTTCGATTTTTGCAGGTCAGAGATGGGATAGAAAAACAGAAAAAATAGCTTCCCTTATAGTTAAGGTACTTCCTGTTGGTACCGTAACCCGACTACTAACTGCCCGCTCAACACCTTTGTCAACATTTTGATTAGAACTTTAATCCAAAACACAATAAATATCTAGATATCTGGATTCCAAGAAAAGAACAACAAGAAACAAACAAAATTTGCAAGAAGATCTGTTTTCAATCTCTTCAAAAGTGATCCCATTTTTTGGAGAAATTTTCGAAGTGAACTGCTCAGTTTTCCAGAAAGAGACACAACAAGTTTGTTGATATTTTTGCCCTATAAAGGTGAAAAAAGATTGTGAACTCTTTTTTGAAATTTTCCCAGACAAAAATCTTTCGAGAGATTGGAAGAGATCTTTTTTGGCTCGTTGAAGTCAAATCCATCAGTCGACCCGAAAATTGACACAAAAAGAGATGAAATAGGGTTTGATACTTGAGACAATTCCCCATATAAAAACAATCAAATTGATTGTTCGATTTCTAAAAGTAAGGAAAAAGCTTTTTTGAAAGTTATTGATTTTTTTTCATTTAAGAAAAGGGAAGAGTTGTCAAAAATTAATGCGGAAAATGGCGATTTTCAAATTCAGAACATCAGGCAATGCATTAAGTAGAGAAAATCTTGAAAATTATACAGTTTTCCAAGGTCAAAGATAAAGCATAGTTGATGTAGATTAACTGACTAGAGGAAATTTTGCAGAAAAAGTATCATTTCATCAAAATCGAGGTAAAACTGTTAATAAATACACTAAGAAACAGTTAAAACTTGTGAAAGCTTTTCTTTAGTCTATATCGTAAATTTCGCGTCGAATACTGCAAAGTGTAGATTGTAATAACTACAGGTAAAGATAAAGTGCAAGAAATGAGGAGGTGACTGGCATTTAAGAGGTCAATTTCGAATGTAGATACTGCAAAATAGGACTGCAATGGTTACTGGAAGGAAAATTTAGTGTGCCAGGTGCCCAGAAGTTTACGAGGTTCAAACACAAGTTTAGCTGTTACTTGAAATTAGGAAAGCTTTGACTTGATCAAAACTTGAGATCACTTGAAATTAGTAAGTTTTCGGAAACAAAGAAAGTTCATTTAGATGCAAAACATTGTGTTAGCATGGCTTATCTTTCCTTTCCACACTCACATTGCTCATAAACCAGCAAAAGAAAATAACAAGGCGAAAAAATTCAGTTTTTGAATTGTATATTGGATTTCTTTAAAGACAAAAAACAAAGATTTTCTTTGATATTTAAATTTCTGACTAATCAAGGATTTCTTTTATGAAAAGAAAGCTTTACTTCAATTCTTCGATTACAAAACTTTTTGACACAAAAAGGACAAATCAATGATTGAAAAAAAGACTCGTTGCTAGGGAGTCGAAAGGTGAAAGTTTTGACTATATTTTGTAAAGATTACAAAAACTTAGATGTTAAATACTTTTATTAAAGTTTTAAGAAGTGATAACAAAATGAAATTGAAACATGAAAGATTAAAATGAAAATTTCTCAAAATGGCGTCTTTTAAAGATTTCCCCCTTTGAGCTTTTTATTGGCTTTCTCTTTGAGAAATAAAAAAACAAAAGTGTCACCGATCAGCTTGTCTATATTGACTCACAAATAAAGGGGGAATTCACGTGAAAGTTTAAGAAAGCAAAAATCAGATCTTTGAGGAATTAGTATCGTAGAAGGTTTAAAAATGCATACTCTATGATTAAACTAGTGTGTTACTGTCACTTTTGCTAGTCCAAGAAAGCAAAGTTTGGCTAAGTAGTACCGATTTATGTTTTTTTTATTTTAATCGTTCTAGGAAATCTTTTCAAGATTTTAATCGAAAACGATTTGAGATTATAATCATTTCACAGGCCCATTGAAAAGACAAGAGATTTTTCAAAAATCGCCTTGAAACAATAAATCAAATGGATTTGTCGGAGAAAAATTTCGCACAGGGGAGATTATAAAAATTGCTCGACGATGAAACTACACAGAATACAAAACATTAGAAATACATACTCTATGATTAAACTGGCGTAATACTGTAACTTTTGAAAGCCAAAAAAGGGAAAGTTATGCTATTAAATAATAGCTCTTGAGTTTTTGAAACTAACAAGGGAAGGCCAACTGGCTGAGCCGACCAAATGGCACGCAACCTGTACCATTCAACGTAGAATTGCACGCTGTTCCAAATCCGCTTTCCGCTTTTGTTAAAAGTCATTCTGACAGGAGTTATAAGCGTCTAAAGTTTTGTTAGGACTCAGAAAATATGGGTTTTTGGGACTTAGGCACCTTCCGCGCGGACTCGATTCGACTAGGCCGTGGTTGAGCGGTAGAGCGTCTGTGTCCGAGACCCAAAAATCTCTGGTTCGAATCCGCGTATCGGATTTTTCTGCTTTTTTTCAAGATGTGAAAACTTGCCTTCTTTGTGTGCTCGGACTTGGACCAGCCTCCGAGATCACAGTTTAATCAAACAATCAGTATCAGCGCAGATGGCGCCTAAGACCTAAACCTAAAAACCCATATTTTCTGAGTCCTAACAAAACTTTGGACGCTTATAACTCCTGTTAGAATGACTTTTAACAAAAGCGGAAAGCGGATTTGGAACAGCGTGCAATTCTACGTCGAATGGTACAGGTTGCGTGCCATTTGGCCGGCTCAGCCAGTTGACCTTGCCTTGCAAATAGGATGACAAGATTTTAAAAGTTAAAGATAATATTAAAAGGTTTTAAGTCAAATATAAGATTGACCAAAACAACGAGAAAAATCTTAACTATCTTAACTAACTAACTTAACTAAATGTAAAGTGTAAGTGGTCTCCAAAAGAGAATTTTATAAATCTTATACAAAATGTAAAAATCTATATGTACAAATCTTTTCTCCAAAGCCACTTCATCATGCTAGAGGTTAAAAGAAGTTAGGTAATGGAAAACGTTTCTTGAAATTCTATGCACAAAATAATCTAGTGAGAGATTTAGAACATAAAGCCATGGCTTTGAGTGATATTTTGGAGCGATTGAGAAGCGGCTTTCAGCTAGTTTATATAAGTGTTGATTGGAAGTTGTTGTTTTCGTTGATCGTTCTTTTTAGTTTTTTTTATGGACTCCTTCTTGAATTGTTGACAAGCAAAGGACATTGTCCTTTAGCTTAGAAAAATGCGGCCAAATGCACGAAAGCTGTCCTTTTTGAGGCGGGAATTCCGGGGAGTCAAAACAAATATCGTGATTTCGCTTTTTCATGTCTAGAATTACATCTTTGCCGATTTTCTGAAGTCAAACCAGACACAACTTCTTTCGATATACATGGCCTGGCCATCAAGGAGAATAGTGCAAAATAGGAAAACAGAAGAATTGTTTCACTGGCATTTAGTTTTGTCTCCAACACTTCTTGAAGTTACAGAATTTGTTTAGGATTTTTAAAAGTTCAAGGCTGACAAGGCGATTTGTGGAATGTTTATATAATGGAAGAAGTAGAATATAACTAGATAGACATTAGACATTTATAAGATGCAAGCTTGATAATGTTCTATAAAATATCCAGTTAAATTAGGTAAAATGAGTTTAAACTCTAGGCGCATATTAATATTTCAAAGCACAAAAGCATACAACATCAGCATTTGCTGCTGTACTAAAAGAAACGAAAGCTTTCATGGAATAAATGTAAAAAAATCGTATAAGTCTGATTAACAAAAGCTTGAATCTATCAATAAATTGGGAAAGCGGCATTTTGATATGTATAGTAGCTTGGGATTATTTCTGGAAAGGGGAAAAGGAGGTGGGGGAAATGAAAGAATGGAGGATTTCGAGAGAGATCTGAATAGAAAGGGAATGAGAAAGGAAATAAGAAGAGAAAGCCCATCCAGAAAGGGGAGATGGACTTTAAGAGAAGGAGAAAGAAGAGAAAGAAGAACAGACCTTTGAGCATTGGGACCCGGACAGCTGAAATGAGGCGCAACAACAGCCATTTGAACTCTTTTCTTTCTACCCTTTCACCTCTTTTCTTCCACATCCAGACACCCTTTCTTCGTTGAGATCGTGAAAAACACATGGCCTTACGGCGCTTGTTTTGAAATGAGGAACAGCTTTAGACTCATTGGGCAAGACTTTAGGACAGTGAGAAAAGTTTAAAAAGCTTTGAATCAAATTGTGATCAAATACTCAAAAACGGAAGCACTTTTAGATTTACTAAGGCATCAGCAAAAACAAAGTAATTTTTAGTTTGTGAATATCAATCACACAAAAATATTCTTCCTCTAGGGCATCCTAATGGGTTTCATCTTGTAATTAAACTTGATTAGTTGAGAGAAAATCTATAAACAGCAAACCGATGAGGTATTGGAGTAGTGTAATAAAGTAAAGAACTGGATGGCAAAGCATTTTGGAACCATTGATTGTGCATTTGTCCGATAAACAAGAGGTCACATTTTTGAATTTCGGGGTCTCCAAGTAATGTATTCCAACCCACTGCAAGAAAAGGTATCTAGCATGTTCAACTAACCAAAGCCAACATCTACAGCAATTTTCCAGAAAACAGTGAATAATTTACCAGCACAATAAGTGCTTTAATCAGTACTTGGCTAATGTTTAGACTGCAGTACGGTGGAAGAACTTCACAAATGAGAAATCAAGTTTTTACAGTGTGTATTGTAGTGTGGCTTGTGCCTTTCTCAAGTCAATTTTTATCAAAACAACAAGTAAATTGTAATTCCATTAATTTATTTAAATTAACCACACGAAATCCCAAACGGCCAACGATTCAAAGTGAAGACCTCTGTCAAACAGTCAAAGTGAAATCATAAAAATTCAGGTAATTTTTTTAATATTTTTCGTTAGATCTGGGTTTAATGAATAAAAACGAACTCAAAAAATGCAAAATTTAAGCGAAAAAAAGAGCAGCTCAGCTGCAAGAACAGCTTTTTTTGGGTACAAGGGGAGAGTTTAGGGTACAGAGAAAATTAGATGAAAAGCGAATCATTTGAAGTTTTAAGTTAGAATCTTTAAGATTGGGTACATTTTGGAGCACAGAGAAAAAGATCAATGAAATAAATTGAATTTAAAAAGTAGATAAAGTTTTTAGCTGAATTGCGTGTTCATTGCTTGGAGCAACCTCGTTCCGGAGCTCTTTGTCCCGAGATTTGATTGACGCCATGATGTGACGCACAAAAGCCTCGTGGTTCTGCAATTTTGCATATTTTCTTTTACCATATAAGATTTTGGAATATATTTGCATATAGTTCTACTTTTTTTAAGCAATACTTATATATTCTGCTTACAATTAGGCACCTCAAAGTCCCAGTCGGGCTTAGGATCGCCTTTGTACTTTATCGTCACATAAACAAGCGCTCTCTGGCACACTCAATTCCTCATTTTACTTGACTGTTTATTTAGCACAACTCCTCAAAAAAGAAAGAGTCAATGATAAGTACTTTGCGCGTTTAGAAACGCACAGCCTATGGGGCTCCTCATTTTCAACACCCATAGGATCAAGCTGTTAGCAAAAACGATACGTTTATTATGCTAGATCCGATACGTTTACTTGAGCACAATATGCGGCTGATTTTTCCTTATTTAATACCTGTTGTCGTAGTGGTTGCACGGGAATCCATTGGATACACTTCGCCGCCTTAACACCAAGTTGTTTGCCTGGAATTCAAGCAGTTAAATATTTCTTGGCTTACATTATTCTTAGCTTGTATAAGATTCAATTTCAATTACTCACATCATTTTCCCCGGAAGCACCCAAATCTTGGATGGGTGACCTTGCATGCGAGTGCTGTATAGAAGGCCTCAGCGCTTCCTCGATCAATTCACCGATCACAAACGGGAAACCGATTGAGTTGAAAAGCTTGCCGAATCTGAAAATTAAAAAATTTATACTCGAAAAAGTTTCAACTTCAATCCTAAACCATTTAACTTTTGAACAACAATTCTAGTCTCGCTTCTTTGCGTGATTTCAATTCTGTTTTGCCTTTTAGCTAGCATTACCTAATCTCAAAACTCGGAGATTTATCCAACCTAAACTTTAAATTTTGGGGGTTAATGCTGGTTTTTTCTGACTCTTTCTTGTGACTAGTTGCTTATTTATTCTTTCTATCCACTGCATGTTTCTTACTCTCAGTTAATTGAATGTGCCGCAAATTTGAATTTAATTCCTTAGATTTAATTTGTATTTAATTCCCCTTCCTTAAATATTTGAATTTAACTCAATTTTTGAACTTTTATTACAAAAGTTTAAAATTCTTTAAAAAAAATTAAATTCCTATCCTTTTGTACGTTTATGTTTTCTGAGCCAGAAGCGGCTCCCTTCTATATATTTACATATTGGGCTTACTTTTTCATCCACCATGAATAAAGTATGATTATTATATTATATCAAAGCCACTCACCGATCCGTGGTGGATCCACGTATTTGACTCTGTTGTGATTGATGGGATGGATGGATCTTGGGTGGGTAGATGAGACCCGATTGAGCTCCACCCATCAAAACCGCGTAATCTAAACGAATCGATCAATTTTATTATTTCCACCATCCATCACTTCTACTCCCTACTCCTTTCGGCCAATCCGAAGAGGATAAATGGAGAGGCCACACACTAAAAATGTTCATTATTAGTTTGTTTTTGTAATCAAATTTTTGCAAAATCCATCTGGATATGTCTTAAGCTTTAACCATAGTCCTGCCAAGTCCATATTTTACCTTGTGCTAGTGACAAACGCGAGATCTTTAGTACACTCAGTTTGTTTTTCAGCGACCCTACCAGGCTCTAGTGTGCCAGAAGGTTTGTGTTTAGCAGAATACAAAGTACAGCCAACCCTTTCCCTTGCTTACATTTGAATAGCCATCCGATAGAAATCAATGGAATAAGCAGCGGGTTGTTGTGAACGAATGAATTGATCCAAATCGGAAGCCACTCGATGCAGCTACATGATATCCTCTTCATGCCCGGGTTCTAAAAGATTTGTTTGTTAATTTATTTTTGTGTGTCTCAGAATATTTCATATACTGTCGATCATCTTGTTCCCTTTTCCCCATTGTCTCCAACGCTTTCATGCCCACATTGTAGGCGAGCAGCAATTTCCCAAACACCACCTCGCTTGGCTAAACGTACAGTAATCTCTTTAAAATTATCAACAGAGTACTGTAATTTGTTTCAAAAAAGTACTCATTTCCTTAAAGGGATAAGACAGATGTTTAACTTTGGTACAAAAATAGGTAGATCAACACTAGATCAGAGTGATAGATCTAGACTTACCATATTATAATGATGTGACGAGTAGGGGATGAGTATGCTGAGAGATCGGACGAATCAGGATGGATCGTTTTGTTGAGGGATTTGACCGGGCAGAAGTGATGGAGCCGAATGACTTTGATGGATGGATGGAGGCGGCCCTCTCACAGATGGATCAACACCGCCATTTGGCACCATCATCATTCTAAAGGAGAAAAGTTAAATTTTCAAGAGTATGGCTTACGTGGTATGAAGCTGAAATTGTTGTGGATGGAGGTACATTGTGTGCGGCCCGGGTGAGATGAGGCGTAGCCTGACCCATGAAATGTTGTTGTGGAGGAGCGGGTGGGGGGATTGAGGGATGGAACTGAATGACAGAGGAGGAATCGTATGCTTTTGGTCGCTGGGAAAAGTCGATGATAAAAGACATTACTACTGGATACAGCAGGATAACTAGATATAGCTAGAATGAAATTTGATGAATACTGTACAGAAGTGTAAGCTACTATTAAAAGTGTACACAATACCTTTAATTCGTAATGGGAAAGTCGGTTACTGGTAAAGCTGCATGTTTCTGTTAAGGATAACCAGCCCCAAAGGAAGCTTTAGCTGAAAATTGGTACCGCTTAATTACGATATCTACAACTGCTATTTCAAGCTTAAACTGGTTGACGGTAAAGCCAATCTGTACTGTCTCGGGTCAAGATATTTAACCAAAAAAGCTTTGTATTATACTGGCTAAATAACTCTTTGTTTACATAAAGGTAATAAAGTAATCCTCATACTATCAAAACTATAAAGAACAAACCATGTAGTTCATATGCGATGAGTGGAAATGTGCTGGTCGTTGTGGGGTCGTTAGTGGAATTGCTGAGGCATCATTTGAGGGGCGAATTATTTGTGGTGACGATGGTAACTGGAAATATCATTGATGTTCGATAACCAAAAAAAACAAGTTACCTGTTGCTGTGGTTGTTGCTGAGAAGTGCTTGCCGCGCTTGCAGCATCATTCTCCCTTTGGGACAACTCATGCCAATATTTGGCGAGACAATGAAGAGAATCTTCGGCGCCACTCCGTCGCCCGTTCCAGAAGCCCGGGAAATGGTGTTGATTAAGTTGATGTCGGAAGATTACGCAAACGAGTGTAAATTGCGTTCCGAATACGACACCTGTCCCACCTGTTTACCTTTCAAACCCGCTCTACCACGTTGTTCAAGTAGAGCCGTGGGCTTTGCTTCCGTGGTGGAGCAACAATTGGGTGGCCAATTCCCTGGAGTGGAAAATCGTGCCCTGCAGAGTGAAGGGCGTCCACGGCAAGATGAGTCTAGGCCTGAAAGTCACGATAATACGCTGGAAAACCGTTTTATGGGGCAAGAAGCCACGGCTCGAAGCCAGATTTAGCCTGGACTCCAGTTAATCTCCTGGTTCCTGGGACGGGACCAAAATCAGGCCTGAAGCCTTTTTAATCTATTTATCTCATAAAGTACTTGGGCATAAAAAGTATTCAACTCTAACTTTTCTCACACAAGAAATCTGAGAGATTACGGTATGCAATATCCAGCTAAAACGACTTCTCTTCCACTACCTGAGTCACAGTAGCCAAAAGTTCCGGCTGTATCCTGGCTGCAAAATGATGTCAGCTACTTCTCCCGGAACCAAATAAGTTCTTCTCCATCGTGCTTCTTGTAAGATCTCAAATGGCTGCTCCACCTGGAAAGCTCAATTTCTAAGTAATTTACTTGCTTTCAAACCGATTTCATCAATTTGCGTCTTCAACCACGACACATGTTGGATCTGGAAGTCCTGGTCGCCATGTGCTATTCACCAGATTGTTCAATCCCAACCACATAAAGACCGATGAGGAAAAGCGGCTATCTGAAGCTTCTTGATTAACCTTAAATTCATATTTATTTATCGTTGATCTGCTTATTTACATTTATTTCAGGTACAGAATAATTGCATATAGAATAGTGACATGGGACCTAAAGCTATCCCACCCTTGTTGCTGAACGTTCGGATCCGGGTCGATTATTCCAGTGTTCCCGTGGATTGCGCCTTGTGGTCCGCCAGCTTCGGCCAAGATTTCTTCTGCAACCCCAGGTACGCAAGGTGACCCAACCATGCTCACTCTAGTCGCTCACTTCCATACGCGTAAAAAAGAGAGTATTCCATTTAGATCTTCTGAACAAATTCCTGACATTGTACAAAAATATCAATAAGTATGTACAGCTTTAAATTGGTCTGAATCCGATTTGCTTTCTTGCTTCATCATTGATGTTTTGAGATTTCATGGCAAGGCTAGACTTGTAATGCTTAACTTCTACATTCAAAACAACTAGGTATGTAACTTTACTAATAGTTCATAGTTTTTAACTCAAGAAGTGGAGGTAATTCAAAGTAAAGAAAAAAGTAGATTTCGGGATTGAACCTCGACCTTGTCTTGGTCAATCCACTGAGTTTCGATAGTTTAACTTGTCGGGAAAGAAGGAAAAACAAGGGGAAAGAAGAAAGGAATAAAGAAAGAAGGGAAATAAGCTGGCTGTTCGTAAACGTACTTTTTGAATAACTCATAGAAGCATCAAGCTGAATCACGAAGCTCATCGGCTCAGCACAAAGTGAAATCCGACGGAGGATCTGCCAACTGACGGAGGAGCCATTGAAGAGCATGTTGACTAAAGAGCAAAATAAATCTCAAATCTTTAACCTCTGCTATATGTTAGTAACAGGACTAGTATAATCTCAAAAAAACAGCTGCTATTTCTCTCACCGCTTGTGGACTATTCTCGATCGGTGCTTTCCGATGTGGATTGTTCCGTTTTGTCTTTCGACAACAGTCGATTGGGGTGAGATTTGGCTGAAGACACTCGCACCGCTGACAATCCACGGGTCATTCTGCTCTGTTTACTATCGGCACTGGGTCCCTCGGGTCCCTCGGATCCTGATATTGAGTTCTCACCATACACTCCAGGCGGATTGGGCACGACGCCGATCTGGAATGGAAAATGTTATCAATGTAAGACTAGATTGTACTTCTTGCACATTGGTCATTGTTTTAATCTTCTGCAATATTCCTCTTACCTTGACACAAAAGCCGGTGCCGAGGCTGCTGAGTTGTCTCTGCTGGCCAAGGATCTCCAAACCCCGGGCCGATATGGATAATGTGGACGAGCTCCCTTTTGACAATATTTTGTAGGATGGATCTTGTTCGAGGAAATAACAAGCATTCGATTGATGTCTCCTGAAAATATTTGATTCCATTCGACTCTATTTGTCTTACATCTCATTGTACATCAAAAGCCGATTCTCCTTTGCCGAGCAGTCGATCCAACAGCATGTCCGAGCATCTCGCTTGAGTTCCCGTAACCGGAGTTTATGAATTGGAATGCATAAACAATCTTACTTAATATAAGGCGCAAAGTATGTATGTATGTCTGTTCGGGCCATATAAAAGCTTCCATAGAAATATCTACCACTTCCAATCATTAAAGTCGATGCTAGATAAACTTTCTTTGTCGTCGCACTGTCTCCGTCAATATTGGACAATTGTCTTCCGAGAAGATCTTAAAGATAAAAAGCTAAATTTCAAAATAAAGCCCCTCTATCATTATATTCACTCTTCCCTGGAATAAAACACAACATTAGCGTTATTAAAGCTATAGTAATTCTAAGATTGCCAAAACATTTGTCAAATCTCAACCTTGCATATGAATCTATTAAGGAAATTATGAGTAATTATTTTCTCCTCGGTCTAACCCGTCTTCGTTTCCCAGCGCATCCAAAGGTGTTCCTAACGAAATGATCATCTGTCGGCAATCTTAAGCCGATATTCTTTAGCTGCACTCGACGGGGGCCACAAATGTACCGGATAAATTAAACCTTAAAAATTTCTTCTTTTACCCATATGATTCCCATTTGGGTACATGAAAAAGGCATAAGAGAGTGAATCGAAGATGAAATGGCATAAAGCAATTGATGGAGAGGAAGAGTGACGGGCTGGGGAGATTCGATTGCAATAATTTGGCCGTTTCTTTCTCTCACCATTCCCAGCTCGCATTGGGGGATCTCGATTCCGCGAAGCGACTGATAGAAGATAAAATTTCCTGAATTGGGGACGGGGTTGCCAATTTTGATTGCTTTTACAAATTCTTAACAGAAAATCAAATAGAAAAGAAAAATCAACTCACCACAAATGAAACAATTTCACTTTGAAGATACTTGTTCATGCCATCGGCGTGTCATAAACCTGGAGCACGAAAAAGCAGAAAATTGAAAACACACACCCTTAAATGCAACGAGGAATCGCTCACTTAGCAAGATCTTAGATTTTGCTGATAAAAACATTCTCAACTACCAAACCTCGGCGAGGAAAGTTGGCTCTTTCGAAAGTCTTTATTGTCCTCCCAGAGGGAACCAGTAGTTTTCGGTAACAGTTACCAATGGAGAGATCAGTTGATTCAAAATCATCTTTAAAGCTTCTTCCATTTTTGATCGGAGCTTTTCATTTCTGGATGTCCTGAAATACTTGATACTGAAAATACGGAATAAAGGCACAACTGTATTGCATCCTCTCTGATGGTTATCGTTATGGGGCAAAAATAAGGTCGAGTCTGGGGGAGGAAATTTTCCTGGGGATTCGGGTGGCTTTAAAAGAGCTCGAGACACTGTTCCCCAATTTGGTCCAAAAATGAAAAAATACGGGCAAAACTTCCGAGGGGATTTGGGCATAGTGGCCCCCTAAACGGTGAGGTTTGATGAATTTATGGCTTCGGAAAAGGGAATCATCTTATGCTGAGTGGTTACGCACACTGTGAACACCTTGCTAGCTAGTTATTTACATAGAGATTTCTTCTTGTTTTTGTGGATGATGTTATGAAGAAGATAAAGTGGTATTCTTGGGACTCTTACGCACACCAATTTAAATAGTAAAATTTGCATACGAACAAACATTATTCCCTTCCTCAGAAGACCAAAAAGAAAATTTCTAATTTTACTTTTTAATTTTGAAGGCTTTGTTTTAGAGATGGGCATTTTTGTCATCAAAAGGCAAAGATCTGTTTGCCAAAAATTCTTCAAGAAATTTCAATCTGTTTTCCAATTCGATCGTCAAATTGTCTGAGATTTTTCAAAAATGCAAAAAAATGGCTTATGTTTAAAATGGAAAAACGAGCGGCGTTTTGGGCGCAATATGCAAATGTGAGCGTCTTGTATGCTAACGATAGGCAGTAGGCAAACTGATAGTCAAAGCTAATTGGTGGGCGGAAGAGCTACAAGTACCGATAAAGCTATAAATTTGTACTCCGGGGTTTGCGGATTCGAGGAATTCATTAGAAATATCTTTTATTTGGGTCAGAGAGCCTGATCGTTAAAAAGTAGCTAAACCGAGGACAGATAGTGGCATCTCGAATGATGTCTCAAATTTAACCTTATTTTCCTTTATTCTTCAACTTTTTCCATTATTCACTCACCCAATTACTCGATTCACTTTATTCTTTCCCCTCGTTCACTCTGCTCTTCAAATGATTAAGATGAGTGATTGATGGAAGCGATAGATCCGGTGGAGACGCTCGAAGGAATGGTATCAACTCCAAAGCGCTTCGGGCGAAACCTCTCTCATACCTAAGTTTTAACCACAGAATCCCATTTTCTCTTCACCCATGAACGTGGAGAGCTTTTTACGAGCAAGCAAATTTCAACTCCAAACCCTCGGGACTGATCTGTGCGCCAGACGCCAGCAATAGTCAATGTCCCCATTCAAAAATTCAGTGCTACAAAGCAAAGCTCTGTTAAGTGCTGACTTAATGGAATCACGAACCTGTTAGGGAAGATGAATTTGCCCAGACGATCCTTCGCTTGATCCCGGGGGGAATGAAAAGCGGCAAAATTCCGTGGGGGATCACCTCTTGTCTCGCTTGTGGGCTTTCATCTCAACACTCTGGTTGCCCGGCTTGCACCAGTCGAGCAGCTCTGAACGAAATTAAGTGAATAAGTGGAAATTTCATTTTAGATTTGCTACTCTTACATCAAGCTTATATAATTGGTTTAACGAAATGTCTTACCTTCTGGTTGCCTCCGTGGTCGCCCCTCTTAAAGAGCGATGACTAAGAATTCGGGCAAAAATACTTGATGTCCTCGCCGTCCCATTGCACCACCCAATGGTCGCTTTTATAACGTTTCATATCTTTTTCCAATTATCTTTTCTACCTTCTTTTCTTTCTTTTTCTCAAAAAAGACATGACAATCGCATGATTGCAAATGGGATCCAAACGGTGATGGTCCTTGTAAAATGGGCTGGACAAAGGTGGGTGATCGTTTCTTGGGAAGAAATGGAAGTGATGGGAAATTTTCTCTCAGCCTCCTCGATGCTACTAATTGGGAGTGAGGTGGAACAGTGCTGAAAAATTAGTTGCAAAGTAATGATAATCTTCCCTAGTTACTCTTAGATCTTCTCAAAAAGTTCAATCGTATGCGTAAATTTAAATTTATTTAACTCAAAATGACCTAGGGTTAGACCGGAAAATAGAAGTTCAGCTGAGCCAGATTCAGAAACAGCTGGGTGCCTTGACTCTACTAGACTGCCAGACTTGCTAGTCATACCTAGCCTTGGACTCCAGGCTTCTTTTAGAGCCCTGGACCTCTGGCTTACAACCAAGGCTCCTCTCCAAACCATAATGACTAACTCTCAGATGATAAATGGTGAAACACGTCGATTTCAGCCTGATAGAGACAATTGTCCTAGTCATGACACTTAATAAGCTTCCAGTGCAATGAAGAAACCTGGGAAGAAGACTCGAAAAAAATGCGCTCTGGGTTTCACTTTCTCCCTTTCTCGTCGCAAACCCAACAAAACCAATGCGTGATGCTAAAATTGAATGAATCGAGATGATTTCCTTGATTTGTCAATAAATTAGGATCAAACTCCAAACCTAAAGAAATGGGTCAGAGATACTTGGGCAAAGTTTCAAATATTCTCACAAGCCATTCGATGTGGATGATTGGAGATAAGTAGTTAACTGAAGAGTGGAATTATGGTGGTTTGTAAATCTACTTCTAACCGCATTTTTCTCTTAAAATAAATGAAGAGGAGTGGATTCAACGCCGCGCATCGCCAAATCTGACGATCTCGTCGAACAACGTCAGAGTAAATTCATTGTAAACGAGCGGTAATGCTGATTACCGTCGAGTTAGCGCCTGTAAAGAGATTGATTACATCGGATTAGATTTCCTAAATTCTAACACCTTGACCGATCCATGGAAAAGTCCATCTTTCCAGTTTCAGCCAATTTGGCCATGTACCACCAATGAGCATCGGCTCACCATATCGTGACATTGCTCGGTGATTATGGGCAAGAGGGTTGTCGCGTTTTCGTCCTGTCGTTGGTGCCATCTCTCGTACACCGACAATAGATTCATAGAGAGCTGTGTGCATTCCCTGTTTTCTTAGATCAACAATGTTTTTAAGCGGTAGAAGAGGGTTTGATCACTTGATTACTCTTAGCACCGGGATACACAAGTAGAAGAATACCAGTGTTCGAATTTTTAGCAAGCTTTGATTTGTTTTAGTACTTTTAAAGTCACAATACTAAGCCTAAAACCATCATACACCATAGTTAATTAGATTTTGCTCTTATAATTTTCAAAGTCTGTCACCTCTTGGTCCGTTGGTCTATTTATAAATTCTCATAAGAAATAAAAATGAGAACTTTCTCAAACTACTGTTATTATGTACCATCATTTTTAAATGTACATATTAAATTCTTGTGAGTTATCTAATACAAGTTCCAAATTTAATTAGCATAGTTTTATTTCCTCGCCTCAAGTACTAGACATGGAAAATTTCCAAGCTGAACCTTTCGTTTCACCTTCGTTTCCATCGTGCTTGGTGGATTATTCTGAAATTTGCCTACAAGCGAAAAATGTCGATTCTATCTGAAGACAAAATCAGAGCAATCGGCCAAAAGGAAGGTCGAATTAGTTTCAGATTGGAATTTTCCCCATGTCTAGTTTCTGCTCAATGTTTCCTGCCAGAAAATCCCTCTGGAATAAAATTCAGACTCGGGAATCGAGCCCACGTGGCAGGCGAGCATTCTTACCACTGAACCACCTGTGTAATGGTCAATGATGGAAATTATGGGTCTAGTTATAAGGTTTCTCAAAAGCCCCAGCTTGCCACTCCTGGTTCACGACTTCTGGAAAGATCGGGTGCAGTGAGTGAGAAATCTCAAAAGAGATAAGTGCTCAGGGAGAGGACATTGACTCGACGTCACTGAAACCAAATTTATTTTATTTCCACGGGTCTCCGTATTGTTTTAAGTATATATCATAATTTGGGATTATAAATAACTCTCACCAATGCACGTGTGGTGACGGGATGCAGAAATTTGTTGATGCTCGTCGTACATTTTCCCTGGGCACATCTTCGTTGAACAATCTGATTGCCCGCTTAGAGTTTGAATAAAACTAAAAAAAAAAACTTTTCTTTTCTTTTAAGGCTTGGAATTTTCTAAAAAGAAACCTCGCAACAGAGCAGGGACGCTTGAATCGATGCGAGCGTAGGTGTTGATCTCCTCGTCGCTGACTTTTCCTGTGCTCATCGAGCAAGATTAGGGCTTGTCGGCAAGTACTTGAACAAGTATTGATCCAGTAGCGGACCGAAAATTTCTTAATCAAATATCCAATCAAACCTGTCTGGGCAATTTGCTCAACAGATAACCGAGGAATACTCAGTAATTTGTCCGCCTTCATTTCTGAGATCGCCTCTCGATTAATGGCGGACGGAATTGACCCAGAAAATTTGGTCATTGGATGTTTAATTTTTTATCTATCTAGGTGGATATTTTCAATAAATGATTACCTGATACTTTCAACCCCAATCAATCAGTCTTCACCGGGCGATCGAGGCACAAGGCAACCGGGGGTACTAACACCATTGGGATTTGGGGTCACAACTGCACTCCAACCTTACGATTCGGCACTCCATAATTGTGTTGGTTTCTGCTTTCGATCAAAGTCACAATTTAGTACTATGGTATATAAATTACCTTAATTAGCTTTAGAACTTTCTGATTTAGAAAGTTCGACTTTGCCTTCGATTTCACCTGGGGGTTCGACGTTTGCGCTCTTCAAGGGAGTTTAAAAAAAAAAACGGTTAACAATACATTTAAAAGTGAACTCAAAGATAAACAAATTGCTTTATCATTCAGGCTACCTTGTACCAACTTTCAATTTAATAGATAATTTCAATTCCAATAAACTTCGTCAATCTTGGCGTGGGAAAAACTCGATGCTCATCTTTACTAAGACTGATTCCGATTTTGCCCGTTTGCTCATCAAGAATCGCTTTCCTGCGTACAAGACCGGATAGATGGAATCAACAAACGTGAGAATTATATTAGAAATTAAATTTTTGGTAGTTCTGTAAACTGATCTGCAGTACATCGTGCACGAGGTTCTCTTTAAGTAGGGCGTCTCCTTCGCTCACGAACTCATCTCCATTTCGTTGGTTTGCCAAACAACTAAATAGCTTTGTGAAAATGAACGATAGCGTTTAATAGTGGGTTTCAGTTCAATATCTTTTTTGAATCATCTACAATGCTTTCAAAGTAATCAACAAGAGCGATTTGTTCCACTCACACCGAAACATCCTCTTTCACTCTTCGGAAAACAATACGAACGATCTCCATGAAATAATCTTCGAAATATATGTCTTGTCTTGTAGACTCCACGATATCGGATTGTCCAGATTTCCATGAAAAGTGTCTGAAAAGCGTCTGAGTTTAAGAATTTGAGTAAAAGATCGAAATAGTAAGACTCAGGAATGACAAATACTTAACGATATCTCTCGGGAATGCTCGGGAAGGAGAGGTGTTGAGCGCAAGCTCGGCGTATAGAATGGTCAGCAATGATCCGATTTGAGCACCTGAAAAACAGGACTTATAGTTAGAATGATTTGTTTGCTTGAAAGTTTTCACATTTGAAAGTCGCGCTCTTTGGTTGAGCAAAACGGTATGCCATTTTTACAGTCTGCTAGCGGAAAGCTTCATATAATGGTATAGTTTCGCGGGAAAGTTTGCTGTCAAAACTTAAATCCAACTTAATATGGATGATTTTTTTTGCTACCGGAAACAATCATGTCCTCGTTGATGATGCAGAACCGCGTGGTCATGTTGAGCCGTGTGAGTCAGACGGCGCGGCTGAATGTTCCAAGAAATAAACAACAAAACGATCTGAGGGCGCCCAGGTTGATTGTAGCCGTGATACTTTTTCCTATAAAACAAACTTTGCTTAGTTACGGTCAGTTTGGATTTATTCCTTCTCGCCTAGTAAATATCTAATTTGAACTCTTCAAGGGATGTTTGAATCAAGAAATTCTTCAATGCTATTAGTAAATTTTGGACAAAGCAGTATTAGGTTGAGTACCCAACAAATAATTTTAAATTAGAGTTTCACCTGAAAAATGTTTGGCGGATGATCCCACCATTTCCTCTCTACAACATCTTTAAAAGTCACAAAAGCTGGCGGGGGGTTGTTTTATTAGCAAGATCTGGGTGTTCAAAACATAACAAGATCTAAGGATGTCATTTGACTGTCTTCCCATGAAGCTTCTATCTTAATGACAAAATAAAATTTATAAAGTACAAAAAGCTGGAGTCTGATAGTGTAAAATAAAATTTTCAGAATAATCTGTTTAGCGGTTTTCCTATATGAGCCTCAGTTTTTCAACATTTTCTTCCGGGTAGACATTATTCTAAAATGCTAAAAATTCGGAGCCAATGAGATGCAAACGATAAATGAAAAGCCATGAAAAAGAAACCGTTTGGTATTAGGTAGTTTGGAGACTTAAGATAATGATATTTTTTTTGATAAACGAAACAAGAAGATGTGCAAAAATCGGTACTCAATCATCATATTGCCATTGCACCTAGATAACTGTAAGTATATTCGGATATAAATTGATAAAATTACGATTTCAACAGAGGTATTTGCTATTAAGCTAGTCACAACCTCGCTCCTCCGCGATTCTTCATGGGGGTCCATCTCTACAGAGGCTTTTGTTGAAGGCGGGGTTTATAGATCTGATCGATCGCGCGGGAGTTTGACTTTCCTGAACGTCGAACTCAAAAAGAGGTTAAAAAACGTTAAATAAAAACAAAAATATAAAAAATATGTCGTTAATATGTTGTAAATACTCCTGGAAAGATATCCGAACGACGGTCGCTCGATGAGCGATTCTGAAGGCCTGGTCGAAACCAATTGAATGGTTTCAGCTCTTTCCGCCAACATCTCTAGAAACCTACAGATATGACAAAAATTATGGCCAAATTTTCCTAGCTGGCAATGGCTTTTAGGTACCAGAATGAATTTAAGATTTCTTTTCGTCTTTCCAGAGGCTTTGGAATCTAATTTTGCCATCTCGTTCTTTTTCCAGTTGTAACTACTACAGGTGAATTATAGGCTTCCAAAAAGATGGTTTTTCTCTCTTTGGTAAAAGGCAATAGTCTTTTGGGGCCTAGAACTGACTATAAAAATCTTATTAATTGTATGGAGCTGTGGAGGAGAGAGGTGAATGTAACAAAGTCACACACCATCAAAAACCACTACTTTTTCCTAAAAGACTTGAAAAAACTGTTGAAAATTAGGTATAGAACACATTTCAAAAACTCATTGGGAATGTTAATTTTGCATAACTCTTTATATCACTTAATAAAGACTTAATTACAAACTAATTGTTTAATCCATTCTTTATCGTTTTCTTAAATGATCTGCTACCTGGCCAGTTTTGCTCAGCAATGCCAGAAATATTCTTGAAAGAAGTCAAAAAGTCTTGGAAATAAGCGGCAGTCGCCAAAATTTTTCCAATAAAAGATTTGTTCAATTTAAAGCTGATTGGAAATGGATTTAGAGTTTAATGACTGAAAACAAAAGCAAGTTCAAAAAAAGTAAAATAAAACTTTGAAGCAAGCTACAGTTTGAAGGGAAGCATGAGAAAGGCCATTTTGGCTTTAAAAGAAAAGAAAAGAGAATGGTTCTTTCAAGTTGGGACAAAGTGGAAGAATGAGGGCAAGTGATATAAGCAATGACTAGATGAGACTCAGCAACTATATAAATGTGGGAATGGTAATATGGGTGAGAAACATATGCAGATTTGTAGTGTAGATATAGAAAGATAGATGCAATGGCGAGAGAACTGTGTGGAATAGGTACTGTCAGCCATAAAATAAATATTTAAGAGGTAGACCTGGGACTTGGAGTAAGCTAAAAAAATGGTTTGGGAGGAACACAGAATGTGATGATTTTTCTTTCGTATTTTATATGCAAGGGGGGAGAGAAAGCAAGGAAGGAGACTGAAAAAGATAAGAGGTTAAAGGACTAAAGAGGAAAAGTGAAAATGGAAGAAGACTTGGAACTCGCAATTGGGATGAGAAAAGAAAGGGATTGGAGGAGTAAAGAGATAAAAAGTGAGCGACAAAGAGAAAAGAGAGTTCAGAGAAAAAGAATTCTGTAGATGGGAAAAAGCGATGGAGAAACTTAGAGGAAGGATGAGGAAGTTGGAAATGGAAGAGAGTGAAAAAGAACAAAGAAGTAAAAGAGAACCCTCCCTAATAGAACTGAATGGTTCAATGGGATCGATAGAGGACTTTCAGAAAAGATTTATGGGGTGAAGAGGGGGAAGAGATGGTTGCTGGAAGAGATAGTCACCTTTCTAGCTAATAATCTATTACTGATCTTGGCGCCATCTTCCACACTCAATTTTTCGCCCTCTCTATTTTCTTTTTCCACAGGAGGAGTGCTGTCGTGAGCCCCTCAATCCTGCCTCAGTTTTGGGCATTCAAAGCTCGATTAACATGTGAAGGCCAAATAAAGCGAGAATTTCAAGAATCAGCCTGCCATAGGAACTAAGTTTTCGCGGAGCAAAATTCTTTTAACAAAGATACCTGCAGCAAAATGTCTATTTCATACCAGAAAAATCTATCGGTATGGTTTCAAAGATGTTGCACTCACCAAGAAACAGCCAAACTTGAGCCGGGAACCAATCGATTTAAAACCCTATAAGGAGAGAATAAAGATTTCAACGTAAAGAAAAAGGAGAGGAACTTAAGTATGCTTAAAAGCGTGTCAATCCTCGAACGATACCGAAAACTTGGGCTATGGGTTATCAAATCTACCCACTTTTTTGGAGCCCAGTATAAAAAAATATGGGGCGACAAAAAGATAGGGTAGAGCTAACCAGATGAAATTGAAAGGCACTTGTAAGGCAAAATTCTAGTTTTCGAAAGTTGGCACGTTTTAGAAAAGAAGGAATACTTCTGCTTGAAAATATCAAGACTTAAAAAAATCAAAAGAATCTCTTTATACATAAATGCAAATCGTAAGAAAATACCGGGAAAATGAATCAAATTCCCGACGTGGGAAAATACGAAAGAATCTTTGAATCAAGATTCAGATGATCCGAAATCACATTGTGTACTTGAATTCTTTCTCTTCCCCTTTTATTAGCACGAATTAAACCGTTAAGGGAGTTTTCTTTAGGGATTCTCGTTGAAAAATATAAGACAAGAAAATAGAAAATAATTTCAAAGATGAGCAAGTGAGGCCACCCAGGGGTTTTCCCGCTGTTCGTGTTCCACATGGGCGACAACTTGTTGACAGACGTGCTTCACGAGAGTGCGAACGGCGTGCTGAAATTGATGATGAGGCGTTTGATTAGACTCGATCTTCTTGATCATTTTCCTTAGGTTGCGCTTGGGGAAATCTACCGTACTATAGCTTTTTCTTAAGCCTAAGCCTCTCAGTGATCTCCCAATTAAAAGACCAGATTGACGAGTATTAACTGACTACTGTAATGAGTACTGTATTATGAAAAGCATATTGACTAACAGTACATATATAGACCAAGTATTGGCTACTGAAAATGAGTACTGATTGCGTGAATACCGATCTGGTTATTTTAGAAAAGAGACAGAGAAACCTGCACTACTACATTCTAGTCCCTATTATTAAATAATACATTTATTTAAACGAATAATTTGGTACAAAAAATACACAAGCCCAACCCCTAAGCCCTAAATGGAGGGGAAAAACCATATATTAGGCTGGAAAGGTCAAAGTGAAAATTTTTTTCTTTTCTTCTTATCAGTATTCCCCAGCACCAAAAGCATTCCGATAAAAAAGGGTTTTTTTTTACACCACCCTTCAACTATTGATTACTAAAAAAACCCAAATGGAATATTAGTATTTTCTGTTTTATTTTTATCTTTCTTTGAAGGCATCCGAGACTCTACCGAAGGAACATCTTTTGCATGTCCTCTTGTTTCCCCCCACTTCAAGAAAAATTCCACCCTTTCTGTGAGAGATTAACCATTTTTATGGGCCAGTTCATTTAGTCTAACAACCGCTTACAGATGTTTCCACCGTTTCTAGAAAGGCGACTTTTCCCTAGAGAAAGAGGCGAGGGGTGGGAGTGTGAGTGACTTCACTAAAGCGGCTCTAACTGAGCTCCTGGATCGACAACAAACAATCAAACAGGGCACTGGGAGAACAATTAAAGGCCTCTCATACAACAGTGATAACCCATCTCTATTCAATGGTGTTCATTTGTTTTGAAAATTGTTGCGTGGGTTCCACATGTGCTCACAGATGTGATGAGATTGCAACGACTCACAGTCTCTCCCGGTACAACAGATATACCTTTCTTCCACACGGATTACTGGTGATGAGAAGTGAGTACTTTATATCAACTATCGGAGACACAAGCAGTGGATCGGTCTGATTTTCATCTTTTTCCGGAAGCTGGCTGCAGAACCCGATGGGGGAGCACTTCGGAGATCGTGTCGAGGTCGAAAATTGGCTCCGCGATTTCTTTGACGATTTTCTCTAGGCGCAGCCGAAGAATTTCTGGGTGATGGGAATCCGAGCTCTACCTAATAAATGGCAATGAATCATAGATAATAGTGGAAATTACCTTGAATAAATGTGTGTTTTGGTTTTTTATAAAAATACAGTGCAAAAATTTTCACTTTGACCTTTCCAAGCTAATATATGGAAGAAAAACCAATAATCTAGCCGGCGGGCTTGGACCCTTGATCTCCCGACTAAGGTAAAGGGCGCTTAGCGAATCGGCCATGATTGAATGGATCCGGTACGGGAATGTTGATCCTAGCTTTAGGAGTTACTCCAGATCTGGTGCCAATATTTTCCCAGGTTCAGTTTGAAAAATGAGAAAGCTACTTTCCAATCGTTACATTAAGGCAAAGTTGAAAATAGAATGAAGAATGTAAATTAGAGTTCTTTTAGAATGATTGTTGATTTTGATATAAACCCACATGTGGAGAGAAACAAGAACTGTGGCTTGATGACAATCGAGACTCTAGTAATCTCTCCTCATTTTGCCCCTCTCTCCAACCATTCCTTCGCCGCTTTCGACTGAATCTTCTCCCGTTCTCGTCGCATAGCTCTTTGATCTGGAAGAAATTTTTGTATATTATTGCTAGAAAGCAAGCCTTATTTCTATTTCTTTATTATTTCTAAAATTACTTGTTTCGAGTTCTTGAATTTTATCTGAATGACGATCGGGTGATGCGCAACGCGTGGAAACGATTGATCGCCGACGGGGAAACGTCGATAAAGACAGTGCGTTCCTGAAAAGAATTGAATCAAAAGTTTGGATTTGTATTTAACTGGAGATCAATGCTCTGTTTTTAGATTAAGACTCAAATTTACAGTACCCCTGATCGATCTGTTGTTGCAAGGCCGCCACCGATACAACGTCGAAGAGCTGATCGCGACGTCGCCTTGCAAGTGTACAAAACAGATTCTGATTTACGTTTGATATCCAAGGCTTGTAGATAGTCCTAGATAAAAGAAATTTCAATATTTTAATTGAGTTTTGACACTTTGATCCAAGAAAGAAATCCCTACTACCTGTCGCAAACCTAACTGCCTCAGAACTTGCCTCAGGCCTGTCACAAGCGTTTTTCAAGCAAAAATATGATAAACGTGGAAGAGTTTTGAAATCGTTTTGCCAGTTGTAAACCTTGAAGAATCCTTTCGTGATCCATTTACCTATAATTTCCCCCGCGGCCAGCATTCGCTCCACTTCGGACTGAGAGAGGGCGCGACACTCGGCCACGCATTGGGTAAATCTGAAAAAATCAGCTTTTATTTGATCTACTGCAAAGTTTTGTCAGCATTTGTCCACAAAGCTCTTTGCAAATGTTTACAATCCAAATTTTTTATGGGGATAAGCTCGGAAATAGAAATGGGCATTATAAACTACAAAAAATGACGAACTGTCACACTACAAACACTTCTGACTTGCTTCAAATCTGCCGGATTGACATGATCCATAACTCAAAAAATAGAGGATCTCAAGGGGTTTCGAATGGATAATATATAAATATCAATGCTAAAGAAAGTTACAGTGGTTTGTAGTCCTGACTCGAAATGGACCGTGCTCGCGGTAGTCGGAAAGCTACAAACCACTGTAGCTTCCTTTAGGAATTGATATTTTTGGGTGTGCTTTAGTCCGTTCAAAAGCTCTTGAGATTCTCTATCTTTTTGAGCTATAGATAATATCAATCCAGCAGATTTGAAGCAAGTTAGAAGTGTTTGTAGTGCCCGTATCTATTCGGAAAGACTTTTATTTTTGGCAATCATTCCAGTCTATATAAATGCTAATTTCGATCTTTAAATATAAATGAAGATCAACAAGTACCACTATCATTTAGCTGAATATCAAATACCACCTTCTCTTTTCATTTCACACGTGCAAATCGCGTTCAAACTTGCCGACGACCAGCGCAACGAGTTGCGCTTTATGAGAACTACTTGAGAAAACCAATGATTACTTACAATCAGTCCTTACAATCAATTTCATTATCTAATTATTATATTACTTGTTTGGTGCATCGTCAAGGAGTGTCTGAGTGAATGGGGCCGTGTACGGGCCAACGAGGAGAATCGGTCGCTTCTCCGACGCGGCCACCCGTTCCACTCGCTCGTAAACGGCTCTCACCGCGCCCAATAGTGACGGAGTGCCACGGGTGAGCTAGAATTGTTTATAGATTATTTATAAATTAATAGTTTTTAACTAAATTCTTTATAATCGGCTAGAATCCGTTACCTTTGGCGCGTTGTAGCGTCCCTTTTGTCTGCCTCGATCTCGGTGCACCAACTCGGCTGACGGGATGATTCCGCACTGGCGCTGACGTCCTTCTCTGAAATTAAAGCTTGGCTTTAAACAAGATTGGATAATAAGCAAATAGGATACAATAAGTTGAATATTTCAATCATTTATTGTAGTTCTTATCTGGATGCCAAACATTACCACGAATTGCTTTTTGGATTGTTTTCAATGAATGTTTGATTTGATTTTTTGCTTTACTCTTTAGCTGAATATCTTTCTTAGAAAAACCTTCTTTATCTTTTAAGATCTTTTAAGATTTTTAAGAATATCTTTTAAGATATTCAGCAAAAGAAAGCTTTCAAGATATACAGCTAGTTTTCGAGATAAGTCATTTTAAATGAGACAATCTAAAGGTTTTGCTTAAATCCTGTTTCTTAAAAAATTCTCTCGAATACAGAATCTATGGTTGATTGGGAAATCGTTTACAGAGCTGTAAAAATGCGATGGAAAATGTAAGTTTTATAGAAGCTGTCGATTGTTCTACATTCTACTCACCTGTCAACTTTCCACGCTCTCCACCGCCCCTTTTGCCCCATGAAGAGAGTGTTGTCCACGTAGACAATCTCTCCCTGAAATAGCTTTTTTCTAAAAGTCTACAAACATCAAATACAGCTTTGATATCCAACTCGTCTCCATTCTCACCAATTCGATCAACGTTGATTCTCACGTAAAATCTAAAATTAATCAGTAAAAAAGTAAAGAAATGAATGGCAAAGAATTTGGAGCGAGGGGAATTGAACCGTCGACCTTCTGCTTACCGACCACTGAGCTATCGGCGCCTTTTCCCCCCAAGAAGTAATAGGAAAAACAAGAAAGAAAGAGAAGGAAACACTCGGGCCTTCAGAATTGTAATGTTTTCCCCTTTCACTCACCCATCGCCATCAGTTCCAGCTCGAATCTTCTCCAATCGATCACCACCACCATCCACGAAAAGACCAACCAATTCGGATGTACCTGTAATTTTATATATTAATAAAATGTTGATGATATTTTTAGTGACAATACTGTAGCTTGATTCTTTGCTCAAGTCTTAAGCCCACCCTCAGTTAAATAAGCAGTCGCAATCTCGAGTGTTGCCGTTCTCACATCCATTCCGTCAACCTCCAAAATGAGATCTCCCGCCTAAAAACGTCGTTAAAAATCACAAAATACAATTATTACATAGATCGTATTATCCGGATTTTGTGGATTCACCACATTACAATCGGCCACGATTCCACAAAGATTCCCTCCCAAATACGCACATTTCGTCGAGGAACCTGAAGCGAGTACTGCAGGCATTTAGGGATAGCAAATGTATACAAATTTATAGCAAATGATCGGGTAATTAGATATAGTGAGTAAGGTACGTATTTTACCAATAACAAATGAAGAATGTGCTGAATCATAACGACACAATTAGTTTCCGAGTAAAGGTTCACAAACCACTGTTGATGAGCCATTAAGATATTTGAACTTCAAACTAATCTAATCCTTAGGCTTTAGTAATCGATGAATTCTTTAACTATTTGAAATCATTGAAGTATTTGAAACTTGCTGCTACAGCTTTAATATCAAACACACCTGCACCCATCGCGGAAATATGCCCACAGGGAACGCATCATCGGTCTCTTGCTCGAATCGATCTTTCGATGGCTGAAAGACGACCTCATCCATGTGTTTCTTTTGTCTCACTGGATGCCTTTCCAAGCTTATGTCACCTAAAATCTCTCTTGATTTTGAAAAAAAATCATCTAAACCGGGCTCAAATTCACTATCTCGACTCCTTGTCAACCGTCGAATCGCCTCCGACGCATACTCGGAGAGAACGGTCTCACTTGGCGCTAAAATTTTTCAGCTAATTCATTTTTTTAAAGCTGCTTACAGTTATTGATTTGATAATTGACAGATGAGGTTGACGGATGGGGAACTGAATTGGATGAAGAAAAAGAATTGAGGAGAGTGAGGCATCGAGACGGCGACCAGGATAGGGTGGAGGCTGGGGAGAGCGCCGCTGAATTGAAACGATCACAAAATGATTGATCTTGACTTAAACATGATTCAAATCTAGCGTTACCTAAAATTAGCGCTGACTCGATGCCCATGAGTGGAGGCAGAAGGGCGCGGAGTGGAAGAGGCCAATCGAGGAGAATCGATTGATGAGGTTGAAGCCGGGAATGGAGATGGAGAAGTGCAGGAACAGGTTTGGCAACTGAAAAAAGATGAGTTGTCGTACATTTGTATCTTGTTCTACTATTTAAAAAAAAGCTAAAAACAACTTCTGGGATGAGCAAAGCCAAGACACAGATTAGATTGACTTATAGATTGGCTGGTCGAGTTCGTTCCCTTCAAAAATTACGTTCCTGTTTGCATTTTCGTCTTATTCTCTTCCCCAAATTTCTTTTTTGGTTTTTCGGAAGAAATTGTGGGTTTTGAGTTTTATCCTCGTTCTTTCGGGATTTGATGTTTCTCTTTTGTATTGTTTTTGTAATGGGTATCCTTGGCTTTTCTTTCTGTACTAACAAACCGTAGAATTATAAATTCGATTTACTTTAAACTATCGTTAAGGTTCTAAATTCTGTTTAGATAGCTGGTATAACATTATATGTATTTGTGGTGCCATCGATGGCGAATCCGTTGTGTACTCGTATCACGAGCGACGACCTTATGCTGAAAGTAAGGCATAACATCCTACTCTGGCGGCGATCGCAGGCGTGTGGGTGTAGCTCATTGGTATAGCGCCCAGGGTAAGCGAGGGGTGCAGGGTTTGAATCCCGATGCCAACCATGTTTTATATTCCCAGGCTCAACCAATAAAAGAACTTGTGTTGTGAGCGTTTTGGGGAAACCTTTAACCTTTTAACCTTTTGTGCTATTCGGCTATTCTAAAACAAAAGCATCTCTGATGGTAAGGTTAAAGCTGATACAAATACCTAGACCAGTTTTTAGTTTAAATTTTCAGAAACTTGACTTGCCTCTGTTTTGTGGTGGTGGCTGGGCTTGGTGGGCGGTGGGAAAACCGGGAAAACGCTCGGTCTTGAGGGAAGCGGCTTACGAAAACCCGACGTTGGCTAAATAGATTTTAGTGTATCTTGTTTTATTAGATTTATTAGATGTTTTATTAGCTTCCGATCCCTTACATCTATCAATTTTGGCCATGTTGATCCGGTGGATGGGTGAACGGGCGACGAGGCGACCGAGTGCCGGAATTGATCCATTTTCCCGACCAACTCCTTTTGCAGACCCACACCGGATGGAGCTCTAAATTCCAAGCAAATTTGACAATTTTTATTTTAAACACAGATTGGAAACCTAATTGTTTCCCTATAAAATTCGATCCACTTCACTAATCACCTCAATGATCCAGTTCTAATCAATTGCTGTTGACGGGGTGACGGAGCTGGGACGCGCAGCGATCCGTGGCGCATGAAATCACCAGGCTAAAGCTAATTTATAGCTAAATAAACTTATGGAGCTAGATTTTATGTCAATGTTGTGATGAATTTAGCCTATTATCCTATTTTAAACAAGAGAATCAAGTCCACTCACCGTATCAGGATCGATATTCGCCGTGGCGATGATGTCTCGCGTTTTGGTCGGAGCTCTACCGCCAAATAACTTCTCGTGCACCTGGAAAAGGCAACTTTATCTAAGTCTTAAATTCGTACTGTATCTTTGAATACTAAATTTTAAACTCACCTTCGAAAAACGGATTTTGAAGACTTTTCCGTCGAGGCAGTGGATCGAGATTGCTCTCGAGGTCGGCCCAACAAGACACCCAAACGAGCCACTCCGTTTGTGCCTGGAAAACGTGTAACTAAATATCTAACACTATAGATTTAAGCTTGATACATTTTGCAAGATTTCAAAATTTTTTGAACCCACTCTTGAGTAGCTCCTCGGCTTGCCTTGCATCGCCCACCGGGACTCCGTTCACGAAAATCACTCGATCACCGACACTCAATCTAAAATTTACATACATTTTTAGAGCAGGATTTTGAATCCATTAATAGATGGTGGACTTTCTTAAATCCTAATATTCTCTTTGAATTTGCTCACTTAGCTCGATCCGTTGCCGATCCAGGCTCAACCCGATTCACGAAGACTCCATTGGCCAATTCCAAGCCGATATCTGAAAGTCTTTCGATTGTCGAGATATGGATGGATAGAGTTAGATTTGATTTTTAAATTGTAAGCTTACTAAATCACTTGATTTTTATTTTGCACTACTCTACTTGTTATCATATCTTAGGCAAACTGCTAACTCACCTGAATGTCCGGCAATGACGACCTCTTGTATTTGGTGCATGTTCGCCCGGCGTCTGATCACCATTTTTAGATGATGACTGAAAAATTTGACTGAATATATAGTAAGAATGACTATTCGCAGCCAATTACCAGTTAAATTATCCAACCTATTCCTCAAAATATCGTAAATAGATCGAATGTCCATGTCCGTCACATCGATCTCATTCACCAAGACAATGTGATCGAATCGTCTGAAATACGGCTTACAGCTGTAATTCAAAGCTTAAAACCTTATCGAGTGCTCAAGCGGAGAGCCGGGATGAACTTCTTTCACGTAGATCGGAGTCGAACCACCCGCCAATATGATTCCGAGATTCGTTTTTGGGAATGGCTAAAGGTAACTATCAATATTGCTGCTCACAAAGTTTAAGTCTTCTCTTCTTCCTTGCTCTTCCTCTTTGTATTTCTTCTTCTCTTCTCTGGCAAGAATTGGATAACTCAGTGGGTAGAGCATCTCTCCGGAAAGCAAAAGGTCGAGAGGGTTCAATCCCCTCTCCAGAAATCTTTCTCTACCATTCCTTACTTTACTTTATTACATTACTTTACGTATAAAAAGAAGCAGTTCAGTACCCATATTACTCACCATTGTAATATCTACAGCGTGACTTGTCCAAATGTCAGCCACCGATTCCCTCTCCGCTTCCGCCGTCAACAAGCGAGCGCATAAATCCTCTTTTCCTGTAAAGTCGATATTTAGCTTCAAAGTCAAAATAGCAACTGTCTTTGGACTTTTTCTTATACATTCTTTTATTCTTGTTGTTGCTTTCCTGGTGTCAGAGCTAGCAAATTATCCACTAGTTTATTTGACAAACAAGTTGACTTATGCTTGTTGAAAAGTTTTCTACGTTTACAAAATTGTTTACATTTATCGGGATTTACAATCGAATTTACAATAGTTGTTAGTTTTCTATCTTCACTTACCACACAGAGCGCATCGATTCTTCTCTTGAGTCTTCCAATCTCTTCAATCGTTTCTCCTCTTCGCACGTTTGCTGCCGCCGATTCTTGCATGTTCACTAAATTAGCTTATCGATGAAAATAGAAAGTTGTTACAATAGATAATACCACAGTAATAGACAATGATTACAGTAGTAAAAGTTAAAACTTCGCTACAGATCTCAGAGTCTCAATGTCGGTGCCGTTTAAGTTTCTCAATCAATAGTTCTTGAGTCATTTAAAATTTGATTGTTATTTGTGAATCACTCACATTGCAACAAACGCCGAGTGTGATCGAGTTTCGTCTGCAACTGTTGTATTTGGGTGTCATTCTTGGACGATTGTTGTCCTTGCATCAGCCCATTTATATTTTTCAGATTTTGCTTTAACCGATCCCTCTCCTCAGCCAAACGGTTGTTCTCCTCGAGAACCTGAAATCATCAATGAAATCAGAAATTTTTTTGTTATTTTCCACTTACATGACTCCTCTCGAGCATCGTCTCATCATAATCTCTCAACAGTGAATCATATTGTGTCTGCAATCGTTGCCGACTGTCCTCCAATTCGATTCGATAGGCAACCGCTCTGAAATCATATCAAGTGAGCATTTGATGTTTGAAATTAAACCGATAACCATAAAGAGACCGTAATTCGATTTCTCTCAAATAGTATATTTTCTAAAACTTGGAAGTTTTTTAAAACTACCGTAATCTTCTCCAAGCTATCTACTTTTAGTTTGGTTCTATGAGGGATACCGATAAATACCGAAAGTAGAAGCATGGATAAAAATTAGAATTAGGATTACGGTAGCTCTAACAAGGGAAAGGCACGTCAAGCTGGCCTTTTGACTTGAGACCAAGTCCATCTTATAAAGCCAGCCATGGGGATCTCAAATCTGTTTTTAATTTTGGCAGAACGCTTCGCTTATTTGGCATAGAAAATCACCTTGAATTTCGAGCTTCTTATGAGGCCGCCACACGATTCCTAAACTGGTGCTTCGATGGTCTAGTTGCTAGACTGCTAGACTGCTAGACTACCGAACCTGTGGCGTTTCTTGCTCTCAAGTTCGAGTCTCACTATTGCCGAACTTTTTTGCTTCTCTAAAAACTGTTTCCTTACAAAAGACCAGCTTGACTCGATGTCTTTCTCGATCTTAAGATCTAAGATGAGATCTAACTACTGTAATAGAGCAAGCTACTTTAATAGATCAAACTTTGTCCGGGACTGTTCCTGAAGGCCAAACGTAATTAAATAAAATAAAAACTATTAAGCCAATAAGACAGGATTACGGTAGGTTTCAAAAAGTTGCCACGTTTTAGAACACACCCTAATCTCTTTCACCTATTCGTATCAGCTCTCGATCCATCGAGTTGTTCCTCAAGCACAAGGGCTTTCTGTTTCAGAAGATCTCTCTCTTCCATCGCTACTGAAATCCAGTTTCCGAATTTTTATCGAAAATTTCAAACTACTCACTCTTCAGCTTTCCAATCCAAATGTCTTCGGCTTGGGAAATCTCACGGGTGAGCTCATCCTAAAAGTCAATACTTTCTCGACTATAAACTGAATCTGAATCCAAAAACAAATGCTTGAATGTTAAAGGATTCACTTAGAAATTTGCATTCAAAACTCGTTAGCCGACTAATTCTAACAACGTCTACCAGCCTGTGCTTCCATTTGAATCCTCCTTTTTCTTCCCTCTCAATCCGCAACTGTTCTTCTAGCCTTGTACACTAAATTTCGATTCATAAAAGACCCAGTTTTCGGCCGTGTTTCACCTCATTTTCCAGTGTATCAATATGGTGTTGATTGATTCGATTGTTGTGCATGAACTCATGATGATTCAGTTGATCGGATGGATGAAATGAGGGAAGAAAATGATTGTTGCGAAGGTCATCATTTGGAAGAAGTGGGATTGACGGGGATGATGCGGGAATCGCCAACCCGCCACACATCTTTTCCTGATAAACCTCGGGTGGGGTTGGCGGTCGATCCTCATCGTTCTCCACCATCAGCTTCCTTGAAAAGATTTGATATTAGAATTGTATTAGAATTTCAAATTTAAATATGAAAATTGTATCTTGAAAAATAGATTGTAAGAAAGTGCAAAAAGGCTTAACCCAGCGAGAAAAGAGCAAATGAAATTTGGGGAGATTGTGTCGCAAAAATGGAGCTCGTTTGCCGTTTTCTGGGTTGAAGATGAAAGAAATTCACAATGGAAAAAAATAACTCAACGTTAAACCAAGAAACAGTTTATCAATCAATTAGTCAACTAAAAGAAATTTGAGTAGATATGCTGAAAAATCAACGATTTATTGCCAAACAAGTTTTGATAAATGTGGGGTTAAAAGAGGAAAGATGGGGAAAATGGACAACGGTCTGAAAAAAGAGTTGATGGGGTGAAAAAAGGCTCGATACACATGTTCTTAAAAGAGAAGAGTCAAGAATTGGGGGGAGGGGATGAGTGCGAGACTTTTGGGGAAATGGGGGAGGGGTAGTCCTGCACAGCACTGCAGGATGACCTTGTTGTTGGAAAGGGGAACACTCTATCCCCTTCCACCCACTCCCATCCACCCCCATTTCCCCCGATTTTCCAACACGACCATTTCTATTTGGTGTTGAAAATGTTTTCTTTTTAGAAAACTTTTAAGAGTATTTTTTCTGACAATGGAATAAACGAGTCACCGAACACAGCCGGGCTGTTCTCAATACAATCTCGCCTTTTACTGGGTGTACTTTGAGAGCTTTTAAAGAACAGCCATAAAACACAATCGCTAAGGTTCTGGCACACCCTACTTTTAATATAAAAACGTGATGTTGTTAACAAAAAACCTATAAAAAGAAAGATGCAAGAAAGGAAGCAAAAAAAATAGTATTCAGTACAACAACGCTTGTGTATTGATTGTAAACGGAAATTCTTTTGAATTAGATTCTTTCCAATGTTAAGAATGAATGCTAATTCTCTAGTAAATATTTCAACAATTTCACAATTCATTTGAGATACGTGATTACTTTTAATATTAGACCTTGAAACTATAAAAACACAGCTCAGAAAGAAAAGAGAAAGGAAACTTTGCACTGCAGAGTACAACTTTTCGGCACAATGATGATTGTAAAGATTGTAAAAATTTAGCTGTAAGCCTTTGAAAGTCAAATGGACCGATTGCTGAATACATTTGCTTTAAAAGATATTTCAAGCAGTAAAAGACAAAAATTTTCTGCAAACTGTTTAACAAAAAGAAACTCTGTGTCTGTTAAGAAAACAACATGACAGGAAGGGCAATAGGAAAAACTGTCAGAAAAGACGAAGAAAAGAACGAACAGAGAAAAGCGATTTGTGGAATGATAAGAGGTGAAAAGCTGGTTGCAAGGAAAAAACACTTCATTCAAACAAAAAAAAAGATTTCACTATTATAAGAGAAATCGTTACAAAACAGTTATCCAAAGCAGTTCAAATTTTGTTTTCTATCTTATAAATCAAGTAGTCAAGTATCAGGATAATAATTTCTTATACAATATAAATTTTAAGACTATTTTAAGAATATATCCTTAAACTGTAATATGAATGAGAACTGGCGATCAATTCGTATCGGAGAAAGAAAAAGAGACTTTCGCATCAGAAAAGATTGGAACGGTGAATGGGGAAAAGAGAGCTGCGAAAGGAGGACGGAGATGGAATGGAGGGAGATGGGAGGAGTGGGGATTGTTTGTGTTTGTTGCTTGGTATGTTCCCCTTCTCGTGTCCATTCCAGTCACACCCCTACAGCCAATTCTTTCCAAAGAATGCGTTCAATTTAATTTAATTTGATGCTAATTTAATTAAATTTAATTTAATGCTAATTCTCAAACGCAATAGTTCAAAGATCATTTGATTCTTAAAACAAAGACATGACATGTTAAAACTTATGATTCTGCCTTGAATTTATTAATCATTTAGAATTTAAAATCAGTAGATTAACAAAAGTATTATAGTATGGTAATAAGTTGAGCAGTAAAGATGGATTGAAGTAGCTGTTTCCCCAGGTTTAGGATACATAACTAGTTCTCACAATGTTCTCATAAAAAAACCAATAGAAAGCTGGTTCTGAAATTTGTTTATGAATCTGTGCTATGGATAATTGTTTGAGCCTTTGCAATCAATATGTACGGGTTTTGTTCAGAGAATAAATGTATTCGGAAAAACGTAAAAAAAGGTTTCTTTAACACATTCGCGACGATACGACCCACCGGTGGATTTAGCACTTTTTTCGAAGCCAATTAGGCTGAAAACTTGCACCACGGGGTTTTCGGGGTCAACGAATTCGAATTCGTACTTGGTTTTCAAAAAAACTGCTCTACTTTTGGATATTTTATCCGGTTTAATTACAGACAGAACCCAAACTTAGTTTTGCTCTTTTTCTGGTCTAATTACCCAAGTTTTTAGAGAGTTTTGTGATGGCCTTGGAAATTAAAGTTGATCAAAAACTAATAACAGATTCAGATTCTCGATCCCAGAATGCCCTCAGAATGCTTCCGTTTACAAATTTTCAGATCTACAGCTAACATAGATAGCTGTCGTCCGAAACGGCAGTCAAGACAGTGTGTTAATATATAAAAATGAAAATGAACATTGTTTAAAAGCTTTTCATGCCTTTTCTATAATATTACAAATAAAGTTTCAAAAAAAGCTTAGAATACTCGATTGTTGGTCTGGAAAATTGAAAACTTGGAAAATATCTTTTGTTCAGAGTGGCGATTTGCGATATTTACTCGATCATCGAAGAACCTATCGAGTGGATATTTGCTCTTCGAGATGCCATTTGAAAGTGGGGTTTTCTTCTTTTTGGATCTCAAAACTTTTATCATTTTAATGAAAAGAGTTCATTGGGCGAATTGTTGTGAGAAATATAAGTTTATTAGTTTAGTACTATTATTTTTCTCAAAAAATTAACACACCTCAGAATTCTGAGTGTTCCGAGGTATTAACCTTAGGTATTAACACATGCAATTTCTTCTATAAAAAGTTCTTGGAAAAAAATCCAGACTATCTGCAACAGACAACAGATTCTCATGGTTCAATATTTGTCTATTCTGACATGTATGTAGCTCTGCTGAACGTTATTAACTTTTAAAACATCTAAATCACTGATGTGAGATATTTTATGTATACGGTACTCTATCAACTTGTAACCTAAACGTTTCAAGAGTTCTCAAATTTGAGCTCATTCAACAACCGGGGCTTACCCCTGAAAAATGAATGATCTCAGCTTAACCCATTTCATTTCGAGGCTGAATGGGGATCCCCTCTTTCTCTTCCCCATTCCTACATTTGTCCCCCTTTTTTGGGCCCACTAGGGGAAAGGCTCAGCGTCGCGGTCTCGCGTCACGTTTTCCCCTCGTAGGCCAATTGAGGGAACGTTTCTAAAACGTAGGCTTAGTCTCGTTTATAAATTGAAATCCTTTATCTAAATTCTAAATCTAATTAAATTCAAATTCAAATTCTTTTGGAAAAATGGAAGAGGATCGTATGGGGATGAGAATCAACTCTGAAGTCGTCGAGATAACGAAAGACCCGAAAGGACTCGTCGGGGTGTCGATCGGTTTGTTCTATATTTTTTTCTCCAATTCTATATTTTTATCAATTTTATAACTTTATATAAACAGTAATTTGCAATAAAACTTGCCTACTTATCTAGCATTTCGATATTGAAAAGAAAAAAAGCATTGACATTGAAAGCAGGTTTTTCAAGAAAAGGTTTAGTGTGGTTTAAAAAGTATCAATCAATGAATAAATTGATAAATATCAATATAATACAAACTTAGTGATAAACTATAAAGCTTTCCAGGTGGTGGTCATCCGTATTGTCCCTGTGTCTATGTCGTTCAACTCTTCGACGGCTCACCGGCGGCCGACGATGGGAGAATACGAGCCGGCGATGAGGTAAGGAGACGATTTTCTTTAATCTTTGAGATAAGTTACATTTAAATCCAAGCTATTTGGTTCTTTATCTAAATTTCTTGTATTGAGAAAGACTTTTCCAGGTGGTTGCGGTGAATGGAACGAACGTGAAAGGAGACAAGAAAACACATGTCGCTCAGCTCATTCAAACAAGCGCGAATCCTGTAAAAGTGAGAAAGTCGAAAATATAATCAGATAAACTTATTGATATCTCATGAAATACGGTACTTTTATCGCATAATTATGAAATGTCACACTTATGTGACTTCAGATTACTGTAGACAGTTTAAAATGTATCCAGAGTGTGGTTACCTTTTAAACTCTGGGTTTGTTATCTTATTTTAGACTATGGATTTGGCATGCGAAACTAAAAATGTAACTTCTGTTAACTCTTTTAGTTTATAGGTACTAAAATTCTTGAGAATGGTTTGAAACTCTTAACTGATCTCGGATTTCAGCTCACGATCAACAAACTCGACATCGACACTACAAAGGGGAAAACGGTGGATATCGTGATGAAAAAGATCAAGCATAAGGTTTAGGCTTAGATAGAGAATCAAAATTCTACATGGTAATTTTTTAAAATGCAAATAGTTACAGATGGTTTCCTTCATGGAAAATGATACGGCCGACGCGCTCGGGCTCTCAAGAGCCATTCTGTGCAATGATCCGTTGCTAAAGAAAATGCAGGTGAGGAAATGAGGGGCTTTTTAAAATTTTATAGGTCTAGACCATTTCAAGCTATTCTTTTATTCAAACTTATAGTATTCCAATTCAGCTGCTCGAGGAGAACGCCGAATTCTACCGTACTCTCATCGCCTATTTCACTGAGCTTTGCGATGCACAAGAGGGAATTAATAAATTTCAGAAAAGTTAGAGATAAAAATACACTAGATAAAGAAGATTCAGTGTTTGGTGACGCATTTTGCGAACTGGCCGCTCATGAAAGTCAAGCGAACGCATCATTGGCTTTCACCGTATTCGGAGAGGTGACGAACAGCTATTGTTTCACCAAAGCCAAATCACTTGATAAATTTAAAAAATAATAAACTATTAATGTGAAATTTTGTAGATTTTTCTACTTTACCTTCTCATTTCCAGGCTCACCGAAGCCTGGGGAAACGCCAGGGTGAAATGGTGAAATCGGTTCGACCGCTTATCAACGATTTGGTCACCTATGTTGAGAAAGCGATTCCCGACACGGAGCTAACCCTTAAAAAAGTTGATTTTAAACTGTATATACCTTAAGCTTTTAAATTTTCAGATATTTGGATGTCAAATACGAGTACTTGTCCTATTGCTTAAAGTTGAAAGAGATGGACGACGAAGAGGTCGAATTTCACTCACTACAAGAGAGTTTATATAGAGTTGAGACCGGGAATTATGAGTACAGGTAAAGAAATCCAATATAAGTAAATGAAAAGATATTCAGGCTAATGCTTCGATGTCGCCAAGAGACACGAGAGCGATTTGTGCGAATGAGAAACGATGTGATGGTGAAGATTGAGCTGCTCGATCAAAAACACGGTAGGTTGATGATTCTTAGCATCATCTACTAGCAAGCTATGCGAATTTTTGCAGAATTATGTAAATCTTATCTGAAAGCGAAGCTTTATGGGCTTTATGAATATCTTTTTGCAGTTCGAGACATCGCCCAGCAGCTCACAAATCTCGTGAGCGTGCTGCGCGATTGTCAAACGGATTGTGCCAGCGCGCTCCTCCAAGCGGCAGCCCCGGCTCCTGTCGAGATTGACATCATTCAGGTGGATCAAACACTAGCATTCTCGACTCACTAGGGAAGGTCGCCAGCTTAAGATGGAATTTCAAAACGAGGCCTTTCCTATCTTGTTCAGTTTTCCGAAGGCTTTCCGAATCCGCTTTTAGTTTTTCTTAAATGGCTTGCAAACGCGAGGAATTTGGCTTTAAAGTTTTAGAAATTCCTTTGTAAGATTTCCTCGCGTGCCTTAAAAATATGTTCTTGTGACCGAGAGGTAGTTCTCTCGGTTACAAAAACCTTTAAAACCAAGTTCCTTGCGTTTGAAAGCCATTTAGGAAATGGCTAAAAGCGGATAGGGAAAGCCCGTGAAAAACTGAACAAGGTAGGATAGGTCTCGTTTTGAAATTCCATCAAGTTGGTAACCTACCCTAGTCAGTACTCTGTACGCGCAATTTACTAAACGCTCACTGTCTGACATACTGCATTCTTTCTTATTCAGAGCTACAAACTAGCTACTTATTAAATTCAAAGCTTCTTATTCAAGGCTGTATAGTACACTCACTGTTTTGTGAGCTGATTTCGCGTTTGATTGAAAAAACTAATCCTAAATCAAAAGTTTCCTTCGTTGCCAAATCTAACTCATACTTGAGTTTCAGAGAAGTCAAAAGTTTGACCACCGGGCAAGCACGAGTAGTGCCAATGAGAACGAGGGAGCGGATGAGAATGGGGCAGCAGAAGTCTCAGAACCACAGGTACAGCAACTGTATTTGATCAATATAATTGCTTACCAATAATGTTTTAATAGCATAATAAATATTGAACTTCAAGTCATTTACAGTAATCCCATTAACTTTGCAGGTTGATCTTCTCGACGTGAATGAGCCGGAGATTGATCTCATCTCCAGTGATTCACCAACGAATGGGATTAATCTCGTCGAAACTAACCTCATCTCATTAAATGAGGTTTAAAGTATTTATTCTAGAAATATCATCTATAATCTGTTCAGGAAAATGCCCAGCAATCGTCCGGCAACGCGCTGGAAAACCTGCTACAACTGTGATATTTGTGTGTCTCAATAAAATCGTTTTCAAAAGAAATTTCTTTCCACTGCACATTGCTCTTAAACTGATTCTGCAATATTCTGATCAAAAAGCAAAAAAAAAAAAACGATTCTGCAACAGGATCACTTTTTAACCGCACATCGAATTAGCATTGATTGATCGTGGAGGAAGATTTGTGTGAAAAGAAGGGCTGTCAGGAATTTTTTTGCTTTTCTTTTCAGGGCGATCATTTCACACTAGCTGACTGGCCACTACTATTAGTTTTCTGAAAGGCTGAGTCTCCGGATTTCACGTGCTATTTTCTATCGATACGTGGGGGGAGAGGGGGGTGGGGCAGGGCAAGAGAACAGGAGAAGAGGGGGAGCTCCCCCCTCATTCCTCCATTTCTCCCCCACTTTTTCCCTTTCCTTGCTTTGATCCCCCATGAGTTCATCCTTCTTCTCATTTCTTGTCTTTAGCCTAACTCTTTGCTTTTTGCTCAAATTTCCTTTGCTTTTTCTACTTTTCTAAAGCATTTCTTTTCAAACAAAATTTTCAGAGTTAAAAGTTCAAAGATTCATTTATATTTTTTTCCTTATATTGTTGGTTTTCTATACCTGAATTCTATTTTTTTCTTTTGTTCAATATAGAATAAAAAATTCTCTTTTCCATTTTCCTTTTAAATTATCATTTTCCAGGTTTTTGCCAGCAATGGCTGCGTCCGAAGAAGAGAAAGGAGCTCTAGTTGAGAGTGGACAAGCGAAATTTGATAAGGTTTGAAGAAAATAAAATATTCGGAAATAACAATTATGCCTAAGATCGAGAACTATTTTTATACAGTACAATCAACTAATTTCAGGATCGAGACACGGTCGCTGTTGGCGGTGGAGCGAAGATTGTTGGGCTCACGAAAGAGCAGCTCGAACAGTACAAAATGATCCTTTCTGGAAACCATTCAGGTCCAGAAATTTAATAGTCTCAATGAAATTCAAATTTTAGATACATTCTCTTCGCTCTCTTTTGGTTGGCCTGGTTGGCGATGTTCGCGGGAGCAATTCTGATCGTCTTGTTGTCACCGAAGTGCGCGGCAAAGCAAGAGCCCGATTGGTGGCAAACGAAAGTCTCGTATCAGGTAAGAATTTTGAAATTAAGTCTTAGAAGAAGTACCAATGTAACTTCGGAATAAATGATTTAAGATTAATAGAATCCGTAAACTTTAAGCTTTAACATCAATTCCTCTTTTTTCCAAGCATTCTGCCCCAAGACCTTCACAAAGTCTAGAGCTAAAGTTCAGGTTTTAAACTCTATAGATTCCTTGGTTAGTGATAATTAAAACTTTAAACCCAATCTTGCACGAAATCCACTTTTAGTAGTTCTATCTATAAGACTGATAGCCCAAAGCTAAGCCATACGGTTAAATTCTTTGGGTAAAATATACAAGCCTGGAACAGGTGCGAAAAGGTTGTTCTATCCTTTATTAGCTCAATCATCTTTTCCCCTAAATGCGTAGAGACAACCGGGAGAGTGAATGCTTAAATGGAAGAATGGAAAGGAGAAGAGAACATTTCTGGGTCATCCCTCCTTCTCTTTCTTGACTCCTTACCCTCCCCTTGATATCTTATCGCACGATCTGAACACATCGCCTTTCTTCTCATCCATTTGCAGAAATATTCACATCAAAAACAATAGAGGTGTCAAGAAAAATGGGCGCAGATTGGTTGTCACCAAGGTGATTCACTAATATATCTCTGAATCGTAAAAAATAAAGCAAAACAATATCCAACTATAGGTAGAGAATTCGATGAGTTTTATAATTAACATGTTAAACTTTTTCTTACGTCAATAAAAACGACAGAGTCGGATCGATTCGGAACATCGCTAACCTAACTTCAAGTTGACTTAGCTGAATTTCTTCAAATTTTTCCACAACGTAAAGATAACTAATATCAGTATATGGATATCTTTAAATTAATAATTAACTGAATATTTTCAAATTTTTCTAGAACTCAACTATCTTCTAGGTTCATTTTGGCCGCAACCCCCATTCAAAATTCACTTATTTAAGAACTGAGTCACTGAGTATATGAATATACGGATAAAAGATATAATAGATAAATACTTTTAAGTTAAAAGGTAGCTGAATATCTTTATCTTTAAGTTTCTACTGGGCTTAAGACTCATCGAAGAAATTCCTCCTTGAAAGCTTGCCCCTTCAATCATCCATCCATGTCATTGAGGGGTCCATTCGTGTGGAAATGAATTACACAAAGTCTATAATTATGAGCTTCTTGGACCCAATAGTGGGATTTCCCCCCTCATTCACCTTGAAAGCACATGTCGGGACCTTAAGCCAAACTGCCAACACACACACTCGGATCAATGACAAATGAGTGACACAAACGTGTTGCACCCCGTCCTCTCATTGATCTTAATGATTACACAAAGCTTTTCTTGATTTCAAATTAATAAAAACAATTATTGAAAGCTCAAATCTAAAGTGAGATTTGTGAGTTTATTTCATTAAAATTAGATGATATCTTTCAGAGATTGATTAGCATTTGAAATTCTCAGCTGGCTTCTTGAACTGTTAACATCCATCCACCTCTTTATACTCGACCTCTTTTCGACTTTCACAGAAAAGTAACATGACCTTTGATCGTGATCGTGCGCCTTTAAATTCCCACTTTTTGCGTGACTTCTAACATCTACCGAATACTTGGGATCCCTTTAGCTTTCACAGAAGTGAAGTGATGCAATTTTCTGAAAAGCAATCAGTACCACCGACTGTCCCTTATTTTTTGCGCAGACTCTCTCATTGAGCTTATCCCAATGAGAGATTGCCACAGTTCCGGCCAATTCCCCTCCCCCTCCTTTGATATTGTTTGATCAGCGATCGAGATTGGAGAAGAAGAGAATTGGGGTCTCTGTTTGTCTCAATGCTTATAACGCGTCCCGTGTTTGGCCCGAAAGGGTGCCCCTTTATCGCTCATCCCAAAGGGGAAGGGGGAAGGGTAAAGTGTGGTGCGGGTAAACACGTACAAATGGATGGGGAAGAAGATAGGATTCCCTGCCTAGAGATACAGAAATCCGATGCCCAGTTCTTGTTTTAATGAATGAAAACAACATCTGTCTTTAAACAAATCTCTTGCATAACTTCCAGCTTATGTAGAATGAAACAAAACAAAAATGGAACAAACTCGTGTATTCCAAAACAAAGTCGGTTCCTCTCGGAAATCCGGATACAAATTCATAGCTGAATATCTTCTTTTTGTACCACGTAAAAAGCAAAAAAATATCACTGTGTAAAGTGAGGTGTTCTTTGTGCGTTTTGCATATGATAGCTTTTCATAACGAAAAGATCCGTATTTTTAAAAAAAAACCCAGCTTTCTGAGAAGAACCACAAACTCTACGAAATCTTTCAGCTCCTCACGCCGACTTTCTACGATACGAACGGTGACGCGGTCGGTGATTTCCCGGGAATTCGCGAGAAGTTAGACTTTTTGCGCAAAATCGGCATCACCACCATTTATCCAACACCAGTGGTCACAACGGATAAAGTTCGAATTTGGATAAAGAAAATTTGAACGATTCTTTTAGAATGAAATCTACAACGAGTACGATGTTACCGATCATCAGACTGTTGACGTGAGATTCGGTACGGAGGAAGACTTCAAGAAGCTCATCGATCTTGCTCATGATCGGGGTAAGTGGAGATGATGCGGATTCTTTTTCAGAAAAACCAAAAACTTATGGACTTAAAATTTGTTTAGCCTCCCAGGTTCAAAACCAAAAATTTCAGATATGTATCTTGTGATGGATTTGCCGATCTCATGCGTCTCTCCAAACCATCCATGGTTCAAGGTAACTACAGTGCTTTTGCTAAGTTTAAAGTAGCTACAGTCCTCTTGAAAAGGCTCAATAGCATTTTTTCCTAAAGATAAATTACGGTAACCTTTCTGGAGAGCTGAAAATTTCATCATTTTTCTCTAGGATCCCTTGAAAGCCGACTACTTTGTCTTCTCCACCGAAGCCAAACCATCACCGAAATTCATCGATTCCCCAAATCATCCAGGAAAGAAGTAAGACCATGAAAATTTTAAGGGGAAACGTAAATTTCAGATATCTGAGCTGTCAGCTCGGCTCAACTCCATCCAAGAACCCGGTGCTGAACTGGAAGAATACAGAGGTAGAAAAAGAACAAGATCCAAAGCTCAAAACAAAGAATAGATCCAAGAATACTTCAACGCCACCCTCGAAAAGTATTTGCTACTCGGCGTTGACGGTTTCCACATCGATCACATCTCTCTGCTTGCCACGAAACCCGACGGATCTTCTGATGTTTGAAATTTTTCGATAAATTTTTGAAAACTCAAATTTCCAGCACGATGCCTCGATTGCTATTCTGAAAAAGCTGACGACAGATCTATTCGATTTCGTTAAACACTCGTCGGATGTGAGCAACAAGAAGATGTAAGAGCTATAGTTTAATATATCATCTAAGAAAGATGATTTCAGTGTTCTATTCTCTTCTCTGAAAGACGTCGACGAGTTGGAAGTGAAAGCGAGACAAACAGGCGGTCTTCATTATGTGATTGACTCGAGCTTTTCCAATCTCGATTCCGCTACCTGTTCGTCGGGTGTCGCCAGCTGTGTCCACGATGCTCTCACCACTTCATATAAAAAGTTTGTGCTGAAGTGAAAAGTTAGCCTTGACTATAGTATGTCTCCCCGTCAACTAATCCGTTCCCTAAAGTCTGCTCACTTTCGAAAACTACCGTGATCGCACTCACAATCCGCGCAAACCACATATAACTTTTAAGCAACAGTGAAAATATAGCACTTTAGAGTCAACGATCGGTCCAAGAGTCCGAGAAAAGCCGAATTTCAGACACGATTCCGACAATTTCACTCCGTTCTGGCAATTCTCAAACGCGAACTCGCGCCGACTTGCCTCTCGTTTCGATGCGGATACCGCGAATTTGCTCACATTCACGCAACTCACCCTCCCCGGAGCGATTTCCGTTTACTATGGACAGGTTGGACAAGAAAGAAAAAACAAATTCAATTCAATTTTCAGGAAATCGGTCTCGAGAACGTGGAAGGACGCAAAGACGGTCAGCGTGGGCTGATGCAATGGAAAGAGAAAGGCAACGATCATCACGGTTTCATCAAGGAAAAGGAGTTCAAGGATAGCGATATCTACTACCCGGAACAAGCCAAAGACAAGGGCGGAGATAATTTCGAGGCAAAACACTAAATAACATCCAATAAACCAGAAACTTCAGGCTCAATATAAAGAAACTGATTCGGCTCTCAAAGTGTTCAAGAAATTGGCTCAACTCCGTCAACGAGACCCGGCACTGATTCTGGGAACTACGGTAAGTAGTAGACCTGGGAATTTTCGGTGTGAACGCCAAAATATCGAAGTGAAATTGGCCGAGATATGGCATTTTTCCGTTGAACACCTATTGACATTCACACCGAAAATTCTCAGGTCTAGCCAAACAAATGAGTTCAATCTAATCGCCTTAATAGGTTCGAGATACTTTAATGGATGACGTGATCACCTTTGGAAGATTTGTTCCCGGTGTCAATGGGACTGCCGAGGGTTCGGCCTACATTGTTGTGCTGAACTTTGGCGAAAAGGAAACCGAAGTTGATTGCACGAAGTTGGCCGACAAGGGAATTCTCCCCACCAACAAAGCACTTACTACTGTCGAGGTAAATCATCAAAATTGATGTTCAAATTCACCATTCAAAAACAATGCAGGTGTCTGCTTTCACCACGGGTGTCAAACACTATGAGGCTCGACAAAAGCTTGACGTCTCTTCCACCAAGATCAAACTGCCTGCAAAACAAGGAATCCTTCTGAAACTCTAAAACATAAAATTTCTTTAAGTACCGTTAAATAAACATTGTTTATTCTGTATTTACTGACATCGAACATTTATTTACGACGCCAAATTGATTCATACGGGCAGATTTAAGTCGAGAGTCCGCCGAGTTCATTTTAAAGTCGTGAAGAACATCTACATGGAGCTGATGCCCATTTTGTCAAGCTAAAACCATTATTAGAAATAGCTCTTGTTAGCTCGAAAAAATACCTCTTCACCACGGAGCTTAGTAGTCAGTTCAAGGAGCAAAGATTCATCCGGCTTAAAGGCAGTGTAGTGCACATCAATCCATCCCTCTTCGTTTGGCTGAGAGATAACAAGCTAAACAAATGGTTTTAAACATTCGAAATTAAAAAAAACCGTTGCAGAAACAATAATTTGCTGCCCATCTTTATCTTTTCCGATGCCGTATTCGAGATTGATTTTCTTATCCTTGACGGCGATCGGAAATGCAAAATTCTGAAAAAAACAATTAAGAGTGAGATCACTAAACAAAAATACCTCACGCCCTTGCTGGAACATCGTAATTTTACCAGAATTTGGCGTCCGTTCGGTAAAAGAAGTCACATATCTCACTGCGATCGACGGCTAAAAGAATTATTTAGTATCCTAAAATGAACCTTTACCTGGGCTTGTTGGTGCTTGTTGATCGGTTGAGTCAAAGTAGGAGCACCAGCATCCTTTTGCTCAGAGTTGTAGCGGGGCATCGTCTTTCGGGTGTCGAGATGAACCTTTGCGCCAGTTTTGACCGATGATTGTTCTGGCTCTACATCAGCTTCGGCAAACATATTATCTTGACGAGATGCCTTTGAAGATTTGCCTTTTTGCATAGAAACATCGGTTTGTTCAATTTTGGTCGAGCGGCAAGTTTCGCTAAAGAAAATTAATATTTTTGTGATTAACAGAGACGAACCTGACATCCGTATGCTTTTTGTGAGAGCCGCAACACTTCGGAGCCTTGATGGGTTGAAAATTCTTATCCTACACGACAAGTTAACAAAAACAAAATGATACAATGTACCTGCTTGCGTATTTCACCCTTTACCGGAGCATCTACAACAATCTAAATGTATGTTGCATAACAAGTAAGCGTGTAACGCCCACTTGATTGATCGGAGTTTGTTCAGAAGGCAGTTTGGAGACAGAAGCTTGATTGGCACAAAGGCTTCTCATTTCACGGTTGTTCGAGTAGGCATCTTGATCCAACGAGCTCTTTGGAATTTGACGATTCCGCTGGCAAAAACATGGACCGGAAAATTGTCGATGAGTTTGCTGTGCAGATTGTTCAGTCAGGCTTCTCTTCGAGCTAAACGTTGAATTCGTGCTTTGCGCCATCGATTTCATCCGACTGTTGGTAGCTCTAAATCAAAACGCTTAGTAACATGAACAACTAATTTCAATTTTACAATAGTTAAATTCTTACCCATTTGCGCCGGTCGGATTCTTCGGGAGAAAACGCTTCTCATTAATGAGTTCGTAGATTTGATCGGCTGTGTAGAAGAGATAGTTCACCGTGTCGTCAACCCTAAACAAAAAGATTTGTTACTAAAGAGTAAAGATTTTTCAATTAAAAAACTAACATGCTAATGGAGCTTTGAAAAATGCTCTAGAACTACAAACATTCAACTTAATAATTTTCCATAGGAGAACTAGGAACGACTAACTAAAAAACACAAGTGTGGTTATGAAGTAATGAAACAAACAAGAAGTAATAACTTAAAGAACAAAAAAAACTCACTTGGCGATGGCTTGTTGCGCGCGGTTGTCCATGAAGCAACTGAGAAAATCGGAGAACAAATAAAAATGATTTTTGGAGGCATCGTGAAATTTTAAAGACAAAGTTTAAGTTCAAATTTAGGCCATAAATGCAAATTGAAAATGTAAATCTATTTAAGAATGTTCTGACGTTTTCAGAGCCATTTTGGACATTCCACTTCCACGTAAAAACCATTTTGCCTTGTTACTTCTGTAAAGTTGTTTTGCGATACTTTGGGATTTGATAGAGTGAAACAATTTTTATGCAAACATTTAAAACAAAGAGTCTAATGAAACTAAAACAACAACAATAACAAGCGATAACTCAGAAAATGTATAACCAACGAAATGTGCACAAATAACGTAGAAATTGAAGAAAGCACTACTCTTTTCATTAACAACTTTGGGCAACGACGACCTTTTCTCGCCGTCGTTCTCTTTTCGGGCGGATCGACTCATGATTGTTAGTCCATGGACCCTAAAAATTCAAATTATTTTTATAAAACTTTTATGAAACTTACGAGAGAATCATTCGCATAGAAATCCATTGGGTAAAAGTCTTTCGGCCCTTCAACGGATTCGAGAGCAACGTTCAATTCGTACGGTGAAAGAAGCGGACGCGGGAACGAGCTACCCCAATCAATCGATAATCTTGGGCATGCAACTTGTACCCAACTAAAGGCATGGATTACTTTGAAATTTAAAATAAAACTACCAATCAACGTCCGATAGAAGCGCCAGTTTTGAAGGGAAAATTTCCGACAAAAGTACCCGCACATATCCTTTTCCCTTCTCCAGTAGCTTTTTCTCAAGTTCCTCAAAGAATAAAAAATACATTCATATACACAAAGACTCACCTCAACAATTTTAATATTTCCCTGCCGTCCCAGAGTTCCTTGTATCAACCCGAATTTCTTGCTGTTTTTCGCTATGTCAATCGCACGTAATCGCGTTTGTTTCATTAAATCAAAGTCGAATTGTTCCCTAAAAAGCAGCTATTTATTTGTCCGCATGTTTTCAAAAATTAAAATTTACATAACCTACCTCGTTAGTTTTCGCGAATACGGATCATATTGAAAAGCCGGCACTTGAGGATTGTGCATCATTGCCGACTCCAAATGAAAACGTCCATCTCCGAGATAACTAAAAATTATGAAAATCTAGAAAAACCGTACAAGTTTTACATTAAAGCATCAACATCTTTTGAAAGTCTTGGTGATGTGCATCCCAAAATCTCCCCAGGGCTCAACGGCTTACATTGCGGCATCTCAACTTGGAAACCATCTTTTTCGAGAAGATTCTTGACAAGCTAAATTTAAAAAATTATTTCGTAATACATAGAGACTCCCACTTGCAATGAAGGAACAAATTGAATAGTGCTTACAAACGCAAGCCTTTTATCGGGTTGAAAATTTGTCTAAAACAACTTTAAAAATCTAGATAAGAAAAGCAATTTTCAGAAACTCACCTTTATCGAGTCCAAAAAGTGGGTAATATTTATATCAATGTTCACAAAAATGTAAAGCATGCTGATACCCTCCGTATTCTGAATTGGCACAAGACAACTATGGCCATAGTGAACAAGCAGATCACATCCTGAAGCGCAAATTATAAATATGTATTTTTCTAAAAGAAACCGAGTGCTTTAGCAGTATAGTCATCAACACAGCAAGCTCCGTATGTGACATCGCCCATTATCACCGTTTCGCAACTCGTATACTTTTCCAATATGTCGGCTATCACACTCGCATACATTAAAAGACCTTCAGGGAATTGTAGGGCAACTAAACTTGAATAAGTTAGAAATGCGAAAAAAAAACAAGAAACCATATTTGGCGGAAGTTGAGCGAATTTTCCAAATCGTCTTTGGTATTTCGAAGGTATAATTCGATGGCAACTAAAAACAAAATTATAACAGCACTTCTAGATTCTTCAAATTGCTAGGATCTAATGGGTTTTGTTTTAGCACAATAAAAATTCACAATTGAAATGTCCTTTTGAAGCTTTTCATCGGCAGCAATCGACTCGATTTGAAACGATAACATCTTTGTTCGGTCCATGTCTTAAAAAATGGTTTTACTCTTTTAATTTTTGGTTAAAATGCAGAAGCTTACGAAAAGAACACATAAAGATAAAAATACAACAAGCTCCTTTAAACGCGTTATTACATCGCGATATCACGTTGCATTTTGCTAAAAATTTGGCAATAGTTGTTGGATCAAAAAATTTGGTTCTATTTTAGGGTTTTGAAAAATTTTATTTCTTTCAGTTGCACTAGGCAGCTATGCAGCAAATGGGTACTAGAAAATTGGAATGCGCGTGATTGATCCACCTGTTGCGATAAAAAAAGAGGAAACGAGGCCGCAACTTTTATATAGGATAAAATTGCCTCCAGAGAAAAGTTATTTAATTGAAGGATTGAGTACATGTTTAAAGAATTTAGACTTATAAGAAATGCTTAACGTTACATTCTCACTTTATTGTTTAAGTCGCCGCTCTAGGCTCACGTTATCAGTATTTAACTGTACTTAACTATAGCACAAGCTTCTCTACTTTTATTTTTCATAAGAACTTTCCTTTTTGGATTTGGATTATCATTTTGGTTACTTTTAATGATAATTCTCATGTTTAGATGCTACGAAATGGACTGGGTAATCTACTTCAACAGAGCACCCGACTGCTACGCGGTGGACCTGTTCAGACGACGACTCCCCTGCCCGATAAGCTCTTCAAAAGTATCGAGCTCGAAATGAGAGGCCACGATCCCGCCGTTTTACGCTCGTATACCACATTTCTGAAGACTGTGTGTGGTCATTTGAATATTCCGCAAGGACGTCTACAAGTGCTTCCTTATGTGAGATGGATTCAATACGCTCTCCGGTCGAAATTCGTTCACAAGAAGTACAAGCTGCACTACGAGACGCGAACACACATCACGAAATTCGAGGTCAAAGAGCTTACTGGGAGCACGGCGTCGACTTTTTTGGAATACATTCAACGGAATATCCCGGAAGGCGTTGCGATGAGAGTCGGATATGAAGAACTTCGACCGCTTCCAAATACGATCGTCGATCATTCGAAAAAGGAAACGGCTGCTCAATGAATTTCTAGGCTTACAAAACATTTTCAGTTTATGATTTAGATTATTTTCAATTATGTTGTCCGTTTTGTACATACGTTGTTCTTGATTGTTACAATGTGTTTCAATAAATATACAATTTAGATTTGATGCAGAGCTCGTCGGGCTCAAGCAGTAGCTTCGATGGCGTTGAATGGAATCGGATCGTCAATCGGTTTGCATTTTCAGTAGAGCAAAATTGAAAATTCTATTGAAAATTTAGGGTTTTGAATGCGTGGGGTGGTTACCAGTTGGCTGTTCAAATGGACGCTGGTGGACCTGATACAAAAGAGAAACATGAGGTTGAATTTTTTGTCTCAATTATTGACTACAATTACATTTGTGGACTGATGTACCTATTTTTAAAAGTTGTTTAGTGGTTTGCAAGTGTCTTGGCCGAGCATATTCACGAAAAAAAGGGGCTCAAGATTGATAACCTAGAAGAATGGATGGAGAACATTCTTTACACGGATTTTGATTTGGTAGGCATTATTATTATGCTTTGTTAATATTTTTCATAGGTTCTTGAAGACGATAGCATTAACCCGACATCACATATCCTACTTGAGCTCCACAGGTTTATTTAATCAGCCAAATTTTATAAAGTTTTTTAGTTATTTGAAGACAAACAATCGTATGAGGTTAGAACAACTACTCGCAACACTTCCAAACGAAGAAGAGATAAGAAAGGCAGCAAATGTATGATTTTGCTTTGTACTGTTCTCAACAATTCGTTAGGAGTCACGGGGCCTCGATGATGGAGCAAGCACAAGCGGCGATGAGGATGCAGAAATGCAAGAAAACGCAGAAAATGAAGCTGAAACTTCAGGTTAATTTTTTAATTATGCTTAATTGGTATTTATTGCCAAAGCTATCTTTACGCAAACAATTGGCGTACATCTTTGCGCTCAATTGAGCGAAAATCGAATTGAATTTTCTTTTCTCTTCCACCCTTTTTCTGTCTCCTTTTCTCCTCTTTCTCGCTCATTGCACGGAGGTTCTAATTGACTTTATCGAGCGCATTTTTCCGAGTTTTCTCAACGATTTCCCAAATAGCGATTTCAGGTGTCCTTGAAGTTTTTAAAAATATTAAGTATTTCTTTAATTCTTTTAGCGCTTTTAATCCCAGCGGTCAAAAAGTTTCCAAACTAAAAATTTTGCATTTCACATTTTACAAGTCATTTTACGAGCATGAGTCAATCAATTTCGAAATGTTTCCTGGTTATCAAAAATCACGTTGAAAAATAATAAGCACCTCCTTATTGGAAATTTGCAGTTTTGTATTGCATTTGTCAGATATCCAGACTTTCTAAGCTTTAAAAACTCTGAGCCATCTTTAATACATTCTCACTAGATTCTGTTCAAAAATAAGCCTTTTGCTAAAAAATAAATCCACGGTTGATATTTACTCTTTTTTTTCCAGGCCCCCGGGTACCAAAAGAAAAGCAACCACGGACGGTGACAGACGATGATGGCTGGACTACAATTGTCAAGCGAAAATAAGATTTTATCGTCATGAACTTTGTTATATCTCTATTTTATGATTACCTTTGATTGTTTGTTGAACATTTTTCTGTATTTGACTGGGTAATGGGGCGATAAGCTTATTTCTTTTAATGGTTGCGATTGGCAACCAGTGCCGAGTGTGAACTAAATCTTGAAAGGCGGTTTTCCCCTCCGTTATCACCGTCTTTCCTTCTCAACCTTTGTTGATTTTTATGTGCCTTTGTTTTTGAATACCAGAGTCTAATTCTTTTGTTACTTGTACCTTTTATTTTGTTACTGTTATAAATTTCTTTTACTCTATCTCTAGTGGGCCTGGATCACAAAAATATGTGGGATAGTCGGTCTCTTGTCTCTTATCAACTCACCGAGTCATTCCTTTTACGGAAAAATTTCTCTTTTGGTGGTTAATCTTTGTAAACACGATTTGGTTGAATTGCGATAGTCGTTTGCCGATTTAATGTTAATATTGAAATAGTTTTAGCTCATGTATTCTCCACTTTCTCCTCATTTAAATCAAGATTGGCGATCGAGTTTATCGCAAGCGGTCAACAATGCTCAACTTTTATATGAGGAAACGCGACAAAAACAAGTTTGACCAACAAAGTGAGAAGAATTAGGAAAAATTCAGGCTGAATTCATAAACTACATCTGCGAATTGCAACGACTTCAGGGAATCATGACCCAGATTGAAGCTGAACAAAACCCTGAGAAACTTCAAAAAGTAAAAAGAGCCCAAAAATCGATCGACACAAATTGCAGGCACGTCAACATATTCAAGGCGAACAACAAAAAGCGGCTCAAGTCTATGAATCGGTGATCGAGAAGCGCTCGCAATCGACTTCTGTACTCCACAACGGAATGCAAATTGTGCTTGAGTTACAGGTGCTAAACACTTCCTTGTATGAAATAGACGGCCATTTTCAGACAGAACTCATCAATAACCGGTTGTTTTCTTGGAAAAATCAACAGCGAATGAACAAAATCGGATTTCCGCACGATGATGCCGAGGGAAAGCTTGATGAATTGCAAAAAGAGTAAGTAAGAAAAGTGGCAAAACTTTTGAAACCACGAAGAAAGTTTTCAGGTTTCAATGGTTAATCGAACAGATTTGGCAGCTCAGAACTCATGCCAGCTACCAGATGGAATTAATGCAAAGGTTTGCAATGGATCAATTCAAGATTAGAAACTATAGCCAAGATTACGGTAGTTGTCGAAAGTTTATATGTTTTAGAAAAAAAACACAAAGATCTTCAGCAAAACTAAAATTTTCTTCGATATATCAAATTTAGAGGTCCTCAGAACAATAACGATCAAAACTCGCCGATTTTCGCTCAAAATCTCTCGCTCATTGTCGAACAGCTGAATAATGTGCTTAAAACATTAACGTTTCATTCATTCATCGTATCGAAGCAACCCGAATTGATCCTCAAGACTAGTACAAAGTTTAAAGTGGAGGTGAACACATTTTGCAAATGTTTCAAAGATGAATTTCAGACAAGACTCCTCATTGGCGACTCGCTTGGGATGCGACAAAATTTGGTCAATACGAATGTTACAGTGAAAATCATCGCCGAAGAGGATGCGAAACAGCTGGCGATTGGGCAAAGCGATGAGAAGAATATGTTAGTCAGAAAAAAACTTCTCCTTACTTTAATATAATGTCTAATTGGAGATTCATTTCCAGTCGATCAATTGGCGAGATCACGAATGCTCTCGAAAAGATCACCATGAACGACAAAGGGCATATTTGCGCAAAATTCGATAACTCGGTTGGTGTAAGCCTAATTTTCCTTTGAAATTTGAAATTCCAGAAATTGATGAAAGTGATGGCTCGTGGGAAACAGCAAGGCCGAAGCTCTAATGATCAAAAAAGTAGCACAGCGACCACAATCACTGATCAGAAATACGCTCTACTCTTCCAGATCAGCTCGTTTCAATTCGAGAGTCTCGGAAAGGTATAGTAATAACTATATAAATTGTACTAGCTTTAACTGATAGCACTAATTAGTTCTTATTCAGAACCTGAATTTTTAGATGGACATTTGGTGCCTCTCGTTACCTTTAATGGTCACTGTCAACATTTCACAGGATTGCAATGTCCGAGGACCGATCTTGTGGAGAGTCGCCTTTGGAGGCACGGTAAGCAAAATGACTTTTCAACTAGGCTTGTTAACGAAAAAAAAACGGAAAATTGAATGTCTTTTGATTTTCAAAGTAAAACCCAACGAATAAGGCAGCTACGCACGGCGACGGAAAAACCGAGAAAACGTAGCTGCCCCATTTGTTGACTTTTTCTTTGAAAATTAAAGATATTCGAGTCGAGTTTGCAAAATCGAATCACTTTATTTCAGAACTGGAACCAAGACGGCGTTGATTCGGACCATGCGGTCTCATGGGCCAATCTCTATCCCGTACTTCAGTATCAATTCAAAGAGTTCACTGGTGAGAAGAGTAACTCCATAAAGAAAGCAAACCCATTTCTTCAGGCGCTAAACGCTTACTTAATGAATCCGATCTGAGATATCTCTACGAGAAACTGTTCAACTCGTCGGCAATCAATCTCGAAGCGACAATCAATTTTGAGCGATTTGCCAGAGTAGGAGTTGCTCGAGTTTTTCAAAAAATATTCTTTTCAGGTGAATTTACATGGGACCAATTTCTCTTTTTGGGATTGGTTTTACTCGATTATGTGCCTGGTGAAACAAAAATTGCTGAAATATTGGGAAGACGGGTGGTGCATTGGATTCATTACAAAGCAAGACGCCAACGATATTCTCAAGCAAGGACCAGCCTTTTTGCTCAGGTGGGAGAAATAAGAATGTAAAAGTTATTTAGCCTTATAAACCTTCATACTGTAGGCTTACTGTAGTTCGACAGGGAACTTGAACTTTACTGTGACTTCTACCTTCTTACAATACCTTATTTCTTTTTAAACTTAAGCGTTAAACTACAGTACCCCCGTTATCTTCTTGAGATCTAAGCTCATTTTAAAAGTCACAAATCTCATCATCAATCCCGATTTCAGATTTTCCGACTCTCAAATGGGCGCGGTGAGCATCGGCTTCTCGACGCCGAACATTCCGAGTCATCTCGCTCCATTCACCACAAGAGATCTAGATCTACTTTCGATTTCGCAAAGAATCGCCACCTGTCCTCAACTCAAAGACACTATTCAGTAAGGAAATCCAATCAGAATATAATACAAGTATATTAAGTTAGTTAGTCTTTATAATTTTTTTCAAATTTTTTTTATTGAAAAGAATCCTTTACCAAATTTGTTAACTATTAAAAAGGTCTATAATTTCTCTACAAAATGGCTTTTAAGAGAAAGCTCAAATCTCGTCTCAACTCAGTAAAAACGCATTTTTATGTAAAATTTTCAATCACTGTTTGAAAGAAAATGGCTGAACGGATAGTTTTCAAATTTTACAGACTTATGTAATCAAATAAGCTCTATCTTTTTTTACCTTGATACCAAAATGGGTTTTTATTGAAGAAAGTGTCCAAATTGCGACTTCAGCATCGGAGCAGTTTTCGGTGCTCACCTTTGTGCATTTGAAAATCCACAACAACACCACTTTCAAGAATTTCCCAAAAGCCATTTTGCAGAGAAAAATATCAATCTTTTTAATAATCCAAGTATGAATTTTGTTGGTGAAAAAAATAAAAATTAGAAATAGAAAATCAAAAACAAACAGAAATTCAAAGTTTATTTTTGAAAGATGTTTGGAAAAAATTGTAAAATGTTACATTAACCTAATATTACCTAGATGTATCATGGGAAAAGATGGCCCAGTCCCAAAAGAAGAGATCGTTGAGATAGCAAAGAAGGAGGAACAAACGAATACGCAAACGAATCGTTCGACAGGATATGTGCACAGTCAAATCATAATGGTCATTGATTCGTCGGGAGCTGGGTAGGTTGATAAAGAATAAAATCAAGCAGCTATTTTTAGTTTCGATGGAAATTCTCCGAGCAGTGGGGGCACCACGCCGTCACCGTTCGATTCGTCGTTATACTCGCAACAATTCTCACCTGGGGAAATCATTCGACCAAATCATCTGGGTGACTTGTATGTGTGCTGAAACATAGCAAAAGCTCTCATCATTGCGTAATTAATCATTTTCAGATTAATTACGCAATGGATTAATTTTCAGGATTAATATATTGTAAATCTAATCGAATCTATTTTTGTGTCCAGGACTGAATCAAATCAAAGTAAATAAATTGAATGAAGCTAAAGACAAGATTATGGTAGTTTTCAGAAGTTGACACTTTTTAGAAAGCACTTCATTGAAGAGAAAAATGATCTAATCCCAAATACGGTACTCTTATTACCCTTCGAATACAAACTTGTAGATAAAATATGCCTAATTGTAAGTATCTGCTAAATTCTATTCCAGTAGCTCAATGGATTTCGACTCAACGTACGGTGATGTGAATACCCTTTTGGGGGAATTTGTGGGCACTTGGCAGAACCCTCCAATCGCACCCAATCTCAACACTCCGACCATCGAAAGACTAATCAATGTCCCGCAAGCATTTAGCCCAAACAATACGAATGTGCAAGTCGATCATCAAGGGAACTATTTCCCGAATAATCCATCAACTTTCTAGAGTTCTCTAGTAAAATATCACGTTTAAACTTTTCTCTTGTCGTTCCATTCAAGTTCGACCGCTAACTAAAGTTTTAGTTTGGGTTTAGTCTGCTCAAAATTTCTCCGGTTGTTCAACAAATCTTTCCTGTGATTTGCATTTATCATTTTCTCTTGCCTTGCCCATAAAATCTGTGATCTCTTTAAGTCTTCTGACTTTTCTACAGTTTTCACTTACAGTAATCAAATAAATATTTGAAAAAAGCGTTATTTTATTATCGATTCCTACAAAGGATACAAAAGTATATCTGTTTCTATGAAAATGAAGCTGTTTTGAATATCTTTAATGAGAATGATTTATGGAGTTTAAAAATTCTTACTACCGTAAATCCTCTATTGTTCGATGCTCGTTTTTCGAATCCCCAAAAAATCACATTGTTGAAAAAATTGTTTTTGCTTAAATCACTCTAACTCGATTCCTTTTTGTCTAAAACATATGAAAAACAGATTTAGAACTAAAACCTTTCCTCTGGAGGACCATTGAAAGGTCAATCTTCGAAAATCCATGTGGGGGACCCTTATCATTTTTTGACAAAAACTTTTTTCAAATTTTTTCTTCTAATCGAAAAAATCTTACTGCTGTCACTTGTAGGTTAGATCTCGTAATAGTAAACATAATTATAACACTTTTTACAAAATATTTTTGGGAAAAATTTAACTTTCAGTTAGCGTTAAATTAAGGGATGCCGCTCTAATAGAGGATTTATAATATTAGTGTTTTTGACTAATGATTTCTAAGTCTATTTAAACTTTTTCTGGTTTCTTGCAATTACGAAAACTTTTCATGTAATTGATTGCAATCTTAGAAAAAAATTTTTTCGTAGATTGCAAATTTCCAATTCATTTTCTTTCCAATGACCTTGAACGCTTTTTTTGGTGTCATTTGATTAATGGATCGTTGGTTTAGTCGATCATCTTTTTTACTTGAAACACACGCTTTTGTGAAAAATTGTTTAATAGAGACAAGATTCCGAGAAAATTTATTGAAATAATAGGGGAAATTGTTGAGAAAGCATTTTTATTTTAGGGGAGATGCTGGCTGGCGGATCGAATGGACCCGAGGATATTCGAGCCGCGCTATCACAAGCCGTCAAAGATGCACAGAATTTGTGGGAGGAGAATAGAGATCTACAGGTAAATTAGTTTGTTATTCGATTAACAAAATATCTTTTAGATATAGATTTTAGGCATAAGTGGATCTGTTTTGTTTATTTACTCTATGGACAGTGAGATATGTAGTAGCCTTTACAACAATTTCCTGAATATTTGATGGTAGTAGGCTTTTTTAATGATACAATAGCCGCCAAATTACCTGAGTATCTTTAAGTGATTGGAAGTAAAATCATTATTCACTGCCACTGAAAAGTTTCAGTGTTTGGTCTAAAATGACCTAAAAAGACATTTCATTCAATTTCTGCTTTCACCTATCAATAAACAATATTTTGATGACGAAATTCTAGGGTCGATTCGTGAATGATCTTGGCGAGCTGCAGAGAATCCAAATGGCCATCGGACAACTCGAATCCGAACAAAGATCCGATCAGTTACAACAGGTTTGCTTCAATTTTTGCCGCATAAAGAATTCTGAATTCATTTTATCATTTATTATCTAAATAAGATACATTTTATTACATTACATTTATTTTATTATCTAAATAACACATGCAATGCAGGCTCGCCAATCGATGCAAGAAATGCAGCGTCGTGCCTCACAACTCTACGAGATGCTCATCGATCGACGCGCCCAGCTTACGACTCGTTTAAATAATGGGCTACAATTTGTGGCCATGTTGCAAGTATAACCTAGGAAAACAGCTCAATTATACAAAGTTCACAACAAATCTGTAAACTCGAACTTTTTGCAGAACTCCTTGATCAGCGAGCGCTTGTTCAACTGGAAAAACCAACAAAAGCTGGCCCAAGTCGGCTTCCCGTTTGAGAATCGAGATCAATGCTTGGATGAGATACAGAAAGAGTTTGAAATTCCTTCAGAATTCCTACATGAATTTCTTAGATTTGAATTTCTCGCCGAACAAAATTGGCAACTACGAACCTTCGCTTGCTATCAACACGACTTCGTTAAGCGGTAAAAGACTTTAAGAAAAGAAACAAAGAAGAAAGAAAGAAGAAAAGAAGTTCTCGAGGAAAAAAAACTATTCTAGCGGTCCACAACTAAACGACAACAATGCACAAACGTGTGCCCAGAATATCTCAGCAATCATGGATCAATTGTCGAAACTGTTATGCATGCTCGTCTCGCAATCTTTCGTGGTCACCGTTCAACCGGATCCCGTGCTCAAAACACAGCACAAATTTGGAACTGAGGTTGGTTGTTGGAGGTTGGGTTACGGTAGTGGGATTGTAGCATTAAACCCCCGGATAACGGTACTGGGTAACGGTAAGAGATCCCGGGTTACGGTAATAGAGCGCACGGGATACGGTAACGGGTTACGCTACTGGATAACTGCAATAGAATCACAATTTACGAGAAGTTACGACACTGGATGGGCAACAGATCCCCGTGATACGTGATACGACCACGGCAACCTAGACAACAAGCCTTTGTCCTTTTCCATCCATTTAGCATTCAGTAGTTGGAATTGGAAATGAATTAGAAACTCTTTGCTCTTTGTTACCAACGCGTTTTTAATTCTAAAGTTTAGATTTATTCTAAAAGATCCCATTTCTAGGTCCGTTTACTGATCGGCGATACCCTGGGCATTCGTCAAAATCTGGTGAACACGAATGTCACCGTGAAAATCATTGCCGAAGAAGACGCGAAACTTCTCTCAACTGGGCAACTTTCTGAAAAAGACATGTATTTAAGAAATTAAGTTACCCCTCAAAAAGTCTTTCCAGAAAAACCGTTGGCTCGATCTCGAACGATTTCGAGAAAATGATGATGGATGAAAAAGGGCATATGGCTGCGAAATTCAACAATTCGGTGAGAAAATGCGGATGTATTATTAGGCTAACTATTAGGCTGTCCAGAAAGCCTTTTCGTCCCTTTTAGTATATTCGTTGCAAAATAGCAAATCACCAATTAACCTATGAAAAGACTTTCTCGACAGCCTAATAGTATTGGGTATAACAAACTGAATGTAATGATAAATAAATTGATTTTCAGAAACTCACACGCATCGCCCATCGAAAGCAACCTCCAAGAAGTGCGGCTGAGCAGAGGAACAATCCCACTTCGGCAGCCACCGATCAGAAATACGCTCTTCTCTTTCACATCAGTCCATTCCAACTGGGAAATCTTGGAAAGGTTAGATTGATTCGATTTTGATGTTAGATCGTTTTGATTGATTAGATTGATTAGTAGCCTTGATGTAACTATAACACTAAAGGAAAACTCCAGGCAAAGCTAGCCTTGTCTTGTTAGCTTACCTAGACTAGGAAATCGGCATGTACACGTTTTGAACCATTTTATCAATATCGTCAAGCAAATAAACTTTAGTGAAGCACTAGAATAAGCAATATATTTGGCAAAACAGTACTCAAACCTTATTTTGTTTAGTTTGATGTGTGGACAATGTCCCTACCCTTAATGGTCACCGTTCATGGGTCACAAGATTGCGATGCACAAGGGGCAATCCTTTGGCAGAGAGCTTTCAGCACTGTGGTTTGTAGTTGTTCTGATTGGAATATCTGTCTTAAATTGGATTTAAAGATATTCAATTTTCATTTCAGAACCGTGCCCAAAGCGGTTGCGACATTCAGCACGTCGCCTGGCAAGAGCTGGGTGAAGTCATTCGATACAAGTTCTCACTATTCACAGGTACTCAGGCGCTTTTTGCTAACAATAAGCTGCATGTCTTTTACGACTGAAAAACCAAATAGCTGTTATTCAAAAATACTTCGTTATCAATTCCCTAAATATCGTTTAAAATCCATAAAGTTGAACTTTTCCTTCAGGTGCTCGTCGTCCTCTCTCCGATTCTGATCTCAACTATTTATACGAGAAATTCTTCGTTCCCAACGCGCAAGACATCAAACCAATAACGTTCAATCGTTTTGCAAAAGTAATCTCAAAAATTCAATTCAAAACCTTAAATTTTCATATAAAGGAAAGACTCCGCGATGATGTGAATTTCTCATTCTGGGAATGGCTATTCTCGATCATGCAGCTCATCAAACAAAAGTTACTCAAATTTTGGGATGAAGGTAGGCTTAAGATATTTTAATATTAATTTTCATGATTTAGTATTTGATTTCAGGTTGGTGCATAGGATTCATCTCGAAGCAGGGAGCTTCTGACGCGATGCACTCTTCACCTGAGCCAACTTTCCTGCTTCGGTACGGGAAATTGGTGTATTCATTAAGGCTTGGCATAAGCTGTTAGCGCTAGGATGTTCTGAATTAAACTCAAGGCCAATTCAGAATCCTGATTGGTTTAATTCTAAATCTTGTCCTAAATTGACTTACAGATCCTAGTTGGAAAACAGAGATTTTCCAAACCGTTCTCTAAACTTTTCCTGGACTAACAACCCAAATTGGGCCAAAACTAGGTCCGATTTTGGTTCCTATTCTTCCAGGGATTACATAATCTCTGGTTGGATAGATTGGAACATTTCTGGATTCACCTTTGAATAAGAGAATTTCTGCTAGCAAACAAGTAATTCTAAACCATATTTAAAGCTATCTAAAGTTTGTCTTGTCTACTCATCCTTTCAGCTTTTCTGACACTCAAACCGGAGCTGTGAGCATCGGTTTTGTATGTGATGGAGTTCCGTTCCATCTCGCTCCATTCTCGATCAAAGATCTCGAACAACTTTCTCTTGCACAACGAATCGTTTCATGTCCTCAATTGAAGGATATACGGTAAGTAAAACAGCATTTTTTTAGCTAATACAATAAAAAATTCAATGAACCTTGTTTAGATACCTTTTTGGCAAAAACGGGAACGTGGACAAAGAAGAGATGTTGAAATATTTCGAGTCTGAAGAAAGACATAAAGCTGGCGGTGACAGTCCAACAACAGGCTATATTCTATCGGAGATCATCATGGTTGCGAACACGTCTGGGTACGGATTGAAGTGTTCTTACAACTAGTCAGCCACTGCTAATACAATGTGGAACTGTAGAAACGATATCTTCCCATTCAGGCGCTACCCAAACTCGTTTGGCACCGATTCCCCGTCTCCACTCTCAGCTCATTCACGGCTTGATTGGTCTCCCGGTGAAGTGATTCAACCACTAAACTCGATGGAAATGTAAGAATTCTAATCTACGATTGAAAAATCTATTGAACATAATCATCTTTTTCAGCTCCGATTACCCGATGGCTCCGTTTGATGGAAGGGAGGGAGGGATCGAGGCTTTATTAGGCGGTGGTTTCCAGGCTCGTTTACCCGATCAACCTCTGCAACCGATTGATCTCTCGATTTTTGAGACTTTCCAGAATCAGCAAAATTTTCATGCGGTCGCAAACCCCCCGCCCCATCAATATCCTTACCATGAACATCGTCAATATCAATAAGTTTTATCAATTGAGTTCGAATCTCTTTTCAGTCAAGGCTTTGAACTGAATCTAGACAATGCTATAGACAATTCAGACGATTTTTTAAGAATCTTATTCATTTTGTTAACAATTGTTAGTGTTTTTCGTTTTTAGATTTAACTTATTCAGATGAAATTTCACGATGAACGATCTCTCCTCAAAATGTCATATTCAATGAACTGATATCTTCATTTCTTTCCCTCCAAACTAGTCACTCTACATAAATTCTCATTCATTATCATCCTCAGCATCGCTTTTTGCACATTCAGGCTTCTCCTTCTTTAGTCCTTTGCTTAGAACGTCAGCTTACAAGGGAATGGTCGGTATTGACCGAATATCTTAAACCTTGAATATAAATGAAAATATGTTTGCATTAAAATCCCAGTCCTTTGCCCTACTACAGAAGGAAGGTATTCAGGTGCAAACTGAATATCTTTCATTTCCAAAGACTGGATGATATATGAAGCCAACAGCAAAATATTCAGCCTACTTCTAAGCTCTAAACTAGTTAGCTGAATATCTTTAGATATTTGAACTAGACAAAAGATATTCAATCAAGTTTAATGATCATTTTCTATTCTGAACTCTTATCGAACTTGTCAAGTTGTGTGTCTGTGTCGTCCCATTTTCTTTCAGTTTCCCCTTCTTTCAATTAATCTCCTCTCACGTGTGTCCATCCAAAAACCATATCCGATCCCTCAATCGTATCAAAATAGAAAACTTTATTTGTTTTTTAAAGAATAAATGCCTAATCAAAATATCACACAAAAATTTGAGCACAAAATTGAGCAGATCTGTATAGACATTGAATAAAAGAGGGAACTGTGTGTAAAATGTAAATGTGTGTAAAATTATTTTTCTGGTTTTTGGAAACGACATAATACCGTCGTTTAACCATTTCCCAGAGAACAAGACCAGCAGAATACACATAATTTTTATGTGATGTCTGTAATTAAAGCATTTGGTTTACTAAACCAAACTCTTAGTAGACTTGTGCGTAATTTAGGGTCGCTCAATCGCGCCGGTTTTATCTAACGAGGAATGTATCCCAAATCGTCTCAAAAAACCTCAAAACAGATGGAGAAAAGTCCACCTGTTTTGAGGTTTTTTTTGTTTTTTTGAGGACGACCACCGTTGGCAAGGCGAACAATGCGTCCCAGTAGCAGTTGCGACTTGTGGCATGAAGCGTTGTCCTGGTACAGCAGCCATCCTTGTCCAATGTTTGTGGTTGCAAATGGAAGAAGATCGTTCTCCAAGATTACCATGCATCGTTGAACGTTCAGGGTTGAATTAAGAAGAACAAGCCGACCTGGTGAACTTCTGTTCAACGCTCCTAAAAAAACAAAATCAGTAGGCATAAATATCAAAGTTGCTTATCCCATAACATGGTTGATCTGCCACCAAATTCGACTGTCGGACGAAGGTATTCGGTGTTATATTGTTTTCTGATAGGTCTCCGGATTAAATGATTGCCATCGGAATTGAAAAGGTTGATTTTCGATTCATCAGTGAAAATTACATTGGCCCGTCCAACTTTCGTATTTCTTGGCGAAGTCGAGTCCGATCTTCCGGTGTTTGGCGACCATCAAAGGCTTCTTGGAGGCCCTTCTTGTCATAAGTCTTGCATGAATCAAACGTCTACTCGTTGTCTTTCGATTGATATCCTTGTTAAATTGCTGCTTGATCAATATGACTTCTACAAAAGCATTAAGACTTGGATCCTTTTTGTGGGCCAAAATTAGAGCCTTGTCTTCTCTTGTTGTTGTGACGGATGAACGACCTGTTCATTGAAGAGTTCCAGTCGTTTTTTTTCTTTCTGGCAAAGTTTTTCACCGTCTCGGGGCTGCATTTGAATAAGCTCGCAACATTCTTTACTTTATCACCTTTTTTCCTTGCTTCCACAATCTTTTCTTGAAATGAAACAACAGCAATAACATAAAAAGCTGAAAACGGGTAAAGACTTTTGTCCACCTGTTTTGAGGTTTTTTTTGTTAAGGTCGTTGTTTGTTGCTTGAAATAAGTTGTTTTTTATTTTGGTTATGGGATATGTGTAACTAGCGTAAAAATGCTACAAAATACTTTAGAAACCATTTTTAAAGCTTGTCAAAAAGTTGAAAAATTTCGCGTTTTAAAAGCTGATTTCGGTAGAGGTAAAGACTTTTTCCATGACTGTATGATAATCAGACACGCATTGCCTAGTTTTGGGCAAAGTTTCATGTCGACCTAATGATTGGGCTTCAAGCAGGAAGCTTTTGTTTGCAATCAGTCGATTTGGACTCTTTGAGCTTCTGTGAACTAGAGCTTTCTACTACCCCTAAATATTTCCAGCCAAAAGTTGCAAATATGAAGTAGGTAGCATTTCAAAGTAAAAAAGTTGCTGGTTTGGATTCTTTTCTGAAAAATTTTCTAGGGAGGCTATTTTGCAAGCCACTTTCTTTCGTTCTTTTGTTCATAGCTCAGCTTTCATTCACCAAAACAGGATAAAAACTTGCTACCTAATAGATAATCGAATACTAACAATGTTTCGAAAGTTCCATAAAACACATAGTTCAGTGTTTGAGCAATTCCAAAAACAAAAACTCTTGTTGTGCGATGTGGCCTAGATCAGAATTGAGTGATTTAAAACAAGAGCCTCCCCCTTGAAGCTCAGACATTAGATCGGGATGAAACTTTGCCCAAAGCTAGGCAATGCGTGTCTGATTATCATATTAAGAATTTATAAAAAAACTATGATTTACTCTTTAATGAAACAAAAAACAAAAGGTGCTATCAAGAATTAGTACTCAACCTAATAGTAACCAGAAATAAGTTTAGGGTTTTTTAATTCTTAAATTCTTTGGAATTTAAATGCTCTTTCCTGATATCAATCACTACAAATCTATTTTCTTGCGAGCCAAAAACTCTAGTCTTTACCTCCTGAAACTCCTGAAACTGTCTTCAAGTTTTTGTTCGAAATTTGTCTTTCCAAAATGTTCAAAAATCAGGTCAAGAGTGGGAATTAAGCTGAAATTGGGGGAAGTTTTTGTGACAAAAACGCCAAGATCTAAAAAGCCAAAACACTAAGCCAAAAGCCAACTTGATAAGACTTAGAGGGGAAATGGGAGAACATTTGAGACTTTGGGCACTTGAACTTGGGCTGTTCTGGGCTGTTCTGACTTTGGACTGTTCAACTGGAAAGACGAATGAAATATTATCCCTACAGGGTGCGTGAAGATTATTGACTGCCCCTATAAGCCTTGTAATTTTCTTGTCCACAAAGATAAATTTCAATGTAAAACAGCGAAAATAATCCACAAAAAAAAGTTATTAAAACTCGGTTTGACCTGCTTTTGCGCGGATGCATTCGTGAACAAGACTATATTAATGATTTCGGGGTCGATTAGTCTATCTGGAAGAAGAATCTTTGAAATGAAGATCTCAAACAACTTCAGCAATTCATCGCTATAATCTCTCGACTTTGAATGGCACTGTTTTGCCACATCTACGAAAAATATCGAGCTAAAGTAAAACGAAAAATAAAAATGTCACCTTTGCCCATTTGGGAATGTTGTAATGCATTGTCCATTTTTCAAATCTGGGACAATTTTGCTTTGTTAGTGAATTTTTTTCTTACAAGCCGGTGCTCTCGTCATATCGTTCGACAGGCTTTCATGGTTTTATGGTCCAGAAGATGTAAGGGACTTTGGGGTTTCTTGGTCCTGAAAGTGATCGGCAGTGATGTAGATAAATTATAGTCTAAGAAAAATACGCATCAATGGTTTATAGGCTGTGTTTTCTAAGTAACTCAAAGTGTTTACTAAAAGATGCGCTTGAGAAAAAGCTACTGTACTCTTTGGCTTTAAAAATTGAAGCAACCAGGCGAATTTGGTGGCTTAGAAATCAATCCAATGAGTGGTTTCAGCAGAAAATAAGAAAACTAAACAACACTGTTCCTTAATGTTTGATTCCTTATCTGAGGCTTGTTTCGCCAAAAGGCTTAGGCTTAGGCTTAGGCTTAGGCTTAGGCTTAGGCTTAGGCTTAGGCTTAGGCTTAGGCTTAGGCTTAGGGCTTAGGCTTAGGCTTAGGCTTAGGCTTAGGCTTAGGCTTAGGCTTAGGCTTAGGCTTAGGCTTAGGCTTAGGCTTAGGCTTAGGCTTAGGCTTAGGCTTAGGCTTAGGCTTAGGCTTAGGCTTAGGCTTAGGCTTAGGCTTAGGCTTAGGCTTAGGCTTAGGCTTAGGCTTAGGCTTAGGCTCAGGCTTAGGCTTAGGCTTAGGCTTAGGCTTAGGCTTAGGCTTAGGCTTAGGCCAGGCTTAGGCTTAGGCTTCAGGCTTAGGCTTAGGCTTAGGCTTAGGCTTAGGCTTAGGGCTTAGGCTTAGGCTTAGGCTTAGGCCAGGCTTAGGCTTAGGCTTAGGCTTAGGCTTAGGCTTAGGGCTTAGGCTTAGGCTTAGGCTTAGGCTTAGGTCAAATGCGTTTAGTGCGCTAGAAAGTTGGCGTTTAAGTGTAAGCCCGGTTGTAGTTTGAAATCAAAATTCGTAAACGCTTTCCCCCTGGTACACTAGTCCTGTTGGCTAAATGATAGAGAAATGAATGAATCAAGCTTATTGAGCCATTCTCATTGTAGCCGCAAAACCCTAAAAAGCTAAAGCGCATTGGGGCTAAGAGCTAAAAAAAGATAATCAGAGATCATCGATCGATCTTGCAAAGATCTAATTCTCAAAGGCTCAAAACTTCTCACCCAAAATCCCATTCATTTTCTCTAGCCCAATCCTCAGACGAGCATCAACGGGTGATCCAAAATTCCCCTCACCGTAACGGGATGACCGAATCAATGTTGTTTCGTCCCTATCGAACATTGATCGAATGCCCTTTTGACGGCTCATCGATCCTTCGTTCCGAGACTCCCCAATTGGCTCGTACGTGGCCTCTTGGCGCTTTCTCTCATTCATCGAGAGCTTTGCCCGAATCCCCGTGGATTCTCAGTCCACAACCATCGCCATTAGGTTAGGAAAGGAAAAAAAAAGTGGTGACGCGTTGGCTTTAGACGAGATTTTCGTGGAAATTCGTTGTTTTTCATTTCACTTAGTGATCGAATTTTCGTTATTTCCCGTATTCCCGTATTTCCCTTAGCTTTTCCAATTTGAATTCCCTTTAGTCTTTGATTGAGTTGCGTGTGTTTGTGGTGCAAATTAATATCCCAATTTTTTTCATTTTTCTGCAATTTCAAAAACGACTGCCACTTTTTACTATTCGGGGTTGCTGTGGAGAAATTTGATTCGAGGAAACTTCTTTCTTTTTAAATAAAAATCATTTCAGTTGCCAGCGAGAATGGTTTCAACGATTCGGTGCAGGCGCCGGTTGCCGTGCAAAGAAGAATAGGTGAGTGCGATGAGGAATTGAGGAATTGAGGGATTGAAGGAATGAGGAAATCGAGGAGATTTCGAGTTCGAGTTTTCTTTCGAGCTTTCGAGTTTTCTTCATCCTTTCGTAAACGAAATTTAACTTCTAAGGGCTCGTGGAAATGATTGAAAGCACCAGAAATCATTGGGTTCCAGAGTTTCCAGTTTCCAAAGGTTCCAGTTTTTTTTCCAAAGGTTCCAGTGTTTTAAATCTAATCCCCATTTTGAAATCAACCAATTCCAACCTTGATATCTTGAGGAAACCGTCAGAATCAAATTAACATAAGAGTACACTCGTTTAAGGCTACTGGGATTGCTATAACTAGCAAACGATGCTTTTGTACAAATCACTCGATTCACAAAGCAATCCCTCTGAACAGCCATTTATTTCCAGGTAGTGGAAACGAGCAACCCGGTCAGCTCGGTCCACCAAGCGGTCGACAGGGTATTTATCATCTCGACTCCGGCACAACAGCATTCACAACAAGGAGTCTCAAGAGTCAAGAAGTGTGACTATAAATAAAAAGAAAGAAAAAGGCGATTTTGGATTGCTAACTAGGTCAAAAGTAGAGCTCTCTGTCAAGATTAAACGCTGAGTTTGCATTTAGTCGAAAAAAAAATAGGAAGGATTTTTTTTTGAGATCGGTTCATTTACCCAAGAATTGAAGTGACAAAGAGGTGCCAATAGAAGAATAATTTTCATTATTGAATAATAAGCACCAAAAAATTTTCATAGTCGGGTAAATAAAACGAAAAAAACATCTCAATTCCATTCCCCAAAAGCGTGCCTTTTAAATGTGATATAGAAATTTTCCCAAAAATAATTTATTCTCTCTTTTTTGTTTTCACTTAATTCCCCCATCTACTTGTGATCGATTGCTTTCCGGTTTTCGCGGAAACCGTTGTCTTAAAGATTTTTTTCGAAAGTCTTTCGCTGAATTTCGCCTAGTCATGTTGTACAATATCTACATTTGACCATTTTTTTTAAAGAATCCACTTCCCAACTGCTCAATTCATACCGGTCTTAAACTAGTAGAGAAAAATTATATTTTAGGTGGAAAATTTGAAATTACCCCATTTTCAAGTTTCCCAGAAGATTTCTCAGGATCACCACCCATTCTATTCATTTTATATTGAAATTTAGTCATTAATTTGTGTCTCAAACGTATTTTTTTCGCTTAGGAAAGTCTGTGACCCGCACTTTTCTCGATTTACTCGAATGATCTCATTTTGTGTGTCGATTTTCAAATTCTTTTTCCCAATAAAATGTTTATCAAAAATCAATTATGACATAGAAATATTATACACGTAGATAGAGCTATCAAAAAATAAAATTTTTACCTAAAAAATCACAATCAGAGTGCTATGCTAAAAAAACAACTTTAACAAAGTTCAATTCTTCTTTATTCAATCGCGAAACGTGTCCTCGATCACCTGAAATTAAGTATTTTTATAGAATAACCTTTCATTAATCCTTCAAGGTAGAATGTGAAAATCAAAATTCACCTTAAGTGCTTCAGCTTGATGATATTCCCCAATAGCGGTGGCCGTCCAAGCGAGTTCAGGACGCCCGGCGAATTGTAACTAAACGTAAAGATTAGCTAGTTTGAGCTAAACACACTTAAACTTTCTTAATGGTGCTTAAATTTTCAAAATTTCCAACCGATACTCCAATTGCATTCTCAAATCGGGGACGCACGAAAGTCCACGCACCAGCATTCCTGGGCTCTTCCTGCGACCATACCAGCTCTAAAATGATTTAAATAACAGTTTTAAAAAATGAAATAAGATATAACTATCAATCTAGAATCAAAGCAAGTGTACTTACTTTTAGCTTTTGGATATTTCGCTAGAGCTGCCTGTAGATCAGCCACGGGGAAAGGACAAAGTTGCTCCACTCGAACTATCGCTACCTAAAGTCTCAAGTTGTATTTCTTCACATTGCTTAAAAAATACTTTATCTGTCAATCCTTTCTCTTGTCGCGCTTTATCAACTGCAATCCAGTGTTTACCCGATACAAAAATGACCTAAACAAAAGAATAAAAATTAAAAATATCAAAAATCTCACCTTTTCGACATTGGTGGTATTTTTCATTTCTGTGATTACTGGTTTGAAGTGTGTTCCAGGAGCCATTTCCGCAATTGTCGATGCAGCCTAAAGTCAGAATAAAGGTAAGCGTTTAGTAAACCCCTTCAAAATCGCTGCTGAAATCACTTTGTTTGGGATAATCCGAGACTCTGAACACAAATTACGACAGCCAAATTTTGCTATTTTTGAAGAACTGAGCATGTACTTTACTGCATATAATAAAGACTAACAAAATTATTTTTATCAACGCAGCAAAATTTGGCCGATGATGTGGAAGTGAATATTAAAATATCAAATTACCCCAGCAAATATGATTTAGAACCGTTTTGGAGGACGGTTTACTAAGCCTTGCCAATAAGTCATATTCAGTCTGAAGTCAGGTTAAATATCAGAATATTTTCCAATACTACCTGTGGATGTCGCAGCAGAATCTTTGGAGCCACAACGATGAGCGGTTTTCGATAGGGTGTTACTACCTAAAGTTAAGAAAATTTAGATAATTGTTAATGTGTGAGAAAAAACCTGGCGTCTTAGCAAATGGAAGTACTGAGCCGAAGTTGTCGGGTTCACAATGCGCATATTCACGTTTTCTCCATCAACCGGATTCTGATCTTCTCTAAATAAAACACATATTTTGTGTATAAGATACACGTGAACATCTAAGATCCTTAAAGTCCAATAAAAAGCTTACCTCGAATCACAGAGTTGCAAAAATCTCTCCATTCTACAACTAGAATGCTCAGGTCCTGCTCCATCAAATCCGTGTGGAAGAAGCATTACCAAGCCCGATTGTGTCAACCATTTACCTTAAAAATAATTAAAATTTGTTGTAATCTTCACAAACTTTCCGCCGATGCAATAAATGTATCGATAATTATTTGAGCGCCATTGAAGAAGTCCCCAAATTGAGCTTCCCAGACGCATAATCTGAATAAATTTTAAGAAGTTGCCCAACTTTTATAACAAACCTTTTCGGATTTTCAATGCTCATTCCAAACTCGAACCCAAGAATTGCCTCTTCTGAGAGTAAATTGTTTGCTAGCTGCAATAAAGAAATTTATCGCTTTAACATTGCAAATGACTACTTCTAGCTTTCCTTTCGCTGTAATATTGTTAAGTGGTATGTACGAATCATCGGTTTCTTGATCAACCAGCATAGCGTGCCTAAAAATTTGGCATAAACAGCTCAAAGAGAATCTGTTTAGAATCTTGAACAAACGAACCGATGGCTAAAAGTCCCTCTCCCAACATCTTGTCCTAAAATGTATGCGATCTTGTTACAAAGTGATGTCTATTAAATAAATACTGTGAGCATAACAGACCTGAAATCCGAACATCATGACCATCAACGAGAATTGAACCAAACGCCATTGCCTAAATGTGAATTAAAAATGTTAAAAAAAAAAAATAAAACCTCAGCAGTAGCCCAATCGATTCCCTCTCCTTGTGCCAGTTTATTCACTCTCGCCTCAACATGGGCTTTCTTTAGATGAGCGTGGAGATTCTAAAGAGCGTTTTGTTGCATGTAGTTAGTTATAAATTTCTAAACTCACAAATGTTTCTGGTGTTTTCACACTGCCCGCACCCACAAATCGTAAAGTGTCCACATCGACGCCGGTGTCCCATATTTCTACAGCACTCGGCGCTTGTTTGTAGCCAGCCCATAAGCCGGTCAGATGATTTGCTCTAAAAATGATTTAATGATAAACATAATAAAGTCCAAATTCGCATTATTTTATGTTGCCAAGTAGTTATTTGTATTCTCACTTTGGTTCCGACTTGTCAACAGCTTTAAACACTTCCATCAAATTGGCCGTGTGCTCCTCTTTTTGGCGCTTGATCTAAAAATATACTTGAAAAGTTACGTATCCAAAGTCCCACCTCGTCTTCAGTGATCAATCCTTCGGAGATCAACTCATCTGCATACATTCGAGGAACGGACTCACGCGCATGTACTGCCTGCACAACAACATGATTAAATCCTGCTAAAACCACTGACCTTATAAATCTGTGGATTGGTGAATGTGGGATCATCGAGCTCGTTGTGTCCCCATCTTCTATAGCAGACCTGAAATGTCAAAAGTAAACAAACAGTAAAAAGCACAACTCTTATCATTCGACAAGAATATAAAACAACAACACTTATCACAAACATCACACACACAAAAACATGCACGTTTAGAGATGAGATAATCAAGAACTCGCTTTGCATCCGGGTCATCAATGGATTCGGGGACATGTTTGGCGATCTTCGCAGGAATGGAACAGCGAACACCGGCAATCAACTTTTCTCGCTTTTTCTAGGGCTGCTGTCAAAAACTTGGTTTTGCCGACACCGGTGAAAATGTTGAGCCACGACCGGAGCTCGGTGTCGATTTCCCCGAGAACATCTCGCGATTTTCTGCTGATCTGATGCCTATCACATCGTCTCGTCGATGAAAGAGAGGCAGCATCATCGCTAGCGGGAGGGCACATCACGAATTGCTGATCAAAATGACGAAGCGAAAAAACCCATAATAACGATCGCCGAGTGTCGTTCGCCCACTAACGTTTTCCGCATGAAAGGTCGCAGGCTGCTTTTCTTGCAGCATAGAATCATCGATGACTTCATAAACGAGAGTGCTTCGGAGAAGAGACCATCAAAGGCTTTGATGAACGAGACACGACCGCCTGCTCATAGAAGATTCACCGCATCGCTTGAATATAGTCCCTTGACCGTTTTCGTTTCCCTTTTTCTCAGTTCAGCCGGCTTCGCTCATCCCGACGTACCATAAGCGCCATCGATTGAAAGCTTCGGGGACGCCTGCTGGAAAAATAGCATAGATATCCTTGATCTTTCATCGCCATGTACTTCTCAAAGAGATCCTCGTGTAAAAATGGCGGCTCCTCTTCGGGCTGTGATCCCCTGCTCATCTCGTTGTCCCTTCAATCGGCCAATTTCGCCTCCATTTCGGTGATCCTCCTCGGTGATGATCTTCTCGCACTCGAAATGAAGAGAAGTCGATCAGGCCATCGGTGAACAACGCCTCGATCCTTGGCTTCTTGTTGCTCGGGGGCTCTTCATCTTTGTCGGAGAGCAAAGTCGACACATCCACCTTCCTAACATAAAATTTTAAAACCCTAGAATATTCCCAGGATCAGGTATCAAAAACGTAATAAAAGAGTCAGTGAAAAATTGTTTATTGGCACGTACATGACAATTAATCAACGGACACCATAGAGAAAAACAGACAAGTGCAAGTTGTGCATGTGACCTTACTTTGATCGAGCTAAGAAACCCCCAACCAAAACAACAGACCAAATTGATGAAGACATCTTTTCGGAATTTCTCGCGATAAGCCACCGCCAAACGAGTAGCCTTGATCACCTCCTAAAACATTGGTGGTAAAATGCAACACTGCCAAACCTCCGGATTATCGCCATTTACGTGAATTACGGGGCACTCAAACGCTAAATTTAAATTTATCAGTTTTGTTAAACTTAATTCAAAATACCCTTAGCAATGTCTGTTGTGTGAGTAGTCGATCGACCAATATGCGCTTCGGCCGTGAAAGCAACCTAAATGTTTTTGAATTCATAAACTCTGTCATCAAGAGTGAACCTGATTGTTTGTGACAAGATGAACTGATCCTCCAATTCGAAAATGTGGCGCTTGTGATAGAGCAATTGATTCCATCACGATTCCCTGCAAAAAAATAGTCTAGAATCGACATTCGACTTCTAACCTGTCCAGTGAAAGCTCCATCACCATGAATCTGCACACAGAGAACCTCATCGCCGACACGAGCAGCCCGATCATCCGAGTAGTCTCCCGTTTTGAGTGATCTAAATGACATAAAAATAGGTAAGTTTTTCTGAATGAATTACCTGCTCCTTCCTCTCGCTTTACCCATTGCTACAGGATTCACGGCTTCAAGATGAGAAGGGTTTGGGAGCATTGTAATATGGACTTCCCCATCTGGACCCTTGTGTTCAAATGACGATGCTAAAAGATAATAATGATAGTTATAGTAATAATTAAAACTAACTCAAGTGCGATAGCACGTCCCCACTCCCGGTGACATCAGTTGGAAATTCACTTTTCCCTTTCATCTAAAATCAAAATTTTTTGAAATCGGGTTTTCTTGCTCACCTTCCTAAACATTTGAATCAGTGGAAACTGCATCATTTCTGCTAGCAAATTCAAACGACCACGATGTGCAATGGCAATAATTAGCTAAATTCGCTTGTAAGTGTAAAATTAGATGAGCTAACTTGTTTTATCCTTTTTTCCGGCGCACTGTCGAAAAGTTCCGAGAAAAAACCGTACATCGCCTAAAAATGTCAATAAAAATAAGAATAGTGCATTTGCATCATACCTCCGCGCCTTCACTCCCATAACGCTTCACAGTTGGAAATTTGAGAGCCAAGAAATGATCGAAGTTCTAAAATAAAAATAACAAAATCCAATAAAAAGCCTTACTTCACATCGAAGCATCAATTTTCCTAGTTTCACTCTTTCTTCGTTTGAAAGTTCTGAAGCTACGATATCTTCGAATTTTGAAGAAAACCACTGCCTTTCTTCCCAACTCTAAAAAAATTAAACATTGGAGCAAGTAAATGTAAAGTTAAAATATAAATCTGAAAAACAAACGTTAAGATGCATAAATTCACAAGCGATCGGCCCACAGTAAACATTTGCTAACTGCTCATTGAGGTCGTTCAGAGTGAGCTTCTTGCCTGGCAATTCTTCCGAGGTCGATAAACCATAAATCTCAGGATTGAGCTCGGGAACACTAGAAAAGAGCTTGAAATGACACTTAAATTTATATTTACTTTTTCTCCTTCGATAGCCCGAGAGGATCGAGGTCGGCTTTCAAGTATCCATAGCGTCGATAAGCGTTGATTAGATGAACCGTTTGAGCCTGGTCTGGAGTAACGGAACCTATAAAGAAAAATTTTAAAGATAGATTGAATAAATATAAATACCTGACGACTCAAATGAGCTTTTTGGTGGATCAGGTAGATGCCCGAATTCTCCGACACCAGGGCGATAGAAACGAAGAGATTTGAAGAGAAGATTCACATCTAAATTTGATAATCATTGTTGCATAAAACATAAAACTCTAATGTCAAAATATTCCCTTATTTTTCTCTTTAAAGTCAAATATTAACCCTATCAATGAGAGATGGGGAAAGACAGAAAGCAAAGAGGGCCAAGAAAGGAAGTGGTACTATTTGCATAACTGCAGCCGGAGGGAACCCAACAAACAAAGTACTTCTGCGCCACTACATTTCGAGCATTGTTAAAAGTTTCATGTCCATTTCTAATTGGCTTTCTAATTATAAAACTTTCCGGGAATTTGGTTTTGATTACTTTATTACTTTGACAACTTTTGAATGGTTCCAGTTATTAAATGAAGCGAGAGGAGCATCGGAGATCAATTAGAAGGCGTCACAGCTCTGTCGATGGCTCTAAACATCCAAGAAGACGAGCCAGAAGTGAAGATAGGCATCCCAGACGAGGACATTATGAATCTACCTATGGTACGTACACGATAATCTTTGATTGACCTTAATATTGTTAGTGTACTATTGCACATGAATTTCAGATCAATATCGCAGCTATTCACCGAAGAGAATCCGCACTTACACTCGGAGAAAAGCCAAACTCGCCGTTTCCACATCGGAGTTTAGTGATGATCTCGATGTGCTCTATGCTGAAATAAGAAACAAAAAAGACAAAAGACCCAGAGAAGAGAGAAAAATTGAAGAAAATAGAGGGAAAAGAGACGGTTCTATTACAGACCACCACCACCCAACCAGCAGCCCTTTGGAGCAAATTCGACGGGCGAAATAGTAGAGCAAAAAGCAACGAAGTTAAGAAACAAAAAACGGCTGCAAAGAAGAATGAAGAGAGTCTCACGAGAGAACACGAGAGACCCCGTGAAGAGGCGCCCTTTCGGAGAAGGTTGGAAACAACTAAAATAACGAACCCCACCCGGGGATACGACGAGCAATTCGTTGACACAAGTGACGATATTCAATTACTCGACCCTGAAATGATCGAACTGGAGGAACTCAATCAAGAGGTAAAGAAAACATTAAAAACTTTAGACCACTACTGCTTGCTGAAAAAATTAGCACTTTTGCTGTTTATTCCCCAAACCACAAATTTTGGGGGATACAGGGGTTTCCCTCCGTTTTTCATGCTTGAAAGCCATATAAATACGTTTAATTTAGGTTATTCTAAGTCGCTTAACCAAAAAACACTAACGTTACTTAAGTTCTAAAAAAGGTGCATTGTGCGCAGTACCTTTTCGGTCATCTCCGGTGATAGAAAGAACCAACCGCCGACAAAAAGTACTCGCTCACCTCCCTGGATTGCTAATCGCAATCTCCAGGGCGGCCCCATGCAAATTTCTCAAATTAGATTTCAAAAAAATTTTTGTTTGGTTTGGGGGAATAAGCAGCAGAAGTACCAAGAATTTATCCCTTGATACCAACTAAACAATTTTAGCCCTATGGAAGGAAAGGAAACATTCGGAGGCGAAAGAATCCGGCGGTTAAGAACAGGTAGATAAAGTTTTAGGAGTGATTAAGAGGTTAAATACTTTCAGAGCTTTTCCCGAACCACTCGATCAGAAGAACCTATTCTATGCTGCAGGAATAATATTGTGAGTCGTGAAAGACCAAAGAAAAACAATCAATTTTAGTGCCGGCGTCTTAAGTCTCGCGTGTCTCGGGATATCATTTGTTGCTTTTTGGCTGATAATGTAAAGTACAAAGAATCAAATTTAATAAATATAAAATATTGACCTTGTCGAAGACAGCCCGCCGCCCTAGAAAACATGCCACTTCTGAATCACTAAAACAAGAAATTTCAATTTCCAGTCACTTTGAAACTTGCAGAATATGAGAGCCTTCAGAACGTATTATTATCATAACAAAGAGGATTTGAATAAAATTTATTTTTGTAAAAATGACAAATTGACAATACAATGTAAAGCAAAGATAAAACAACATTAACCATATTAATTTCTTGGAACCATTGTCGACTGCATCCAAGGAGTGCTTGACTGATAAGGAGCCTAAAGAAACAATTAAACAAGCCAAAAGTATAAAATACTTGTGGACCGGAAGTTGTCGATGAATACTGATGGGTAGTCGCTGTATGAGAGCCTCCTGCCATTGATGTCACCACCGAACTGCTGTACCTAAAATTAACCATATTAAGATTCTATAAACTAATCTAGTAAATTTCAAGTTAGATAATACATATACAACTTACGGAGCCTGTTGAGTTTGATACGATGTTCCGCTACTCATAACTCCACTTGCCGTCTGTGCTGAAGGTGCATAAGCTTGCGCATTTACCATTGTCGCATATGGTGCTGAAGGAGTGGCACCAGCCGCCTAAACTGTAGTATAACTTTTGGCCAAAACGGTAATATACCTGTGGCTGTGCCGAATAAGTTTGTTGCGGTTGACCAACAGCTGCTGTTCCATGTTGTCCAACTAAATTTGTACCTTGTTTTGTACAACCACAAATCACATTGCTTACTCACTACTAAAACATTGTTAAATTATACCCTGTTGTTGTGCGGCTCCTGGTTGAGCATAAAAAACCGTTTGCCCGGCAACCTGAAATTCTAAAGTAGAATAATCAAAAGCAAAATGAACCTGAGATGTTGGATAGAGTACTGTTTGTCCTTGCGCTGTTTGCACAATCGTATAAGGTGCTGCCTAAAACAAAAGGGTAAAAATATCCAAATACAAGTCCTACTTGTGGCAAAGCCTGAACAGTGACTGGCTGCTGGGTCTGGGTATATGTGGTCGGTTGGGCTTGGGTACCAGCATACGTGGCAGCAGCTACAGTTTGTGGTGTAAGCCTGCAAATAAATATTTGTCAAGTGTTACCAAAAAACGGAAGAAAGGCACTTTGAACTCGAAGAGATTGTTTTGAATTAAAACGCAATGAAAACCGTTGAAAAGTTGAACTTTCATCAATAATCGAATTCTTTAAATTCAAATCAAATTTTTCATTGATATTACCGGTGTTTGAATCAAATTTCAAACCAATATAGAATTTGTCATGCATAAACGTTAAATTAAGACCTGTTGTTAAAATTTTTTCTAGTTATTACTACTTTTGGTAAATCGAAAGAAAATTGAAAACAAAAACCAAACAAGTGTTTGGAGAAAGTGTTGAAGAAAAATTGAAATTTGGAGAATGAGATTGGATACAAGAATAAACGTTCAAAGATGATCGACTTCTAGAAATTTCAAAATGAATCAATTGCAGGACATAAACGTCTAAAACAGCTTTCAAAAAATATTAGAGATTTAGGAAGCATGCCTCTTTGAGAAAATAAAAACTATTTTTCAGGAATTAAGACTCTGAATAAAATAAAGGATTTCTCATTATAAGAAATGATTTGTAGATGGGCTTTTTTGTCGTGCGAGCGTGCTTTCCCTATCCTTGCTAATAACTTTAGAAAATATCTATGTTCTCTCATAAACAACACAACATTGATGGCACCTGAAACCTTTTCTCAAAAGGAAAGAGGCAAAACTTACGCCGGTCCCGTAAGCGTTGGAACAATAGTTCCTGAAGTGTACGCAACAAGTCGATTGCGAGCTTGCTGTTCTCGAATCAAGCGATCCCTAGGAAAGGCGCTGATTTTGTTTAAAAAAGAAGCTTTACTTGCAATAGGTATACTTATTTCGAGCATCAACATACTGATTGTACAATGGAAGAAGTTCTCTGAAATGAGGAAAGTTAATTATATTCAATCCTAATTTACGCGTCAATTGGACGTCCCAATTCTTGATCAACTGTAGCTATTTGTTCACACAATCGTTTGGCATCCGGGCCATCGGCAGAACTTCTAAAGACAAACAGAATCTTATATTTCTTTACGTCACTATTGTCTTTAACGAGTTGCACTGTTTCAATCTAATGTGTTACTTATAATGTCCTTACAAAACCTACGCGCTTCTTTTTCCCGTCAAATCCACACGAACAACTTCAGTCAGAAGTGAATGCGGCGTGTCATTTTTAGGGCAATTCATTGTCCGATGCGAGTTTTCTCCACAGCGAAAACATGTTGTTTCTTGTCCAGCCACCGTTCCACGCATTTTCGACGTTGAGCTGAACAATGTGTCTTTGCGAGTTCAAATCAATCACCGCTAAAAATAATACCCAATCGGAGCTTAAACCAACCTCTTTAAATTCAACATCTTCCCTTCGTACATATAACCATCAAGCTTTTTGATGATCTCGTTAATCTTTGGTGTATCTTCAGGAACGACATGCTAAACTTATTCTTTTCCAAAACGAAGATGTTACAAACCACAAAAGCGTAGTTCTTAACCAAATCACAGTGAGTCACACGGATATGAGTTGAGAAGATTTGTTTCAACTTATTCGGATCACAATTTTCCGGCAAATTTCCGACAAATAGTTTGTTCTGCTAAAAATCAGAATGTGTTTTTAAACAAAAAGACTATGGCTCACAGGTACCTCCATGACTTTGTTACGATCTGCGCTGACTGCTGAAAAGATCTACCTGCAAGAAACTAGAAAGATTTCTTTATCTGAAGATCGCTAAACCCCTGGATATATTCAAACGTAGCAACGTTCCAATGTGTAAACGCATAAGTAAACGACAATTTATTTCAAATTCGAATTCATTACAAGAACAAATGTGTAAACATGAAAAGAGTATTATCGTTCCAATCTTTATACTTTAGTTTGTACCCGCAGTGTACTTTTCCTTCTCGCGGAGCAAGAAATTGGCCAGGAAAGTGATTGGATCCTCGGGACGCTCTTTTGCAAGACTACCTAAAGATAAAAAGTTAAGAAAAATGTAAAAGCCAAAGTTGAAGATTTCGCAATTAAACTTACCAAGTCCTTGTAGAAGAATTGGCACCACAGTTTGATCCAAGTATTGACGCGTTGGCACCGTTGGTGCAGAGCGATTTGCGGCTAGAGTAGCTGTTTTATTCGAGTCAACAGGGCTGAAATTAAAAAGAAATAAATAAAACGTTGCAACGTGCGTACCCCTGCGAAGCTTCCTTGCTTTCCGACCTTTTCTCACTTTCTTCTACACTTGATGGAAGCACAGCTTGCCCGTCCTCCTAAACAAAAAATTTGAGTGAATTATAACTACCTACGTAAACAGTTTATGTGCTTGACTAGGCTTCATTTAAAACATAATGGTATAAAAGAGAGCCGGGATATTTGGAAGCTACTTTGACCCAATTAACCTTTTAGAACAAGAGTTGTGCCAATAGTGCTAGTGAAAACTCATGTCTGTTACTTATTCATCAAAAACCAACTAAAATATACCTTTGTTGACTCTTCAGTCAACTTGTTTGCTTCCACAGTGTCCATGGCCTCAGAAGGGGTTTCCTAAAATTTCGAAATACAGCCGACAAAAGCAAGATAACCAACCGAGGGTGCTGGCACAACTGCTTCGTCCACTTGCTCGTTAGCGACGTCGCTCATTCTAAACAATGATTTCAGTTTTTGAAACGCACAATAAAAACAAGTAAAGAAAAAACATTTTGTGCTTTGAAAAATTGGAGTTTATAAGGGCGGGAATGAGCAATTTGCATTTGGTTTGTCGAACCAGCTAAGGGTAATGTACGGTAAAAGAGCGCGAAATAGTGCGTCTTGCCAAGAAAAGGGGGTATAACCTGAACCGCAAGTCAACCGAAACTCTTTAATTCAGTTGTGCTATTTGTTCCGTTTTTCTCTACTAAATGAACCTTATGAGTGAGAAATTGTCACTTATTGTCAAAAACATCAAGAAATAGCAACCGCATCAATACATGAAACTGATGAAATGACACAAACAAGGGAATTGCAAATGAAACTTTTGCGCAAAGAACTTCTATTTATGGAGTGGAAATGTTTCAAAAAAGATTTGCTTGTACAGCTGAATATCTATAAAATGTGAACAGCGGGCCAAAAATGCGCGCTCGCTCTGCTGAACCGCCTAGACAATGAGAAGACTTTTCCAAGTTATTTCACAAGAGAAAAATCGACATTTTCAGAGAAATTTCGAAATGTTTTAGATACTAATTTTCACGTTAGACATGGCTTTGTGTGTCGCTCGATCCGAACCGCATCTAAAACGCAAACATTTTTGTGCAACTAGGACTTACCGTAAAAACTCTAATAGAAGATCCCTTTGGAGGAGGGTTGAAAAATAGAAGAGCCTCTTCATTCTATTTTCTCCTCCATGTTGCCGTACTCCCGAGGCAAAAGTTTGCTTGTTTAAAAAAAAATTTGATCATTTCTGAGTTTTTTAGTTATTGCTTGGTATTAAGTTGTTTGTTTTTATTGTTTATTTTAATAACTAATATTTTTATTTTCAAGTCCGATGATGAATCAACCGGATGCAGAGATCTTGGACGGACTCGAGGAATTTCGAGATCGGCGAGAAAACGAGCCGAACGGGTTCGTCGAGGAGGGATGAGAACATTTTCGGGGGTAAGACTTTAGTTTACCCTCTAGTCAACCGTTCCCAAAAGTGGTTTTTCTTTTATTTTCGACCACGCTGATTACGAAAAACAACATCTCGAATACGAATACGTTTTAATGGAAAAAATAATTTTAAAGTTTCATTTTTATCTGGTTGATTCTGGTCATTTCAACTGGCTGATGTAAGAGATCAAGATATGTATGCAAATTTAGACAATATGCATATTAGTGATTGTGTGAATAAAGGGAAACCCGCTTTGTTCTGGCTTGCTGCACTTGAATTTAGTGTTAATTAAAGGCGTTAATTAAATTTTTTTTTGTGAATTTTTCTTGTTTATCTGTCTGTGGGTTGTCAGTTAACTTTGTTTTTCTTTAGGGATGTCGATGCTAGGCAATTTGAGTGATCTTTTTGAGGATTTACCACAAAAACTTCATTTGGAACCGTCGCAAATTGACTTTGGCTATGGCAGACGAAGATTGTTCTATCAATTAAGCTATGATCAACGAGCTATTTCCAAAAAGTAAGAGTTGTTTGAAATGTAAACGTGAAATGAACATTAAAACTGGAGGCAAATTTGAAAAATACGGTTCTTTCGTATGCAAGAATCGTGCTTGTGCACGTCGAGACAAAGAAAATTCTCGAATTAAAGATACGTGGTCCGACTACTCCCATTTATCGATCTCACAAGTGATTTCATTGACTTATGTCGTATAATACGGTGAATCGTATAATATGGCTATTATACGATTCACCGTATTGAGCTCGTGCTAATGAGAAAAAAAATCAGCAAAATTGGTTCAGTGGGGGCCGAGGGGTCGAACCACGTATCTTTAATTCGAGAATTTTCTTTGTCTCGACGTGCACAAGCACGATTCTTGCATACGAAAGAACCGTATTTTCCAAATTTGCCTCCAGTTTTAATGTTCATTTCACGCTTACATTTCAAACAACTCTTACTTTTTGGAAATAGCTCGTTGATCATAGCCTAATTGATAGAACAATCTTCGTCTGCCATAGCCAAAGTCAATTTGTGACGGTTCCAAATGAAGTTTTTGTGGTAAATCCTCAAAAAGATCAGTGCTATTCGTGCTAATGAGAGAAAAAAAATCAGTAAAATCGGTTCAGTGGGGGCCGAGGGGAAAAAGCGTGACAGACGGTCGGATGGAAAAAATTTTTAGATATAGTAGAGACTATTTTTTTCGAGTTTTACTTCTTTTTTTTTCCTATACTTATCGAAATTTTATAGTTTTAAACAAATATTTATTTTTAGAAACAACAAATAAGGGAAGAAGATGGTCAACCAAAGGAGGTGTGCATTTTTTGGCAACAAATTTGTCATTCTTTTTTGTGGTTTGATCATGAATTGCCATAAAAGAGATGGCAAACTTGGTTTTCTACTGGAAGTTCTTGAGTCCTAAAAAAGTTATGATTAATCGTCATAAAATTCAATAAAATTTTATCTCATTCATTGTGCTGTTACTCATTTTCTATAAATGCTATGCTTTTTGAAATTATCTAAAAATTAATATCAAATATTGTTTGCAAAAAAAATAGATAGTAGTTACACTTCATTTTGACTTTGGAAAATGAAAATAACTTTCTACTTATGAACTGGGAGGTTACGGTAGTTTAGCACTTTTTAGAAAACATGATTTGAGAAAAGCACACTCTAGTCACGAAAAGACCAGGATCACTGTCATGTTAACTGGAGGATCAGATGGAATCAAGTGCCGCCCACTTGTCTTACTTAATAGGAAGCGCCCCGATCTGGTGATCGAAAAAAATTTCAAGGGAGAGCTCAATCTTGTTTGGGCTGGAAAGACGTGGCTCGATAATAAGCTCACATTGATCTACTTGGACCAAACGTTTGGATCAATTTCGTTCAAGAAGCGACTGCTCGTTTGAGACTCAATGAACTATAAAGGAACTAAATAGGAACTATAAAGTAACCAAATAGGAACTAAATAGGAACTATAAAGGAACTAAATAAGAACTATAAAGTAACCAAATAGGAACTATAAAGGAACCAAATAGGAACTAAATAGGAACTATAAAGTAACCAAATAGGAACTATGAAAGAACTAAATAGGAACCAAATAGGAACTATAAAGGAACCAAATAAGAACTATAAAGGAACCAAATAGGAACTAAATAGGAACTAAATAAGAACTATAAAGGAACTAAATAGGAACTATGCAGTCACTTAATTTTTTTGAAGATCGAATTCACTATTTTGACAAGGGCGATCCGATTCCAACTTTCGGGTGCACGAACTGATCAAATTTGCGCTGGATTGCTTGATCAAATCGAATTGAATGAGGATGTGAACAACGAATTCATCGCCAGCGACGATGAAATCATGACCGAATTCTTCGAATGTTAAAATGTTAATGATTAATGATTCAAACATTGTTTCATTTAAAATTGTTTAATCTATTATTATTCAAGTTGTTAACGTTTATTAGAGTTTATATTAAATTATTAAAGTTTTCTTTGTTTTACATGCCACTAACACTTATAAATGTTGTAACAAGTATATCTCTTTCATTCAATAATAAATCGGAAACATGTATGGATGATCATTGCTCTCAAGTGGCCATTGAGATCCCAACAGGGATTCATTTAGATCATAGGACAGCCCGCTCAATGTCAATCGGCTACTTGACGCCAAAGAAAGGGATACTCAAAAACAAGAAAAGAAGTGATTGGTATAATCTTTTGAGGTGCCATTCAGGGTTCAATATATCCATACACATGTCAATTGATCTTGATAATTGATCAATAAACAAGATCAAGTAGATTACTGATCTTTGAGAAACACTTTTATTTAAGCTAATCTTGCTCTAGCCGGCCTTACAGAGTCACAGGTTCGTTTAGAACAGCTCTGATCCTGATAAAGCATATAGTTTTTCTATAGTTTCTATAGTTTTCTATTTCTTTTTCTATTTCTATAGTTTTTCCAAGTTATCATTAATACTGATCTTTGAAAACTTTTATTTAAGCTAGTCTTGCTCTAGCCTGCCTTACAGAGTCATTTTGATTTCATTCAGTTCAAAATTTATCCAAAACCAATCCCTTTGTTATTCTAGAGATAAAATGATCATTTCCCCATTTTTCACAGCTTTCTCCCGCATCATGAGTCGCTCTTTTCCCCAAGAGAGAGGCTAGTTACTGACTCTAATGCATTTTGTCGGAATAATCGGATTCTCTCGGAGAAATGAGTAAAAAGGAAAGAGTCGATTGGAGTGAGAGATCTAAAAGAAAGCAATCAAGCACGACACTTCTTTCCCCCCGAGATCTACAGAGGTACAAAGGTGTCTCTATCTTGGATAAGGAGAAAGGGGAGGAGAAGGGGCCCTCGATTGGGTGTCCAGATGCCCACTTCTCTCTTTCTAAGCGCCGCCCATTTTCTTTCAGTCTACCGTATGCTTTAATGGTAGGAGAAGTCCATCTATAGCTTTCGCACACATTCACACAAAGACTGTCGCCCACATTCAAACTCTTAAACTGATTTTCCGTATGATGAGCGACGGGTTAGGCAGCTCAGCCACGGCCTCGGCAAGTCCTGTGAGTTTATTCACCTTTGAGATTGCTTGAGAGCTATTTTCTAAGTGTTAATCCCATTATCCCAATTGGACTCAATCGTTTTATCAAGTTAGATATCAGTTCTTGCGGATACACCGGTGAAAAATGATGCAATTATCCAAGCTCATCCCCTTCTCTTTTTCCTATCCACCCCCCGGGGTTATGCAATTACCTAATTGCGTAAACGGTCTCCCGCATATTTCGAGAAGGAGACAGCCATCTATGTAAAAAGATAGAATCGAAGAAAAAGAAAGGAAAAGAGAGAGACTCTCCTTCAATGATCTGAGAAGGAGAAACGACCAAAAAAAGGAATGCAAACCTAGTTAGGCCTTCACCCCCACCAAAGCCCCAGCACCACCGAGACGAGCAAAAATTCACTTTGCGTAATTAATTTGTTTTGTGAATATATATATATAAGATCTGGAGAAGAAGGAGATATTCTGGATCGTTGGCTTTTTTAAGTAGAGTACTTCATAAACTCTTTAGTTAGACTAGGTGAGTTCATATCTGAGTCCAATCTGAGTTCATATCTGAGTTCAATCTGAGTTCATATCTGAGTTCCTATCTATCTACCTATCTATTATATCTAAATTCAAAGCTAATTATTAAAAACTTGTTCGTCTAAGAGTACCGTACTCTTAGAAGAACAAGTTTCTTCGCAAATTTCTTGAAATTTTAAAATAGTTAAAATAGCTAAGTCTTTCTCTTTCAACCTTTAGATCCCAGAACTTTAAAGTCAATCAAAAGCTTTTTTAAAGCATTACTGCAATTGATATAATGTAATTGATATGTATTCTTATATCAATTATATATTTAGCATGATGATGGGAAATCGAAAGAGCTTCAATCAACGATCCAAGATTTTCCAGTCTCTTATCCTGGTCTCTCCTATGGTCTTGACACTGTCTCGGCCAGTCTTCGACCACTTGGCGATTCGAGTGAGTGAAACTTTTTAAAAATTAGAGATAACAGATAAAAACTAGTAGAAAAAAAAGCAGATTATGTTTTAGAAAAGGAATTTTGCATATTGAGCAAATGTTTAATCTTATTTTATAGGCTCTGTTAGGCCTTCTGCGTTAGTAACGTTTTATCAAATTTTCCTTTAATCTCTAGATCTTTCAACAACACTGAAATATTGAAAGATTATTTTGACATTTCTTTCTTTAATATTGATTCGTTTATTGGCTTTAATTGAGACCGGGGAATTATGCATTCTTCAGTGTTGGGATGATTCTTTTCTTTTCTTTCTTTGCTTTCTTTACTTGAAAGCTTTCCTCTCTCATTTCACACTACTTGGTATTCCGAAAACATTAGCTTCTTTGAAAGCTATTAGTTTTTCAAAAGAGAAAGAAAAATTCAAATAACAGTTTAAAAATAAACGTGAAAAATAGCTATAGGAATAGTAAAAACACGTTTTGATCTAAAAAAATTTCGAATGGAGGATTGAAAAACAAATGACAATAAAACAACAAATGAAAGTGACAATAAAAATAATATAAAAATCAAAGTGACAATAAAAACTAAAGTTTTAATTTGAATAGATAAGTGAATTGTAAAAAAAAGGATCTTTACGGTTAACGGCGGGGGTAGCGATTATCGGTGGGGGTCAATTTTTTCTGGTCAATTTGCAGCTCATTTTTAAGCATCTTAAACTTGTCAGATCAGAAAGTTTTAATAAGATTTCGATAGCTTAGAACGTCAACTTTCAGAGAATATTTGTTTTATCAAAAGTTATTAACATAAACTTATATAAAATTGGACTGCAAGTTGATCAAAAAATTGGCCACCGCCGATAATCGCTATTCCCGCCGAAAAATACAATTTTTTAAACTCAACTCTTTGTAAAAGACGATACGATACGATTAACAGCCGATAAAAGTCCTAAAAAAAGATCAACAAGCAATAAAGCTTCGTTTAAACAGTTGTCTTTTTAACTTCAGTCAGGATTTCAATCGGATAAAGTGAGTTTTTCCTCCGAAACCTCAAATCTCCCCATCTACATGTGTGCTTCGAGGGATCCGAAATTAGATATTCGAAAATTTATTAGATCTTTCTCTTTCTCGGATCTCAGACTCTTCTCTTCGTCAAAAAGGAGCCTCGTTGTTGAGGCTGTCCTCTCCATGTATTCAGGGGTGAGGAAAATGCAATCACTCCATTCCCCCCCGGCCCGCACAAACCGAATACACCATATCTGATTTATGAAATTCGATTGGTACAGGAGGAGGAAAAGAAAAGAGAAAAGAAAAGAGAAAAGAAAAGGAAAGCTTGAGGCTCAAGCTCTGAGCATTCACTTTCATTCACCCATCCAGTCCAGATCGTTGATGATCACTGTTATTGTCTGACTGTTATTGTCTATCAGTTCATTGTCTATCAGTTCTATCAATTCAATCAGAGTTTTCTCTGATTGAAGATCGATTATTCGATAGAGAAATGGTTAGACTTTTTATTCTTTTTATTCTATTAACTAATTCCTGTCCTATCTCTTGATACACCTCGCAAAGAATTAACTTTTCATTCTTTCTAGGGTACTATAGGTATCTACATAACTATGTCAGCTTATTTAAGCAAAAGCTCCGTTTACAGTAGTCCCAGCTTTTGCCGATTTCGTAGCTGCTGAGGGAGCGTTTAAGAAGATCAAAGCTGAATCGGTTGGCGTCTTTTCGACCAGTCTCGGCGCTGTGCCAAGCACACCAGCAAGGTAAAAACAAACCAAAAATCAAAGCAAATAACATTGAACTCGTCTTTTAGTATCTCGAGACGTCGACATCGCACAACATTCACTCAAGAGCAACTGGCTCAACTCGATACAGCTTTCCAGAAAAGTCATTATCCGGATATTTATGTGAGAGAAGAGCTTGCTCGAGCCACTGGTCTCAATGAAGCTCGGATACAGGTATATATACACTACTGGACAATGAAATAACACACTCTAGAGGAAGGAACACACTCTAGATTCGAGTAGTCTATTCAATGATACGATTTAGACACTTTAGCTAAGGAAACCTACACTACTGGACAATGAAATATCATATTTGAAAAACGATCGTCACTTTCGCGCGTCTATAACTCCCTTGTCTTTGCCGTATTTCTAAATATTAATATTACCATTGTGTAGCCCTTGAAAAGAGCTTTCAGAAAATGTATAACACTAATAGTTTAAACTCAAAGAAAAGGGAGTTACAGACGCGCGAAAGTGATGATCGTTTTTCAAATATGATATTTTATTGTTCAGTACTGTATCTTTAGATTTCTAATCATAAAATACTTTTGTGAGGTGGACTTATAGAGTACTTACACTACTGGATAATGAAATATCATATTTGAAAAACGATCGTCACTTTCACGCGTCTGTAACTCTCTTGTCTTTACCGTATTTCTAAATATTAATATTACCATTGTGTAGCCCTTGAAAAGAGCTTTCAGAAAATGTATAACACTAATAGTTTAAACTCAAAGAAAAGGGAGTTACAGACGCGCGAAAGTGATGATCGTTTTTCAAATATCATATTTCATTGTTCAGTACTGTAGATACTTTATTCATGACCTGAGATAAAGTGCGCTAGATTTAAGATTAATTCCCCAGAATTCGAATGGTATGTCAAAAAAATCGAAAAAGTTGACTAGGTCATAAACTTATCCACCAGACAAATACAATTTTTGAACTCAACGTCTTTATAAAAGACGATACGATACGATTAACAGCCGATAGCTGAGTAATTTTTGACTATTTTTCTAAAGTTTCTAGTTTCCTATAGTTTATAATATAATGTTTTGATAAAAAGTATTTCTATTAATGTCTAGTTTTGATTGAATCTTTGCTTTGTCTTAAATAGATAAAATCCAGAGATTACAGTACCCTCATTGATTGCTTTAATCAGTTCTAACCATAAATTTGCAATCAATTTAACGATCGATCAACATCAAATTCCTTCCAAACACCAAATTTCCTTGCGGTAAACTTTCCGAGCACAGCTGGCTGTCGACAATGCCAATTAGTTGACTTTTGTGTGCTAAGTCTCATTGCCTGATCCTCCCATTCTACAGAGACTCAACCGTAATTTCTGTTTTGTCTTAAGAAATGATGATAATTGGGGAGAGTTTTTTTCTTTCAGAGACTATTCAGTTGATTCTCTCTTTTTCCCCAAATCTTTAGAATAGTCTCCCCTTCAGGCTTCCAAGGGTGCGCGCAGATGGCCAAATTGGGTTCGCCCATTGGATGGAGGGATTAGTCCATCCCTCAATCTCTCTTTTCTTTGGATCAAGTCGATGAACACCTCGAAATCGGCTTTCCTGCCAGCTCATCGGGTTTTTCGGTGTTTTGTTTGGGGTTTCAAAAATTCAAAAAAAAAAAGATTCCTTGCTTGTTGTTTAGGATAAGATTGGGGGTTTAAGATTTGTTAGAAACTAGCACTGTACATTGTACTAACTCGTAGTAGTCGCATATTTTCGTGTATAGAGAACGACGATTAAAAAAAATGCCAACCGAAACTACACTACTGGACAATGAAATATGATATTTGAAAAAAGATCGTCACTTTCGCGCGTCTGTAACTCCCTTGTCTTTACCGTATTTCTAAATATCAATATTACCATTGTGTAGCCCTTGAAAAGAGCTTTCAGAAAATGTATAGCACTAATGGTTTAAACTCAAAGACAAGGGGGTTACAGAAGCGCGAAAGTGACGATCGTTTTTCAAATATGATATTTTATTGTCCAGTACTGTATATAAGTCTTAAAAAAAATAAAGCTTTCAAATAAAGTCTATACTCTAAAATATGCGAAAATAAAGCTTTCAAGAATAAAGCTTTATTACTGTTTATCCTGTACTAAAAGGTCTAGAAAAGTACATAAAAAACTGCCTGATTTTCGGAACTCTAAGCAAAAAAATCAGGGCTTTAGTATGTTTTCTCTATACACGAAAATATGCGACTACTACGAGTTAGTACAATGTACAGTGCTAGTTTCTAACAAATCTTAAACCCAAATAGTTTAAAGGGATGACCGGTAACTGACTGACAAGGGATCATCAACAGACCAAGCTCACCAAATAAAATTAGCCATAGATCATTCAACGCAGAATTATAGTCTGCTTCCTGGCACGAGATCAAAGTCGCCTAGTGGATAGTAGTCTAGTGGATAGTGGATTAGGATACGAAGTAGCTACTTGAGGGTCCAAATCCGCTCACTTCTTTCTTTCTTGTAAACTTTTTATGGTGTCTCTCATAGCTCAGCCTGGCCTGGCTAAGAAAAGAATTCAAAAACTTGTTTGCCAAATTGCGTGCGATTCAGAATTTGCAAAAACGAATGAGATATTCGCACAATTCTGCGTCGGATGGTTGATTTCATTTAGTGAACTGGGTCTGTTGACGATCCATTGTGAGTGAATGTGTGGATGGTTGGATGGTAAGAGGGCTAATTGTCCTTCTTCTTGAGTATCTTGACTCCCCAATCATTAAGTGTCCACTTTTCCCCAACTAAAGCCTCTTCAAGCCTCATCTTTTCCCCTCTTTTCACTCAACAATTGACCACCACCATTTACCGGATTTGGGGGCCAGTTTGGCAATCTGTGCTGCTTTTTTTTTCAAGTGATTGAACTCGGGAAATGTGGTTAATCTAATAGTTTTTGTTACCGTAGTTCTTTTCGAGTTTACGAACTGTAAGATTGCATGATTGCAGATGCAATCATGCAATAGCTCTACTTGGCGGTTAACTTGACACCAGCAAAGAGTGTTCACATTTAAAGAGTTTCACTTGATCTGTAGATTTCTTTCTCTACTACAAACCACCTCACACATACCGTACCCTTCCTTTTCCCCCCAATCTCCTTTCCCTTTTGAGTACTCAATCATCGGTTCTTCTCAAGCTTTTCTCCTTCTTTTCCCTTCCGTCTAAATCGAGTTATCTCCATCTTTTCCTTTTTCTTTTTACCATTCTCGAAGCAGAAGGTTGAAGACTTGAAGCAGAGAAATTGTTTCCGTTGATCGATATTTCTTTCTCCTTTTCTTCTCAAATTTAGGGACCCTTCCCAAATTTTATAAAACTAACAAAATCGCTAAATCTCATCGCTGAAACTGAGTTTGCTCTTTTTTTTGAGAAAAGAAAGTGAGGGTGGGAAAATTGAAAAACGAGATTTCACAAATCAATGAAATTTTTAGCTGAAGAAAATTGGCGTGGGAAAAATGGAGGGTGAAGGGGGAATCCCTGGTGGAGTGATAAAAAGATTAGAAATGATCCTAACAGTGTTGGCAGCGCTTAAATGATAAAGTACAGAAGTCGAGAAGTTTAATGAACAAAAAAACAACACGATTTCAAGAAACAAATAGCACAAAGTGTTTCCCTCAAATGATCACTTCCAGGTTTGGTTTCAAAATCGACGAGCCAAACATCGGAAACAAGAGAAACAACTGAATAAGGTGAGTGATCGGTGAAAGATTAAAGCCGCTTTTAATCAGTAAATCTGAAAGTTCGATGGGGAAACTTAAAGAATAAAGTTGAAATATTTTACAGGCAATTAATCCATTCAACACGAGTCAAGCGGGTTCAATTATGAGACAAGGAGTGTATCCAGGAGCTGCTTTTGGAGCCGTCCCTGGACGAGACGCGTTTTGGTGAGTTTGAAATGGAAACGATTTTGAAATAAGTTTAAACAAAAATATCAAAGAATACTGTAAACTAGAACTAGAGCTAGTTCATGTATGTAAAAATGAAAAAAAATCAAGTCAAGGACGGGATCTCTTCAAATTTTTCGATAAACAGTGTTGTTGAATACACATTTTTCCCATAGTCGTTACCTTAGTTTTTTAGCTTTTTTTTGTAACTTTGTTTACTGTATTTGACTAAGAGATTATAGTATTATTCTTTGATTTGTAAGCTTTAGACTTTAGACTTTTGACTTTTGACTTGTAAAGATCTTACTTGTAAAGACTTGTAAAGACTTGTAAAGATCTTACTTGTAAAGACTTGTAAGCATTTTAAAGTTAAACGAAAACACGAGATTTTATAGTGTATTCTTCGCATTTTTAGATTTAAATGTTTAAAAATTCGATTAGTTTAATATTTTTAGATTTAAATGTTCAATAAGTTCAAAGTTTAAATGTTCAAAGTTCAATAAGTTTAAATTTTCAATAGGTTCTGAAGTTCTCAACTTCAAAATCAACTCTTAGAAGTACAACAAAAATTCCCAAAAAGCTTAACTTTTCTTTAAACATAGCCAATAGATTCTTACGGTTGACCTGATCATACCAGAATTGCCCGTTGCGTAACCAATTCTCCCCCCAATAATTCTCACCTTTATCCCAGACAATGACTCTTCAAGGGTGCCAATAAAATGCCAATGCTAAACCACCAATTTTGGGGTTGTTTATTGAAAGAAAGTGACAATTAGAAGAAATAAAGATAATTAACTCGATAGAAAGTGTATAGAGAAGTTGAATAAACAAATTTTTCTTTCAGGTATCCATCGTATCCCCGTCAAATGCCCTATCCAACAGCCACTCCTCCCTACTCAACGTCCACATTCCCAAATTCGATTACAAAGTGAGTTTTTGGTTTTAAAAGAGAAGTAAAAGAAGAGAAATGAAATTGGTACTCTTGGGCTGACAGTAAAACAAGAAACTCATCATTTTATCAAATCTTTCGTTTGATTTCAAGAAAATCAATCTTTTTCGATAGATACCAAGTGATACTCCGACTTTGACCTCAAATATCTTGAGTATAATTATCCAATTCCAATTGATTTCAAACTAATTTTCCAATTTCCAATTGATTTCCAATTGATTTCCAATTGATTTTCCGACTTTCAATTGATTCCAATTGATTCCAATTGATTCCAATTGATTTCAATTGATTTCAATTGATTCCAAATGATTTCCAAATGATTCCAAATGATTCCAATTGATTACAATTGATTACAATTGATTCCAATCGATTTCAATTGATTTCAATTGATTCCAAATGATTTCCAAATGATTCCAAATGATTCCAAATGATTCCAATTGATTACAATTGATTACAATTGATTCCAATCGATTTCAATTGATTTCAATTGATTCCAAATGATTTCCAAATGATTCCAAATGATTCCAATTGATTACAATTGATTACAATTGATTCCAATCGATTTCAATTGATTTCAATTGATTCCAATTGATTCCCAAATGATTCCAATCTCTTTTCTAACCAATAGCTAGTATGATTGAATAGAAAAACCTTTGAGTCTAATCATATCAAAAATATTTTGATATTTGAGGTCAAAGTAGATTGTCATTTGAATGATCTAAAAGATTAAAAGAGAATCAAACTGAACTGTGGCTGTGCTTCGATTTTTAAGTTTAAACTTTAAACCTAAAGCAACTACAACCGTAAAAGCTCCTCAATTTCAGTTTCTCGCAATCGATCGCCTCATTTTCGACAAGCGGCGGCACCGGCGATGATGATTTCTATCAGAAATCGCTTCTCTCTCGAATGTCGGCTTGTCAAACGGCGGGCGTGCAAAATCTGACGAATGCCTCACTTTCGAATAACATCAGCAATCAGTTGAATTATCAACAGCCTTAATTTCTATTTTCTATTCTATCCTTTTTTATAAATCTCAAATTCAAGACACGGTTTATATTCAAAAAAATTCTTTTCTGATCTCATTTTTCTCTCAAAAATCTCATCAAAATCATTCCAATGAGCTCAAATTTTTAAGTTTTTCGTTTAAAAATTTGATTTTTCTTTTTTCTTTTTTCTTTTTTGTAACTTTTTCTAGTCAAATATGCAATAAAAGATCGTTTTTAAAAAAAAAAATATACGTTCCTAAATATAAACGGATGTGGACTAGAATTTGGGTTAACACGTTGACGACAATGGCGTTTTTGCACAAACAATCGCATGGGAAAACGTTGTTTTTTTTTTCGACAAAAAATGTCACCTGACATCCGGTGACAATGTCCCACAGAGTTCTTTTTCAACGGTTAAATCGACATTTTCCGGGACCAAGTCGAATATAGATACTACCCTACTTGCTTATTTAATATCCATCATCAGCAAACATAAATATGCACAAAAAAATCAATTTTGGTACTGTCACCTGACATCAGGTGACAACGAACGAATATGTGTCAGACAGCATCAGGTGACAATGTCCCAAACGAACGAATATGTGTCAGACAGCATCAGGTGACAATGTCCCAAACGAGCGAATATGTGTCAGACATCATCAAGTGACAATGTCCCAGGCGAACGAATATGTATCAGACATCATCAGGTGACAATGTCGTCAACGTGTTAAGTTAAAGAGATATCAGTTTGGCTCGGTGCTGACAGAAAGATTTATAGAATTTTCAAACAATGAAAAGATAGATTTTCAAAAATTTTATAAGAAAAATTGAATAGAATAATGAAAAAAAAGTTGTGAAAAAAACGAAAAAACGAAAAAACGTTTTTTTCTTGGACCCGGAAAAGTTTTTGCGCAGAAATAGACAAAAAAAGAGTGGAAAACAGGTTGATAAGGTTATTTCATAAATTAGAAATTGATTTTAAAGCTTTGAAAAAAGGAAATTATGCTAAGAAATCATCGGAAAGTTCGAGAATTGTGACTGAGTTTTCACAGCAAAGACTCTCACGACGAGATGGAGCACGAGTACGTTTACTGGCGATCACCTAAATGAATGAATGAAAGATTAATAAGTTAATGAAGTGATTTATATAATAATTTGAATTTGAATATAATTCTATGAGTCAAAAAAGTTTCCCTTATGATTTTCAGGAAAGGATTTAAAGCTCAAAACATTAAAGCTTGTTCAAATTAATGAATTTTCAGGAAAAAAAAGTCTCACTTTGCTTATAGTTCTAACCATAATTAGATATTTGTCATATGATCTTCATTACTAGTTACTTAAAAGTACAACTCAGGGCAACTTTCTTTATGCAATTTACATTCATCTTACAACTACAAAACCCGTTTTCTTGAGAGATCCTACTGGAAATCAATCAAGTGTGCTCAAAAGTGCTCTAAACTATTCATAGGCTCAACTTTAATCGATTAGGTTGGAAAGAAAGTTCGTAGAAAAAGTTTTCACGGTAAATTTCTCAAAAATTCTCGGAGAAAGTTTTCATGGTAAATTTCTCAAAAAAAAATCCATCAATTCTTCCCAGATTTTTTGATAAAGAGATACTTTATTCAACATGAATAAGTGGATACAACACAACGGAGGACACAATTTTTACCCCTACAATGTAGTTAAGGAAAAACCCCAACTTAATGGGAAAAAGAACACACACTTGATTTCGCCAGCGGGATCGAACCCTGGATCTTCCGATTAGGAGAGAAGATTCCTAACCAGTCGGCCAACTGGTCTAAAAAAATAAACTTGACTATATTTCAAAAAGTTTTTCACAAAAACAAAAATGGCAGATTTGTTCACTTTTTAAGTGACCAGTCTTTAGACAAGCTTTGGTTTTTGGGTTTATATGATGATTATGTGTTTATGGGTTAATGGGTTAATGCATAGGCAATGAGTCCCATTAGAAACCTAAAATCAAGTACGTAAAATAGGGAAAATTTGGGAAATTTTATCTAATGCTTGACCTTTCAGACTTTTCAGAATCACCTATTTTAACGAAGTGCCGAAAAGGTGACACCAAAAAAAATTACTTATTTTGAAATACAGCTTCTCTATAAACAATTTTAAGCCAAAAAAAAAAGAGATTATAAAGCGTATTGCTCATTTATTCTAGCTTTACCTCATAAGAAAGCGTTTTTCTAGTGCAAAAAGTAGAGTGTTTTCCTCGCGAGTAAAGTAATTACTCGAGTAAAATTCGCATGAGTGATTTTTTACTCGATTAATCGACTTTTTTTCGTCGAGTAACTACGAGTAATCCTCTTTACACGTCGAGTAAATTGAATATCTTTACTTGTGAAGGGAATTTCCCCACCAAATCAGTTAAACAGCTGAATATCTTTAACAAAGAGGCTTATATAAGTGGTCGTTCGTGATTTTTTTTTGTCAATTTTTTGCAAAATTTTCGCTAAACGTAATTTTTCCTATGTGTGCGTTTTAAAAAAAGCTTTACTCGCGTGGAACACACTCTAGCAAATGGTGAGCTGAATTTAAGCTGGAAAAATAATCATTTTACAAAAATCTCTAAAAAGGAAAAACTTTAAGGAAAAGATGCACTCATTTGTTTTGTGTTTACGAGTAATTTTGTCGACTTGGAGTCGACTTACCTGTACTGACTTACCGACTTACCTGTACTGACTTACCGACTTACCTGTACTGACTTACCGACCTACCTGTACTGACTTACCGACTTACCTGTACTGACTTACCGACCTACCTGTACTGACTTACCGACTTACCTGTACTGACTTACCGACCTACCTGTACTGACTTACCGACTTACCTGTACTGACTTACCGACCTACCTGTACTGACTTACCGACTTACCTGTACTGACTTACCGACTTACCAACCCAACGAACACCTCATTCATTTATTTAACTTATTTACAGGCTTAACTTGTAAATAATAGAACAAAATGTTCTTGAATTGGTGGATTCTTTTTTGAAGAAATTCTTGTCAAACTTTTTCTGAGAACTTTCTTTCAAATCTACTTTCTTTTCAACCTTAAAAGTACAAGATTTAAAATTTCATTTTCCTTTTCACTTGCCTGTACTTGCATCAGCCCAACGAACACCTCATTCTCGCAATCGCCGAGCATTGACGGGTTGAAGAATTGTTGGATTTCTTGGAGTGCTCTGATTCATTGTTTAAAGATGATTTCATTTTCTTTACTCACCTTACTCCAACTAATCGTTCTCTTGACGCAAAATTGATAGTCGAGTGCTGGATCTGCACATTTTGACCGTCAGCAAACACCGGAACACTGAACACTTTTATTTGCTAGATTCTAGCTAATCGATGATAGATTTTCTCACTTGTCTAATTGAAATGATGTCCCAGCTTCTCCATCAACCACAAAGATTTCCATCAACTAAATATCTTCAATTTTGGTGTTAATATTTGTCATAAATACGTGTTTCACATTGTCGAATCCCTCCTCATTTGGATTGGCTTGTCCCCGGAGTGAGATCACCTCTCCACATGGGGTCTCAAGAATTCCCTGTAAAAAAAAGTGATGCTTAAAAGGAAATTCTAGTAAACTTCTCGTTTCTAAAGTATAAAGACTAATGTTTAACATCTAATTCATAGTGTTATAAAGATTTTACATTTAAACGAAAAAAAAAAAGGTGGACTTATCAAGTTTACTATCAAACTTAAAACTTTTAAAGGTATTTGCATTTTCTAAAACTTGCTTTTCATCAAAAGTAGCAAAGAAGACAAGCTAGTCTGGCTAGGTCAGAGTCTAGAGTCCGATCAGAAATCAGATAAAAGCGGAGCTATTTGTGGATCAGATCTGCAGTAAATCCAGGACAAGTAAAGGCAAAAGCTAGCCTAGGACCTGATCTGCCCCAGGAAACTGCATAAAAAACAGCTAATAAGAAACGTAGCACAAAATCTGAACCCATGAGAAGATCAACAAGTAAAACTTTATTTATCTAAAGATACACTACTGGACAATGAAATATCATATTTGAAAAAAGATCGTCACTTTCGCGCGTCTGTAACTCCCTTGTCTTTACCGTATTTCTAAATATTAATATTACCATTGTGTAGCCCTTGAAAAGAGCTTTCAGAAAATGTATAACACTAATAGTTTAAACTCAAAGACAAGGGAGTTACAGATGCGCGAAAGTGACGATCAAATCGAAAGTGACGTTTTTCAAATATGATATTCCATTGTCCAGTACTTACCTGAAACGATGATCGATCCTTCTCGAAGATCAACCTCGCCACTCCATTCTCGTTCAAATTGTACATAACACCTCGCCGATTTTGCAACATTTCGATGAGCTCTTCTTTTGATCGTTTTCTATACATTTTTAGTAATGAATGAAATTAGAGAAATAACAGAGAAATAACAGAAATAACAGAGAAATATCAGAGAAAATCACTTCAGTGGGTGGGATTTCCAAAAGAAAATGGACTTTGAGATTTGTTCTGCAGATAAGCGATGGGAAAATTTGAAAATGGATAAATTCTGATATGGAAAAATAGCTAGAAATGGGTAGTACAGAATAGAATATCAGCTAAATATTTACAATAACTTATTCTTTTCAGTAACAATGTGTAATTGCAGTACAAATACTGGAGCAGAAAAATGGGATGAAATAAAATACTCGACTGCTACAGGAATTGGAATAGAATAAATAATTTGAAATCAACACAAGAATCAAATGGAGAGTCTAGTGCGAAATTTCTTCACAGAAAGAAACTTTTTTTTTTCTGAATGAAAGCAAAAATGAAACACTCTCAATGGAGAAAAACTCTTTTCATTTTCCCAAATCTCAAAGGGTGAGCTCGTAAATTTTTGTGTTTGAGAGGGTTCAGGGCTCACGTGTTTCAAGGGAAAGTTGAGAAGGGGCAGAGAAATGGCCATTCGGTTTCCTTTTTTCACCCCCAATGTCTACATAGAAACCACGTGGTTCTGGAAAAGACTGGGAAAAGGAAAAAACTGATCAAATGATTGAATGGTAACAGAAGGGAAGAATTTGGGGGAAACAGAGATCAATTTGGAGAAGAGTGTGCAAAAATGAGCCCAGCCGGATGATTGGTAGGCGAATTTTTATGGGGATTGATCTAGATTCTTTTAGATTAATCTAGGTTCTTCTAGATTCTTTTAGATTCTTTTAGATTAATCTCTTCTTCTAGACTCTTCTAGATTAATATCTTCTAGATTCTTCTAGATTCTTTTAGAAGAAAACGATCTCTTCTAGATCGTTTTCTTTTTACAATAAACTGACTTTTTAACCTGTTAGTTTTAAATTACTTTTAAGACTAAAAAGAACAAAGAACGAGTTTGAATCTTATTCAAAACTGATATTCAAAAGCAAAAAAGAAAAAATTCGTATTCTGTGGTACTTTTATTTGCAAATCACAAAAATTGAAATCAAAATGGCGGACCTTATCGATAAAAAAGCTGCTCAAATCCATGCCCATTACTGGGATTTTTGTCCCATAGAACGCTTAGATTAGCTAGACATTTGCTCTAAAGATCTTCTTTTTTACATATTTCATATTTACATATTTTTTACATAATATGGATTTAAACAGATTTAGAAAAAAGTTGCATTCATTTATATGTTTTTTCATGTGGTCTCCCACACAAAAGGCTAACAGAAGAAATCAATTAACAAACCAGAGCCTCAGCCTCAATTGCATCATGTTAACAAAAGCAATGATCTAATAATTTTGAAATCTTATTACTTGTTTCTTTGAAAAATTCTGCAAAAGTTTGTTTCACTGCCAATTTTAAAACTATTGATGTGAAATTTGAGAAACTTTTGACCAAAAAAAAAACGATTTTAAAACAGAAGAGCGTTTAGAGAATGAAAGAAAAGGAAAAACGCTTTCAGACAAGTGATGAGCGATCAAATGAGAAAAGAGAAGGAAAAGAAAAGACATTTTAGAGAGGGGCAAATGGGGAACGAATGGCGCCATTTATTTCATTTTGACTATTGTAAAAATATATTAAAAAAGATTGAAGATTGTAGATCTTTTGTATGTTAAAGTATATAAAGTTGAGGGAGATTACGCGAGTTTTTTAGAGAATCTAGAAATTATTAGAGAAGGGGCTCGAATTGGGGAAAGCCACCGATTTTTGGGGTGAGTTTAAAATTGATTAAAACGAAACTCTATGAGAAAGGGAGTATTCGGGAAAGCCAACAAAACACAGATATTTCATTTGAGAGAAAAACCAATAATCGAAAGAGGATTGGATGGATTTTTTGCGTAGAATTGTTAAAGAGAAATGTTAAAGAGAAAAAGGATGAGAAGCCTACGTCAATGAAAATGGGGAAGAGTGGGGAGGAGTGAGAGAAAAATGGAGAGTAGAGCTGCTCAGGCTTTCCCCTTTCCCATCACATTTTTGTTTTCAGGCGTTTCCTTGTGACCTGAGAAAACAGTGATAGGGTTTGGTGATTTGACGAAAAGAAAAACGAAAATGAGAAAAAAAAAAGGTAGACCGATGCTTTAAAAACAAACAAATTTTGAACCAAGATCAGAAGGAAGAAAGTTTTAACCAATCGCAACTTTCAAAGCTACATCATACCGTAAATACTGTAATAGTACCCCACCCCTTTTTTTTTTTTCCTTTTCTTTTGCACAAACACAAAATTATTGGACAGCTAGCCGAGAAAGGAATTCAAGTAAATGACTGTAAGATTGCGACGGAAATTGAAACATAAACACAAAACATACCGTAATAATTCTAATAGAAGACCATGGTCTTCTAATTTTCAACCCCTTCCCCAAAGGGTCTTCTATTAGAATTATTACGGTAAAATGAATGCCTCAAATCGATTGAAAAAAAAACGCCCTCAAATGGCTAGCAATTGATGTCTTATTTTCAGATTCTAGAAGAATTGTTGTCGATTAGTTTATTATCATACCGTAAATACTGTAATAGTACCCCACTTTCATAATGACAGTGCTGAGCGTTGCGTAGTCTAGCTTTGAACGAGTGTTTCCCGACTCTGGTTTATGCTACAATGCTCGCTTAGATATCAAAAAATAGCCCTGAATTGCAGCTATTTTTTGATACCAAAGACGCATTTTTTGAAATTACGGGCGCTTTGAAAAAAAATGAAATACTAAAAAACTTTTGCGACTACGCGACTGTACGAGGGGGGGTCGGGTACTATTACAGTATTTACGGTATATGTTTTTACAAGCAGTCAATATTGAATTAACTTTAGTTAATTGCTTCTTGATGCTTGTTTTCAGAGAATTTGAATCATAAAAATTATCGACATTATAATAATTATGTTTTTAATACTTACATAGTTTGTTCTGTTTGCATTGTCACTTTTCCTTGTCGGATAAAGTATATATATATAGTTTAAGATTAGATAATCTCAATTTCCAATTCAAAAGAGATTTGATAGTGAAAAATGTTTAGGATCTTTTGAATTCAAAAATGGAATAAAAACTGACGCCAAAAATTGAATCGAGAGTTTATTAGTATTCTTGAAACAGATCTTGGCTGAGACTTTCAAACAAAAGCCTTCAATGGCTTAAAATAAAACTCTGGATTGTAACTAAACCAATCAGTTTTAAGCATTAAACCCCAAATAGCCAGCAATAGCTAACAAAATGAATGAAAAGGAAAAGAGCAAGGTTTCTAGAATGTTCATCAAAGATTGGGAGTGTCTCGTTTGATTGAAAGAGGGAAAAGAGAGCAAAAGAGAGTCGATATTTGAAGATGAAAAGGTGAAAAGAGGCAAAGGATGTTTTGACAAATGACGTATTTGTGCTCTGTCAGATATTAGCGATTGATTGTTTCTTTTTCTTTTACGACAAAGGTCTGTTCAGAGAACGCACAAAGTCTCAAGAGCATTTACGTTTAGCGGTAAAGGGAACTACTGCAGGAAAGGGACAAAGGACAAAGTATGCTTTTAGCAAAAACGTAAAAAAAAATCGAGAAAAACATTCAGAAATGTGAGAGTAGAAGTATTAAAATTGGGAATCTTTTGGGGATCTTTTGATTTACAAAATAAAACTCTAGAAGTACTTTTTGAAATCAGGTTTTAGATTAAAAGAATTGAGTCTAAAAGGAGAAAATCTTTAGCGGAAAGTTTTATAGAGTTGATTGTAAGAAAGAATTTCAATATTGATGAGAGCTTTTAGTTGAAATTCTTTCTAACAATATTGATGAGAGCTTTTAGCTTTTAGCTGAAATTCTTTCTAACAATCAACTCTATAAAACTAAAGGACAAAGTATGCTCTATAAAACTCTATAAAAAAAACTATAGCCTAAGCTTAAGCTAAAATTTTGCACGATTCAAATCACCTTTAATCATAAATGATTTTTAAAATCAAAGCAAAAAGAAAGAAATTGAATCGTGGAAAGTCTAGAAAACATTTAGAAAGATATTTATGCGAGTTTTAAAGAAAAAATGGGGAGGAGTTGCACTTTTTGGATGCTTTTCACTCACTCCATTCATTGATTCAGTCATGAGTCTCCACAAATTAGAAGACAGAAAAACAACCAAAAGCTAGATAGATTTTCTAAATTCAATACAATCATTCTAAATGTTTTTATAGACTAAATAAAGGTTTTAAGTTATTATTCAAAGAAAAAAAGAACGAAATTCAATTGAGAAAAGTCTAGAACACATTTAGAAAGATATTTATGCGAGTTTTAAAGAAAAAATGGGGAGGAGTTGCACTTTTTGGATGCTTTTCACTCACTCCATTCATTGATTCAGTCATGAGTCTCCACAAATTAGAAGACAGAAAAACAACCAAAAGCTAGATAGATTTTCTAAATTCAATACAATCATTCTAAATGTTTTTATAGACTAAATAAAAGCTTTAAGTTATTATAAACTTAAATTCAAACTTAATGATTGAGAAATTCGATCGAAATTTCACTTTTGTTCTAACATTCAAAGTTTTAAAAGTTTCAGCTCAATTTTTGAACAAATAAACTAATAATTTTTTGATAAAACGCTCTCTGAAACCAGTAAAAAACAAAAAAAAAACAACTCAACCTTTCGCAAGATCAATTAAAAGGGGTTTCCCCCAAGTATTTTCTCTAGATAAAAAAAAGCTCTCTGTTACAACAAACAGAGATTGTTTGCTTGTTTTTGGTCTGTTCTGTTCCAAACAGATCATTAAATACTGATTGATTCGATTTTCTAAAATTGGGTGTTGACCGTAACCAAAAATAGAAAACAGAAAAAAAAGTGATTGCGACGAAATGATCGCCACTTGGCTCAAGGATGGAGAAAAGAGCAGCAAAATTTGCAAAGATTAAGTTTGATTCTTGAAATCCGAATCAAAGCCAATTCGATTCTTATTCAAAGTCCGAATCGGGTCTAGATGATCCAGCTTTCAATCCGAACAACTGAATATCTTTTTATACCATCTACAAAGCAAAAGAAAAATCATTGTATAAAAGGGTGATCAGGTGTTCTTTGTGCTGCCGCGTAATCGCTCTCCATCTGGCATAAGGCTCTGGTACAAGGTTCTTCTCTTTTAGCAATCTTCAAAGGGTAAAGCAATGGTGAGCGACCGATCGAGCTCTATCCAATGGGTATAATGGGCCTTGATCCCATTTCCGAGAAGAATTAAACTTGATCTTTGGACCCCCAGGAAACAAGTTTCGCTCCAAATCTCTTAATACTTTTGTTACAAATTCCAGGCGGGGCCGGCCGCTCAAAAGCTTCCCGTACTTTCTTCACGAAAAAAAAAACTCCAATTTGCTTCAAAGATTTTCAAAGAAAATTCCACGTCTGAACACTTTGAAACAATATGACTGGGCATGAGTCGAATTCAATAAAATTCAATGAAACCTATTCAAAACCTTTTGAAAATGTAAGTTAAATGAGAAGAAAAATGGATGAGAAAAAATGATTCTTTGAATGAAATGAATGATTGAATGATTTATATTTAAATTGTTCAAATAGGATAAAATGAACTTGAACTAAAAGATGAACTTTCAAAAAGTCATGAGATTTTTTCTCATATTCTCTTTCTGCTGTTTTACTGTGCTTTCCCAGCGTCAATATTTTGAGTAAGTAAACTAGTTAACAAAGTTAAAAGTTAATTTCTTCTTTAGTCACAAATTCTTGACAATTCGGACAAGTTTAGAGAATGAGAAGGTTTTAAAGGAGCTTGCTCAAAAGGTAAGTGCATGGGGATGAGATTCACATCATCAATCATTAAAGAATCCAAGTCCCGGCTTAGCTTTTGATCTTGTCTGTTTTCTAAGTTTGATCTAGCTTTACTACTACCCATTCAAAGAGTCCCTAACTCCATCAGAAGCCAGCGTAGCCAGCGTAGACAGCGTAGCCAGCGTAGACAGCGTAGACAGCGTAGACAGCGTAGCCAGCGTAGACAGCGTAGCCAGCGTAGACAGCGTAGCCAGCGTAGACAGCGTAGCCAGCGTAGCCAGCGTAGACAGCGTAGCCAGCGTAGACTGGCTTATAAGCCCAGAACATTCCTTGTCACAACTTTTGAACATTCTCAAGTTCAAGCTTTTAACTCACAAATGATTGAACTAATTAACCGTAAGCAATGGCTTTAAAGTTGTTTATGAAAACTCTTTTAGCTTGATTTCCACCGATTCTCCTCAAGGTTAAATGGGAAAAACTTGATTCTCCTAAAGCCACACGAGATTGAAAAAACAAAAGATCTGCTGAAGAAAAATGGGACTACATTTGAGATAAAAGGTTTTATAAAAGAAAAAAATCTAAAAACTCTTTTCTTTAGATGTTGGTTACATTAAATATTCGGGAAAAGGAATCGATTATTTATCGACTCGAGGAGATTTCAATATCTCTACCTATAATGATTTCGATTTGGTAACGAGAACTAGGGATGAGTTAAATTTTAAATTTAGCAAATGGAATCCCTTGACTCGTTGACTCAAAAATACAAGAGAAAAGTCAAGAAGATTGTTCTCGGGGAAACTTTTGAGAAACGACCATTGGTTGCGCTCAAGGTGAGCTTAAAGTGTAAGAATGGAGATTTTTGTAGTTTATGTTGTGAATGTATGTTAAGTCCGATCTAGATTGATTCTAGATAGGATGTTCGATCTAGAGTGAAGTAAGGTCAAACATCTGATCTCGAATCAAGCCGATCACTCTAACACAGACGTCGAATTCAGAATTAGATTTAGAGTGATCAGCTTGATTCTAGATCGGACGGATTTCTAGATCGGACGGATTTCTAGCTCGGACGGATTTCTAGCTCGGACGGATTTCTAGATCGGACGTAACATATAAATTTAGCTTGGTTTCGAATCGAAGAACTCAAAACCATCGATTTTCATGAATGCGGGGATTCACGCGAGAGAATGGATCACGTCAAGTTCGATCCTGTGGCTAATCAATGAAGTGATCATATCGTTATTAAAATAACTATTTTTATCGTAAAGTTTTATGTTTAGAATATGTGATCTCATTTCTGATATTTTAGCTTCTGTCCAATGAGTCGTACAAGGAGTTCTTGAAAGATCTCGATATTTACATCGCTCCAATGTGGAACCCTGATGGCTATCAATTCAGTCGAACTAAAGAAAGAAATTGGAGAAAGAATCGGTATTGGACTTTAGCTACAATTCTATTCTTAGCTTGATAAAGATATTTTCAGACGATTCTACGAAGATCCCGAAGATGAAGAGATTTGTGTGGGAATTGACTTGAATAGAAACTATCCATTCAAATGGAAACACCAGAAATGCTCTAATGAAAAGTGAAGTTACAGTAAAAGCTTTCAATTAGAATTTCTTTTTAGTGGAAGCGGTCCAGTGGGCGGATCCGAATTGGAAACACAAGCGTTGATGAAATTTTTGACTAAAAATAAAGATCAACTCAAGGGTTATATCGATTTTCACAGCTTCGGTGAACATATTCTCTATCCATTTGCATACAAGAAACACATCTATCCGACAAATGTCGAAGAATTGGTGAGTATTTTTGTATTTATTTAAAAAGTGATGCAGTGAATATCTTCTAGAAACTTATCGGCAAGAAAATGCAAAAAGCTATCGCAACAGTGCGCGACACCGAGTATGATTTGATAAATATCGCTGACGGAATGTGTTCGTTCAACAATTTTGATTGAAAATTTCATTCAGATCCTGCTCCTGGGTCGACGGCTGACTATGCGAAATCGATTGGAATTCGTTATTCGTATGGCTTTGAGCTGGTTCCGGATGGAAAGTAAGGATAGTATCTGTCACCTGTCATCTGTTAAGATCTGTCATCTGTCGTCTGTTAAGATCTGTCGTCTGTTAAGATCTGTCATCTGTTAAGATCTGTCATCTGTCGTCTGTTAAGATCTGTCATCTGTTAAGATCTGTCATCTGTCGTCTGTTAAGATCTGTCATCTGTTAAGATCTGTCATCTGTCGTCTGTTAAGATCTGTCATCTGTTAAGATCTGTCATCTGTCGTCTGTTAAGATCTGTCATCTGTTAAGATCTGTCATCTGTTAAGATCTATCATCGAATTGGAAAACTTTATTAAACGTCTACTAAGAACAAAATTAAATCATTTATAGACATGGAATAGATGGATTTAACGTACCGGACACGGAAATCGAGCCGACTGGCCGTGAAGTGCTTGCCGCACTTCGAGTCCTCTTTGAGAGAATCATTCGTGATGATGAAAAAACGAGTCTAAACCAGAAGACAAGGACAAGTATGCACTTGTAGTTGAATAAATGTGATTCAATATGGATTTTAAATCAACAGTACTAAATGCCAAGTCGGAAGAGTTTTTTAGTATTTCATTTTTTGCAAAGCACCCGTACTTTCAAAAAAATGCATCTTTGGTATCAAAAAATAGCTGAAATTCAGGGCTATTTTTTGATACCTAAGCGAGCATTGTAGCATAAATCAGTGTCGAGAAAAACTCGTTCAAAGCTAGACGACACAACACTCTGCACCGTCATTATGGGGGTGGGGTACTATTACAGTATTTACGGTAGTTGAAAAATTAGAAAAGTTGCTTGAGAAATCATTAACAGGAAAAGGAGAAAACAGCAGCGCTTCACACCACTACTTTTTGACAAAACGTGTTGCTAATCTTATTGGTTCCAATATGGCTCGGATACGGTTCCAATATGCTACCAATATGGTTCTAATATGATTCCAATTTGGTTCCAACATGGTAGAAACTCTCAAGCAATCAACGGGATCGAATTCTTCCTATATGGATCTATTACTGATAACCATATCTACACTTTATAATTTCGATTCCTACCATAGATAAATGTCTTCGAACTTTACATATGGATAAATTTATTAATGATAAACGTCTATGCTTTGTCTTCACAGCAAATAATATTACATCAAGTGCATAGAAATGAACGACAAGCTAACACCATTTGAGATTACATTTGAGTGATAAAACAGCTGTTGCAAAGTTCACACCTTTAGCACAGCAGAGGATTGAGGATACGAAAGTTTGTTTTATCGTCTTTTCCATGGTAAACAACATTTTATTTAAAAGTTGAACGCTTTTCCAGAGCCTACGGATAGTGTTGGGGTTCCTTATAATGCTGGTTTACCCTTTTTCATTTCAAAAACCTCTGTTTAATTTGTATGATGTATTTTTATTTTCATAAAAGATAACTTTAAGTTTTTTTCAATGACGGTTTCAATGAGTTTCAATGACGAGACGGCAAAACGGAAGAGCGATGCAAAACGGGTCTGAAATCGATTTTCTAAAAATGAGAAATTCATCAATTTTTTTAGATTTAGATTTTTATCTGCTATCCAACTAAGAAAAAAAACTCAAAGTTTCATTAAAATCTGTTTACTCAAAAAGAGTTAATAGGGTGAACACATTTGCAGGCTATTTGTTCCAGGTACAACTCTCAGTACAGCGTGATACTTTGTATCAAGCTGTACTGAGTTCTTGTTCTTGTTCTTGTTTTCTTTTTATCGTCATTCTACTCATGTTTAAGAAATCATTTAAGTGTTTAAAACGACTTTTATGACAAGTTGACACGTTGCGATTTTTGAAACAAATAGCCTCGAACTTTTTTTGTTTGTTTTGAGTAAACACATTTTAATGAAACTTTGGTTTTTTTTCTTCTTAGCTGAATAGTATATAGAAATTGGTATTGATCACATTTTCTTTTAGAAAATTGATTTTAACGTTACTCGTGGATCGTTGTACGATGTCTACGACTACATCTCATCAACACCAATTCCCCCCCGATATTTCTTTCCTTCCGGATATGAAAAGCGATTCGAAATTGGAGAAGCCCGGGTATTCAACTGTGCTCCTGCCAAACAGATTGCACTTTGGGAAATCAAATATTTCGAAGCTCGACCAAACAAAGGTTTTTCATATTTTGTGTCTATATTCGACAATAATTTCCGTCTTACTATTCCTACTAATCGCATATTTCGTTGGGGTTTTATTTTTCCGTTCGAATCAACCCGTGCAAGCTACAATTCACGATGATTTGTATGTCTTTTTATCACCATCTTTACACATTAAAAGCTTATTTATAATGAGCATTTCGAAATCATTTTATGGTAAAACACTGAACTTTCGTTTCACTTCAATTATTGAGAAACAAAAAGTTTTTTTCTTTTACCAAATAATGAACAAATGTAACTTTAGTAGCAAGCTTGAAGGGGAATTAAATAAAAGGTAAGTTTATTTTCATTAACAATTCATAATAGCTACACTAACAAAGCAAATTGCCGTTGGCATTGTTAACAAACCACTAACTGAATAGAGTAGCTATTATGAATTGTTTGCTAGTTAAAAAAGTGCCTAGAAAATCTAAGAAAGCCATCTATTTGGTTCGTGCAGGGAAATTAAGTTTTTCTTAATCTTTCTTAGCAATCAAACCACACAATTTACTCAAGCTTTTCAAATAGGGTTTTAAAAAAAGGAACCTTTCATTTCAATTTCTGAATAGTTTTTGCTCATTTTAATCACTGAAAATGAGATTTATCGGAAGGAATTTCAAGTGACAAACAATAAAATAAGGATTTTTTTATTTTCAGAGAATTTATAAATAAAACGCGCTCAAATTTTAGCAGGAAACTTCTATTTAGTGATAATAGCTACTTTCTGCTTATTTTGCTTGCTAATTGTAAAAGAGATTCGCTTAAAGATTGGCTTAAAGATGACTTAAGGGTTGGCTTAAAGATTGGCTTAGAGGTGGCTTAAAGATGGCTTAAAGGTTGGCTTAAAGACGGCTTAAGGGTTGGCTTAAAGATTGGCTTAGAGGTGGCTTAAAGATGGCTTAAAGGTTGGCTTAAAGACGGCTTAAGGGTTGGCTTAAAGATTGGCTTAAAGATGGCTTAAAGGTTGGCTTAAAGGTTGGCTTAAAGACGGCTTAAGGGTTGGCTTAAAGATTGGCTTAAAGATGGCTTAAGGGTTGGCTTCAAGATTGGCTTAAAGATTGGCTTAAAGATTGGCTTAAAGGTTGGCTTAAGGATTGGCTTAAAGGTTGGCTTCAAGATTGGCTTAAAGATTGACTTAAAGATGGCTTAAAGATTGGCTTAGAGGTGGCTTAAAGATGGCTTAAAGATTGGCTTAAAGGTTGGCTTAAAGATTGGCTTAAAGATTGGCTTTCACTGCTTCAGCCAAATAACGTCAACTTTTAGCAATGAATCTTTGGCAGACTGCCGCAAGAGAGTACAAGATTTGATGCAAATTGAAAAGTTTGGATAATAGTTTACTTTCAAATTCTCTGTTTAGAAAGAATCCAGAATGTGAAACAAGTGGAAAGTAAGTCGTTTTACGAGAAATAGAGGTTCTCACGACTTGCCCCAAATAAAAAAACCCAAAAATTTCAGCGCTCTCCCGCAGAATTTCGGTGCTCCTCTTCAACGAAAAGCAAAGTGTCAAATAGGATGGAGTTACCACGAGGGAACGAATTTTTGCTATTATCATCAGGTATCGAAATATTTCTTGAAATTTGAAATTCCGTTCAGAATTACACATATGACGATACGGGAAAGTTGAATACTTATTCTTGGCAATTGGCCGAAGAGATCTGTGAAAGAAATAACGCACATTTGGTATCGATTCACAGTGTTGAGGAGAAAAGCTTTGTTGCAAGTAAATTTCTAAATTGAGTATCTAGGGGGGAGGAATAGTTATTGCCCATAATTACTTACCACAAAACTCTTTGCCAATCATCAAAGAAGTAACTAGATTATATTTTTTGTTTGCATTTTAGGATAATTAGAGTCTTTTTAAGTTTACATTGATCGGCCACAATGCAAAACGAGATGCTATATTAGTTGGGGGGCTCAAAACTTTGCTTAAAACTGCCAGACGGATTTTGATAATTTTTTCACCATTGAATTCAGCACATTTTTCTGCGTCAAATGGCTATTCAAACGTAAAAATCCTATAGAAAACGCATTTTCGCGCGGATGTGGGGGGATCTTCGAATCTCGGTCCAGAATCATTATTTCGCTCTGAAAAGCCAGATGACTGACAAAAAATAAACGCAAAAGAAAAACACGTGGGACGGGGTGAAAACAGTGACCCTTGAACTACCAGGCCGGGCTCCTAATCACTCGACCACTCGGCTACTCACCCGAGGCCATGTTCGCTTTAAAGCGTATCGTGTAAATTCCCAAAAATGTTTCATTTTAAGCTAAAAACTTCAGAAAATTCGACCTAAGATGGTAAGCTGTTTTTTCCTGGTGAGAACCACGCTGAATCGATTGCTTCGTTGATATTTACGATTAATCGATTAGTTGGTTGATATTTACGGTTAAGAGGGGAGCATTTTGAAAAAAAGGAGCGCGAAAGCAGGGTTTTCCATTTCTTTTTCCTTTTAGAAATGATTGGTCTCAACTTGACGTCTCTTCATCGAAAAGGTCCATCGGAAAATCGATGCAACGATAATTCGCCGTACTATGCTTGGAGTGGTATGCATGTAGTGGATGGGTACAGAAAGTGGAGCGACGACACAGCCGATGATTTTTTTTCACATGAGAAAACCGGCCCCAACCAGCAATGGGTGGTCGGTTTTTTTTTTGGTCAACGTTGGTCTATCGTTAACGTTAGTCTAGCCTATCAATGTTCGACATGCAGAATATTTGCAATAGCTGAAAGGTTTCAAATAGCATCTGGTATTCATTTGAACTGGCTAATATCTGATCTCTGATATTAAAAAGTCCCAACATCTACATGCAAACATTTTTCAGCTATGCAAAGATAACTCGAATGTGAACGTGACGAGTCTCCTCTATATAGCCTATAAAAATCCATTGCCTCGTTTTGTCTGCAAGAAGCCGGCAAACGAAATGAGAAGGTGAATAGTAATTTGACTAATCCAATTTAACTAATCCAATTTGACTAATCCAATTTGACTAATCCAATTTAATTAATCCAATTTAACTAATCCAATTTGACTAATCCAAAAAGCCAATCAAAATCAAACTATTTTGCAATGTTTTTATTTCTTTATCCTAACAAGAAGATCAATGAGTAAAACTCATTCATAAAATCAGTAAAATACATTCAGATTCTAGAAGTTTTTAGCAAAAATTGAGTAAAATCTCAAGTGTTTAGGTGAGGCCAAAAAAAACTTCATTATTCGCGATGAGTCTAGCTGTCAAATAACCGAAAAATTGTGTTGATTACTCTTTTTTTCTTCATGATCAATGCTATATTGCAAAGTGATGCAATACTTTTGCACCACAATGTAATTCACTTTTATTTATACTCGAATTGCTTTTCGTTTGATAATGTGTGGAGATTCTTGATATTCTATGATCTTTTGTAAGAAATAATTATATATTTATATAAATTTTCCTTGTAACCTCCTTTTATGCATTCACTGGTTATTTAGGGATCGGGAGGAAAGAGAGAATGATGAATAGGTCAATCCAGACAATTTTGGCAACTAGTGTTCCTGGTCGATAGTTGAGTAAGTTGTTGTTGTGCTGCTTCAGCAGCGACGAGTCGGCTGTTGTTGTGCTGCTCTAGCTGCGACAAGTATTTGCTCATTTTTGTTTTGTATTCGTAATCAAGTTTTGCGGATTCATCGTCCACCAGTTTTGTCACATCGTTTGTCAGCTCTTGGAATTTGTGCTTGAAGCGTGCTTTTCGTTGCTAAATAGTCCGCATCGAAAGCCTTTCATGAAGCTCACAAACCTTGGCTTTTACCTTGTCAAGTGTGAGACGATCGGCAACATAACGAAGCTTAGAAGTGATGTGCTTCTCGGAAACGATCTGGTACAGTCTTGCCGAGTTTCCCACTTGAATGCAATATGCAACTAAACGTAGAGTCGACTTCAAAATTACGGGATCGATTTGGGAATCCTAAAAACTGGATAAATGATGTACATCATTGCCGCCATTTAGAACTAAAAAACTGAATTATTTCTAAAAATCATAAAGATTAAAAGTTAAAAGTTTTAAAAGAGTTTACCACTTGAATGCAATAGCTAACTAAACGTAGAGTCGGCTTCAGGTTGTCCGCAATGATGTTTTGATCAATAATCTTTTTTATCTCGTCAAAGAATTGAACCAAATCGTTCCATTGTCGACGAACCTGCGTTGAACATTTTGTAGAATCGTTTGGCTCGTCAAAAACTCTAACGTTATTTATGGATTACAGGTTTTTACTACAGAATCGCTTGGCTTTTTTTCGCTTACAAAACTTTTAGCTAATAAATATTATTGTGTGCCTCCTCACAAGAAATAGTGTAAAATCGGAAAAAAGTTACGGTGGAAATCAACTGAATAACTTATTGTGTCGTTCTGACCTTTTGCAAGTATTCCATTGCATCTCCCAATACTTCGATCACTTCATTCAAATCCACTTGCTCCAAGTCCATCGATTCCATTTTGCCGACCAATTCACCGAGCGCAGTCCTTCCCTCAATTAGTTCTTTAAACTGTTTCTGCTCGCTGACAATTTTTAAAAATGAGGTGTCCACAACAGTTGCAAAGTCAGTGGCTCGGTCCGATTGCTTCTGAAAGATTTCGATTTTCATTCAAAAAACAAATATTCTTTCGAGATTTATTGGCTTGGTGGGTATGTCGAAAGTGAAAGTCCATTGTTTTCACAAGAGTGAATGTTCACTTACCTATTTTCCGCAAACCTCTCCCCCTCATCTTTGTTTACATCTCTGGGATTTAGTTTGAAAAAACGTGCCAAGTCATACCCACCAACCCAATCGAACACAAATAGCCCGTTATCATTCAATTTGGCTAACGTTTTTCGTGTAATAAAACGTAATAAAGCGTGTAAGACTATATGAAATCTTAAGACTACCTCAAAATTCTCGATAGCTTTTTTCTTTTCCTCCAAGAGTTGTTTGTAACGTTTCTCAGCAAGTTTGAAATTCTCTTCAGCAGCCTTCCTCTCCTCTTCCAGAGCTTTATTTTCTCTTTCCAGCCATCCCGAATGATTTCGATTTTGTGCATTAGCCGCCGTTGTGGCCAGTTTAAGCTCGTCGATTTCCTCAAGTACAGTGAAAAACTCTGTTACAATGTTCTTTGCCGTTTCGCTACATGTTGTCGCCGAATTACTAATTCTTCTCATCAATTGTTCGTTGTATTTTTTGATTCTTGTAGAGTTGGGATTCTAAAATTGACAGTTATTAGGTTGGCAAGTTATAAACGATCCTTTTTGGGTAATGTGTTTTCTGATAAAAACAGCTTATCCAATCAAAAAACGGTTTGCTTGATTCAAAAGCTCTTTTTTGACTTTTTTGTCATTAAGGACAAAATGACTTTTTTGAATTTTTGAAAAATGTTTTATTTTAGAACTTTTTCAGGCATTTTAATGTAAGAGTTGAAAATCCTGGTTTCTAGCATTCATGAGCTAATATATTTTTGAGTGATTGAATACTTTTTAAAATAAAACGCTTCATCGATTACATAGTTTCCCAAAATTTCAGAACAATTCAATCGATCGAACCGTTCTCTTTCTTTTAATCTTTTTTTTTAATCTTGCTTAAATTCAAACGAAAATGGATTAAATTAGCACAAAAGTGCATTTTGAGCCTAATTTGAAAATCAACCTTCCGAAGATTGGATTGTTCTGAAATTTTGGGAAACTATGTAATCGATGAAGCGTTTTATTTTAAAAAGTATGTAATCACTCAAAAATATATTAGTTCATGAATGCTAGAAACTAGGATTTTCAACTCTTACAAAATGGGGTAGGCTACTTTCCGCCATTTTATTTGCGCAACAGGGTCATTTGCGCAAGTACGTTTGCGCAACTTTTTATTTGCGCAACAGGGTCATTTGCGCAAGTACGTTTGCGCAACTTTTTATTTGCGCAACAGGGTCATTTGCGCAAGTACGTTTGCGCAACTTTTTATTTGCGCAACAGGGTCATTTGCGCAACTTTTTTGACGTTTTTAAGGGACGTTTTTTTTAAGGGAGTTTTTGACGTTTTTTTTTGTTGTTTAAAATTCTAGTACGGTTTTGTTTATTCTTAAAAACCATTGTTAACTAATTTTCCGCATTTTCCCAAGAATCCGCATCCATCGTATACTGCGGTCAGACTTTACGAAGAAATGACGCAAATAATCAACCGTTTCAAGCTTTCATCGGCTATCAATCTCACTGTTGGACAAAGCTACACACGGAAGAAAACTGTATTGGCTCGACAAAAGCAACGTTTTACTGCTATTTCTAATGGTCGCTTGCCCGGTTGCGATTTTGTGCAACATCTTTCTCAGCTTTTGACTTATATTAAAAAAATTTGATTTTTATTGTTGTCCTAACTTTCATTGCTATTGTTGTCCTAACTTTCATTGTTATCGGTTGCACTTTTTTGTTAAAGCGATAAAATATTTTACTAATGGTTATTAGCTCTTAGAAAGGACTAATTTAGATAAATATTGGAAGATTATGCAAAAAATTGGAAGATTTCATAAAAAATAGAAGAAAATAAAAAAACAATAAAAAAAAGCTCAAAAATTAAAATAATGATTAAAAATTCGAGTGCTTAATACAGTGTTAAAGTTGCGCAAATGACCCTTTTTGTGCAAAAAAAAGTTGCGCAAATGACCCTTGTTGCGCAAACGTACTTGCGCAAATGACCCTGTTGCGCAAATAAAATGGCGGAAAGTAGCCTACCCCTACAAAATGCCTGAAAAAGTTCTAAAATAAAACATTTTTCAAAAATTCAAAAGTCATTTTGTAGATTAAGGATAGGGCTTTTGAATTAAGCAAACCGTTTTTTGATTGGATAAGCCGTTTTTTCAGAAAACACATTACCCAAAAACGATCGTTTATAACTTGCCAACCTAATAGTTTATTAATACATTCTAATTATTTTAGCACCCAGAATAAATGGTCTTGGAGAAGCAAACCTTTGTTGTTTCCTCTATCACCGTCATCAGCACCTCGGGCAAATCGATCAACGACTGTTCGATGGTTGACATGGCAGAATGGGCATTGCGGAAGCTGTTCGTCATGCTCGTCGTCACCTGCTCGAGACACACACGGAAATATGGGTATTTTAGATGTTTGAAGCCGTTCTCCGGTCTTGGCAGAGTCGCGTCTTCCACCGAGGCTGAGATCACTGCTATACAGTCCATTAAATAAACGGTTTGCGGTGCCTCATAGAGAAGAAGTTTCCCTTGTGAAAGCTTTGTACAACTCTTGATCACATCCTTGTTCACATCCTGAATCCGGTGGGTTTCTATTGGAATAAATACGCTAGTTTCTGATTTCTGACAATTTCTGATTCACCTTTTTTCACTGGATCTAGACTAAAATCAAGTTTTTCAAGATGTAGGAAGCTTTTGAGATTTTGTATATAGGCGCATAGATGTATTCCAAAAGTCCCAAAAGAGTATTTTACTATTTTATGTTTAGGACTTACATTTTGTACCTTCTGCAGACTTTCGTTCAATTCCCCAACCGCACGCACTCCTTCTGTCATGCTAAAACAGGAAACCGACTTTTCATTTAATCAAAAACTTCGAACTCACCATAATGACCAAGAAATCGTCAAACACACAGCAAGAACCCGTAACATTTTGTGGAAATTGTGACCACCGAACCTTTTGAGAGACGCCTTTTATCTACGGATTCGTTCTCGAAACTTTGATCATCTAAACTGACAAACAAAATAAAAAAAAACTAAGAATACTTTAGTAAAAAATGGTGACAAACAAGTGGCCTTATCAGTGAGCTCAAATTTCGTTGCGAGAAAGTGGGAACAATCGTAGAAAACACCAGTAAACGGGTTTAGATAAAAAAACTCAACAACACTGGAAAGCCAAAGATAAAACGAATGCGTGGGAAGTGATGACTTCTTTTTGATTCAAGATCAACAGCGGAGAAACAAAAAACATTCGATCTTTCTTTTGAACTTAGATTGGGCAAAAATCCGCGTGAGCTGTTTTTCGATAGTTTGAAAGTTATGGTCAAAAATTAATACTCTCAAATTTAGCTATTAGCTTGGTAAATATGAAAGGTTATTTTTTACAAAAAATATTGCCCTGTCTTTACGAAGAACATTCGCCGTCTAGGATTTTTCTCAATAATATGTCAAAATGTGCTTATGTTTTTTTATATAGATACTTTATTCAGGACCTGAGATAAAGTGCGCTAGATTTAAGATTAAAACACATGAATTCATACACATAACACGAAAAGGGCCGATAAAAAGAAACACGATATAATATATGTAAAATGTGGGTAGCACAGATAACGTCAAGGATCCACTAGAGCTTCAAGCTCAAGATCATCTACAGATAATTTAAAGGTTTCGAGACTATTGGACTCTCTCAAAACTCTGGGGAGTCGATTCCAAATTCTGGCAGTTCTTATTGGAAAAGAGTTATAAACAAACTTATTGGAGGTGACTGGAATTTCTAAAACGAAAGAACCTCTCCTTGAACTAACCGTGGGATTAACTTTGAATAAATCTCGAAAAAGATGGATAGGTTGCCTGCCCTTTACAATTTTGAAACATTCTATTAAATCCGTGACCAAGCGGCGGTGTCTAAGAGATTTAAGATCAAAAATTTTGAGTCTATCTGTGTAACTAAAGTATGCAAATTTGGAAAAATCTATTTTCCATAGAGCTATCTTAGTATATCTCTGCTGGATTTTTGCTAGGCGAGAGATATCAACTTGTGTATGTGGAGACCAAACTATAGATGCATACTCTAGAATGGGTCTAACGTAAGTGATGAAACACTTTCTGTAAGTGTCAATTTTCGGGTAACAAATTGCTTTTAGGATACGACTAGAGACAAAAGAAGCTTTACGGCAAATAATTTCAATGTGTTTTGAGAAATTTAAAGGTGGGGAAATATGGACTCCAAGATCTCTGATATAGATCCTCCTTGCCAATTCTGTTTAATGGTGTAGAATTAATTTTCAGCGGGAAAATAGCATTTCCGGTGGAGAAATGACGGGATTTCGTAGAGGCTAAAGCTAATTTCCAATTATGGGACCATTTTTCAACCAGATCAAGATCTGACATGGCGTCTCTTAAAGAAGCAAGCCTAGCGGCTTCATCTTTGATGGGAATTTTAAAGGTTAGTTTAGCGTCATCAGCATAAAGCCAGATAGATGAGTCCCTAGATGAAAAGTTTAATTCAGCTAAATCATTAATGTAAATTGTAAAAAGTATAGGACCCAGAATACTTCCTTGGGGTACACCGCTAGAGCAATTAAAGGAAGGGGAGGGAGAATCGTTTAGAAGAACTTTGAAAGTTCGCTGAGTAAGGAAACTTTCGATAACTGAAATCATGGAGGGGCAGATTTTATATGCATGTAGTTTGTGAATTAAGAATTTAATAGGGACAGAGTCGAAAGCTTTAGCAAAATCTAAAAACACAGCTTCAAGCTGATAGTGCTTGCGTTGTTTTTGATCCACGGCCTTAAAGAACTCTTGGTAAGCTAAAATAAGCTGGTAAGTGGTGGACTTATTTTTAAGGAAACCAAATTGATAGTCGGAGATAAGTTCATACTTATCAAGATGAGCTGTAATTTTATCTTTGATAATAATTTCAAAAAGTTTGGATACAGGGGAGGTTAAAGAGATGGGACGATAGTTACTGAAAAGGTTTTTAGGAGATTTTTTGAGAAGGGGAATAACTAAAGATTGTTTCCAAAAAGAGGGGACATCTGAAATGAGAAGAGTTTTGTTGAAAGGTTTTAAAAGAGGGTAGGTAAGTACTCTAGAAAGTCTCTTTATAGCAAAAGCTGAGAGGTTATCTGGACTAGACGACTTTTTAGGCCGTAATTTAGAAAAAGCTTTCTCAATGTCCGCTACACATATTAAGAAATCTGGCTGCACTTCAATTTGCTTTACCGGAAAGGCCGGACACTGTTCGTTTTTATCTGTAACCGCATATACAATATGAAAGAATTTGGCAAACTCAGTGACGATTGTACTGGGATTGGAAATAAGTTTAGTACTGTCTAAGGGGCCAACGAAAGAATTGGAGACTATCTTTCGATCTTTTGTTTTAGAGGTTAAATAGGAGAAGAAAGACTTGCTGTTTTTCGAATAAACAGCTTTCCTTTTAATGTTTGCCTCAAACTTTTGACAAAATTTCGAGAGCTTGCGCTGTTCTTTGATTACTAGTGGGTCAACCAGAGGATTTGCGTAATTAGATCTTTCAAAAAAATGTAGAAGTCTTGCTTTAGCTCTCGTAATATGATTTGGGGCTAATTTTACAGGGTGAGTGCAGGAATTTTCTATGGCAAGGAGGATTTTAGAACAGAGAAAATTATAGTCATCATCTATAGAATTTGTCCTAGAGCAGAAAAAGCTCCCTCTAAGGGAGTTTAAGAGGGAAAGAGCCGCTTGGTCGGGATTAAAATCAAATGCACGCAACCTTTCCGCGGAGGAGTCGAAAATTGCAGTCCTCCAATTTTGAACGTGATCCCATAATGGTCAGATCCAGGAAGAGGCTCCAATCGCTTCAACTCCATGATAACATCAGGGAAATCGGACAAGACCAGATCTAAAATAGAAAATGAACGGCAGAAGGTAGCAAATGTGTTTAAAATAAATAGAGAGCATGTAATAAGGAAATCTTGTAGCAAAATGGTGGGATGGTGGTGCTTATCAAACAAAAATTTGTCATTAGAAAATCAATGAAAATTTAAATCGCCTAGTAAAATGTTGACTTCCGAATCATGCAAGAAAAGTGATAAATGATCAAAAAGACGAGAAGTATCAGCATAATTCACGCTAGGGGGTCGATAAACGACAAGAAAACGAACCTTTCTGCCAAGATAAACATCTACAATTATAATTTCACAGTTAAAGATGGAACTGCAGTAAATTACATGGTGGGTAAAAGACTTAAGTAGGAAAAACACAACACCGCCACCATGCGATTTAGTGGAAGAGGCTCTATCACATCTAATAATATGGTAAGAGTCACTAGGGTCAAGAATAGAGGAAACTAGAGAGTCGTCTAGCCATGTCTCGGTAATAGCAAGAAATGGATAAGATTTTGTACGAGTCATGGTCTGAAAAGTAGCTAAGCGATTCTTGCTATTTGAAACTATACTATGGGCATTGGCAAGAAAAACACTAGGGGAAAAGAGAGCATCAAACTTGGGAAAGCGAGCCGGGAAATTTCTCCTGCGTAGAATGCGAGCCTGATTGACTTTGTTGCTTGTGGAGTTTCTTTCCAATCCTCCGTTCCGATGGGTGAATAAGAAAGGCACCCTCATCGTTTTCCCTTTCATCTCGAAAATTCTTTGCTAATGGTTCGTTCACATCCGACAATGCGTGTGCTTTGCGAAGGCGCAACTCAGGCGGGTTAATCTTCGTAGAGTTAATCCTCTTTGGAGGTCGGCCCTTCTTGACTGGAGGCTTTTTTGTAGAGGCTGTCGGCATGCTTTCCCTTGTCGTATCCTTTTGCGCAGCCATGCCAACAGTCGTTTCGGAAGCAGTCACATGCAAAGCTCCAACCTGTTCCGGAGGTACACTCCTTGTCGTGTTCACGTCGAGGTGTGGAAGGGGGTCATTTTGGGTTGAAGGAAATGTCTCCTGCCTCTTGCTCTTGTAGCGACTTGGGTCCGAGCGTCGAATCACAATGAACCGAGCGTACCAGGGCAGAGAATCCTTCTTAACACGATAAAAGGAACCCAGTAAGTTCGACACACCGTGTGTAGAGCCAAAAATCACCTTCAGAGGCCTAGGTTGAAACGGAGAGAAGATGCCCATCCTATATGATTGGACCACCATTGAATCCAGACCATACGAAGCCAAAATCGCATCCAAAAGGTGACGATCCGCTGCTCTTCTAGTAAACGGTGTCATGGCGGGATGGACGTCAGCTTCAGGCAGTCCCTCAATCACCAGGTGGTAATCGTTTCCGAGTTTCTTCGCGAGATCAACATCCTCGAAGAGTGGGGGCAGCTTCATTGTTCCAATTGGCGGAAGTGGGTGGTATGGGTGGCGCACAAGCTTCCTCATCAGCATATTTCTCGGGGCGCTACAGATCGGTAGATGTAGAAGTAGAGTTGCAGTATCTCGCAACAACCTCAAACTTGGGTAATTAAACCAACAACCTCAAACTTGGGTAAAAATTAAAATTTTGCAAAAACTTTTTTGTTTTGAATAATATTTGTATTGTTTCAGCTCGACAAAGATGGATAAACAAAAATTTAATTTTCAAAAAATTTTCAAAAACAAAACGAAAACCGAAAAATTGTTGAATACAAACAGCGGCCACGATTAAGTTATTGGCAATCAAAGCCTTATCAAACTAAAAACAGTTTCCTTTGCTAAGGGCAAAGGAAACTGTTTTTTTCTGTTTTTTCTTTGGCTTTCCAGTGTTGTTGAGTTTTTTATCTAAACCCGTTTACTGGTGTTTTCTACGATTGTTCCCACTTTCTCGCAACGAAATTTGAGCTCACTGATAAGGCCACTTGTTTGTCACCATTTTCTACTAAAGTATTCTTAGTTTTTTATTTTGTTTGTCAGTTCAAATGATCAAAGTTTCGAGAACGAATCCGTAGATAAAAGGCGTCTCTCAAAAGGTTCGATGGTCACAATTTCCACAAAATGTTACGGGTTCTTGCTGTGTGTTTGACGATTTCTTGGTCATTATGGTGAGTTCGAAGTTTTTGATTAAATGAAAAGTCGGTTTCCTGTTTTAGCATGACAGAAGAAGGAGCGCGTGCGGTTGGGGAATTGAACGAAAGTCTGCAGAAGGTACAAAATGTAAGTCCTAAACATAAAATAGTAAAATACTCTTTTGGGACTTTTGGAATACATCTATCCGCTTACATACAAAATCTCAAAAGCTTCCTACATCTTGAAAAACTTGATTTTAGTCTTGATCCAGTGAAAAAAGGTGAATCAGAAATTGTCAGAAATCAGAAACTAGCGTATTTATTCCAATAGAAACCCACCGGATTCAGGATGTGAACAAGGATGTGATCAAGAGTTGTACAAAGCTTTCACAAGGGAAACTTCTTCTCTATGAGGCACCGCAAACCGTTTATTTAATGGACTGTATAGCAGTGATATCAGCCTCGGTGGAAGACGCGACTCTCCCAAAACCGGAAGGCGGCTTCAAACATCTAAAATACCCATATTTCCGTGTGTGTCTCGACCAGGTGACGACGAGCATGACGAATAGCTTCCGCAATGCCCATTCTGCCATGGCAACCATCGAACAGTCGTTGATCGATTTGCCCAATGTGCTGATGACGGTGATAGAATATACAACACAGGTTTGCTTCTCCAAGATCATTTATTCTGGGTGCTTAAATAATTAGAATGTATTAATACAATAACTGTCAATTTTAGAATCCCAACTCTACAAGAATCAAAAAATACAACGAACAATTGACGAGAAGAATTAATAATTCGGCGAAAACATGTAGCGAAACGGCAAAGAACATTGCAACAGAGTTTCTCACTGTACTTCAGGAAATCGACGAGCTTAAACTGGCCACAACGGCAGCTAATGCACAAAATCGAAATCATTCGGGATGGCTGGAAAAAAAAAATAAAGCTCTGGAAGAGGAGAGGAAGGCTGCTGAAGAGAATTTCAAACTTGCTCAGAAACGTTACAAACAACTCTTGGAGGAAAAGAAAAAAGCTATCGAGAATTTTGAGGTAGTCTTAAGATTTCATATAGTCTTAGATGTTTTATTTTAAACGCTCAAAAACGTTAGCCAAATTGAATGATAACGGGCTATTTGTGTTCTAAATCTGAAAAGAATATTTGTTTTTTGAATGAAAATAGAAATTGTTCAGAAGCAATCGGACCGAGCCACTGACTTTGCAACTGTTGTGGCCACCTCATTTTTAAAAGTTGTCGGCGATGCCCCAAAAGATCTAGTGTCAATGAGCAAATCGCATCTGGATGAGGCGGCAGCCGCAGAGCAGAAACAGTTTCAAGAACTAATCGAGGGAAGGACTGCGCTCGGTGAATTGGTTGGCAAAATGGAATCGATGGATTTGGAGCACGTGGATTTGCATAAAGTGATCGAAGTATTGGGAGAAGCAATGGAATACTTGCAAAAGGTCAGAACGACACAATAATATAATAAGAAAAGACAAATTTCAATTATTAGTTTATTTGTTTTATTGGCTATATTTATTAGAGTGTGTTCCTTTAAAGAAATAGTACAAATTTCATTTCAAAAAACGTGCCAGTTCATACCCACCAAGCCAATAAATCTCAAAAGAATATTTGAAATAAGCTGAATATCTTAAAAAATTGATTCTGTAGTAAAATCCTGTAACCCATAAATAACGTTAGAGTTATTTTTGACGAGCCAAATGATTCTACAAAATGTCCAACGCAGGTTCGTCGACAATGGAACGATTTGGTTCAATTCTTTGACGACATAAGAAAGATTATTGATCAAAACATCATTGCGGACAATTTGAAGAACGTTCTTGAAAATATGGAGCTCTTGCGAGAGGTTTGTTGCAAAAGTTTCGATTTTAATCTTTATGATTTTTAGAAATAATTCAGTTTCTTAGTTCTAAATGGCCGCAATGATGTACATCATTTATCCAGTTTTTAGGATTCCCAAATCGATCTCGTAATTTTGGAGTCGACTCTACGTTTAGTTAGCTATTGCATTCAAGTGGGAAACTCGGCAAGACTGTACCAGATCGTTTCCGAGAAGCACATCACTTCTAAGCTTCGTTATGTTGCCGATCGTCTCACACTTGACAAGGTAAAAGCCAAGGTTTGTGAGCTTCAAGAAAAGCTTTCAATGTGGACTTTTTAGCAACGGAAAGCACAGTTCCAGGACAAATTCCTAGAGCTGACAAACAATGTGACAAAACTGGTGAACGATGAATCGGCAAAACTTGATAACGAATACAAAACAAAAATGAGCAGATACTTGTCGCAGCTAGAGCAGCACAACAACAGCCGACTCGTCGCTGCTGAAGCAGCACAACAACAACTTACTCAACTATCGACCAGGAACACTAGTTGCCAAAATTGTCTGGATTGACCTATTCATCATTCTCTCTTTCCTCCCGATTCGTTCTTAACTTTAATATTTTCATTTTTTTGATCAAAGTTTGTCTTTAACAATTGACTAATAAATTATAGAACTCGAAGAGAAGGCATTCTTATCAGGATTTCTAAATATATTGCGACTTTCTTCTCGATGAGCACTATACTGAAGATGTCTACCTGGCTGTTGTAAGTGAGAAAAGACAAATGTAAAATATTTGTTTGCAGATTAGTCATGCTGATCATTCCCTCATTGTGCTCATATGTTGAGCAATATGAAAATGTTGTGAGATCTCTAGAACTTCAACGAACTTTTCTTCTACAAAAGAGGGAATATCGAGAAAGCAGCTATTCATTTAAGGAGGTGAAATGCTTATCCAAACCTAAATAATTTTTCAGACAATTATACATTCAAGCTAAAAAGACTCTGAGTATTTCAGTTGCTTCTTGACTTGCGTGAAATGGTGGAAGCCGATGATTACGATACTCAAGTTTTGAAACAAATTGACGTTCTTGTGCCCCGTCTACAAGAAGAGAAAATCGAAGTGGAATCTTTTTTGAAAAAAATCGATGACCAACGATTGGCGATTTCAAATGAACGATCAGTTTTGGAACAACAGAAACGCGTTTTGGAGAACGATCTCACGGAGATCAGTAGAAAATTGCAAATGATCAATGAAGAGTACCACAGTCATTTGAGCCATCGAAGTCAGGTGAATATGAATCTTCATGAAGGCAACGTCTAACTTATCAGAGTATTTTAGTTGCAAAGCGACTTCGACTATGCAAAGGACCGAATTCATACAGCTGTGCGGCGAGCAAAACAGAGAGCACCGTCTTGGGGTTTGTGTTTGTTTTGTGTTTAAAACACAGATTCACTTTCAATGTAAATGCAAAGTAAAACACAAAAAGTACCGTAAATTAAATCGAAACTGTTTTTCCTATTTTGAACTATTGGGTTGTCCAGTTATGAATGCGCGTTTTTTACTATTTTGTAAATTTCTCAGGATACCGACATCAAGAAAAGATATTTATGAGTATTATTCGAAAGCTGAAGATCTCCTCTACATTTTGATATAAAAAGTTTTTGAATTTGTTCAGCTTTTGGGCCAATTGACTGCACACAAGAAGAGGTGGCCAAAAAATGGAAGGGTGCCTTTGGATCAAGTTTTGGCTCCGCTCAAATTGAGTTAACCGTTTGATGTTTGACCAATAGATATATCAATACAACTTTTTTAAAAATATAACAATTTCAGAGCATCTTTACTTTTCTTTTCTTTTCTGGGCGGTTATTTTACACCATAAAACTTGAGGAATAGCTAAGCTGGAATGGGTTTTTTCGAAAACGACCTCTCCCTTTGTGCAGTCAAATTCCCAAAAAGTTGAATGAATTCAAAAACTTTTTTATTCCAAAATGTAGGGGAGATCGTCAGCTTTCGAATGATATATAACACTCATATACATCTGTTCGATATCTTGAGAAATCTACCAAATATTGGGTTGATGGAAAAGTCCTTTCCGATTTTTTGGGAGAGTACCTTAAATTTGTCCAATTTTAACGTTTTATAGCTCATTCTAAAGCTGAATTCAAGACAATAGTAAAAACGCGCATTCATAACTGGACAACCCAATATTTTGAACTATTATGTTGTATTTAGCAAAATGGGCTTGGCCAATTGTTATTGGTGTTGATGAAATATCTGGGAAGGGAGATCTCACCGCGATGTCAATCAGACTTGGAACCATTGATATGAATCTTCATGAAGTGAGAGGTTAGGGCTTTATTCTTTGCATTTCAAATCTCTCCAATGTCACTCACTTTTTCTAAGCTCCTTTTAAAGGCATCGAAAAGACTCGAAAAGACTCGCAAAGACTTTTAAAGGCATTTTTAGCGACTGCTCGGAGAGTTGAGGAGAAACGTAAGGTCAAAGATGCTCACAAGCAGGAGTTGGACTCAAAGATTGAGACTCTTGACAAAAATATTCATACACTGCTGACTATTCATCGCCAGCTCAGTGACTGGAGTCATCATTTGAACCAATGGATTCGTTTTTTGATTGAACTCATTCCCCGTGGTACATTACTTCAAGAAAACGTTCTTTTTGGAAACGAAAAATTGATCAACAAAAGTCTCATCGCACTCAAAAACAGTTTAACCGAATCTGGTATGAGTGTTACCCTTGAGAAATTGATTCAATCGGTCGACAAGCATCTTGGACACAAACTTGTCAGCGCCAATTTCAAGCATTGTCTTGATGAGTGTCTTAATGGATGGTCATCATTCAGCTCTTCGTGTTATAAGGTTTTTTTTTTCGTAAAAGCACTTATTAATTGGTAATTGTTAAATGGTAATTTAAGGTTTTTGAAAGAAAACTAATTCACTCAGACGCCGAGAGTTATTGTCAACAAGAAGAAGCGCATTTAGTTTCAATTCACAACTTCGCCGAGAACTCTTTTGTTTTTCGACTCAGTATGTTTTATATAAGTTGGTAGTACATAGTTTCTTGGTAGTACATAGTAGAAAATTGTTCGGCGATTCTTTTTTTAGGCAAGGACACGGGTTCTTGGTGGACCTGGATTGGACTTCAGGTCAGTCTCTCTCAGAAAGGGGACTTTCAAGAATCAAAACTTTTGCAGAGGAATTCTGTCGATAGAGCACGCTTTGAGTGGACAGATGGGAGCTCGGTGCATTTCACACATTGGTCACCCAACGAACCGAATCAACTGCAGGAGACTGCCGTGGCTGTTCGTTTCGCTTTACAAAAAAAAAATTTTCTACTCGATAAACATCAAAAATAAAAACTTGAAAGATAAAAGCCTGTGAATAGAACCTAAAAGATTCCAGATGAATCTACGGCATCCGGATTTGTTGAAAAAGTGGAACGATTTACCTTCTGGGGACACCAGCCACACACCGATTGTCTTTGTCTGCAAAAAACCGCGTTCGCTTGTGTGTTCTTGAAGTTTCCTATGTATGAAATATGAAAATTTATGCCCATTATTACTAATGAATTTGTTTATTGTTTGCTACTCCCTTTAACATTTCTTAAAGTCGCTGGTTATTAAATGATTCTCTTCATTTCATTAATTGAAATAAAGTATGCTTATGGGAAGTGGGACAAATGCGACCTTTTTTTTTGCGCACCTTGCCCATTAGCGCACCTTTTTTCGCGTTTTAAATAAGCTCTAAAAGCTAATATTAACCAATTTCTATTCCAAATGTTGTTTTTCTAGTCAATTCAAAAAAGGTGCGCTAATGGGCAAGGTGCGGAAAAAAAGGTGCGCAAATGTCCGGGTGCGCAAAAAAAGGTAGCATTTGTCCCACTCCCATGCTTATGGGCTTGTGCCCATTTATACCCACAGCTTATATCGATTTGATTCAAACCATCAAATCAAATATAGCGAGAAATGAAATAATCAGCGAATATGAATGTACAAAATGAGATAACAAGCAAAAATGATACCTTCTAAACCGATTTTTCCGGCAGAAACTTCCAGCTGACGAGCATACGGGCTCAGGATTTGGTTTCTTTCAAGAAACATTTCACTGAGACATTCAAGGGACGAGGCACCAAACGGATCAAGCTCGACCTTAGATGTTTTGAATGGAAAAATAGTGATGAGACATTTGATTTTGTTGAGGAAATCTTCGAAACACGGGTCTCGAATTGCAAAGGAGATCTCATTGATTGTCCGTGTCAGTCAATTACCAATCATTTGCAAGTTAATCTCAAGCAGTCACTTTGATGTCATTCATTCTTCAACAGTCTGCATTGATGTCAAGGATGATGGATTTGAGTTATCGGAACTGGAAGTGGCCAATCGATGGATTATCACTTATGGAATTCCAGGCAAGAATCCAAGCTTGATTCTAAATTCTGAATGGTCATCGATTTCAAAAATCGATGGCCAGCTAGTCTTATTTGACTCGTCTATCAAGTAAACTGGATTTGAAACTTTGGATTCTTTCAAAATATCGTGGATTTGACTGCTATCAAAGATCAAGATCATGCTGCTAAACAAATGGTCGATAGTAGCTTTTCACTCTTTAAAAATCCTATTTTGGAAGATATCTTAACTTTTCCAGTGTTGCTCAGATCTTATGAAAAATCGATAATTGTATCTTAGAGAAGTTCAGTTAACTATGAAACGTTGGAGTCAAAGCCTTTGGTTGTACTGTGTTCCTATTGAATACAGCTTTCGAACAAGAGTTAACTCGTTAAGATTGGTTAAGTTTGAGACGATCTCCCAGCAAATCCGTCATTACTTATTAGCGAGCCTAATATTTAGGTTTGCAAGATGTAAAACAGTATCTATTGTGCAGAAATGATCGGTCTAGGATCTAGAACCAGGCCAGAGTTGAGCCAAAAAGCCAGAGCGGCATTGATCGCTGCGCTCTGGGCTTGAGCTAAAATCTGAAAACCCAAGCTGACTAAAGAATAAGCTGATCGATCTAGCTCAAGATCGATCTAGCTCAAGATCGATCTAGCTCAAGATCGATCTAGCTCAAGATCGATCTAGCTCAAGATCGATCTAGCTCAAGATCGATCTAGCTCAAGATCGATCTAGCTCAAGATCGATCTAGCTCAAGATCGATCTAGCTCAAGATCGATCTAGCTCAAGATCGATCTAGCTCAAGATCGATCTAGCTCAAGATCGATCTAGCTCAAGATCGATCTAGCTCAAGACCGATGTAGTAATAACCAGCTCAAGTTACTCATCACTGGAATTTGTCTTTTGAGTACTAAACAAAACTGTATCCTTTATAGATATTAGCGAGCCTAATAAATCAACGGTACTAAATGCTAAGTCAAAACTTTAAAATACCAGATTATGTATTCACAATCATTTGTTCAAGTAATTTCTGTATCCAATAGATTTTATTAAATAGTGAAATGTATATGTGGTCGATGGAAAGTCCACACAATCGCTTTTGTATTAGAGGCGAGGTGTTTTTGTGATCCTGTTTGAAGAGTTTCTCTCGGTTTGAGAAATTTCTTCACCGGCACTGGGATGCCGAAAAATCGATATATGACAATTCGATAGTGCTAAGATTTGTAAGAAATGATTTTCGATTGCAAAAACCTTTGTCACGAGTAGAATGATCGGGCAATTGAGAAGTGAATGGATACAGCTATGAAGGGGAGCAAGGCAGGTTATCTGAATGAACGAGGCTTCAGAAATTTTGTTTACAATTTGAATAGACTTATGAATTTGTCGCTATTTGTTAATATTTATTGAATAAAGATCAGTTTTTTCAATTTTGATTATTGTCATTGCTAATTTTGGCCAGCTTAGCTTAGCTTAGCTTGGCTTAGCTTGGCTCACAGGTTCTAGAGCTGGGTTGGAACATTTGATTTATATTTTTTTTGTACTAGAGCTGATTGAATTGACAAAACCGATGTCTATCTTTTGATTGATGATGAGACAAAACGGATGTCTATCTATCACAAGATTTTCTATATTCGACTTGTTGATCTAACTTCTAGTGGAAGAAGTGATGGAGCGCCGAACATCGTTGCGAGATAGAAAACGAATGGAAGTCCAGCAGTTAACGCAAAGAGAACGATCTGAAAACTCTTGTTACTAGTTTTTTTATGTAAAAATAACAAATAAAGATATTCAATGATCACCTGTAAAATCATCACGTGCCACATCTGTTTCCGTATTTGATTTGTTTGATTTGAGATGAGGATTTCGCCTGGAAAATGATTTTTAGCCGAATCTTTTTGGATAGAATTTAGTTTTCTACGATTTTCTCCATAGTTTCTATAGTTTGTGTTCTTTTAAATCAACAAGCATTTGCATTTTTTTCCCCCCAATTCCCACCCACCACTTTTCCACCTCTGAATCATCAACCGAATCGCATAGGCAAAGAAAAGTGTACCAGCAATGAGTTGGAAGATGAAAGCTCCGATGAAAAGACGCATACACGTCAATTTTAGAGAATAAATCAATGCGACAGGTGAATCCCATTGCTGTAAAGGCCACAAAGAGGTGTCAGAAGAAATCTGAAAACACAATATACACATTACAAAAGAGGGGAAAGAGATCAGATATCATTTTCTGATTTCAGAAATCAAAGGTTACAGCTAGAAAGTACGGCTTGATATCAAGAAAGGTTTTTGGTCTAGATTGATCTATTGCAAAGTGATATTTTTCACGTTGTTTATCTCGTAAAGTGATATTTTTCATGTTGTTTATTTCGAGCTTTAGTCAATGGCTGATTATTGTACGAGGCAATGGCTGAATGCAAGACTATATTGAAGAATAATATGATGATAAGCTTGGTTTAAACGTATAAAGCAAAACATAAGTATTAAGTGATTGATTGATTGATTGAATCAAGTTTTACCAAATCATTTGTGTAATCGAAAATCCCAGTAGCGTAGTTGATTGACAAGGCGAGAATTCCAAAAGGACCCAACGAATATGAGAAGGGATAGAGGAGTTTTGTGTATTTCAAAAGTGAAGCAGCCTGAAACATGAACTAGGTTTTTGATGGTTAAAGAGGTCAGAAGAGTTCTTTAAAATCTCAAAGTACAAGCCAGATTTTATAAACCTTTGCCGTCGACAACGAAATCCCGATTCGATAGTAATAAGTGATCGATATGGCCAAGATTATGTACAATACACTCACGAAATAGAGACACTAAAGAGGTTGAAGAGTTTCAGTTAAACAATTTTTTTTTGCCTATCAATGCAAGGATAAATCCATTTTTATAGAGCTCACTTTTGCTAGAATTTAACTCACAAAGAATATGTGCATCAGTATGGGAGATAACTTTAGTTTTGATATCGAGTAAAACCCGAGGTATGGCTCGATCATTACAGGTGAGAGAATTGATGCAGTGATGTCACAGAAGAGGCCGCTTAACTGAAAAGCAGAATTTAAAGTCGTCAAATGAGCGAAATCTTATTCACCACAGTGTTGACGAGAGCCCATTTATAAATGAACATGTGACGGGGAGAATATTTGATCACAATAAAACTCGTCAATAAACAAATCACTAAATAGATTTGTTTTTTGTTGAGATTTTCTTGAGAAAAGGTTTCAGCTCACTATCTGGGACTTACTTTTAAAGTAAAGTAAGTCCCAGTTCTGCCTCGCTTTGGAATAAAGAGATTCACTTGACAAGAATGAAAAATGAAAGTCTTTTTATTGTTAAAGCAGAACCTCCAGTTCGGCTAACATTAGGAAAATAGAAACTAGAAACTAGAAACTAGAAATTTGGACTTTAAACAGTCTGTGCCAGGCTTTAAACAATCTGTGCCAGGCTTTAAACAGTCTGTGCCAGGCTTTAAACAATCTGTGCCAGGCTTTAAACAGTCTGTGCCAGGCTTTAAACAGTCTGTGCCAGGCTTTAAACAATCTGTGCCAGGCTTTAAACAGTCTGTGCCAGTCTGACTATGAGTTGTATTTGAGCTTTTAAATTTTTGCTTTATTTTATTTTTTAAATCCAAGCTTCGTTAAATATACCCAAATCCAGACCACCGAAAACGAGATACAAAATCGAGCAAATCTCCGTAGCGTCAACTGATAAGTAAAGCATTGATTCAAATCTGAAAAGCTCACATTTAAGCTTAAGTTGAAATCGTGAGACATGAGACATTTAAATGGCAACAAAAACTTTCGCCTAACATCACTTCAATCAAAAAAAATCCCAAATTTTGAGTGCTTCCATTTTGAGCTCAACACATGGGTGTCTGAAAAAAACGCTATAAATTAAAATGTTTCCAAAAATAAAAGAACGAAGAATTCTGTTTTTAATTTCACAAATCGAAAAACCATCGCAAACTTTTGGGCTGAGATCTCACGCAAACTTTTCACCTGTCTCATTAAAAAGTTTTCACAGAAATTGATTAACTTTTTGATAAATGTGATAATGTGATTATTGTGTGTGAAGAATGTAGTTAAAATAATGGGATCAATATTTAAATTAAATCAATAGTTAAAATAATGGGATTAATATTTGAGAAGTTGATCGAAAGAAAGCGTTTTCTAAAAGAAAATGACCGTACTGCTAGTTTGCACTCGATCAGAATCTTTCTAAATCGCAAAAGCTACCGTAAATATTGTAATTGAAACTCATGGGTTATTGTTTTTTTTCCCTCCCCCTCTGGGGTGGGTTACTATTAGAGGGTGGGTTACTTTTTAAACCGCCACCCAAGTCACCAAATCAGGAGACTTCAAATCAGGTTATTTGTCTTGTTTTAAAGTTTTTTATGCGTTTTTTAGCAATGCTGGTTATTTTTATAGATACCTATACTTTTTATTCTATTTGCCAACTAGAGTAGGACGAAATTTTTATGTTTATAAGACTGAACAATTAAACTGAACAATCCCCCCCCCCCCACATACTTAAGAATTACCCCCCACTTTCAACTATAGACTTACCCCACCAAGAATTTCACCTTGGGGCGGTAATAGTCAAGTCGTGGGGGGATAATTGTTTAGTTTTCCCCTAAAATCTAAAACATTAATCGAACTAAACAAGATTTTTGTTTTAAAACGTCATCTCTAATTGTGCGTAAAGTGGTGTACTGAAGGGGGGTGGGTGGGTGGGTTATTAGAGCTATTAGAGGGTGGGCTACAATTACAGTATTTACGGTAGTTTAAACGTTTTTTCAAAATGTTACTTGATGGATTTTCTTTTTTTTCACCGTACTTTCGTCTTTATCGATTGATTCCAGATATTCAATCGATCTGCTCGTGGTCACAAGTCCAGCCAATTCACAGATAAAACCGCCAGAGGCCAGCGAAAATTCATTCTTCTCCGTCTGCTCTCGAACTTTCGGAAAGATGCCTTTAAACAATCAAATCAAAGCATCGAAATCGGGCAACGAGCTCTTCAAATCTGATACACGTGAGTGTTTTTTGGTTTCTTTCTGTGCTTAGTCTGTGCTTAGTTAGAATATGGATATGGTTTAAGTATTTCAGTATAGGATTAGTATTAGCGTTGAAAAAGCTAGGTTGCGTAGTGTGTTTACTTGCAGATGAGTTGGTTAAGATCTTTCTAGCTTTTCTCATGAGAAAAGAAAAGTTGAGCAAACTTTCAGAAAGCTTTTTTCTAATGAGTTATAACGGGGCAACTTGCCCAAAATTTTCAAACGAGAGATTTTAAATCGTGGCAGATTTGTTTGATTAGTTTGCTTTTATCATTTGCTACTTGCATCAGTGTAGGCAGTAGCTGCTCAGCACCAACTCAAGCTATAGTGGGCACAATATGTGTTTAGCATGCGACACTCATTTCATGGCTTAATGGACACTAAAATTTAAGATTTTCTTAAGTTCTCGAGATATTTAAAGGACTAAACAAATCTACTTTTTACTTTACCGATATCTTTTCTTTTTTCAGAATACACCTGCCAAATGCAGAAGATGTCTGAGTTGGTGTCAACAATCGATGTAAAGGATGACGACATTTCTGGAGGATCAATCGAATACGATGAATTCTCGGAGAATCGTCTCTTCATCTCAAACTTCCCTTTTGAATGGACTGAAAAGGAATTGCGCGAGTTTTTGAAAGAGTATGTGTAACAGTTTTTTGCTTTTTTAACATTTGATGTTTAGTTATGGACCGGTTGAATCGGTGGAAATTGTTTACAACGAGCGCGGAAGCAAGGGATTTGGATTTGCTACAATCAACGATGCGGAACGTTGTTTGAAAGCTCGACGGACGCTGAATCACACAATTGCTAATGGTAAGTTTTAATTGTAGAAGCTTGTTAGACTTGACTGGAATTTCTAGGATTAAACATGTTTAAAGACAATTTTAGTTTTTTGGGTCGTTATCGATTGATTAAATTTTTTTATCTTTAGGGCGTCGAGTTGAAGTTCGTCGTGCACACAAGCATAAGCGAGCCACCAACACTGGACCACCACCAGGACAAAAGCAAAACACAGCCGAAATGCTTCAACAGATCCAAAGTAGGCTTGCGCTTTGTTGCTTGTTCACTCACTAGTTTAGATCTGAATGCTTTGCTGATGGCTCAATTCCAACTTTCGCAGCTGCAACAACCCATGGCTCTTGCCCAGGCGGCGCTTGCTCAACCAGCAATTCTTACACTTCTTCAGAGTCAACTTGCTGGAAGTGAGCTTGCTGCTCAATGAATTTATGATTTCTGGTTTTAGATGCTCTTGCTGGCCTTGGTAACTCGTGTGCTGATCTCTCATCTTTCTCCAACCCTGCTCTTGTACCAACAATGGCTTCGCCCTCGTTTGTACAGCCTCAATCGCAAACCCAAACCCCTGTTGGAAGCGGACGAGAAGCGGTGAGAAATGTTAAAAGATAAGCACTTATTGGTTGTTTTAGTTCAAGGCTTCTATGCGTTCAAAGGTTGGTCGGGAGAACGTACAACAAGAAGCTCCAACATCGGTATTTGTTCTTAACGTATCGTTTTTAAAAGCGTTTAACTTTAGGGTGTGGATGGCTTTACACAGAACATTTGGGACTACTCACCACGGCAAAGAATTGAAGTCAACAGCACTCCTCGCACCTACAGGCTTTTCAACACTCCGAAGATTGGTCTGCGCCGTGCCTTTGGCAACGAGGTTTGGTTTTACAATTTGATTATGTATCAATTTCTTTTCTTACAGCCAATCGTTGCTTCGACGCAAACTATTGGGTATGATGATGAAGGACACATCGAGATTGGCCAAATTCCACTTTGTACATCGACTCCTTTCCATCAAGGGTTTCGTCATGAATTCCCACATGACCGCTCTTTTTCGGTAAGGATTTGGTTGCTCTGGGCACTTATTTTAATTTTTTAGATGCCGGATATGCACAAACTTGGCCACGAATAACTAATGCAAAACAATTTGATGGGCAAAGAATTTGACCTTATTATTGTTATTGGGACATGTCTTATACGCTCACATGTATATCCTTTCGTTTATCTAATATTTTTGTTTTAACCTTTACATTGCTTTGTTTTTGAGTCGTTCGACGACCATCTAAATTGTCACGTTTTCACGTTGTATATTGCAAAACTGTCCTAGCACCAACTGTTTAACTCAATTTTTTACTTTTTTATTTTGTTTGTTTGTGCAAAGCCGTTAGGTTTGATTATAGTTGTACGACTATTATGGGTGCTTTTTTTCTTTGCAGCAATAAAATTTATATTTTTAAAGAAGCTGGGTAAATGTAGTGGAAAATGAGTCGGAGATCGGTGATTTATAATTTACTAACAAAACTGGATAATAATGACAATGATTTTCGAGATAGATTTTTCCGAGTTTTTTATGACCTGGTGCGTGTGGTTGGCTCGAGTCTAAATGAGCGCTTTTTTTGTCTAACTGTGGCAGTTGAAGATTCTTTAGGGGCGAAACGCGACAAAACCGTTGACACCAAATGATTGGATGGATTTGGTGGAATTCCTTCTGTCAATGAGTGTCAATCATCGTGTGTTGTCTGAAAGAGCTCAAAAAAGACTGAAAGATGATAATTACCGCGAGGAAATCACCAATTGACTGTCCGTGGAATGAATCAAATAACGTACTGCGGAGAATTCACGAAAATGAAAGGCCAATAAGCAGTGCGCTTATGGCAATTTCATTCAATAACACGTTTATTTACGTTACTCAAATTTACGATTTTTATATGTAAAGTTTCATTTCTCTAAAGTCATAGAGAGAAAATTCTAAAAAGCGAGAAAATCTTTCTCATTTCCTCAGCTGTCTTTTGAAGATCTCCCTTTTGTGTCCCTTATTGAGACTCGAAATAAGAGGAATGGCAATAAAAACCATTCTACTGTTAAACTAATAGCATCGAGGCCCAAAATAAGAATTTTTCCCCCCAACATCTGGCTTGCTTCGTTCTCCCAAAACTCCCATTTCGATGCCTTTTTGTTTGTAATTTCAAAAACAATTTGCTAAAAAAATTTTGTTTTATGTTTTTGTCGATTTTCACATTTTCTATCTCTTCATCTTGTTTATGATTAGTCATTGTTTTTCCCTTTGAAACCAACCCTCCGTTGCTTCCACTTTTTTGAAAATCAATGAATTTTTCAAAAATTGCTTCTTTATGCTTCATCAGGTCAAGGTGGCCTTTTAGTACGAGAGCCATCAGGCCTTATATAATAGAATCGGCTTTGCTGATTCTGAATATGCTTTTACTTTTTCCAAAGGAGCTCTGTAACGCGAGATATCTAGCATCAAAGTTTAGGCAGATTTTCGGAGTCCTTATAAGCTTTTCTCTCTTTCTTAAGTGCTCAGCTGGTCGGGCAGTGGCTAGTGTGCTCGCCGCCAGAACGGTTGAAGGTTTTTTCTGCCCGGATTCGAGTTCGCTCTCAGTATATTCCTTTTGCTTTTTTTTGAGGAAACGATTAGAAAGTTTGAATTGAATTCGACTATTTTGTGGAATTCATTTCAATTCCATTCCGCGTATTGATTTCCACTACGTTTTGCATAAAGCAATCGTGAGCAATGTTTGCATTTATGTTCCTAAATCATTTCTAAAAATTCTTCAAAAAAACAAAGTCAAAATAAATAAATCCTGATGCCATAAACATTTTCTAATCATTCTCTCAAAAAAGCAAAAAGCATATACTGACGAGGGAACTACAACTACTTACCACCTCAGATCGACTCCAAAATTTACAGGGGGAAAGATCATCACAAAAGAAGAATTTTCTGAAATTTTTAGCTGCTAAATGCCAGAACTAACTGAAATATAAGGTTTCAAAGTTCAAAGTTCAAAGTAGCTTAAACTTAAACATTTTTGGGACTTGCACGGCACTCTTTAAAGGGAACTCTCACAGGCACTCTCACAGGTTAGCCGAGTGGCCGAGTGGTTAGGAGCGCGACCTGGTAATCCGAGTGTCGCTGGTTCGGCTCCACCCTAAAAGTTTTTCTTTTTTGCAAAACTGCATAATGTGCGTTCTATTTTTTTCGCTTTTCAAAGTTTATTCTGATTTTTTTACCATAAAAGGTCAGGATAACAAAACTTTATTTAAAACTAATAAACAGCAAACAATTCAACAACGGTGGAAAGATTCGACAAAATGAAGGAAGCAGAATATATTCAGACAATAAGCACAACGAATGTACGGCATATTATCGCAATTTATCTTATTACATGCACCAATCAAATCTCCTAGGCAGCAAAAAGTTGCTGGTGTCACATAATGAGGAAGTACATCATCAATATAATGAGCGCTTTTCCAGGCTTCGAGCATACATGGGACAAAACGTGGCGCCCGGAACTGGTGGTAGATCTGACTGATCATCTTCAGGATAGAATCGCGTTGGCTCACTTGGAAGTCGATTTTGGAGGCAATGACGTGTGCGGTCAACTTTTTCACAAACGACTTGAAGAGTCGGAAGAAATGAACATCCAACGGTTGAATCTGCGACGTCGCTCCAGGTGGAATGCGTTTCAAAATGAGCTCCTTGCCAGCTGGGACCGTTGCTTGAATAGAGGCTTGATCACGAAATGAAGTCCAGGAGTCGACGAGAAGCATCAGTTTAGATGGCATAGCTGGACAGCAGACGATATCCCGGAACCACTTGAGCATCAGCTCCTTGGTCATGATATGGGACTTGGCTGCCTCCACCATCAAGTTGTCGGTTTGAAAGATCCCTCGTTGTGGAAAACGACTATCTTTCTCCTGCATCGCGATAAAGAGTTTGTCACCGAGTCGTCCATCCGCGTAGATCAGGGGCATCATGGTAAACGAGTGAGATGTTGCCGACACACTTTGAACGACGCGGATGACTTTCTTCTCTCCATGGTAGGCTAGGGATCGAGATGAGTGCTGTTCTTTCAAAAAGCCTGATTGATCGGCATTGGCAAGACAGGAGCGTGGGACGACGTTTGCTTGAAGGTCGGCCCTCACATTATTCACAAAGTTGTTGGCCTCACCTTCTATGTCCGCCTTTGCCCGGAAGTTCTTGATCGATGTCCAGTTGGTAACGCGGCGGGAGACGATTCCAGCAATCCTCTTGAAGTTGTTGATCCATTGTGGTGATGCTTTGAACGTGGACACCAAAGAATAGTCTCTGTTCAAGTCGAGTCGGAGCAGAGCTATCAGAGTTGAGTCCAAATTCATCAACGAGCATCTTCAGCACTTTCGAGGCACGAAACATCTTGAAACGTTGAAAGATACCCACTGCCCAAGACGGAGATTTTATGTACAGGCAGTGTCCCAATTGAAGGGCGATTACGCAATCCGATAGAGAACGCACATTATGTGGTTTTGCAAAAAAATTTCTTTTTTCCCCTCAAAGTTTTGTTATCCTGACCTTTTATGGTAAAAAAAAATCAGAATAAACTTTGAAAAGCGAAAAAAAATAGAACGCACATTATGCAGTTTTGCAAAAAAGGAAAACTTTTAGGGTGGAGCCGAACCAGCGACACTCGGACTACCAGGTCGCGCTCCTAACCACTCGGCCACTCGGCTAACCTTTGAGAGTGCCTGTGAGAGTTCCCTTTAAAGAGTGCCGTGCAAGTCCCAAAAATGTTTAAGTTTAAGCTACTTTGAACTTTGAACTTTGAAACCTTATATTTCAGTTAGTTCTGGCATTTAGCAGCTAAAAATTTCAGAAAATTCTTCTTTTGTGATGATCTTTCCCCCCCTGTAATTTTGGAGTCGATCTGAGGTGGTAAGTAGTTGTAGTTCCCTCGTGAGAGCGAACTCGAACCCGGGCAGGCAAAACCTTGAGCCGTTCTGGCGACGAGCAGACCATCCACTGCGCCACCAGCTCTCTCCATAAGGAGGAGAAAAAAAAAGCTTATAAGGACTCCGAAAATCGGCCTAGACTTTGATGCTAGATATCTCGCGTTACAGAGCTCTTTTCGAAAAAGTAAAAGCATATTCAGAATCAGCATAGCCGATTCTATAAATCCACCTTAACCTGGTGCTTTTCCCTAGTGAGATGACACAACAAAAAGCGGCTGTTTAATTTGAAGCTGTTTAATTTCATGCTGTTTAATTTGAAGCTATTTAATTTGAAGCTGTTTAATTTGAAGTTGTTTAATTTGAAGTTGTTTAATTTGAAGCTATTTAATTTGAAGCTGTTTAATTTGAAGCTATTTAATTTGAAGCTGTTTAATTTTAAGGTGTTTAATTTCAAGCTATTTAATTTCAAGCTATTTAATTTCAAGCTGTAGACAAGTGACAAATAGTGAAAGTTCTAAATTCATAGAAAATTAACTTTTTCTAATATGTAAGACTTTTGATAACAAATAAGCTTGTTATAAGGGTTTGTCTTGAGTTAGAGTTAGCACTATGAGTTCTCTTGTTTGACTTTTAACAATCTGTTCCCGTCAAATACTTCTATTCAGAGCACTCAGCGACATCAGAGAGTCGATCAACATGCTGAAGTTCTTCAGAGAAAACATTTTCAAACAAAAAGGAATGACTACGAACATCCAGAAGATCCAAAAAACTAATTTGTTCTTGAAAAAAGTTGTATACAGTTAAAGCTTTTTCTCTAATTTTTTTAAAAATGCTTACAATCAGAATTTTTGTCTTGTAAAGCGTTATAGAGAAAATTTCATTTATTTTCGTTTATGAATTGATGATTTTCATGTTATAAAGTAGATTTAATTTTTTTAATTGTTTGATTGTTTCAAAAATAAACAAAATGTACTTCTTAATGAAGACTTGACTATCCATCATGACTATTTTAGGTCTTTAAACTTGAATGCCGAATATGCACAAACTTGGCCACGAGTAACCGATGCAAAACAAGTTGATGAGCAAAGAATTTGACCTTATTATTGTTGGAAGATACGCTCAAAATGCCTATCCTCTCGTTGATCTAATATTTTTGTTTTAACCTTTACATTGCTTGATTTTGTTTGATGATTTTGTTTTGATAATTCATAATTTACTAACAAAAACTGAGTCGTAATGACAATGATTTGATAGATTTTTCCGAATTGTTTATGCCCTGGTGGTGTAGTTGGCTCGAGTCTAAATTGAGTTCGAATTAGGCATTATAATTAGGCAGATAGTAGTTACCATAAATACTGTAATAGTACCCCACCCCCATAATGACGGTGCGGAGTGTTGCGTAGTCGAGCTTTGAACGAGTTTTTCTCGACACTAGTTTATGCTATAATGCGCGTTTAGGTATCAAAAAATAGCCCTGAATTTCAGCTATTTTTTGATACCAAAGACGCATTTTTTGAAAGTACGGGCGCTTTGAAAAAAATGAAATACTAAAAAACTTTTGCGACTACGCGACTGTACGAGGGAGTGGGGTACTATTACAGTATTTATGGTAGGTTGATGCCCTGGTGGTGTAGTTGGCTCGAGTCTAAATTGAGTTCGGGTATATAATTAGGCACATAGTAGTTAAGTGTTCTTTTTTGTCTCACTTTTCTATTTGAGATTGTTTCTTCAAAAGTGCGTCCTTTCGTTTCGGGTAGCTGAGAGTAGAGAATGAAAAATGCGAGAATCATCGTTGGGATGAACAAAATCCCATAGGTAATCGCGGCACCAAAAAACAATTTCATCGGGAGGAAAATCGCCAACAAAAGAGATCGTCTGAAAATAGATTCAAACTGGTCATTGCGGATTGTTGTTATTCTATATATTCTTTGCCTCAACCCACCCAGTAGCCATCATCAAATTGAACCACGTCATTGCCTGTGGCCGCACATTTGGAGCTACCAATTCGGCGGGTAAAAAGAACGATAGCGGAACAACGGTGGTGCAAGCTGTGACCGCGAAAATGGCCACGACAACAACGAGACTCCAACCGAGAATCATGTTCTGTAAATGAATCAATGAGCTTTATTGGGTGAGATCTTAGAAACTCCATCAAGTAGTCAGGTATTTAAGCCATAACCTTTGTTGTATCATATCCATACAACAGTGCGACAACAGCTGTATTCACAAGGATTAGTGCCAAAATTCCGAAGAGTTCCAATGGTCGGCGACCGAGTTTTTCCACCATGTATGATGAGAGGAAGATTCCAAACTAAACTTGTAATCGTTACAATAGATCACATTGTAAAATGAAGTAAAGGTAAACAGAAAACGAAGTAGGCAAGCCAACCAGTGGCATGGTGTTGATAAAAACGTTTGCACTTGTGGCAGCGAACATCGACAGACCGGTGTTCATCAAAATGTCAACGGCGAACGATTGGACAACTGAAAATGATTGATGGGAGTTGCTTTTTTTTTGGCTTCACCTGTAATTCCACTGAAAACATGCGCGAACATGACACATCCACCGACAAGTGTTCCCCAACGGGAAATCGGATTGGCAAAGATCTGAAGGATTTTTTGGGTAAAAAGATGAATATATTTAATATATACTAATTTATATTTAATATTTAATATATACTTTTTAAGCCCATTATCCAAAGTGCAAATACTCTTGAAAACTCGCCTCGAAAAGCCCGATAGCTCTCTGCTGGCCATCTTGCGGATGTCCCTTATCGGTGTTCAGTAAATGCTTTGCCTGAGTATTTATTAGTTATTCATAATCAGATCTATTAGATCAAAGATTTAGTTAATAAATAAATAAATTTAAAGCCTTATGATCAATACGTGAATGATTGATCAATACGTAAATGGTTGATCAATACGTGAATGATTGATCAATACGTAAATGGTTGATCAATACGTGAATAATGATCCAAGCACCTCATCTCTTGTCACTCCATGATAAAACTTGATGCTTCGCTCGGCCGCCAGAATCTTCTCCTCGTTTTGAAGGACTCTAAAATATGAGATTTATCAATAGCTATACAAATATAGATTTAAATTATATAAGAAATATATAAGAAATATAATTTTTTACACTGGACTCTCCGGGAAAAACAGTGAAACGAAGATGAGAGCGATGGTGAAGATCAACTCGGCCACATACAATTTCCACCAATCGTTTACGTTTCCCCAAATCTGAATTCGAATTTCTTGCTTGTATTCTTGTAAGCGTTAGATAGTTAGCTTCAAGTAGTTTAGTTATTCGTGAAAATTTACCACAGGCATCGCTAGAATAGCCGAAACGATGATGCCGAGTTGCCCGGCTAAAGCGGTTGACGTCGAGATGACTCCACGACATTTTGCCGGGCTGAAATTTTATTTTTATCAATTTTATTGTACCAGTGTTGGTCTTTAAAGCCTATAGTATTACAATTTGTTGATTAGATGTTATTAAATAAAAATCTCTCTCACCTACACTCCAAAATATACATCGGTCCGACTCCTAAAGAGATCGCTTGAAAGATTCCCAGAAAAAATCGGGAAATCGCATAGAGAATAAAATCATTTAACTAAAAACCTTTGTCTTAACTTTGTCTTTAATCTTTCTTCATTTACAAAGTAAGCCATTATGCCAAGAGCAATGCCGAAAGCTTGCCCACAATTCGCCATTGTTAACGCGTGTTTACGACCGAATTTCGAGATTGATTTCTGAAATTTTCGAAATTCGAGATTGATTTGTCGTAGTCGATGATGAATTTCAGCCGATTATGAATTGTGAGTTTAGGTTAAAAATTGCCGGCGCTACAACGTTTCATTCAAAATCGGCTGGATCCCCGTAGCCGATTATGAATGAGTGGGTCTAGGAGCGCCCAACCATCAAGTATTTAATATCATTCAACGCAGGATCATTAATAATTATGTTAGATTTTTGAAATTAGAAAGATTGGATAGAAAGAAAAAAAATTAGAGCAAAAAATTAGAGCACTTCAAAGTTTCCTCTTGAACAAACAGTTTTTTTGCTCTAATTTTTTTTCTTTTTATCCAATCTTTCTAATTCCAAAAATCTAACATAATTATTAATGATCCTGCGTTGAATGATATTAAATACTTGATGATTTGACGCGCCTAGACCCACTCATTCATAATCGGCTGAAATCCATAATCGGCTACGGGGATCCAGCCGATTTTGAATGAAACGTTGTAGCAATTTTTAACCTAAACTCACAATTTTGGTACTAATCGACGCAGAATTTAATTAGCTACAAGATGATATAATATTTTCCTCATACATTAAAGGGTTACTCTACTAGAAAGATTTGCCAAATCGGCTACGACATATATATTATAAAGAAAGATCTAAAAAAGCTTTCACCTCAATAAGTAATGATCCGAGAATCGTTCCCCAATAAAGAATTGAAACGATTGGTGACCACATTGTCTGAAGTTTTTCGATGCTTTAATGGGAAAAGTTTACAAAGAACATAATAGTTTACAAAGATTTGCTGTTTGTTGATGATTGAAGACTTACCTCCAATTCAGTTAACTCTAAATAACGTTCATTTTTCTGATAGTACGAGCCATTGACAAAATTGAGGAAAGCCTGTTGAGCCGGATTGGTTAAAATCATTTGAAAGCAGTAATTGCCTAGATTTCTGTATTGTTGCACAATTTTTGCGTTTACCTGATCCACCAAGTGATATGACCATCGCCGAGAATAAAAGCTTCGTGGATGGCCATGAGGAATCGCTGAGAGAAAGTTTATAAAGAGAAAAGTTAATGGTTTCATTTTTTCTGTACTTTTCGAAAGGAGAAACCCACCTACTCCTTGAGCAAATTCTCATTTGTTATCTCAGGAAAGTGACTAATTCAGTGAAGGGATGTGTTTACAATTCGAAAGACATGGCTAGGAGGCTGGGCCAGAGCCTGAGCCAGAGCTCGAGCCAGAACTCGAGCCAAAGCCTGAGCCAAAGCCAAAGCCAGAGCTCGAGTCAGAGCCAGAGCCAGAGCCTGAGCCAGAGCCAGAGTCAGAGCCAGAGTCAGAGCCAGAGCCAAAGCCAAAGCCAGAGCCTGAGCCAAAGCCTGAGTCAGAGCCAGAGCCAAAGCCAAAGCCAGAGCCAGAGCCTGAGCCAAAGCCTGAGTCAGAGCCAGAGCCAAAGCCAAAGCCAGAGCCAGAGCCTGAGCCAAAGCCTGAGCCAAAGCCAAAGCCAGAGCTCGAGTCAGAGCCAGAGCCAGAGCCTGAGCCTGAGTCTGAGCCTGAACCAGAGTCCGAACCTGAGCCAGAGCCAGAGCCAGAGCCAGAGCCAGAGCCATAGCCAGAGCCTGAGCCTGAGCCAGAGCCTGAGCTTAAGCTTCAAAGATTTACTACTACAATACTTTGGGAGCTTGGTATCTTGTTAAAGCTTGGCTAGCTTAATATTTTTGTTTTAAAAGATTAAATTAAAAACTCACTCTAGTGTCATTTTTGAAGATTTCGGTAGTTTGCTTTAAAATTTCAAAGTCTTTGAGAAATAAAATGAGTGTGTAGATGAAAAAAGTGAACTGAAAAAGATGAAAGTGTTGATATAAATCTCGAGGAAAAGCCGAAAGAGAAGGAATAAAAATAAATAGAAAGGAAAAGAAAATGAATCAACAAAAAGGTGAATCTAGATGACTGACACAACAAAAAAGAGGGGAAAAATGAAAAATATGAAAGAAAAAGGCTGTGATAAGCTCTTTAAAAGTCGATCTTGTTTACAATAAACACTGGCTACCGAATGCGATCATTTGTTTTTGCGATCAAGCATTTGTTTCAAGTAGGGGCGAATGTCTAGCCAAAGGGGGGTTCCCTAAAAAAGGAAAACAAATAGAAAAGATACCTAGGTACAATCATAAGATGTTTGTGAATTTGCGAACAAACTCCATAAAGAAAATAAAGGAAAATATTATTCAGTAAATTTTTGAGTACTATCCAATTGAGTTAAAAAGAAAAAAAGCTCAAATTCAAATCTTGATAGTTTACCAGTTAACAGTTAAGGTTTAATTTATCGACTCAACTCTATTCTAAACAATTCTCATTTATTTTATAACACAATTGTGTAAACTTGTGAATTTGTGAATTATAGTGACAACTTTTCGGAAAAGTATCTGGGAAATTTAAAAAAAAAAAAATATTTAAAAAAAATACCGACTGGGGCTACCAGTGGTGAATTTATCGCATACACGAAATATATCAATCACAATACAACGACACACACAATACTAGGCTATATCTTAACTTAACCCACGTCATGACAGACGGCTCCCTAACCCTAAGCTCAATGGGGAACTAAATAGCTTTTTTGGTGGTGAAGGGAAGATGACGATGAAGGAGTGGCTTGTCACTTTAAAGAACTGGGGCCACAACCACCAGACTGCCCTCCAGAAAACCTCTCAACCCGAAGGGAAAGGAAATCCGAAGGGGGTGACCATGTCGCATGTGGGGTTCGAACCCTCGACCTTCCGATTAAGATAAAGACACTTAACCAGTCAGCCACACGTGCTTAATGCAAATGTTCAAGAATATTCAAGAATATTCAAGAATTCAAGAATATTCAAGAATATTCAATTCAAGATATATTCAAGATTCAAGATCATAGCCACTCTGTGATCCGTATCGTCCATCTGTCGTCTGTTCTTCTGGCTACGTGGCCGGCCCATCTGAGTCTTTTTCTCTCAATCACTTCCACTGGATCTCTGAGTCCCGAGAGCTGGCGCATATCCGTACTTCTTAGGTCTTGGTCGAGCTGCGTCTTCCTATTGTACCCGAGGAGGTTCCTTTCAAGGGCTTCTCATTTATTTCATAACACAATTGTGTAAACTTGTGAATTATAGTGACAACTTTTTGGAAAAGTAGCTGGGAAATGTTTAAGAATATTCAAGAATTCAATTCAAGCCAAGTCAAGAATCAAGAATATTTAAGAATTTCAAGCTCTTATTAAATGAGTTATATAAGTTTGATGAAGAAGCTTTTGATAGATAAATATTGCCGAGAATTAAGGCTACAATTCTTTACATTACATTTGTCACTTCTAAAATAAGTTAAGCATTTGTTTCTTTTCCAAAAAGTCTTCTCTATAATTTACTTGAATCCTTGAATATTCTTGAATATTCTTGAACATTTACTTACTAATTTTCCAAAAAGTTGTCACTATAATTCACAAGTTGACACAATTGTGCTATAAAATAAATGAGAATTGTTCAGAATGGAGAATGTAAGTGAATCGTGAAGAATAAGAATAATCTCAATAAGAAATAAATAATAAATAAAAACTCAATAAGAATTATCAGGAAAAACTTTTGAATGAAAAAAATGATGAAAAAAAAAGTCACAAATGGCATAGTGCCTTTTCTCTTTTGTTCTTTCAAATGCCAAGTGTAATCCAGGTTTCTTTCTAGCAAAATCCAGCAAACAAAAGAAAAGAAATGAGCACGAACTTGACTCTTATCCACGAGCGGACTAGAGTGCGTTAGAGAGACACTTGCTTTAGACACTTGCTTTAGAAAACGACTGTAATCAAGCTGGCTGAATGAAAAATGGAGATATGATTGCGGTACTTTTAATATGTGCTTTTTAAGTAAACTCTTCAATTGAGAGAAACGCATTTCAGTTGACTCATTTGACTTTTCAGTTCACAGCTGACTCATTTGCTGGATTGTTTCAAAACAACCAAAGCTTTACTAACAAGATTGCATAAATTTATAAACGATTGGGTTTGTGAATTAAAAACCGCGGGACTTTGAGCTAAAATTTATTGAACATAAAACCATAAATTCATTCCAAATATTTTCCTTTATTATTGACGACTTCTGCCCATTTTACAGGCAATTTGCGGATTCCTCTTTCGTGGTAGGATTTTGGTTTTGAATCGAAAAACTCAAAGCCAATTTCTGACTGCTTCTTCCGAGTCAAAGTGTTCTCCCGCAAGCGCATTACTCATGGTCCGGAATAAATAGTAATCAGAAGGGGCAAGGTCCAGGGTGTATGGGGATGTGCCAAAAGTTCCCAACCAAGGCTATTTATTTTAGAGCGAGTCAGTCAGCGTTCTGAAAATTTGGATATAAGCTTGATTTTTGATTCTCTACAACTTTTCTATTGACACCAAAATGGGTTTCTTTTGAAGAAAGTGCTCAAACTGGGACATTCCTCCATTTTTGAGTCTCCAGTCCTCCATTTTTGATTCTCACACTTGTCTCACACACAAACCAAACTCCTACCCCAAAACCTCAAAGATCGTTCTCCTCCACGACAACGCGCGCCCTCATGTTACAAAACTGACTCGCTCTAAAATAAATAGCCTTGGTTGGGAACTTTTGGCACATCCCCATACACCCTGGACCTTGCCCCTTCTGATTACTATTTATTCCGGACCATGAGTAATGCGCTTGCGGGAGAACACTTTGACTCGGAAGAAGCAGTCAAAAATTGGCTCGAGAAGTTTTTCGATTCAAAACCAAAATCCTACCACGAAAGAGGAATCCGCAAATTGCCTGTAAAATGGGCAGAAGTCGTCAATAATAAAGTCAATAAAGTCATTTTTTTTTTGTGTTGTTTTGACTTGGAAAAGGGCTATCAATTCTCAGCCGATCCTTGGCTATCTGATGTAATAAGGTACATTTGCTCTTTGAGTGTATTTTAAAGTTCGATAAGGAAAGTAGAGAAACGCATGCTTTTTGGTGCATTAAATTGCAACTGTTATCGAAAAAAGGTTTTTTGAAAATGGCGCAATCACAAAGCCAATCTCAACAGGAAAAACAATCAAAAAAAAAAACAACAAAATGGCTATAGCCAAACATTTGCTTTCAAGGAGTCAGTCAAAGAGTCAGATTTTTTTCGAAAATAATAATAATAATAATAATACTTTATTCAAACGATAAAGTGAAAGAAATCATAGAGAAATGCACAGTGATACTTAATCATACAATACATACTGAAATCAATAAGCCAATTACTTACGGCAAAGAGCCACTAGATCTAAAGCATCGATACGTTTCTTGAATATGAAAAGCGACTGAATTTCTCGTATGTCGTTTGGGAGCAAGTTCCATAATCTAGTGGCTCTAACGGGAAATGAATTTGATAAAGAGGCATTGGAAGCAAAGGGAATTTGCAAAAGGAATGAGCCACTTCTGGGCCCTGACCGCGGTTTAAATTTGAAAAAGTCTATAAACAAAGGGCTAATCTGTTTACTACGGAGGATTTTGAAAGTTTCGACTAAATCAATGACAAAGCGACGATGCTGTAAAGTTTTTAGTTCAAAAAAAGCAAGTCTCTCCTCATAAGTAAAGCTAGAATATTTAGAATAGTCAATTTTCCATAAAGAAAAGAAAACTAATTGATATGGCTTAAAATTGGAATCTCTTGAAATTGGAAAGAAAAAAAAGTGAAAGATATCAACCAAAAATGAAAAATATGAACCAATTTTTAAAAAGTAAAAAACCTTTTCAAAGATATCGATTTTTAAGAACAAAAAATTAGAAAAAAAAGAATTTTTTCGCTCGATTTTATGAATCCTCAAAAACTCAACAATTCTCCGTTTTTGATTTGAATGCAAAAACGTTAATCCGCTTTTTGGAGCTCTTTTTTTTATTTAAATAATAAAAAAAAACGGAAAGATTGAAAGTATTTTAAAAGGATTTTATTGAAATTGAAAGTACAAAGGATTTTAAAATGATAAAAATATTCGAAAAATTGAAAACTAAAGTTTTTTTGAATAATTACGAACTCTCTAGACACAAAAAAAAACTTTGTCTTTTTCTTATCTCATTTCAATGACTCAAAAAATTGCTTATAGTGCCGTTCTTTGTTTAATTAAAAAGCAAAGAAGAAAAAAGAAAAAAGCAAAAAGAAAAAAAGAAAAAAGAAAAAAGAAACAATTTCTTTGAAAAAACAATGAGTTGTCAAAGAAAGCTTTGCAAAATGGAATTTTTTATTCTTTTTTTGTTGTTTTTGTGTTGCTTTTCTATTTTTCTATGTTTTTAGATAAACATTTGAAATATGGAATGTTTATTTCCCTTTGAATCATTCAGAAATTTTGGCAAGCTTTGAATTATGTTTACGAAAAATACTTTCCCGGATCTAAATGCTCGATTTTCACATCTTTTCCCACCATCATTTCTGAGCATTTTCATTTTCACATCTTTTCCCACCACGCCAATTTCTGACCAAATACAATAGAGAATTCCCTTTTTCATTTGTGCTTAGAGTTTAGATTTTAGGGGGATCTATTAGATTCTTTTCAGAAACCCTAAAGCAACTGTATTGCTTACGATGGAATTTTTGATTGTTTTTTGTTGTTTTTTGTTGTTTTTGTGTTGTTTTTGTGTTGTTTTTTTGTTGTTTTTTGTTGTTTTTTTGTTGTTTTTGTGTTGTTTTTTGTTGTTTTTTGTTGTTTTTGTGTTGTTTTGTGTTGTTTTTCTTATGTTTTCTTATGTTTTTCTATGTTTTTCGTTAAAAATTCGAAATATGGAATGTTTATTTCCCTTTAAATCATCCAGAAATATGGCAAGCTTTGAATTATGTTTACGAAAAATACTTTCCCGGATCTAAATGCTCGATTTTCACATCTTTTCCCACCATCACCGCATCGCGAGCCAATTTCTGAGCAAATACAATAGAGAATTCCCTTTTTCATTTGTGCTTAGAGTTTAGATTTTAGGGGAATTTATTAGATTCTTCTCAGAAACCCTAAAGCAACTGTATTGCTTGCGATGGATAGAGAAAAGTTGACAGAAGCTCATTCAGTTTCCACTTCTTGGATGGTTTTAGCATACGATACAGTATCCAGTAGAGATGGGAAAATTCCAAGCCCAACCTAATTCCACCTTTTTCTTGATCGTTTCTTAGCCGATTCCTCTGAAATCTTGTCTACTAGCTGAAAATGTTGATTTCTCTTTGTAGACGAAATTTCAGAGCTAAGAAACAGCCAAGAAAACGAAGATGGAATTAGGTTCGGATTGAAATTTTTCTATTTCTAGTACCCAGTAGTGTACAAAGAACAGTATAAGTGTACTGTACAGTACAATACGCTACTAGAAATTGAGGGACCATGAAGACTACGCTGTGTAAAAATGAAAATTGAGCGGAATGGAATTGCTAATTATCCGAGCCTTTGTTTTATGTGAGTTTTCTTTTAAAACATAGTCCTTCAATTGAGCTACACGATGGTATAAGAAACTTTTCAAAAAACTATTGTTTAGTACAAGAAAAATGATCACAAATTGTCTCAGCGACTTTTCCAAAATTGGTGCGTTACAGTAATCAATCGTTCTCTATCCATCTAACGAAGCAAACCAATCAAGTGTTCTCTATCCATCTAACCGATCAAAATAATCAATCGTCCTCTAGCCATCTAACGAATAAATCTAATCAATCGTTTTCTATCGATCTAGCCAATCAATCTAATCAATAGTTCTCTATCCATCTAACCAATCAATCTAATCAATCAAATCAATCATTCTCTATCCATCTAACCAATCAATCTAATCAATCAAATCAATAGTTCTCTATCCATCTAACCAATCAATCAAATCAATCAAATCAATCGTTCTCTATCCATCTAACCAATCAATCAAATCAATCAAATCAATCGTTCTCTATCCATATAGTGTGTTCATCTCAAGTGACTTTCTATAGCGTACCCTTAAAAGCTAAAATCTCAGATATTCATTTAACAAAATGAATATCTTGAGATTTCGGCTTTAAAGAGCGTGTTATAGAAAGGCATTATTTGAGAGGAATAGACTCTAATAAAAAATGCTTTAAAAAGTGCTAGAATCCGGGTTTAGCCATAGCTTATATTAAATTTGATCGTAAAATTGAAAGCCCAAATTTTTGCCTACCTTAGCCGCTCGAACTTGATCACTCCAATCAATCTCTCCAATCTGAACGACAGCGCGCATGAAAAGCGCTAAAGCTTTGTGAGAATTCTCGGCAAAAGTCTCCATCACACTCTCCATTGTCACCTAGATAAGAAACTTTCAATTTTTCTTATTCCAATCTCCTCACATGATCTCCATCTTTCCAACAATCGTAATCAGTCACTAAGGTCACGTTTGCATACGGAATTCCGAGCTCTTTCGCCAATAAACCCTGAAAAGTTGAAAAGTTGAAAAATACATAATATAGATAATATATATTAATCAAATAATGGAAATTGTTGTTTTTAAAAATAAATCCGAGCAATTCACAGTCAAACCTCAGGAACTAAAGTCATCGAGACCAAAGTGGCATCCCAACTTTTGAAAACAAGCGATTCAGCTCTGAAATTCGGTAAAAAACATTCTTAGCTAGCTTATAACCAGCTTATATAGCTTACCAAACATAGCTTATAACCTTGGCTTTTATTACACATTAGAAATGATTTTGATGCTGGAAATAAATCTATTTATTTGGCTTTTTTTTCAGTCGTACTCTCTTTCGATGAAAAAATGTTTAAAGTAAAAATGAGACTAAAGTGCTTTACAGTCGAGTTGGTAAGTTTTGTTGGTTATTGATTGAAAAAAAAAGAAATCGAATTAACAAATCTTAAAAGCTAAAATTAAAAGCCCTTAAAAGCTAAAATCTCAGATATTCAGTTAACAAAATAGATAATATAGATAATATCTTGAGATTTCGGCTTTAAAGAGCGTATTATATTGGGTTGGGAAGAATGAGTCGGCGCCGAAAATCAAAGAAATTTCTAAAACTTATAGGAGACTTTGTCAAATGATATGCGTTTGATATCCGTAGAAGGGTAACTAATTCTCTACAAAATAATATTTAAAAGAGTACTCAAACAGCGCCTCAACTCAACAAAGGATCATTTTTTCACAAAATCGATAAACTGTCATCTAGAGTAAACGGTTGGAGGGATCTTCCTGAAAATTTGGTAACTTATGTAATTGAGTGTGCTCTATCTTTTTTATATAAACACCAAAGGAGGTTTATGTGGAAGAAACTGTTCAAGCAATGAGTCGCACTTTTTGTCATTTTGATTAGCTGTGTTTGGGAATCCATAAAATCCCAAAAAAGAAAAGCTTTGTGGAATCTCTCAAAAGCCATTTTGTAAAGAAATAGTCGACCATTTTGATGAAAAAAAACGTGTATTTAAAGAAGGTTTTATGGGTGCAAAAAGTTTCTTTCAATTTCGGCGCCGACTCATTCTCCCCAACCCAATAGAAAAGCATTACTTGAGAGGAATAGACTCTAATAAAAAAAAAGCTTTAAAAAGTGCTAGAATCCGGGTTTAGCCATAGCTTATATTAAATTTGATCGTAAAATTGAAAGTCCAAAATATTTGGCTTTTTTTGAGTCCTGCTTTCTTTCGATGAAAAAATGTTTAAAGTAAAAATGAGACTAAAGTGCTTACAGTCGAAGTTTTGTTTTGTAGTTGGTAAGTTTTGTTGGTTTGGTCTAAGATTGAACAAAAGAAATCGAATTAACAAATCTTTGTTTAAGTATAAACAAAAAATCGGATTTGATTTTTCGTAATTTTTGGTTAAATCTATCTATTGTCTCTATATTAAATCTATCGATTTTTAGCTCATTTCTCCAGCTGTCTTTTGAAGATCTCCCCTTTTGTGTCCCTTTTTGAGACTCGAAATAAGAGGAATGGCAATAAAAACCATTCTACTGTTAAACTAATAGCATCGAGGCCCAAAATAAGAATTTCCCCCCCCCAACATCTGGCTTGCTTCGTTCTCCCAAAACTCCCATTTCGATGCCTTTTTGTTTGTAATTTCAAAAACAATTTGCTAAAAAAAATTTTGTTTTATGTTTTTGTCGATTTTCACATTTTCTATCTCTTCATCTTGTTTATGATTAGTCATTGTTTTTCCCTTTGAAACCAACCCTCCGTTGCCATCACTTTTTTTTTGAAAATCAATTAATTTTTCAAAAATTTCAAAAATTTCAAAAATTTCAAAAATTGCTTCTTTATGCTTCACCAGGTCAAGGTGGCCTTTTAGTACGAGAGCCATCGGGCTTTATATAATAGAATCGGCTTTGCTGATTCTGAATATGCTTTTTTACTTTTTCCAATTCCAAAGAGTACGACTGAAAAAAAAAAGCCAAATAAATAGAGTTAAGTAAAAATGAGACTAAAGTGCTTTACAGTCGAGTTGGTAATTTTTGTTGGTTATAGATTGAAAAAAAAGAAATCGAATTAACAAATCTTTGTTTGAAGTATGAACAAAAAATCGGATTTGATTTTTAGCAATTTTTGGTTAAATCTATCTATTTTCTCACTTTGTCGAATATCGTGGTCCCTCGATGCAAACGCCAAAACCGCGATCATGATATGTGTAGCCAAGATCGCGAGCACAACCGATCAACAACTGCAATCATAATGAAACATTTCCCAAATCTTCAACCAAATCTTTTCCCTTCTTACTTGTCTCAATTTCTCATCGTAAACAGGATCTGATGGTAGATGAATGACTCCTTTTGGATGTCCTTCCTCTCCATCAAAAAACGTTTGAATACGTCGATGGGTTCTGGAAAGTTCAAGTTTTTGGAATGATGATGGTCGTAGTTTTTGAGATTTGTACTTGCAATTCTGAAAATCAGTTAGATATGTCGGTTGAGACAAAAAAAAGACGTCGCCGGGAATCGAACCCTCGACCTCTCGCTTAACGTCGCTTGAAAGCTTTACCAATGAGCTACACAGGACCTTCCGAACGGCCGTCCAAATAGCTTTATCCCTTACTAATCCTTGAAAAAGTTCTGATATTGAAAAGTGACCGATCAAAAATCGAATTCGGAAAGACGAGATGTCCTGGAGCTACTTCTTCTTTCAGTGAACCGCACGCTGTTGAGGCGATGATCACTGTGACATCTGAAAAATTGTGAATAAAACGATTCAAAGTTTAGAGTTTAGTAATGTCTTATTGAAATGAATCGTTTTACTGGATTCTTTCTTTCAATGACTCACTCAATTCCATCAATGCCCAAAGATTCGCTCGATAATTTACATTCGTTGGCATAATATCATGATTTCGACCGTGTCGAGAGATCAACACACAAGGGACACCGCCAATTTCACCTAAATTTCACCTAAATTCTCTCTCCTAAACTAATGGAAATGTTCAAATAATATACAAATAATATCGAAATCTTAAAACAAACAAATAGGTGAATACCTTCAATGAGTACATCACTTGGTTTCCCGAATGGTGTCTCCATTTCGATCTGACGAGCATTTTCAAGAATTTGCGGGTCTTCAAGTCCCGATCCGCCGATAATTCCAACCTTAAAATGAAAAGATTTTTAAGCTTTTGAAAAGCTGAAAAAAAGATGTTAATTTAAATGTTCACCTTGGTTTTCATCGTTCGCAGATAGCTCGTATCGAATAAAAAAGTGGAAAGAAGATAAGTAAACTAGTAAACTGAAATCTTTTGAATATAGAAATTTATCACAAAAAAATCAAGAACGACTTTTGAAAATGATTTGATTTCTAAATGATCAATCGTTATTTATTTAGTGAGTAAAAGAGGTGTGAGAAAAAGGTTTGGATGAAGCAGGAAATGAAAATAAATAAGAGTTTAAGAATAGCGAAGAATCGGAAACTCGATATTTACATCAATTTATTTGAAAATAAAATGGAAAATGATTTGGGGGGAAAGTGAAGAATTTTTCCATTAGAAATGAATCGAATAAATCGGTTTATAACGTATAGAGGATGAAATCAGCTTTTCAGCTCACTTTCAACCTTGGGTATTTCAGGTAGTTTCGATTTAACAGGCTGTGGAGAACTAAACAAATTTAAGGGCAAAAGATTTACCAGAAATTTGCGGAGTCACCGGAAAACACAAAGTCGGCTCAGTCGGCTGATCACTCTGGAGTCAAAAAACGAACTTTTCATTTAGGGAAGCCGAAAGGAAATCCCTTACGCCAGAGCCCTATGCCAGATGGAGAGTGATTACGCGGCCGCACAAAGAACAGCTTGAGCTCTTTTACAGAGATTTGCTCTTGTTTTTAGATGATATAAAAATGATATTTAGCTGTTAAATTTGTACCTGGGGGTTTTCGGGGTCGGGGAATCGATTGAAGATATTCATTTTATTAAGTTACCAATTGAAATTCGGGTTTAATCGATCAAAACTTTTAGTTGAAACTTATTAGCGTTTCTTGGAAAGAAGAAGAGAAATTATGGGGGTGGGACAAATGCGACCTTTTTTTGCGCACCTGGACATTTGCGCACCTTTTTTTTGCTGGAAAAGGCCTTAGGCAAGGCCGTAGAGCTTCGAAAATATTTCGAAAATACTTCCATATAAGGGAATCGTATGCGTAGATTCCGAATTTCGACAAATCAGACCTCGCTGACACGTCAAATTTGGGCTAAAGGGCAAAAAATGCGGAAAAGCGTTAAGTTGCGTAGTTTTTGCCTTTTAGTCCAAATTTGACGTGTCAGCGAAATCTGATTTGTCGAAATTCGGAATCTACGCATACGATTCCCTTCTATGAAAACATTTTTGAAGCTCTACGACCTTTCCTAAGGCCTTTTCTAGCAAAAAAAAAAAGGTGCGCAAATGTCCAGGTGCGCAAAAAAAAGGTCGCATTTGTCCCACTCCCGAAATTATTGATAATTATTGATATTTCTACAGAAAACTATCAAAAATTATATTTCTAATTGCGAATAATTTGATTTTATTGAGAATTTTGTCAAAAAAGATTGTTAGTTTGTGGAAAAGATTTGTCTTGTAATCGTTTGGGAGAAAGGGGGGAATTGATAAGAGAAAGATTGATCATTGATCATTCAATTCAAAGAAAATCTCAAGAAAAAGTGAAAAAGCTCATCAAAAAAACCATAATTCTATAGAAAACAGATATTATTTGCTAAATTATTTGCTAAAATTTATCTATTAAATATCTATTTAGCAAAAATATTTATGCTTTCACTTGTTTATCTCTTCAATTTGCCCCTTTTTCTATCTCTTAAGACTTCCTTGTTTATGTTTTTGACTTTTTTTTTACTTTTTTTGACGTAAACACCTTTTTTTTTGTTTTTTTTTGAAGAAATTTGTGTAAAATTACAAAGCTAAAGGTTTAAATTTCAAATTTTATCTAAAATTTATCAATTAGTTAAAGAAAATTGATGGTTGAGCAAGTTTTTGAAGCGAAATTTCTCTATTATTGAAGAATAGAAGATTTTCTAGGTAAAATTTTGTATTTAATCAAATCTTTTTGATTAAATTGATTAATCTATACAAGATTTTATATATTTAATTCGCATTTTCTTTTCTATAAACGTTTTTTTGAGTCAAAAAAATTGCACAACCTTTCGTAAACGGTTTAAACTACAAAATACAAAAAAAAGAGCATTGAAAACGACCAAAAAGAGAGGCATTTAAAGCCATTTAAAAGTCGAATATCCTTACTTTATCGTCTTATTTTCTTTATTTTCTTAAATGCAAATTTTCGACACACCAATAAGCACAGAGATTTTGGAGAGAGATTTTCAAAAATCGTTTAAAAGTGAAGCGAAATTTGGGAAGAAGTTTCGCTTGGAAAGGATCGGCGAGGGGACGGTCAGTGATATTTCAAATTCTAATTGTAAAATTCGAAATGCAATTGTAGCTTTAAGCGACGGTCAATTCTATTTCAAATTCTAATTGTAAAGTTCTAATTGCAAAATTATAGCTTTAAATTCTAAAATTTAAATTTAAAATCTAAATAGATATATTGAATAAAATCGAATGGTAAAATGAAGAAATTTTAAAAAGAAACGGGCAAATTTTATGCCGTAAACATGGTGAAGAAATCCCGCAGCGACATCGGTTTTTTTGGCTTTTTTTTTTTTGAGGGGAAATAGAGCAAAAAAAAAAAAAGAGGCAGAAAAGCCATTCGATAGTCAATAGAAAATGAAAAAGAAATGATGAAGCTTTATTTGAGAAATCTAAAGAGTATAAAGTTTGAATCAATAAAATGAGCTTGTGTGGGACGAGTGTTCAAAATTCGACCTTTCTTCGGGTTTATTGGGCTTTTTAAGTCCTGGGATGAGGAGAATTCTCTAGTGGCCAATCTATAAATTGATAATTAGTAATTGGCAATTGTCAATTGGCGATTATTGGATGCCAATTGTCAATTGCCAATTGCTAGACAGTTTTCGTTAAGGTCGGCGACTTGTTCGGAGAAGAAAGCGACCCTTGTCTCGAAGTTTCGTTTAATTACTCACTAAAATGAATACCCTCAATCGATTCCCCAACCCCGAAAATCCGCGGGTACAAACTTACGGCTCAATATCCTCTTTTTAAATCATCTACAAAGAAGAGAAATCCCTGAAGATAGGGGTGTTCTTTGTGCGTGCGCGTAATCGCTCTCCATCTGGCATAGGGCCCTGGCGTAAGGGCCTTCCCTTTTCGGAACCCGTAAACGAAAGGACCAACCGGTCACTGAACCAGTTTTCCCTTTTTTTATTGACGTCGCTATGCCGAAATTTTTGAAAACAATTTTTCCTTGAAATTCGTTAGTATATTTTTTGAGAAATTTTAAACCTTTTAAATCGCTGTGTTACCCAAATTAAAATCGGTTAAACCTTCCCAATAAGATAAACCATTTTACTTGAATCATTTCTACATAAAACTTCAAGACTTTTGTGGGTTCAATGTTTAGAATCTCATGCGTTCAATGCAGAAATCCATTTTTCATTTGGCCAACAGAGAAAATATTTGTTTATCAACTCTGAGCTTTCAAAAAGTTATTGCCAAAAAGCTGCCAAAAGATCTCAAGTAAAAAAACTAGTAAAAAATGAAGTAAAATTGACTTTCATTAGTAGATCGAAAGGATTTTTATGGCATTAAACTTTAGCCTTGGAAATTCTATCAATATCAATTGTTCTTCTATCAATAGTGCTTTTTTTTTAGATGGCGTGATTTTCTAATATTCAAAAATTCGATTATCTTTTAAATTGCAGGGTTTCTCTTCAACGCCGGTTGTGATCACATTTGATTGGACGATTGATAAAGAGAAATTGCCGAAAAATGCTCTCATCAAAATTGTTGTCAAATCGAAGAAAAATCATATGTTGGATAAAGTAAATTTATGCAAAAATGGAAGACATAAAAATGTTTAGTTTAACGACACAGAGTTGAGATTTTATGAGGAGAATGCAAGGGATGGGTATGGAATGAAATTGCCGAGATTTTATTGTGGACGATATTATGGAATGGATGGAGTTGAAGCGGGTGAGTGGATACAAAGAGTAGAGTGTGTTCCTCTCGACTAATGCGTTTTCTAAAGTGCATCTATTTGAGAAAAGTATCGTAGTCAAACCGTTAGTTTTCATCAAATCAATCCAATTTTTGAAATCATTGGTTGAGCCTTGTAATTCCTCATCAAATGATACCAAAATTGAGCTGATCGGATGTAAATTAGCAGTTTGGCTACTGAAGGCAGGTCTAGTACTAGAGACAGGTCCAGTACTAGAGACAGGTCCAGTACTGGAGGCAGGTCCAGTACTTGAGGCAGGTCCAGTACTTGAGGCAGGTCCAGTACTGGAGGCAGGTCTAGTACTGGAGCCAGGTCTAGTACTAGAGACAGGTCCAGTACTGGAGGCAGGTCCAGTACTTGAGGCAGGTCTAGTACTGGAGGGTCCGGTGGTTTTCTCAAATAGGTGCACTTTAAAAAACGCGTTAGTCGCAGGGAAAGCACTCTAAAAAAAGTAATGTGACAGTACTGAGAAAGTATCTTTAAGCATTAAATGCAATATAGCGCACGATAAAGTCTTTTCTTCTAGGCTACATTGCGGTGGAGTTCATCGAGAATACGACAATCCGACACCTTTACCACAATATTCAATCAATCGGCACTATTGAGGTTCTCGAGGAATTAGCGAAATTGCTTGCTTATTGTAAGTGAGATTTTTAGTAAAATCTTGTATTGGAGTCTAAAAAAAATTAGATATTTAAGCCGTAAAACATCGAGAAAAAATGGAGAAATGGGGTGGTTTCGAGAATTCGCTTATTTCATTGATTTTGGTGAAAAACGTGAGTTTATTTCTTTAAATAGATTTTCCAGTGAATAGTTTATTAGTTATGCTTTTAGAAAATGCAAAAACATCTACGAATTATGAGGGAAATGATGCCCGAATTGAGCTCTCAACTGGATGTGATCGAGAGGAAAACGGGCACTCTTTTCACTCAATCATCATTTATGCAAATGCGAAAAGATACTTGTAAAGGTTTTTATATATGTCGTAGCCGTTTACGAAATTCAGCCGCTAACGAATCATTCGTTAGCGGCTAAATTTCGTAAACGGCTACGACCTATAGAATTGATTTCGAAAAAGTCTTTAGGATTTGAATTTAGTCGATTAGATTGATGTTTATTCGATTTTGTGTAAAACATTTATAGGCAATCACCCAGTTTTGTGTCATGGTGACATTTGGACGCCGAACATTTTGTGGACAAAGGATGATGAGGGGATTTTTCGCCTAAAAGCCATTGTTGATTGGCAGGTTGGATAAAAGGGAATAAAACTTTGATAATATACTAATATTTAGAAGATTTCAATAAACTTTGTTTCAATCTTTGTTTGTTTAGTTTGTCCATCTCGGTTCTCCACTCGAGGATCTCGTCCTTTTCTTTCACAGTGCTCTCTCGGCAGAGAGTTATCGGAAAAAGTAAAGGATTTATATAAAAAAACAACGTTCTATTAATGAAAAGATATTATAAAAATTTAGCATCTTCAAATTCTTGCATTTCTATTACGAGTTTTTGCGAAAAAATCTTCCAAAGGATTCACTTTTGTGGGAATCTTACGAAGAAGTTTGTTTTTATATAAAGATTAACGATAATTATGTAATTAAGTTATTAAATAATACAGTCATGGACAAAAGTCTTTACCCCTACTGAGGTCAGCTTTTAAAACGCAAAATTTTTCAACTTTTTAACAAGTTTTAAAAATTGTTTTCAAAGTATTTTGTAGCATTTTTACTCTAGTTTTTATATCCCATAACCAAAAGAAACAATGATTTATTTTAGGCAACAAAGAACGACGTTAACAAAAAAAAACCCTCAAAACAGGTGGACAAAAGTCTTTACCCCTCGAACAAAAAGTGAGAAAAAACCGAGTATTTTTAATATTTGGTAGGGCCTCTTTTTGATGAAATTATTGCTTGAATCCTTTTCGGCATCGAGTCGACCAAATCCTGTAAAATTCTTTGTCGGGAGTGGTCAGATAGGCTCCAGGCATCACTAGAATTAAAAAATAATAAAGCATTGTTATGTGAAAAATAACGAAACAACAGCAAGAAAATAAAAAGTTGAAAAGGGGTAAAGACTTTTGTCCACCTGTTTTGAGGGTTTTTTTTTTGTTAACGTCGTTCTTTGTTGCCTAAAATAAATCATTGTTTCTTTTGGTTATGGGATATAAAAACTAGAGTAAAAATGCTACAAAATACTTTGAAAACAATTTTTAAAACTTGTTAAAAAGTTGAAAAATTTTGCGTTTTAAAAGCTGACCTCAGTAGGGGTAAAGACTTTTGTCCATGACTGTAATAAGAATAACGATAATTGGGTGATTAACTTATTAAATAACACTAGAATAACGATAATTGGGTGATTAAGTTATTAAATAACAATAAGAATAACGATAATTATGTAATTAAGTTATTAAATAACGATAATTGGGTGATTAATTTATTAAATAACAATAAGAATAACGATATTTATGTGATTAACTTATTAAATAACGATAAGAATGACGATAATTGGGTGATTAACTTATTAAATAACAATAAGAATAACGATAATTCGATAATTAACTTATTAAATAAAAATTTTCAGTTTGAAAAGCAATACGAGATTGCTTATGCGTACACAATGTCACTTCTATTACCGATGACGGTGAAGATGTTGGATTTATCAAAAAGTTGTGAAAGTAGGTTTTTGAGATTTGAGATTCTTTTTGCTATTCTTTTTGCGATTCATATTAAACACAACTTTCTAAAATGTGTTATCTTTGAAAAGCTTTGAAAAAAGGCTGTAATTTTGGCTTTATTTTACTAACCATTGTTGTTCTTTTCTATTTCTATTTCAACATAGAATTAGATTAAAAAGTAGATAAATTTGGTAAGAAAAGGCTGATAGTTTTTTTTAAAAGTTGACAGATTTTTAGAAAAAAATAGAAAAGCTAAAAGAAAAGCTAAAAGAAAAGCTAAAATTTCCAGATTTCGAGCTAAACGAATGTCAGACAAACTATAAAGAAAAAGCGGCTTTCATCGCCGAGGAGACGGTTCGATTGCTTGAGAAATGGTTTTAACTTATAGTTTTTTTTTTGTTATTCTTATCTTTATTCTTGTATGTTTCACAATAAATTCTAAAATGACGTGTCTTTTGGATGAATCGACATTCAGTGATAAATCCACGCAGTTTTTTTTTCTTTCTTCTGTTCATTGCTCAATTTGTAATCTTTTTGAATAATATTGAAGCTAGAGAGATATTCAGTTTAACGTCATTTCTCTTTCGGATTACTCTTTCGGATTACTGTTGACTATTATTGAAGCTAAACATTTTTCTTCTCATCTCCTTTCCACAATGATTGAAGGGAAAATAGCGGACACTCCGGTGATTTGTATTTTTGCTCATTGCTCAATTTTGGAATCTTTTTGGATAATATTGAAGCTAGAGAGAGCTAGAGAGAGCTAGAGAGAGCTAGAGAGAGCTAGAGAGAGCTAGAGAGAGCTAGAGAGAGCTAGAGAGAGCTAGAGAGAGCTAGAGAGAGCCACTTTTCAACCATTTTTTAGAGTTTCCTTTCAAAAAGTTTTCTTTTGTTATTCGATTGGAAGAACGAAAATATTCAGTTTAGCGTCATTTCTCTTTCGGATTACTGTTGGCTATTATTGAAGTTAAGCATTTGCTTCTTCTCATCTCCTTTCCACAATGATTGAAGGGAAAATAGCGGACACTCCGGTGACTTGGGCATTAATTGAAGAAGATTTATGTAAAGCTTTCAACTTCAAAGCTTCTCTCAGCGACAAATCACAAGCGATTGCTTTTGCGAAAGGATGCGTGAGTTTTGAATTTGATAAATTGAGTATTAGTTCACTAGAGAACTTCTAAATATACGGTTGATTTTTGTTTTTTACTTTACTTTTGTGCTCAGCAATATAGAAATTTAGTCTTTCTGGTGCAATTATTTTGCAATTAGTACAATTTGTTGATTTTTTTTTCTTTTTAAGCTTAAAGATGAAATTTTCAATTTAAAAACGAAAATTTAAAAGTTTAAAGTCGGGATAAAGCATTTTTAAACCATTTTTAGGGTTTCCTTTCCAAGAGTTTTCTTTTGTTATTCGATTGGAAAAACGAAAATGAAAGAATGCCAAAGAAAGGATTGCTCAAAATTTGTTTTCATCCACCAACTGATTGTGACAATGTGACACCAGATTTGGTTTGTTTATAAAGGGTTTATAGTTTATATGTCGTAGCCGTTTACGAAATTCAGCCGCTAACGAATGATTCGTTAACGGCTAGCCGCTAACGAATGGCTAGTTTATAAAGTTTATACAGTTTAGACAGTTTATGAAATTACCCGAACTGGGGTGACCCATCCTTCCGAATGGTTCTAACGCGATGCACGAATTTTTTTTTTGATAATTTTTATTGTTTTTCTTACCACTTTGCACGTTCGAAACATTTTTTTTTTGTGTTTATTTGTAAAATTTCAGTTATATTCAAGAAAATTAGCTCACCGTGAATCGATCGATTTCCACAAACGTGGAATGAGGCAGAAAAGCATCGCTAACACGTTTCAAGGTGGCTAAATCGGTTGTTTCGGAGACAATTCAACGCTACAAAGTCTTGGGAACAAATTCCGATCGATCACGACGAAACCTTTCTTCACTGTCATCTTTGTTTTCATTGTCGTAATGACAACAAAGATGACGGTGAAGAAAGTGCGCGAAAATCTACGCTACAATAGAGCTCGTTCTCAACGAAAATTAGCCTCAAAAATGGGTATCTCAAGGATCGAATTGTGAAGGAAAAACTCAAAATGAAGGCTTACAAGTATGTAAAAGGAGAATTTCTCATAGCTGCTGCCATGAAAAAGCGAGAAGATCGACGAAGACATGCTCGAAAGCCCATTCAACGATCGATTGTTTGAAAAAATTCTCTCGAAAAGGCTTGGGACGAGCTTGACGTCGCCTATCTTTCTGCCACCGTTGATGCCTTTCCGCGACGTCTTCAAGCATGGGAGATCTTTTTAAAAAGAAATTAATTTTTTAATTTTATGGATGTTAAAGACTAAATTTTTACTTCAAATTTTTGTTAAAAATTGTTAAAAATGGATGTTGGCTTATAGCAATGTAATTCTATGTAACCAATGTAAAAAAAACCAATGTAATTCTGGTTTTATAAGCCAGAATTATATTGGTTTGGGGTAGTTTGGCGTCATTCTGTATAGAAAAAAAATGCAACATTCAAAACTTTAGCTAAACGACAATGAGATTTTGTTTTACACTCAAAGCAAGGAAGTTTTGGGAATCCCGGAAACGATTCCTTTAGCGAAATATTTTTGCGGCAGAATGTACAATGAAGAGCTTGGCGCTGGTGAGTCGAAAATTGAATTCACACAAAATTTTGCCGACTTTTCAGGTTATATTCTGTTGGAGTTTATCGAAAAACTCTCTTTGTGTCATGTTTATCACAATCTACAAGAAAAGCCGCTTATCGAAATCATTGGACACTTGGCTCAGATAGCGATTAGAGGTGGTTGAAAAACGATTTCTCAGAGTTAGCTGGTCAAAATCAGTTTTTGAACTTAGACTCATTTTGTGTGGCTCTTGATCAAAGTCATGGAATACCCAGACCTAGTCTAACTTTACTGCTTTAAAACTAACTTTACTGCAAAAAGTCCATCAAAAGTCAGGGTCGATCAACGTTGAAAGTCTCTCATCTCAAATCACACAAAGGCTATGCGTTCTTTCCGTGTTGCTCATAGGAAAAGCGGTATCTGGCACACGGCTTTGTAGATCAATTCTGTCTAATCTCTAATACAAATTTGCGATCTCTCAAAATTTATTATAAAGGCATTTCAAAAGTTTGAAGACTTGTCTGAGATGAGAAATTGTTAGTGAGCTTGAGTGAGCATCTCAAAGCTTGAGATCAGATGAGATAGATTCGTGAGAGTTCTGAGATGAGAGCTCTGACGAGGGAACTACAACTACTTACCACCTCAGATCGACTCCAAAATCACAGGGGGGAAAGATCATCACAAAAGAAGAATTTTCTGAAATTTTTAGCTGCTAAATGCCAGAACTAACTGAAATATAAGGTTTCAAAGTTCAAAGTAGCTTAAACTTAAACATTTTTGGGACTTGCACGGCACTCTTTAAAGGGAACTCTCACAGGCACTCTCACAGGTTAGCCGAGTGGCCGAGTGGTTAGGAGCGCGATCTGGTAGTCCGAGTGTCGCTGGTTCGGCTCCACCCCAAAAGTTTTTCTTTTTTTGCAAAACCACATAATGTGCGTTCTATTTTTTTGGCTTTCCAAAGTTTATTCTGATTTTTTACCATAAAAGGTGAGAAAGTCATCCGCGTCGTTCAAAGTGTGTCGGCAACATCTCACTCGTTTACCATGATGCCCCTGATCTACGCGGATGGACGACTCCGTGACAAACTGACAAGATCTACCAACAGTTCCGGGCGCCACGTTTTGTCCCATGTATGCTCGAAGCCTGGAAAAGCGCTCATTATATTGATGATGTACTTCCTCATTATGTGACACCAGCAACTTTTTGCTGCCCAGGAGATTTGATTGGTGCATGTAATAAGATAAATTGCGATAATATGCCGTACATTCGTTGTGCCTATTGTCTGAATATATTCTGCTTCCTTCATTTTGTCGAATCTTTCCACCGTTGTTGAATTGTTTGTTGTTTATTAGTTTTAAATAAAGTTTTGTTATCCTCACCTTTTATGGTAAAAAAATCAGAATAAACTTTGAAAAGCGAAAAAAGTAGAACGCACATTATGTGGTTTTGCAAAAAAAAACTTTTGGGGGGAGCCGAACCAGCGACACTCGGATTACCAGGTCGCGCTCCTAACCACTCGGCCACTCGGCTAACCTGTGAGAGTGCCTGTGAGAGTTCCCTTTAAAGAGTGCCGTGCAAGTCCCAAAAATGTTTAAGTTTAAGCTACTTTGAACTTTGAAACCTTATATTTCAGTTAGTTCTGGCATTTAGCAGCTAAAAATTTCAGAAAATTCTTCTTTTGTGATGATCTTTCCCCCCTGTGATTTTGGAGTCGATCTGAGGTGGTAAGTAGTTGTAGTTCCCTCGTGAGATGAGAGAGAGATGAGAGATCTCTCTCATCTTAAAGCTTGAGATGAGAGAGAGATTCGTCATTTTCTTCTTATCTCAACTTTTGAATTCTCTCTTAACAAAAATTTGAACAATTTCTGTTTGAATTCTTGTCAAATTCTTGTCAAAAACTCTTTTTTAGGACTTAAACTTGAAAAGAAAATCGAGAAAATCGAACAGAAAAACGCTTGGGATGTTATATTGAAAGATATCGCCGAGTTGACGGTGAGATCACGTTTTTCTCGTTATCTATACTGTTTTTCTCTGAAATTCAAAGCCTAAACACATCCTTTCAACAATTCAAACGGTAAAATCGAGATTTCAAGGTGACCGAGAAGCGCTTTATCGACATGAAAGTCGTTTTCCCCGATCAATCGACTCAAATCGATTATATCCTGCAAAAATTCCCCTCAATTTTCGCTGATTTCGAAAAATTTCAAGATTTACGAATGAAAAATTGTAAGTTTTAAAATGAAAAAAAAAGTTAGATTTACAAAAGTTTCAGCTCCTATTCGATTGCTATGTCACGGGGATTTATGGACGACGAATATTTTGTTTACAAAGGATGAAAAAGGAGAATTTCAAGTGAAAGCCTTCGTTGATTGGCAGGTTTGTGAAAAAGATCACCGATTTTCAACATTTTCTGACAGCTTTTCCATATTGGCTCTCCGGTGGAGGATCTCGTCTTTTTGATGTATTCAGCTTTGGGACCAAATGAGATAAAAAGGTAAAGTATCAAAGTTTCAAACGTTAATTTCAAAAAAAGGACCAATTTCTACTTACAAGTCTACTACGATTTGATAAAAGACGCTATTGGGGAGGAGAAATGTCCGTGGGAAGACGTCGCGGAGGTGTGGTTTCCAAAGCATCTTATGCCAGAGGGGTTTCCCAGATGCCAGGCAGATCCTTTCGTTCAGCTGTTCCAAAAAGAGAAGGCCCTTATGCCAGAGCCCTATGCCAGATGGAGAGCGATTACGCGACCGCACAAAGAACGCCTCTTTCTTCAGTCGCCTTTGTAGATGGCACAAAAAGAAGATATTCAGCTGTGAATTTGTACCAGGGTTTTCGGGATCGCCGAATCGATTGAAGCTATTCATTTTAATGAGTAATAGCTAATCTATAGTAGTAATTGTGGGAATTGAAGAGTTTGAGAGCTGGGAATTCTTTTAGACTTTAGAACGAGTTCAATGCTAACGCCGAGTGCTATTAATAGACTAAAATGAATATCTTCAATCGATTCGGCGACCCCGAAAACCCTGGTACAAGTTTACAACTGAATAGCTTCTTTTGGAGCCATCAACAAAGAAGAATCTCAAGTGAACAAAAGTGACTGGTGTTCTCTATGCGGTTGCGTAATCGCTTTCCATCTGGCATAGAACTTTTGCATAAGGCTTCTCTAAACGCTCAAACAGGTAATCAAATCATACAATGCTTCAGCTTATCAAACAATACGAGACCTCATATATCCACATGATTTCCATCATTCATCCAATGAATGTCAATGGATTTGAAGATCAAATAATCGCTTGTGATGGTTTGAAACATCTTTTAATTCTTGATATTTAACTTATTTAACTAAAAAACTAATAACTAAAACCAATTATAGACATGACTTTTCAGAAAACGAGATCGATTGGTGTCGTGAGAACTTCGGACTCAAAAGTGCCGCCATCACCGCCGAGTTGTGTCGATGCTTCGAGAAATGGATTCAATAAAACAATCCAAGATTTATTAACATTATTTGCTTTAGTCTTTAGCTTTACTAGTTATAAATTCAATTCAAAACCATTTCTTCAAACATCTTTCCACTTCTTTTGCCATAGAAAGAATTTGAGCGTCGAATTTTGCCTCATCTTTTTCGCGTCCTAAAAAAGAGATGAAAATGCTGTAGGAAAAATGCTAGAAAATGCTAGAAAATGCTAGAAAATGTTAGAAAAAAACTTCAACATAACCTACTCAAAGCTTTTCCATGGTAAAATACTCAAGTCAAACATTGCGATTACCCAGCAAAACGCAAACAGCTCATTCAGCGCAGTTAAGCAAGAAATTTAAAGCATTAAATCAAAATCTTTCATCCCGAGCGAGTGTATTTGCAACTAGAGCCTTTTTCTAAAACGTGTCAACTTAAGAAAACTACCGTAATCTTGACCTTAATCAATATACTTTTTGATCTATTGAAAGGAGTGGCTATTTTGCGCCAAATGCTAGAAAATGCTAGAAAATGTTAGAAAAAAACTTCAACATAACCTACTCAAAGCTTTTCCATGGTAGAATATTCAAGTCAAACATTACGATTACCCTTTAAAAGAGCTGATTTAGCTTCGGTGAACCATGTGAACATCATAAAAGAGATGTGTGCATACATTCGTTCATATTCTTCAAGAAGCTAAAGGGATTTTCGTTTTTTTTAAAGGCTTTTATCAATGAAATTTAAAGCATTAAATCGAGATGATTTTTAAGCAAATTTAAAGAGCATTAAATCAAGATGATTTTTCATCCCGACAAAGCGTATTTGCAACTAAAGCCTTTTTAGTGCAGACGAAAATTGTGCAGACATGCAGACGATTTCGTTTTTCAATTTGGGAAATTTAAAATCAATCAAATAAAAGTTGAATCAAACCTGCTGAAAGCTTTTCCATGGTAAAATATTCAAATCAAATTCGTCAACAATTTTCTCATAAAAGTAGTGAAGAAAAATGTGAAATCTGAAAGTAATCATTGAAATTTTAAAACTTTTAGAAATATTTCAATTTTGAATTTACCTATTAGCATATTCTTCAGCTGGTAAAGAGCTAAAGAAAAGAAAAACCAGATCTTTTGTCGGGGTGCCGATATGGACAAGCTGAAGTGATTGTGAGAATACAGTCGTCTCGATCTTTCGTTTCCCATTCAGCCCATTCAGGGCAGTTACGCAAGAAATTTAAAGCATTAAATCGAAATTTTTAATACCGATCGAACGAATTTGCAACTAGAGCCTTTTTCTTCTTTCTAAAACGTGTCAACTTAAGAAAACTACCGTAATCTTGACCTTAATCAATATACTTTTTAATCTATTGAAGGGGGTGGCTACTTTGCGCCAAATTTTTTTTTGCGCAACTGGGTCGTTTACACAACTCGCCATAACTTTGTTTTAAGTAAGCCAATCTTTATGATGTTGGTTTCATTTTGTAGATCTCAATAAGCACAATAAAATGAAACCAAAACCATAAAGATTGACCGATTTAGAAGAAAGTTATGGTGAGTTGCGCAAAAGACCCAGTTCCGAAAACAATTTGGCGCAAAGTAGCCTACCCCCCTATTGAATCGATTTATCGAATCAATCAATTTCTGTATCTTTTTGATCTTTGTATCATTCTGCGTAAACCCTACAATTTAAAGAAACTAGATTGGATAAAAGTCGAAATTTTTGAGGGTTCTCAAAAAGTTGAAAAGTTAGAAAACGAATTTCACACCTGCCAATCGAGAATTGCTTCGATTCGCGGTTTCTCGCCGTTTGAACATACAATATTTGGTGTCCACATATCACCATGGCAAAGAATCGGTTGATCACCTGAAACACAAGACAGAGCTCAGTGAAAGCTCTTTTCTTTTCGAAATTCTCTCTAAAAACTTTCTAGTTTGATTTGAGTTTGATCATAAATTTTTATAGTCAAAAGATCGCCAATCTTTTACAAAATTTAAATCTTATTACAGTTTTGAAAGAACTTTTTTAGATTTTAAGTTATTACTCTTCAAAAAAAATTGATTACACTTTTTTTGGGCTTTTTTTTATTACAAACTTATTGAAAACATTTTGTATTTCCAGAGCTGATAAACAATTTCTTTTCTTTTTGAATACTCCCAATCGTTTGGGTTCTAATTTTGACAGATTTTGACAGAAGATTCTTTTAATACCTTTTAATATCATCTTTTGACTAAGAAGAAGAAGAAGCTCACACAAATTGTGATAACACAAAATCTAAAGAAGTGATTTGTAATAAGGGATCATTTCTGTATCATCAAAACTGTAATAAGGGATCCTTTCTTTATAAAATTGGGTATCTTTTGACTAAAAGAAGAAGAAGAAGAACAAAAAGAAAAGAATAGAATTCTTTGTTGCAAAAAAAAAGTTTTTCAGCTCATTTGAATTCCCCCAAAAACTTCCACCAAATCTCTGGATTTCTCATCGTTTTCTCGAAATCCTTTAACTCAGACAGCTGATAAACAGAGCTGATAAACAATTCATTTTCTTTTTGAATACTCCTAATCGTTTGGGTTCTAATTTTGGCAGATTTTGACAGAAGATTCTTTTAATACCATAGAGCTCACATAAATTGTGATAACACAAAAGCTAAAGAAGTGATTTCAAAGCTGAAATAACATTTCAATTCTTTGTAAAATTGGGTATCTTTTGGCTAAGAAGAAGAAGAAGAACAAAAAGAAAAGAATAGAATTCTTTGTTGCAAAAAAAAAGTTTTTCAGCTCATTTGAATTCCCCCAAAAACTTACACCAAATCTCAGGATCTCTCATCGTTTTCTTGAAATCTTTTAACTCATTGCAAAATTTCTAAAAATGACAAACTTATTGAAAACTTTTGTATTTCCAGAGCTGATAAACAATTCCTTTTCTTTTTGAATACTCCTAATCGTTTGGGTTCTAATTTTGGCAGATTTTGACAGATTCTTTTAATGCCTTTTAATATCAGCTTTTAATAGAGCTCAAACAAATTGTGATAACGCAAAATCTAAAGAAGTGATTTCAAAACTGTAATAAGGGATCATTTCTTTATAAAATTGGGTATCTTTTGACTAAAAGAAGAAGAAGAAGAACAAAAAGAAAAGAATAGAATTCTTTGTTGCAAAAAAAAAATTTTTTCAGCTTATTGAATTCCCCCAAAAACTTACACCAAATCTCAGGATTTCTCATCGTTTTCTCGAAATCTTTTAACTCATCCGTTTTTTTCCACAAATATTCGATTATTTTCAACATTTTTGGATACATTTCCCTCATTTTCAATAAACGTTTTTTAATTCGCTAAAATTTTACATAGTTCTCAAAAAAAATGAAATCAACCTGTAACTGGCAATGATCCTCGAGAACGGTCTTGTAGCTGGTATTACGCCATTTCTTGACAAGTGATGGATTTTTCAATGCTACAATTTCTTCATAAATCTTATTTCAATGGTATAAAGTATAGAAAAAGCACATTTAATCGTCAACTCAGCGATGAGATCAACTCCTTGATAGATGATCTCATCGGGCGTTGAATCAAAGAGACGTCTTGTTGTGCCACGACTCTCTTCAAAGTACTCAATCGCAATGTAGCCTGTGCTTATGTTTTGTGAAATTACATAAGAAATGAATGAACCGTAATCCGTATATCGCCGACCAGCGTAAAATTTCGGTTTTGGGAAATTCGAGAAAAGAATCGAGGCTGGGTTTTCTCCAAAATACGCGTCAAACTCATTGTCACCTAGCTAAATAGATAAATAAATTGAAATCTATAAAAAAATATCTATAAAATATCCATAAAATATCTATAAAATATCTATAAAATCTATTACCTAAAGCTTCGTAATCTTAACAACCTCTTGTTCCAGTTTACTCGAGACTCCGGTGAACTCGCCACACGAGCTCATCTTCACCACAGCTTTCTCAGGCAATCCATTCATATTGTCAATCCAATCAAAAGTGATCAAAGCTATTTCCGACAGAAAACCCTGAAGATTCTTTGAAAGTCTTTGAATAGTTAAATATCTTTAAATCTAAAGAGCTTTAAAGCTAAAGATCTTTAAAGCTAAAGATCGTTAAAGCTAAAGATCTTTAAAGCTAGAGATCTTTAAATCTAGAGATCTTTAAATCTAGAGATCTTTAAATCTAGAGATCTTTAAATCTAGAGATCTTTAAATCTAGAGATCTTTAAATCTAGAGATCTTTAAATCTAAAGATCATTAAAGCTAAATATCTTTAAATCCAAATATCTTTAAATCTAAACATCTTTACTGTTGTCTCTCCGAGCTTTACTGCTGACTTGTTTGGACCAAATTTTCCCGTTGTTTTCAAAGATTTCTGTAGATCTTCTTGCAAAATCGCCCAAGTGAGTTTCGAGGTGAGAATGGACATCTGAAATTGTGAAATTCTAAAAATAAGCTTTATAATGGTCGAAGAAAAGTTGAATGATTGAAATTGAAAAAGCAATGGCACTTGGCAACTCGTAGTAAAACACGTTCAATTCAGTTTTTTGATCGAAAAATAATTTACGAACTTATCAACACCGATTTGATCCTTTCAATTCATTTCTCTGGTATTTGTGGCTCAATTTGGAACGACCAAAACAATTAAGCATTAATTTATACCTCGAAACTTATCGTTGAATGAGTGGATAAAGAAAGGGCGTTGCACCCATTCCCCATCAATAAATTCACCTTTCTCTTGTCCTTTTTTAGTCTTTTTAGTCTTTTTTTTCTCTCTTTTCCTCGACTGTTATCTGTGTAAAAACGTCATTTGTATTCAAAAGTTCACGTCTACTTTCATCTTTTCTTTCTTTTTATTCTTTTTTTCTCTTTGATCATTGCGTGTTCTTTGATTTCTAAGAAATTAGCTTATTCTCCTCAGCTGAAAGCTTGCTCTTCAGCTGAAAATCTTTTTAAAACCAAAAATTTGAGTCTTTCATATAGATTTGAATTTTCAGTTTCATTTAGCCCAATAACTATGTCAATTTTGAACTCGACA